CGCAGTCGTACACATCGGGCCGGTCTCCGATCTCCCTCCCATCTGCCCACCGTGTTTCACCGCCTCATGAGAGCGGCTCCAGCATGTACCCTCGTCTTCCCTCAGCAACTGAGGGCATGGCTGCTGGTTACCCGGCATCGTCCGGCGCTGCGCCACCCTCCACTCTAGGCGGAATTTTCGACAATGACGAGCGTCGTCGGTACACTGGAGGTACCTTGCAACGAGCGCGCCCTGTTTCGCGGGCCGCTTCGGAGATGGATCTATCCAGCGATGACAAAGAGTCTGGAGAGCGAACTCCCAAGCAAATTTCGTCCAGTCTGATTGACCCCGCTCTCCACTCGGGATCGCCAAGTGAGGAGGACGATGATGTAACGCGGACCGCCAAGGCTGCAACCGAGGTGGCCGATCGGTCGGACGTCCAGTCTGAATGGGTAGAGAAGGCCAGACTCATTGAGTACCTGCGCAACTACATTGCCAACCGCCTGGAGCGGGGCGAATTTAACGAGGAACTACAGAATGGCAATGTTGCGCGGTCGCCAGAGTCGAGGGCGGATGAGGACATGGAGGGAGTTGAAATCGGCTCCCTTCCTCGCTCACCAGCCACTGCCCCAATGAAGAACGACGGGGACAGTGTGATGTACCCAACACTGCGGGGATTGGACGAGGACGGAGATTCCAAAATGCCTAGCTAAACAGATTGGAAGTCTGCTTTGTTTGAAAATTGGTTCTATATTCTGATGCCCATAGCCCACTCGTTCTGTTTCCTATGTTTTGTCGGCGTTAGAGGGTTTCATTAGGATGAGTTCTATCGGAGTTACTACTTAGTTGCGATTGCAATTATTGAAATTACTGCCTTCTACCAGTGGACGTTCCATTGATGTATTTGTTATTATTATATCCTCCCCACCCGATTGTGGAATCAAATCCCATCTTCATTTAGTCCATTACTACTTTTCTCCTCCGTACATTTTTGTTTTGGGAATAAAGCGGCCATCTGCAACCAGCTGCACAAAGCAAGTAGTACTCGACGTGGGTGATTAACCCAAGGCAAGCCCGAGCTGTTTTGATCGAGACCTTCCCTGACCGTTTTCGATCGTGTTTATTTGGTTAGCCCAGTGGGCCGTGGATTAATGCTACGGTGCCCTTAAAGAAAAAGGGCCCAGAAAGTGGGCGTGGAAGCATTCCACAGCCCTTCCAGCGATCGCGATCTTGGTCGCAGGGATGGCAGCCGGGAATGACGCAAACAGAAGGTCAAGACTGGATCCATGGACAAGCAGTAGGAAAGATGCGCTTATTTATTTGCATCTCTCGTGTTCTCGAGAGTCACTTGCAGGGAACCAGAGAAAGGTCGAGTCTGGAGTGGTCGAGTGTTGTCGCTGCCTGCATCCGGAAAAACATCATCAAGTTTTGGTGCAGCGTGCCATCAGAGCGTTTCGTTCTCGCGGGTCGCTCCACTAACCGTCTGGGTGGTCTTGTTTAGGGCTATAATAAAGACGATAAGACAGGACAAAGCCAGAGTTGCAGGACCGATAGCCCATGTGCCGATCAGTGTCAAGCAAACTCAGTGAAGTCAACTCCACAGGAAGCGGTCACCGTTAGAAACAACAACGTCACTTTCCTTCGCCTCCAGTTTCACCTGCTTTATTATTCACCCGCCCGTTAGCTTCTTTGGGCAGCACGTTTCCTGCATCGGCCACGGAGGACTTATCTGGTTATCTGATCGCTCTTCTCTGTTCTTTTCTCCTGCGTCTCTGCTACAGTTCGCACCCCACCCAAACAACCGAACTCCCCGCGGTGGCTGGTTCTCATTCCTCAGCCACCAGTGCGCGCGTCGCTTTGCGCGGTGGCAAACCCTGCTGAATTCTTGGTTCTGCCGTCCAGTTCGTCCATCTCGGCCTCTTTAGGTCATCATTTGTTGTCGCCATCACTCGCCCTCTGGTCTGGATTTTCGTTCGCTGACTGCGCGGCCCTCCAGTCTGACTATCCACCGCTAGACCCGGATAAACGCGCACCACTCGCCCTCGAAACAATTTATCCTTCAACATCTACACCCACCCGGGTTGATAAACAATAACCGACTCCAGCGAAACAGGCGAACGCACACTCGAGAAACCAAGTTGGATTATGCCTCTATCTAACCGCCGTCGCGCGCGGCGCAAGGAAATTCAACTCCAAGAAACTTCAGACGTCGAGGCTCCGGATTCATCGCCCACGCGACCCTCAAACAAAAAGCGCAAGGTGTGTATACGACCCCAGAGATCTGCACACATGCATTTTTCGGCCCTCTTTCCGACTCGCATCTTTTTTGAAAAATTCTTTTGTTCGGTTTTTTTCTTTTTCTTTTTCTTTTTTCTTTGAAGCGTTGCTGACTAGACGCGTGCGATAGGTTGATCACCGAACGTCGCCCCAACTCTCGAGGGTGAAGGCCGAGTCCGCGGACGAAGCGGATGGCTCTTCTCCCGAGCGTGAATTAACCGAGAACCAGGACCTCGTCGACCTAGTCATTTCTTATCTCCAAGTCGCCCGCGAAGAGGTTCGCGTTCTTCGAGACCACTCGAACGCGAAAACCGAGAGCAAGCAGAGCATCCGCGCATACGCCAAGATCGCTGGCAGAAACTGGACATACTACGTGAAATCCCTCCATGTCAACATTGGCCGCGAGCCGGACCGCGAACAAAAGCTGGACGAGCAGTCGAGTCCTGTCACAATAGCAGCGCGAGCGCTTCCGGATGTCCACGTTGATTTGGGTCCCAGCAAGTTCGTGTCGCGCCTTCACGCCGAGATTTTCTATGATGGCGAGGAGACTGCGTCCTGGCACATCCGCGTCAACGGCCGGAATGGCGTCCGCCTGAACCAGGCGATCCTCAAGCGCGGCACAGATGCCGTTCTCACGTGTGGCGACATTATTGAGATTGCAAACACATCGATGATGTTTGTTACGCCAGGCGACAAGGCGAACATTCACCCTAGCTTCATCGACCGCGCGCAGCGGATGGCCAACGGGGAAGAGGACCCGGTGACTTATGACGCTCCTCCGCATGCGCACCCGCAGCAAACGCCTACTGCTCAGAAGACTCAAGATGTCATGCCGAATTCAACAGGTCCCTCGCTCGCTCCCGCTCCACAGTTCCTCAAACGTCAAGTCACACCGCCGCCACGATCACCCGACACTATCGGCGCGCGAACCGCCAAACAGTCGCCGCTGTATAACCGAGGTATGATGATGGAGAGCACGGAAGAGATCGATTACAGCAAGGATGCTGCCAAGGACTTGAAGCCGCCTTATAGCTATGCGACGCTCATCGCGCAGGCGATCTTCTCGAGCGACGAGGAAAAACTGACCCTCAACAACATCTACAACTGGATAATGGAGAAGTACGCGTTCTATCGACACTCGCAAAGCGGCTGGCAAAATTCCATCCGACACAACCTCTCATTGAACAAGGCATTCCAAAAGGTTCCCCGTCGGACAGACGAGCCAGGAAAGGGTATGAAGTGGCAGATTGCGCCGGAATATCGCGAGGAGTACTGGAAGAAGCAGCTCCGCAAAGGAGGCGCCCAATCGTCAGCACCATCATCGCCAGCGACCAAAGACTCTGCCGCAACACGAGGCGCCGCCACGAGTGGTATGGAATCCGTGTTCTCCGCTGGCAAGAAGTCGCCACCAGCTTCTTCACCTAGCTTCAGCTCGTTCCCTGTGGCGCCGGTTGAAGCTTACACGCCAGAGCGGGGCTCGCGAGCTGGACGAAACGGTGCCATAGAGCCGCCTTCGCTTCGGCCACCGAATCCAAGGGACTACGATGCGACATCTCCATTGCCCAGTCGCTCCGCTACGAAACAAAGTGCTACTAGTCTTAGCCGGGCCTATGGGCTATCAGATAACGCAACGCGATCTCCCCCGGTTCTGTCTTCTTCATATTATGACGATGCCCCGTCATCGATGATCACACCCGCACCGCAACGCCACCAGCCCCGGCTTCCGCCCCCAAGCACTGCACAGGTTCCATCCAAATTCATGCCAATGAGCTCGCCCGCGCAGTTCTGGAAGTTCGCCGACATTGGGAGCACACCTGCGCGCCCAGCGGCCGATATGAGTCCATTAAAAGGGGAACCCGGAGATGCGTTACCCAGTAGTAGTCCCCCCCCGCCGAACCTGGTAAGCCCTAGCAAGCCAGGCACATCCAATGGGGTTGGGTCAGGTCGGCCGCTCTCAGCGCGGCGAGAAGACGGGCCAGGTTCCAACGGCGTGGATGAGCGCGGAGGACACATGGACGAGGAGGACGGGGACGATGACGACAACGCAGGATTCGATCTAGCACGGTATGTTTACTTGATCACGTTGATTGTGCCGAACCTATAACTAACTTGCAATTGCAGGGGCTTCCAGCCGATTGGATCGTATCACCGCCAGATAGGTGGCACGGCAGCGCGGACAAGTGCAGCGACTACATGACCACCATCCTGGGTCTTGTAATTGCGTTTGCTGTTGGCTTGGTTTACAGATTGCTCTTGTACAATTTGGTTTTGCATGAGTGTTTTTATGTTTTTGTGATTTTTATTTTTGTTCTCCTTTTTCACACACTAGGATCTACTACTTGATTCTGTATGTCTGACTACGATCAACCGTGCAATGATGGGACGAAGCATTTTCTGGTTTGGTTTGGGGTTTGGGGTTCAAGGTTCGGCGCAGTGACTTGCTTGTTTGTTTTCTATACAGTTTATCATTAGTAGTAGCTTAACTAGCTAGCTTGCATGGTCTCAATGAAGTTGGTTTTACTTACTATACCTTGTTGATCCGCAGATTGTGGATCTATCTACACCCATCATGGATCCGTACTATATTCCCACTTTGTCGGAGTAGCTAAGATAGCTACGTAGCTGGCTACCCCACACCCCGCCAAACCACTTGACATTTTCACTCACCTCAACTACGACCTAGCCAATCCACCAAACCTCCTCAACAACTAAACCATCTCCAAGCATCAGCAGAAGCACCAAAAATGCAGAACCTAACAACCCACCTCCCAACAACAACCCCCACCTCTCTGCACCGCGCAACAACACACCCCTTCCTCCGCCGCGCAGGGTCCGGCCAGATCCCAAAACCTTTACTCAGCCAGTGGCTCTCGCAGGATCGACTATACGCGCAGTCCTACGTACGGTTTATCGGGCTTTTACTCGCAAAGGTGCACCTCCCTCGTACGCCATCACCTGCAAACGACGAAAATGGCAAAGCCATCCAAGAAAAAATCCTCGACATCCTCATCTCGGCACTAACCAACATCCGCACCGAGCTCGGCTTCTTCGAAGACGTTGCAAGGGAGTATGAGCTCGATTTGAATACGCCCTTGGCCGGGCTAGAAGGGTACGAGGGGAGATTCTCCGCTGGGCCGATTACGCAGGGGTATATTGATATGTTTGTTTCTGCGGGGAGTGCGGGGACGAGTTTGCTGGAGGGGTTGGTTGTGTTGTGGGCGACGGAGGTGTGTTATTTGCGTGCTTGGAGGGGGGCTGCGGTTTATTTGGATCGGGGGTCTGGGGGTGATGGTGATGGTGATGGTGGTGATTTGGATGGCGGGGCGTTGAGGAAGAGGTTTATACCTAACTGGGCAAGTGAGGAGTTTGGGGTGTTTGTGCAGGAGATTGGGGATGTGGTTGATGAGTTGGGGATGGTGGAGTTGCAGGGTGGGAAGGATGGGGAGGATGCGCTGGCAAAGTGTGAGAGGTGGTGGAGGCAGGTTGTTTGGTTGGAGGAGAGGTTTTGGCCTGACGTTGAATAGATTGTTTCTTTTGTAGTTTGCTGTGCGGTAAAAGTTCAAGTGTATATAGATGTAACTATTGACGGGAGTTGAGTTTGGAACGCAGCCTAAATTCGAAAACAGATTGACGAATTACTAGCTGACTATGACATAATGGAACAATCTCTAGAAGGCTACTCAGAGTCCAACTAGTGTCATTTAACAACGAAGACGTAGGTATCGGGGCCAGATCTGGACTGCGACACCAGGTACCCGAGTCGGCTATATGGAGTCCCAGCAGATAACCACAGCTAGACCGAACCCTCGGGGCTAAAGGAGTAAACTGCACCGAAATCATAATTCTACGATTAAGGAAAGAAATAATAAGACTGGCCCCCGCATCCTTAAAACTGTACGGCTATAAGTTTATTTTCAGTAAACTCCGCAGTATATACAGATACACCATGGCTGGAATAGCGCCGACACAATCTACAACTACACCTCCGCCCGCGCCCGCTCCTCATATACCCCTCGCAACACCGAAGACAAAGACGAAAACGCAACTACAGTATCCGCTATGGTTTGGTGGCTCGGCGTCATGTATGGCTGTGGCGATTTCGCATCCGCTTGATCTTAGTATGTGCCCGGTTCAGTAATAAGCCCTCTCTGACAGAGTCTAGTCAAGGTACGACTGCAGATGGAAGCGGCAGAGCACAAGGGCGGGACTCTTGGGACAGCAATGCGCATTATTCGGCATGAGGGGGCGCGTGGGCTGTATGCTGGGGTAAGTCCTCTACACCCATGCCAACAGTTATCACCCCATACTAAACAAACCTCATAGTTCTCCGCGGGATTTATGCGTCAATGTACGTCAACCCTCACCAGAAAAACGAAATAGATACTAATAAGAGTGCAGTAACATACGGCACAATCCGACTCGCCAGCTACGAGAAGCTCAAAGAGCACCTTTCCTCACCAACCCCCACTGCCCTAACCCTCTCCGCCGCAGTATCTGGCTTCATCGGTGCAATCCCCGGCAATGCCAGCGACATCGCCAACATCCGCATGCAAAACGACGCCTCGTTACCACCCGCCCAGCGGCGAAACTACAGACACATCCTGCATGCGTGGAGCGTGATGTACAAGAACGAGGGCCCACTGTTCTTCACGCAGGGCATGCTGCCGAATTGTATACGCTGTGGGCTTATGACGGCATGCCAACTTGCCTCGTATGATTACTTTAAGAACCTGTTTGGGCGGGTGAGTGGGTTGCAGGCGGAGAGCAGCAGTATTGTGCATCTGGGGAGCTCGGTGATGGCGGCGTTTGTGGCGACGAGTGTTTGCAGTCCGATTGATGTGGTCAAGACGCAGCTTATGGGACTGGGGTCTGGGAAGAAGTCGGTTATTAGGGTGGTTGGGGACATGACGAGGGCCGAGGGGGTGAGATGGGTGTTCAGAGGGTGGGTGCCGAGTTTCGTGCGTCTGGGGCCGCAGACTGTCGCGACATTGGTGTTGTTGGAGCAGCATAAGAAGGTTTACCGGGGGCTGCTGGGTATAAATGATATCTAGCGGTATACAGAGCTCCCATGGGCTTTCCATGGAGATACCGAGGCAGTCGCTCCTTCTTCATTCACCTTTAGCTCCTTCCACGGAGAAATAGAATAGCCATCGGAGATATAGTGTCGGACAGCCCGGCGATATTAGGCTCTGCACGGCCGGATATATTTCCAGCTAGTGCAGGATTCAACCCCAACAATTCCTTCTCTTGCGCCCCAGTAAGTCATGGGATCTCTGTAGGTACTAATGGCAAGCACGAGCATTGCAGCTTGAGTAAGCGAGTGTTGATCTATCACATATCCACAATGGCCGGCTGAGGATCGATATGAGAGACTGCTATACTTCCACCCCTAGCCGCTGCTATGATCGCGATAAGCCAATGTTTATAACAAGCATACCTTGTCTGCCTTTACTCCACTAGGGAATATTATTCCACGCTGACCTCGCTCATGGCGCCCGGGACCAAACCCCGGCTTCAGTCACCGGACCGTAGAGAGACCCCACACGTAGACGGAGACTTCTCTCGATCGATACTGGCCTGAATACGACAAGCAAACAGGTTGGCAAATAGCAGCAAATAATTCATTGCTGGGCTGCAGGGATCGTGCAGAAGTCGACTAGTTGAACCATGACATCATCACATGGTCTGATAAGGTGAAACTTGACCAGGAACAGCCCCTGGTCGCTGAGATTTCCCTGGACTGCGAGTTTGCAAGCCTGTGAATCAGAGTTTCATCGCTTCATGCACGGTTTGGCCAACAGGCGGCCAGAGCCCAGCTGCCACTAGAGCTGATCGAGGCCTAGAGTCCGAAACCGGTCGTCGATGAGAACTAAGCCTTTTAGTGTGTCCACTGGAACCGGAGGATTGACCGAGGCGGCCAGACGGAGGGCGCCATGTGAGACTGAGAGCCGATCAAGATGGGAAACGAGAGCATGGCAAGGCAGATGAAGTGTGGTGGTGATCGGGGACTCTATAGGAGGAGGCGGCGGCTGAGAGATGGGCCGCAAGTGGGACAGCAGAAGGACCAGAAGACCAGAAGAAACATCAAGTGGACTCCGGTTCCAGTTCCAGCTTCTTGGTTCCAGTGAAGTTTTTCCAGAGCATTAATCAGTAATACTGCCCAGTCAATCATAATTATAATGCTGGCTTATTTCATCAATATCGCCCTTTCTTTCTTTTCCTTCATCTCCAATGCTTCCCCACTGCCTCGGTCTGACCCAAGTCCCAGTATTATTCTGTGGTCGCGACGTTTAGTTGCATCGAGTCTGCTCTTCCTTCTGTCGCCGATCCAAAACGCCCTGCCGCCGATCGCATCGGATTGCCTTTCTCTCTCTAAACTCCGTGCTGAGTGATCATTGACTCACTGACCATCCAAGTGACAACCCTCCTGCGTCAGACAAAGCTTTTACCACATTATCCGCCGCAGAGGTCGTCTCCGTCTCCGTCTTACAATTAGCGGTCTACTAGTTGAAACGTTGGAAAGAGAGAAGTTGCGAATTTCTCTTTCGGCTTTGGTCCATCTCCGCTCATTGTACCTTCGATGACTCGGTAAGAGCCCCGTTTCCACTCTTCGTGGAGGTGCGATAGTGCTGCGCGACTTTTTGTCCTCCCCCCCCTATTACTTCGAATACTCTCTCGCCTTCCATTTTCACACCGTCACGCATCTTTCTCGGCCAACGTCGTTATATGTCGCCGTCCGAGTAAGCCCGCCATGTCGAGTGCATCTGCATCTTTCCTCCCCGCGGAGAATGCGGGCGAGGATGATCCCACACCAGACTCCGCTGCCTATCTCCCCGACGAGTTCGACTTCTCTGGCACGCCGTCCAACAATTTTGGCCAGGAATTTTCTACCGATGACAATGCTGCGCCCGACGCCAAGCAGATGAAGACCCCGCTTCCTATGCAGAAGAGGCGTCGGGTAACCCGAGCTTGCGATGAGTGTCGGCGCAAAAAAATTAAATGCGATGGGAAGCAGCCTTGCACCCACTGTACTGTCTATAGTTATGGTGAGTATTTCACTCCTGTTCAAGCTAGCTAGGTGAATAAGACTAATCTTTGTCCGCACTTTCAGAATGCACCTACGACCAACCCTCCAATCGCCGCCGCAACCCCGCACCACAATACGTCGAAGCCCTGGAAAATCGTTTGCACAAAGCAGAAGCCCTTCTCCGTGTCGTTGTACCTGATCTGAATCTCGACGACCCGCAATTCGATGTCCACGCGACGGAGAAGCTCCTATCAGCGATCAGGCGAGAAAAGCTCCAGGAGCAACCGGCGCAACCACAGCCACAGCCACAACCACCGGCACAGCAGTTTGACACAAATGGTTCCGCAGACGCCCCGGGCACGGACGGCGCGGGGGCCGACGAGTCTCTATTGGAATCAATGGTCGACAAATCTGGGTGTCTTGATCTCGATGACCAGGGCCATTGGGACTACCACGGCCATACATCTGGTATCATCTTCTTGCGCCGCCTGCGAAAACAGCTTGGAGTTCCCCAGCCGGGAAATGCCGAACTCCATCTGCGGACGCGGCCGGCCCTGCAGCATTTCCTCGAGAGCCCCAAGTCCACGTCTGAATCGCCGCAAGAGGCATCCCTGCCCCCGACGCACGATTTGCCGCCACGCGACGTTGCACGGCGTTTGTGTCACAATGCCCTCGATGATGGCTGTGCGCTAATCCGGTTCGTGCACGAGCCATCCTTTTATGCCATGTTCGATAGAATTTACGATACACCTCCGGAGCAATTCACCAACGAAGAAAATTCCTTCTTGCCGCTGCTTTACATCGCCATGTCCGTCGGCTGCTTGTTTTCCGATGATGGGGCTGGAACCCTCGATGTCTCGGGATACGAAAGTGCGATCGGTCAAGGGTATGCATATGAATTACCATTATTATGACCTATTTTAGCTAATTAAAAAACAGATTTCAATACTTCAAAGCAGGACGACAGCTGCTTGAGATTACCGATTGCCGTGATCTCTCGTCTTTGCAGGCGATTTGTTTCATGGTTCTTTTCCTGCAGTCATCTGCGAAGCTGAGCACTTGCTATTCTTATGTCGGAATTGCTTTGCGCTCCTCTCTCCGACTTGGTCTGCATCGCTCGGTGACTACGGATTTCAATCCCATTGAGCGCGAACTGCGCCGTCGCATTTTTTGGGTTATCCGGAAAATGGATGTCTATGTGAGCACCCTGCTGGGTCTCCCACAGATGTTGAGCGATGACGACATCGACCAAGAATATCCCATGCCCATCGACGGCGAGTTTATCACTGAGAACGGGATTTTGCCGACGCCAGAAGGCCGGATACATGCCATGGTCGGAGCTAACGCGCACACTCGACTGTCGATTATTGTTCTCAAGATCGTCAAATACATTTACCCCCTCAAGACTGCCCAGCATCGGTCCAAGTCAGACCAGCGCTATGTCGTGAGCCACTCAAAAATTCGGGAGATTGAGCGCGATCTTCAAACTTGGATGGAAGAACTTCCTGCGGCGCTACGCCCGGGCACGGAAGTTTCTCCGCAGATAGAAAGGTAAGGTCCACACACTCTCGACAAGTTATGTTGTGCTGACTTGCATAGAATCCGCCAACTTCTACGTATCAGCTATGCCCATGCACAGATGGTCATGTACCGACCATTCCTCCACTATGTTTCCAGTGGCTCGCAAGCCCGAGGCGTGGACCGACGATCGTACGCCTGTGCCGCTGCATGTGTCAGCGTTTCCCGAAATATTGTCCATATCACCACTGGGATGCATAAAAAGGGACTCCTTAATGGGTCTTTCTGGTTTACCATGTACACCACATACTTTGCCATTCTGTCCCTTCTTTTCTTTGTGCTCGAAAACCCCGACTCACCGACGGCAAAGGATGGCGTTCTCAAAGACGCCATGGAAGGTAAAAACACGCTCGCTGGCCTGGCAAAGAAGAGCCTTGCAGCCGATCGCTGCTCCCAGAGTCTCAACTGTCTCTTCAAGAACCTCCCTGAGCTGCTTAAAAACCGACAGAGCTCGAAGACCCAAGTCAATTTGAAGAGGCCGGCGCCCTCAAATCAACCTGGCCCAGAGGTGGGACCTCCGCAGAGAGCGAGCACGTTCCCGATCCAGCTTCTCACCCGCCCAACCAAACCGGATGTTAGCCAGACCCCCAAGAGCTTAGATGATAACCAGCCTCCTCGATCGCCGGCGCGGAAACCACGCGCTAACCGTCGATCATGGGTCCAGCCTACTGAACATACTGCAAGCGTCGCTTCAACACCATCGGAGACTACGCCACCTTCGGCTAGTACACCGTCGATGATACCTCAGACGTTGCCGATACGGGATAATTCTGCAGGACAATTTAATCAACAATTCTCGAACAACCCCAGCGGTTTCCCCGATCTTATGAACATCATGTTCCCGTCGGATGACCCATTCGCCTATCCAACACAACCCATGTCGACGTTAGAAGATGGCCACTTCCGAATGGACGGCACGGGCACCACGGCGCCCTTCTCATCTGTAATACCAACCACGATGGATCAAAACACCAGCGCGCCGAATGTCAGCAGAGGCCTTGACGCCCTTGGAGGCCTCCCTATGTTCCAGGGTGGACAACCCCAGTCCAGCATGGGCGCTGCACTCTCAGGCCGGCTATCAAATTCCCAGATGCAGTCACCAGTGTCGCACGGATCCACACCGGGGGAGGCCGTGAATAGCCCAGATCTCGTGTCAATCCCGAACCAGAACTTCATCTGGCAGGGGTACGGATCCGGAATCGACCAGCAGCAGAACTTCGTTCCCGATGCGCCAATGCAGCAGATGCCCACCGGGAATGAGCAGGGCTTTGGCATGGGGACCGACGATAATGCTTTTAATGTTGGCCTTGATCTTCCCTTGGATGATATCTTTGGCAATCCCGATATCAAGAATGGGTTCCCTAGTGATGATTGGACTCAATGGATGAACATTGGGTAGATGTGAGTTGTTAACCTAATATATGTGACGACTACGAAAAGAAAAAGACCTTTTTTATATTCTTTTTATTTTAATGAATGACCTACGCATTGATGATATCAGGCGGCGTTGTGGGAATTATACCAAAACAAATTATACCTATCTATATTACATTTATCTTCCAAAAAAAAAAAATCCATAATACACATCCTTCTATATATACAACCCAACCAATCCACATATGCAGAGTAGATCAATCACCTCCACCTCCCCTTCGGCGGCTGATACCAACTCCAAATATTCATCCCAACCTTCTCGCCCTCCTCCACCGGAAACGCCGCATGCCACGTCTCCGGCCACCCACTCCCATCAGGCCTCAAATTCTCCCAGAACACGGCATTGCCCTTAATCGGCCGAAACGTGATCCCCCCTTCCTTTTTCGCCGTCTCATCCTCACAATCCAAAAACTCACACCACTTCGGATCCCTCGGCTTGCGCAGCCGCGGGAAATTCGTTCCCCCGCCTTTACACCCAGCGGCAAGGTACACCATAAACGTGCTTATTCTGTCTCCGCCGCGCCCGCGCGCCGTGCCAGCCCAGTCGTAGTGGTGCACGTAGTGGCCTGTTACGTTGTATCGTTGCGCCCACATGCGCTCGATGTAGAGGTGTGGTTTCCAGCCCTGGAATGCGCGCGCGCGGTGCTCGATGCACCGGACTATGTTGTCGCGGGGGAGGAGGGCGCGATCGGAGAGACGCTTCGTCGCGTCGGTTCTGGGGGAGTTTGCGTCTTCTGAGGAGGAGTAGAGGGTTGAGGGGGTATAATTGGGGACACTGTATATTAACATGGTTAGTTAGGGCTCGCTCACCTGTGTTCTAGTATAGGTAGACCAAAGGAAGGAATGATTGGTTGGGTATCTGTATTAAGGAGGCAGGGGAGGTTTGTGGCGCATACCTAATATTCACCAAATGATCCGCCTCGTCTCCCGAGAGGAAGTTCTCGATGTATATAACAAGTGGAGCCTGGGAGAGGATATGGACGCGGTAGGCATTGGAGCCAGCATCGCAAGTAAACGGCGTCCCATCGTCGAGACTCAGTATGTCGTGGTTCAGATTGAGCGAGGTGTCCTCGTCGACATCGTCCTCGTCATCATACGAGCCATAGTAAGTTTCATCGGCCGGAAAGAGCTGGCGCAGGATCGGCGAGATGACGAGGAAGTATAGCGGGATAAGATAGAAGAGGGAGGAGAGGCTGAAGTTTAGCATAATTCTCCGGGGCGCCGGCGGCTCCGGTAGTTTTCTCGGTATGGTATCGTTACACGGTGTGTATACAGGGCGGCGCCATATGATTGGAGTTGCAGGTCTGAGCGTGCCTGCCTGGCAGCCTGAAGCATCAGATAAGGGTCAGGTGATTCCGCTATCGCTGGTTCTCACCGCCGGAGATAGGATATGCTGCCTGAATATTACGGTGTCGATCTTATCGCCTTATCCATCCAAACTCCGCGTCGCCGACCGCGCAATTTTCCCATCCACGCGCATGTTCGGGCGTGCCTGATTTTCTTTTCAAAGAGCTCGCGATATCTGAATTCGAGTTTCCTGGAAATTTTACCGCTTTTCTTCCGTCGTTTAAACGCCTTCCAAACTTGCGAGACGGGTCTCATTTAAGCCGCTCGCCGGGCGCGGAGTGATATTCAGCCAGGTTCGCATATAACACTGAACGCCCCCCTTTTCGCCATCAGCCGTGAGGGTGAGGGATTGGAGTTTGGTGTTAAGCTTCTATTTTCGGATTTCATAGTTCGGATCGACTTTGATCATTGTGGTCAATGTCACTCTCCTAAAATCCATCCCTACGCCGCCAGATAATGCGCTTTGCGCATGTGACCAACCAGACATCCAACACTTGATACTCTAAAGGCATACACATATTACATCCTTCTGTTATTGGTCGCAAACTTGATATTTACTATATTGCTTTAGATAGCAGTCAGATCTGGCATCATCAAGGAGGAGGGCGCTGCGAGTTGGATGATCGCAAGACCACGTTGCGATGGCTGCGGATACCACGACGACGCCCAATGGCACGGCCGGCAAGGCGAAAAAACTGAACCCTTACGAAACCGATCTGGATCTGATACCAGAAGATGACCCGTTCCGGCTGCGAAGCCCACACTACGGCCGTTATCACCCGCGGGCTGACGACTTTCAACCCCTTTATAAAGACTGGTTCCAGCATGACTCCAAAGCGACAGAGTACTGGGAAGAGACCGTGAAATCGCTATGGACGCCAGAAAACTCATTACATGTGCAGGGTGCAAGACAGGCGTATGCTGCGGGCAGCATAATTATCCGGGTCGACGAGGAAGAAGTGACTGGTTCGGCGGCCGAGAAGTTTAAGTGCTTGAATGCGAATGAGCTGAATGCCGCAAAAAAGGGAGAGGATATACTGAGAGAACTGGGTGTCGCAGTGCCGAGGGTTTACTTCTACGGGACGATATCCGGGAGGAATGTGACAGTGGAGTCTAGACTCCCAGGTGTTTCGCTGGATGTGGCGTGGAGGCATCTTTCTGAGGAGCAGATTGAGCTTATGAAGCAGCAGTGCCGCATTGTGTCGGAGCGCCTTAGCAACGGTGATACTGGTCCGACGCAACCATCCTACGTCTGCAATGATATGAATTTGCACCCACCGTCTGAGGCTGAGCGGGCTATACTTTTTGATGATAACGGAGTGCACGGAGGCTGCTCCCTAATACACAACAATATGCTCCTATGTAATATTGTTGTAGACAATCATCGGATTGTGGGATTGACCGGCTGGCGAAGCTGCGGATACTTTGGCCTCGGAAGAGCAGACAGGGTGCATCGGCAGATCAGAGTCCCGCGTCTCATCTCAGAAGCTGAATCCGGAATCGAAGTACAGAATGCTCAGACCTGGGCCGACCTCTACGATGGTCTTCAGGGAACTACACCAGTTGAGCCCACAGTCCCAGCACAACCCGTCAAAGTCGAACCCTCCGGCACGAATCTAGACAAGGTGCCTTTAGATACTGATGCGGATGTCAAACCTGGCGTTACTCATCTAGACGGCACAGACACACCAGAGGAACACCCAACGCCGAAGAAAATCGCGAGCCTCAAAAACCAAGGCAATTCGCGAGCATCGTCATCTGACCGGTCTTCCCCAGCGAATTCCACAAAAGCCCCTGCTAAAAGAGCCGCTCCTGGGACTAAGAAGGGAATTGGCAAAAAGACCACAGCTAAGAAGCGCAAGATCGACGATCAGGACAACGACAGTATTGATGGTCGCCGTTCCCAGACTCCGTCGTCTACACGTACAAGCAAGACGCCTGGAGGGAAGAAGCAGAGCTCAGCATCGCTGGCAAACTCACCAGCACCCGAGCCCAAGCCCAAGCCCAGGAATAAACCGGGCAGAAAGCCAAAACCGAAGCCAGCAAAACAGGAACAGGAACAGGAAGAAGAGGAGGGAGAGGAAGAAGAAGAAGATACTTCTAGTGATGAGCTCTTCTGTATCTGTCGGAAGCCTGACAATCACACTTGGATGATCGGCTGCGATGGCGGCTGTGAGGACTGGTTCCATGGGAAATGCGTGAATATGCACTCGCGAGACGCCGACCTTATCGAGCGATACATCTGTCAGTTTTGCAACTTAATTTATTCGATGTTCTTAATTATACTAACTATGATTAGGTCCAAACTGCAAGGAAAACGGTAAAGGATGGACCACCTGGAAACCCATGTGTCGACTACCCGAGTGCCGTAAACCAGCGCGTTTCACCGGGAAAAACCTCAGCAAGTACTGCTCCGACGAGCACGGGCTGGAATTCATGCGTCAAAAGGCCGGGCTCAACATTTCCACGCAGCCTGGTAACCAGAAACCAAAATCCATCCTTAAAGCGGCTCTTGAAAGAACCAGTACCCCACGAGATGACGATAGCTCCTACGATGGATCCCACTATGAAGACGAACAAGATAACAGCATGGAGGACCTCGGAAGTAGAGGCGGAGTCCTCACCCTGGGCGATCTAACGGCAGTGATAATGGGCGTCGAATCCGCAGAAGAGTTCCGCAAGCTCGGAGCCCACATCATCTCGCCTCCAACATCACCACCTCCAGAAGAAACAAAAATCAAGAATGACGATACAGAAATGAAGAACGGAGAGATCGATGCAGAAACGAAACCACAACCCAGCAAGAAGCTTGGTCTAGACGTTGGCGTCGACGGCCTGACATACTCCGCTGACGAGGCCGAGAAAATCGAAAAACTGCGCCAGCAGCGTGCCGATTTATTCCATCGCAGGGGCATGCTCGCAGCGCGGAATACGTTCCTCTCGCTTGTCCGCCAGAGGTCAAAAAGCATCCTCGAGATTTTGAAGAAGAAAGACCCCAAGGGCGGGTGGAAGGATATCTGTGGGTTTGATACGCGACTTTCCTGGTCCGATGAGGAGTTCGATGAATGGAGGCTCTCGGAGGCCGGGAAGAGGGCTTTGGAAGAGGGAACTCCTGAAGCCATGGCTTCGAGTTACCCAAACAATGTCGATGCCGACGGCGATGCGGCCATGAATGGAGACAAGGCCGAGGATGAGATGGAGAGTGTTACGCGGGGCGTCTGTTTGAAGAAGCGATGCGAACGACATAAGCAGTGGATCAAGATCCAGCAGGGAGACAGTGCCTTTGAGGAAAAGACTCTGGAGGAAGATCTTGTTGCATGCGAGAAGGAGGCCCAGAGTGTTGTGGAACGCGCTGTTCTCAGGATGTGGGCTGAGAATGGCTGCTAGGCATGTATATCTTTTTATTCCCGTCGGCACCTCTAGCGCCTGCTTTGAGTCGACGGGTGCCTTACTTGCTTGATACCCTTGAAAAGGAAGGAATTGCATCTTGGAGTTAAGTTAGTCTGTTTGATTGGTGACACAGCTTGCATAATTGGCGTATACTGACGGGTGTGGGTGGCCTGGTGATCGGAAAATGGTACTTCAAAAAGCTCCAGATAGATATATGATTGACATCGTGTAAGATAGTGATAGTGAGAGATTCTTTCTGCCATGTAACGAACCTGGCCTTAAATCAACATACTTGATTCATTCGTCATTTATTCTTTCTGCTCCAAACACACCACCTCCCAAGCCCACCCCCCACCCGGTCCTTAATAACCTCTACAACTGGAACCCTTCGCGTAGTCGACACCAGGAGATGCGTATCAATCCCCTGATCCAGCGTTCTCATCAGCAGACTGGGAAAGAGCGGACCATCAGTTACAGAGAACATCGACTGGATGCCGTCATCTCGAGTTTCGTAGTCTCTCTGGTTCTGGTTCTGGTTCTGGTTCTGATTCTGCACAACGGAACCATCATCACGGACTGCAGGCCCAACACCGCTCGTATTCACAAGAAGAACGGACAGATTTGGGGAGTGCATACGCGATAACTGCGCTATTATCCGCAGCGCACTACTCAGGACAGCGGCGCCGCGGACGGCATTTGACGCGCGTACAACTGCTTCGGTGAGGGTGTCGAGACCAGCAATAACAAGTGTCTGTTGGGTCTGCTGCTGCTGCTGCTGCTGCTGCTGCTGCTGCTGCTCGTCTTGGTGTTCTCGGAGGGAGTGCAATATATCAGCGACTTCATTAATAGCCTGCACGGCGGCCGCAAAGTCGAAGACTGGGAAGAGCTGGACTGAGTCGAGGAGGGAGATTGCGTCCTTGCGGGGGAGAGAAGGGTGAAAGGATTGCAGTGAGGAGAGGAGTTTGGTGGGCGAGAAGATGGTGCTGCTTGGGGGGTGGATTATGAATGTTCTGCTTTGCGGTATTGATGGTGGTTTTGGTTGGCGAAGCCATTTCGTGAGGAGATGGCGGGGGAGCTGGGAGGTGTCAGTACGATAACATAGTAGGCCGATACACTGGGAAAACATACCTCGCCGACAAATTCATCGTCATTCCCATCTGGGGATCTGCCTCGTAATCTGGAGAAGCCGATTACTGTCCCTGGGCGGAAGATGTCATCCCGGGAGGAATGGAGGCCATTCTCAATGTCGAATTCTAGGTTCCATTTATTTGAAGGGTCTTGGTCTAGCCTCTCTTGATTTGAGACGGAGGCTGCCTCTGGGCGTATGTTGGAGGATTCCTGCAATAGAGTATGAGCCAGAATGGGTTCTGCTGGCTCCGCTCTGTATGTTGTGGGCATTCCGCCAGAAGGGACGCGTGTGTTGTCAGAAGGGTGCTTTATGCGTTGGAAGATCGGAAGCAATCCAAGTTAAATTAACGAGATTAATGATGAAAATTGGCGTATAGTTTATTTGTACAGATTCCGTTTCTTATACTAAGAGAAGTGGGTGGAAAGTATTGGTCTTCGACTGAAGATTAGTCCCCATGTTGCGGCCTGGTTTATGAGGCAGCAATGATTGCCTGTCAACACTATTCACCAGAACATCACTACGCATTCGAGTAGCAGAGTAAATTAAAAGCGACCAGTATATAAAGTGGCTCAAATGATGCGTATGTATTTACGAAGTGAATGGTTTTATATAGCAGTATCATCTACAACGGCGGTTGAGTCTCCGTCCGCATTGGCCATATCAGCCGGCCTTTTTGTCCAGGTGCCATGGCCATCATGCGTCCATGGACCGTCACACAGGATATCCCCCAGTATCACGTCGATCTCGGCCCGGACCGGCTCCATTTCGTAATCACACGCGATAAATTTTGAGAGATAGCTCTTTATTCCCAGGCTCCTGACAGCATGTGCAATCAATGAGTATCCTGTGGCAAGTTCCATCCAGGGATCGCTCGGGTCCATGGAGCCTCGCTGCTCGATTTCAGTCACTCTGTTATTGTACGACGGGCCAAGTTGTATCGTCAAAGACCGGAGGTTTGTCATGAATTCCACAGCATCCAACACCAGCTGGACGTGATTGTAGAATGGAAAGACCGCCACGTATGTAAAGGACGTTAGGTTTGCTAGCGAGGATGATAGGTGCGGCCGCTCGGACAAGGAATGCGTGGACGCCCACGGGCTCCAACGATGGAATATGGAAGGAATCTGGTACAGAAAATACTCATAATGGTTGTATGCTTTAAGAGATGATGATTCGTTGAACTGCATGGACGACCACGGGAGACAGTCCAGAAGGCCACAATCTTCATCCGAAACAAAAGTAGGCTTGCAGCTTCCCCAGTCGCATTCTAGCTGTACAACCTGAAGGGGTATTTCGAAAGCCCAGCCATGTTCCTGGGGTATTTGCATTTCGAACATCCGTCCAATGACCGAGGGTGGCGCGATTACTGTGATACGTCGTGGGACAAGGGAGCACAAAAAGCGTCGCCACCAGGGCGTACCAGAGCTCTCGCAGTCCTCCAAAGCATCGCTTGCGTTTACCACAACTGATGTGACATAGCGGTCCAGTTCCGATTTGGATATGAATGAGAGATATTCATTTGCGTCTTTTAGTTCGAAGCAACAATGGGAGAAGAGCCGAGGGCGAACAAGATTGTAGAGGCGGAGGCATGTGAGCGAAAGATGCTTCAAATCTCGGGTTTTCGACCATGTTATACGTGTGTTTGGAGGCTCGTGTAGCCCATTCGAGGAAGGGGGATCGGAGGAGAGGAGGTAGGCGATTTCGTCGAGCAGCTCGTTTGGTAGCGACTCAATCGGCGACGGGATTGACGCCATTACTGAGGTCTATCAAAGTCTGTAGACAAAATTCGTGGCATAATGATGGAAGCCCACGCATGGGAGTTTGAAACCGACGTTATGCAAGAATTGGCGATAGGATGGAGCAGTTGTATTACTGATTGTGTTGAACGAAGAGAAAGAGCCGAAGAGGAGCTCGAGACCATCACTGATCAGCTGGACCCACTTCTCCACAAAGACCAGATTATAAGCCAGCCCTGGCGTGAATGCCTAAAGCATACAACAGAACGAAACCACCCTCTTTTTTCTCATAGGCACAGGTCCAAATCTAGCTACAAAGTATCTGCTATAACTAGCGTTACCTAGAGTATACGTTAGAGAAACCTAAATCTACCTTAGTGGTAGTTACCAAAGACGCCTCCGCTATCACCGTTAATGTTGCCGGAGGTTCGGTAGATTTAAAAAAAAAAGCTCGGTATAGAAGAGACATCGCTTCAAAGGGACTCGAATATTGTACGATCAAAGGTTCGCCAGAAAGGGTTGTGAGTTCAGCCATCCATACTTCCTAGGTAGTGAATATGATCTTCCAGGTTGAAAGAAGAAACAAGATTCATGACTCACAACAATGAGCGCCCCGGCCCGAAGAATGTAATATTGTCTTACATTAGATTAGGTACGCATTTATTTTAAGGGTTTATTAGTATCCCATGGATTATCTCCATAATCTCCTCTTTAAAGATCTTAACATCACTACTTTTGAATATTTAGAAATTGTCGACAGTGATTGGTTGTTGCCCCACCGTCCCCACTCCCCGGAAGCAACTGTCCACGTGACCTGAAGCACAACTTGACTCTTGGCAGCAACGATTTCTCCGCCAACTTCAATAGACAGCAGTCTCATTTTCCAGCTTTCCAGCGTACTTTGGCATCATGGGTTCCGTGGTCTTGCCGCACTTGCGCACAGCGTGGCACGTTGACCAGGCCATTCTCTCGGAGGAGGACCGTCTAGTGGTGAGTATGCTTGATACATTTTTGAACAACAACTACTAACTGTGGTTATACAGGTTATCAGATTTGGCCGTGACCATGATGTCGACTGTAAGTTTGCATCTCCGTTTTTTATTTGTGGCAGTGCTAACTTTCATCCAGGCATGCGTCAGGATGAAGTCTTATTCAAGCTCGCCGAGCGTGTGAAGCGTAAGTGTACTGTTTCTGCCTGAAGATTGACGCTGCAACGTAGTCCCGCTTGATTTGTCAGGATACTGATTATTTACAGAGTTTGCTGTGATCTACCTCTGCGACATCGACGAGGTGCCAGAGTTCAACACCATGTACGAACTCTTTGATCCAATGACGATCATGTTCTTCTTCCGAAACAAGCATATCATGTGCGATTTCGGTACCGGTAACAACAACAAGTTGAACTGGGTTCTTGAAGACAAGCAGGAGGTGATCGACATTATGGAGACTATTTACAAGGGCGCCAGGAAAGGGCGTGGTCTTGTTGTTAGTCCGAAGGGTGAGTCTACTTCTATCTTTTATGAAATGGACGATTGCTAATGGTTGTTTAGACTACTCCACGAGATACCGGTATTGATTGGACTTTTATTATTGGGTATCTGTTTAAGGCGAGTCGACTGTTTAGAAGAGACCTGGGTATGACTCTTCATACCGTGGTTATTTATCATTTAATGAATTATGATACTTATGGACGTGAGCTTTTCAAACAAAATAATTTCGTAAATATCCTCGAACTTCTCTACTATAATATAGTCTCCCGTGAATACAACCCTACACGTCGTATAAGGCATACTTTGGCTAGCCTGCCATGTATCCGCCTCAGGCACACGACGGCCCCACAAACATCTCGATCTTCTTGACGTAAGTTTCAATCAACACCGCCGCACGCCATCAATACCCAAGATACCCCAACTTCCCAGCACAGAAAATCAGCAGAAGGAAACATGATCGACCGTGCGATTTTCGAAAGTCTCCAGGCCAAGATTGACGAGGAGGCCGCCGTCAGAGATGTATGTCTCCAGCTCCCAACCAAGCTAGGTTGACAGTGCATTGTTTCAATTGATACCAATACCACATTTACAGGAGCTCCGCGACATCGTGCAAAATCTCTCGAGAAAAGGTTCTCTCATCCAGCCTATAGAACAAGTAGTTCATTGATGGATGGGCAAAGCTGACTCGAGAACCAACGACTAGGCCGATCCACGCAAGCTACGCTTTCGCGAGCTCACTCTACCCCAGCTGCACAGTGTATGTCACTTTTTATCTCACTCTGGATAAATTTCAACACCGGGGTGAAAGCTGACGAAGCCCAGTGCAACCCGTCCTAGAAGATGTAACCAAAGAGATCCTCGCGCAGAAAGAGGAAGTCCTACGCCTCAAGAGCGTAGCTGACAAGCACCCATTCTACAAGTATAACGGTGTTTGGTCGCGCGATCTGCAAAACCTTGTCAGTGCCATTCTCGATCCTAAACTGAGATGTTCCGTTTGTAGTGAACTGGACTAACAGACTGTTGTGACAGGTCGCCTCCATTGAGCTATGCGCCTGGCTCGGCGGGTTCCCGGAGTATAAGAGCTCCGAGACAGCTTCCTTCCTGACTATGGAAGAGGTCGGCAAGTTTCTCGAGAGTATGTCACTTCATGATTTACACCAGGAGATAGCTACTAACTGAGGCGGCATCTTAGTCCCCGTGAACCTGAAAGAAGAGGACGCATTCCATCTTACACTGGAAGAGTACCTCCTTGCGCTGATTTCCATGATTGAAGAGCTGGTTTGTTCTTTCTGGCTCCGTTCTAGAACAATGCTAACGTAATACTCCAGGCCCGCCTTGCTGTCAACTCTGTTACGCTGGGCGACTACGGCCGACCTACTGTTATTGGCAACTTCATTAAGGAGCTGTTTAACGGGTTCCAGCTGCTGAATTTGAAGAATGATACGCTGAGGAAGCGGAGTGATGCGATCAAGTATAGTGTGAGTTTCCTCCCTATCAGGTTTTAGTTGACTGGTCTGACACTCGTGTAGGTCAAGAAGGTGGAGGATGTGGTTTACGATCTATCGCTGCGGAATCTGATCCCCCAGGGCCAGAAAGCGTAATCTGATTCATTGAACAGATGATGGGCTTGGGAGTATTATGAAAATGATGTCACGACCGAAGACAACCCGAAGACAACCAAAGACAAACGGGTGGTACATAGAGTATCAATGAAGTAACCGCAAGTCAAAAGCAGCGACAAGTTGCATTGGGTACATCAACAAAAAGACACATATTAAGATTTGGTATCATAACCGTGAAAACAAAAACCGAAAGCCATGCTGGCCGTTATAATCAAGACAACTTCGCAGTCTCTCCCTCCTTAGCACCCGCAACAGAAGCCAGCGTGCCCTCCTTCTTCGCCTTCTCAATCTCCTTCAAAATCGTATCCTCCAGCCCCTCAGGCTTGGTCGTGCTAGCCCACCGGCCAACAACCTTCCCATCAGCCGAAACCAAGAACTTCTCAAAGTTCCACTTAATCCTCTTCAGCCCCAAAAGCCCAGCCTGGCTCTCCTTCAACCAAGTCCAAAGCGGCGACGCGTTGTCGCCGTTCACATCCGTCTTGCCCAAGACAGGGAACGTAACGCCGTAGTTAACCTGGCAGAATTCCTGGATCTGGTCGTCCGAGCCGGGATCCTGGCCGCCGAATTGGTTGCAGGGGAATCCGATGATGAGGAAATCATCTGGGTGCTTGCCCTTGACGGATTGGTAGAGGTTTTCGAGACCTTTGAATTGGGGCGTGAAGCCGCATTTCGAGGCCGTGTTTACGACGAGGATGACCTTGCCTTTGAGGTCGGTGAGGGGGTAGGCCTTGCCCTTTTCTGTAGAGCGGATGAGTTAGTAATGGTATTATTTATCGCGAGAGGGATGGGGCAAATGCGTACTGTCGACAGGCTCAAAGTCATAGAAAGTAGTCGCGGAAGACATGGTGCTGAATGTAGCTGTCGTGCTAGGTGTGGAGTGAAGGGGTGGTAGAGTCGAGGTTTGGAGAAAAGGTCGTCGCTGCGAGGGGTAAAAAGCGCGCGGGCGAACAGATGAAACTGTGGCAGGGGCGGGAGAAGTCGTCGCCTTTTGTATTCCTATGATGACTCCGCGGGAAGGTCGAGTCCTGGACTTGAGTAATCTAGGAATGTGTGACACGCCACAGGGATTATGAGCAGAAGAGAGAAACATGGATGGATGCATAAATCGCCAATGATGTTCCCGCCCGCTTAGTAGTTTAGGAAGCACCGCCGAGGTTCGCGGACGGAGCCAGAAGAATGGGGCAGCCGCTGAGGGGCACGCGGACTCGGATGCACTCCCAGCCGAGCGGTTCAATGGGCAACGGTCGCGGCTTTTGTCAGCAGGTTCTTCGAGACCGTTAGGGGTCTGGGTTGTGACAGATTCCAGAATGTGATTTGGAAGCTTTCTTTAGTAACCAGCTAACTAGTTATGACTTCATTGCAGGATTAGATAAGACCTCATGCTTTGGTTCCTGGGCAGTTTGATTGGATGGATTTATTCAGTTTCGGACGCCTGTTGCGGGTCTGCACATGGCAGTGCACATCTGACGTTGTCTGTCTCCGGGATTTCCTAGCTATAATTCCAAATACTTTGACGATCCGTTGCATTCCGGCTTCCGGATGCTGGAGAGGATCCAATCTGGAAACTCCTCCGCTATTTGAAACTATATGGCCTGCTTGGCATAGGAGGAGGATGGATGAAAGTAATCAGTATACTAATTTCTTCTATTGAATTTTTAAGCAGTCGCGTGAATGCCGACGTAAACCAGGTACCTCAGGTAGGATCTAACTCTAATCCTGGGCACTGCTAAATGCCAACCGGCGCGTCACTGGACCAGTATTGTCGCAAGCCCTTCAGCTTTATGAGCGACAAGGACCTCCACGTTAGAGGTCGACACACTTGGCCGCAGGGCCTGATGTTGAACCTGAATCCAGTATTCAGCTTCCATGTGGTGTCTCACTCTAGGAGCCGCGCACGTATCACCCATTGCATCCAACATATTCGCGCCTCGGTGCCGTTTGTCTGCCGCGGTTCATAGTCGAATGTGGGATGGAATGGTTCCCAGCCAGAATACCAGCGCAAAGCCGAATTCGTTATACCTGGTACTAAGTTCAGGCCCAAATGGCTCATGCAATTGACGTATCCAAGCTCTGTGTCTTCCCTTCCAATTTGTTCTTCATCACAAGGCAGACGGGTCGCTTATTCATTGCTTTCCTTTAGAACATCCACATCCAACTCCTCCATAACCCCAAGAACCACACCGAGACTCTCCATGAACCCGTTGACGGCGACTCTCAGCATACGGTTCGTAGTAGCCTTGTAGGTGGTTTCAAGCACAGTCTTCGCCTCATCACCATCCTTGCCCTGGTCTTCGGAGTTGGGACTCTTCAACGCGAAAGTCCGTCTGACGTGTGGGGAGAGTTCGGCATCGACTTCGAGAGTGCGTAGAGCGGAGGAGGCGAGTCGGTTGCTAGGGAGAGGGAGGGAGATTGTGCTGTTTGACTGTTAGCTTTGGAGGGAGGGGTGTTTTTGACTTATTGACTTACAGGGTGCAGGGGAACTCAGTGGTTGAGGATTGTGCGGCGGCCATATTCGGTGTAGAAAGTAGGAGACTGGTACGGCGGTTGATCTAGAAATTAGAGATCCGGGGCGTCTGTTCTTGCGCGCAGAAATTGTTTGCTTGGAAGTTGGAATCTTGAGATGAAGCTCGGCGGGGTGGTGATGAGTCAGCAGTGATAGCAGTGTTTCCTCTAGGTTGTGTATCTGACTTCTCGACCTTACTATTTATAAAGTTGTGTTTGAGATATAATTGGAGCACTGAAGGGTGATTACCGTATGAGTCTGTTCCTCGATTGATTCCCTTACTGGTTTTGCTGAGCGATGCCACAAGCACTGATATAAATAATACTTGACACCCCACCTCCCTTTAAGTGTCTTGGAATGGTACGAACAGCTCAAATTGCACGAGATCCAAACGCCGAGCCTAGACGGTGGATTAAACGAGAATACGTCGACCATGAAGGCAACACCGTCATCCTGGGAAAGGTAGTCAGCTACGCAAGACAGTTCTATAGTCCAGAGGAGGGCGAGGCTTACCGGCTTCAAGTATACAGCACGACTCCGATCCAGCCCGAGGAGCTCAACCAGCTGTATAAATATTTCTGCTTTGACCTCGCTTGGCTTCCGTTTCTGGAGATTTATTCATACAACCCACCAGATGGACTGGCTTGCGTGGAGCATCAGCGTCGTGAAGTTGCCCATCGGAAGCGTCTTCATGCCGAACAGCGCGCTGGTGAATATGACGAGTCTCTCCCCCCTTTGATTCCAACCATGCGGGCTGGCTTTCAAGACGGATTCATGTCCGGATTCTGTTTCCTCCTCACGTCCAAGAGCTATCTCTGGGGTCTATTCCCAAACAATGACCACGGCACGGGGCCCTGGCAGATTAGCTTCGACCGGAATCTTCCATCCGCAGTAAAGGAGTTGGACCTGGTTAGACGCCTTGACAAACCAGCGAGCGAGCTTGAAACTTTTGCCGAGTGGGGGATTGCAGTCAATCCTGAAATTCGCGATATCAATGTGGATATTACAACAGACCAGAGTGTAATACACTCCGATATGAAAGAGCGCTTGAGAGGAATCTATTCAACATACGCTTATGGGGAAATTGATTATGGACTCCATGAACCGCCTCCGCCTGCACCGTCCGATGAGACCCCAACTGCACAGTATATCCAGGAGGTTTTGGAGCAGCAAACGGGAGACGACGTCCAGTCGGACTCACTTCGTCTTATAACTAGAACTGAAGACAATACTGTCACAGTCACGAACAACCCTGATGGGGAAAGCGACCTTCAATACGTGATCTACGTCAAGTTCCTCGCCCACATCGAGGGGGGAAAGACCGCCCTTCTAGAGACCACTGCGCGCACATTCACCGCCGGCATCATCTCCTGCCTCGCTGCCTCCAAAACAGTTTATTTTGAGTTCCGAATCCCTGGACCTTCTTTATCTTCCCTCATATCCGCTGCACCCGACGGATTCGACGTCGGTGCTTTGCATGAATATGATGGCTCGATAACACGGGTACAACCTCTAATTGGCCGGGAGCTTTATACCCGACCGCTACGTCCTCACTTCTTTACAGTGGTTCTTGATAAGCCTGCCATCATTCAAGAACCTAGCTTGCTGTTCTACACTCTCTGGTCTGACCCTTTGCAATACCTTGAGCCTGAATCTACCGATAGCGTTATTGAAATTGGGCGGAGTGCTGGCATTCGAGAAGCTGCAAGACGGCTTGCAATGCTTGCAGTGGAGGAGAAACTCACGGATAGTCCAAGGAAGCTCACGAAGGAAGAGCATAGGGGAATATTATCTCTGTCGGCGGAGGAGTACGAGCACAAGATGAAGCCCTACTATGACTACCTGGAGAAGAAAGCGATGTCCGCAGTAAATAATTAAATATTTAAGGGATCCATGATCAAAGAAGACTTTAATAATAACAACACCTAGCCTGATAAGATTATGTATTATATTACCACTCCGCTAGTATATTTACTAAAGGGTATTATATATTAAGCTCTCCTTATTACAAACAAGGCACCACCTCCCATCCATCTTCATATCCAGTCAAGCCTCATGGCTGCACCATCTATTTACCCTGCTCGAGGACCTTGTTGAGAGCGGCAAGACCATCTACGTGAAGAAGTGTATTAGCAAAAGATCTGATTCAATCCAGGCAATAATAGCAACATACCTTTACCACCAACAACAGTCAAGATACCCTCAAGACCCTCCTTATCAACCTCGCCGTTCTGGATGCGGGTGACGAGGCTCTCAGACAGGAAACCGAAGTCGGGGACCTGGTCGGTGTAGCTGAGAGCTAACGGAGCAAGTTTTGTTAGACTCAAGATAAAAAAAGGAGATTAAAGGACGGTCAATCATACCGTTGATGACAACAGTCACAACCCCACCCACGAGATCAAGAGCACCCTGGAGGAGCTCGCTAGAGTCGACGCCGCCGACGATGGTGCCGACGAGGTTGTTCAGCAGGTCGTGGATGCCGGAGAGCTCTGCAGAGTTAGATGGTTAGCTTCATGGCTTCCATTGAGTCAATGGTCAAGGTGGAATCATACGGTCTGAGCTGTCAGCGAGGTCAGCCTTGCTGATGGTGCCACTCTTCGCGGCACCGTCGAGGTTGGTGAGGACGGTGTCCAGATGGCTGACGGTGGACTGGATCTGGGTGACATCCAAGTTGGCCGGGACGGCGGCAGCAGCGGTGGTGCTGGCGACGGCGAGGGAGGCGAGGATTCTAGTGACCTTCATGGTGATTAAAGTAGGGAGAGGTGTAATTAGTGACTGGGTTGAGGAAAGGGCTGGCAGGTCTGGGAGCAAGAGGGCCGACAGCTGCCTTAAATGCACATTCATCACGATTGCACCATCTTGTGCCTGGCATGTATTGTGCAGATCAGGGGGGTTCGCTTGCTGCTCATCGAGCATGACCTCAAAGATGCATAAAATGGTGTCTTGAGCAAATGCCATCAGGGAAAATAGCGATCGACAACGACTTCTGATCAATCTTACTCTACTCATCTGTCTGTTATTTTCGGGCATCTTGATTCTATTTCGTTATACTTGGACAGTATATTGTCATCCAAATATCCCAGTAATTCAAGCAATTCAAGCAATTCAACTCTTGTCACTCAGCTAACAGCAAGCATCGCCTGCAAGTACCACTTCTGCTGATGAGGCTAACCATGCAGCTATTGCGAGTGTATCAGGGAAGCGAGGTGGCAGAGATACAATAGTTCAGCCCAGATCCACTCGGGATTCAAGCACGAACCTCAACAGGTTCACACCAGACGCCATTGCATTAGTCCGTCAGTCAATCCAGGTCATAACAAGATACAGAGTTCGCGGGAGTGGACACACCCTGACGATCTGCGTCCCCCGCCAATAAAAGCAGACGCGGAACGAGCCTAAAAGCACGACAGATGTAGACATCGCCGGCCAGAATGTCCTCATCCGCACGCTGTTTGGCCCTCGACTTCTCGACGATCGGGGTTTGCTTCCCAGCTCAAGCTCTCCCGGCCTGATGGTGAAAACTCAATGCCTTTCTGGGCAGGGATTCTACGATGCCGAGAAATTGTCTGTCTTGGCAGCTTGAATGCGCTGGATCGGCCTGATTGAACTTCCCTGGATCAGCCTTCCTCTGCATGAACAGGGGATTGAGCTCACGCCATATCGACCTATCCTTGCCAATATGCAAGGCTGCCATTCCAATTTCCCGGCAGCACCCACGAACCACTGATTACTTGTTAGTATTGTGATGTTTATGCCATTCCGTGTCTGCAGATCAAATAATAGTCTCGATAAGCATTCTTCGCAATCCCATACGAATACGGAAACATTCGCCACGCTGATTTACCAAGGTTAGAGCTGCTTGCCAACCACGCCTGAAGTTGCATAAAGTGTCGATTTTTATGCAAGATATGCTTTGCAAGAGCTACAGTCGAAAGCTGTTGGCTTTATTATCCAGACTATGCAGGCACACGTAGACATGTACCCTGTCTTGTCCCATTCTTCCCTCACCACGCCAGCGAGTTACCAGAACAGGCAATCTATTCATGTTAATTTACCGTGTTTGAGGGCATTCAACAGATCAAGACCCAAAATAATGACCTTGGATTTAGAAACCTCCATGCTGAATGCGAGTTCGGGTCTCGCTTGAATAGGCGCTAGCTTAACACCACCATCAATCCAGTATGCTAGATATAGTACCTGTTACAAATAAAAATTGACTATGCCTTATGACGCAGTTTCGGTGCTTATAATTGATGCAAAACTTGCAACGCACTTGAGACAAGCGAGTTAGGGCCGGGGACCACCCCTCGGGGCAGTTCTCAAACATCACCTAGACTTCCCTTTCGAGACGGGCAGATCAAACAGTCAACTCCTTTATGTTATGCATAAACGCTCTATGCCTTCTTGAATAAAGAAGCCTGCGGTGTCAAACCCATCGTTGAAAGAACTAGGTTGGATCAGATTGTCACCGTCAAAGAAACATCTTTAAGCCCCAGTCAATGCTAGCCAATCCTATATTCTGAATGAAATCAGTATAAAAGAGTATTATATACTCAAAGAGGAAATTATCTGTTGCAAATAGAGTCATTCTATAAGACTCCCTCTCCTATCCCCCACAGCAACCCATCCACCCGTCACCCTCTCCTCCAAAGCCCTAAATATCTTCATAATTATAGGTAATAACTAAAACAATGCAATCCCCACCTACAATCACAATAACCCCCAACACCCGGCACCCCAAACCCCTCCCAAACTGGATCTTCCACAACACCGACCTCCCAACCCCACAACCCCAACACCAAACCCTAGGCCTCCTCGACAACGGTCCTGGCAGCGAAAATCTCCCTCTGGAAATCGGCTACGGCCCCGTTCTCGGCTGCGGAATCCCTCTACCTCGGGTAGTCATTATTTCACCCAATATCGGGCCCAATGGGAAGTGGGAGGCCGGGTCGGGGATGATTACGCGGGAGCAGTTGCTGATGTGTTGTCAGAGGAATGGGACGGTGCCGGTGCCGGTGCTGGGGGAGCAGGCTTGGGGGGTTTGGGGGGTGAGGAAGGATGGGGTCGAAGGGGAGAAGTTGATGTTTGGGCCTGGGAGGGTTATTGGGGTTAGGGAGGATGCGATGGTGTTTACGGTTGGGAGGAAGGGGGGGAGGGCGGATTATTTATTTTGATTTGCTGAATGCATACAATGTACTGCAGATGTGGCTAGGGCTGTCTTGAACAGTAAGCCACCTAGCCTCCAACTTGATCATATTCAGGTTATTTAAGGGATATGCGCTTTGAACTTAGAATAAAAACCTAAAGACCAACTCGCGAAAGGCAAATAGGCAATGTAGCGTTGTGGCGTTTATACTAACCAGCCCTGGAGTCAATGCGGTTCTGCCTAAAGGTAAATATATATTAATTCAGAGTTCGCCAACTCGCTCAGTGCAAGAACCAATTGAAGCTGCTCCTTACAGACACAGTCTTATATAAAGTGAGACATGGCACAACACAAATAGATTGACTGACCATCCACCACCGGTTCGTCTCGCAGTAATTAATATAGATAAATGAGCCTCAAACCCCATAATTTCAAGTCTCAGCAAATCCAACCATACAAGAAATACGAGCAAAATGTCGTCTACATTACGGCCACGCATACCGCATTCTTTTGCCCTAATCCAGCTCCTACTCCGTATATGCATCATAGGAACAGCCATAGCAGCACTCTGCATCCTCGGCAAACTTGCAATAAAATACAAAACCGCCAGAAATAACCACGGCAAGACCTTTGGCGGCGCAATTTCAATGGTTCGTCAAACATAAAACCAACGCAAGTAACAAGTAATGACCAAATTAAATCACAGAGCGCACTGGCCCTCCCCATCAACACCTGGGAAATAATCGCCCTGGCCAGTCCCAATCCGGCTAAGAAAATCAAACGCGCTGCAACGTGCGCAGTCGGCTTCGCGGATTTCGGTATCTTTGCTGTTGGTCTCTATGCGGTATTGGAGGTTGCTCTTAGCGACTATGCCCTTGGTAATGCGCCGGTGGGTTATGAGAGGCCTTGGAAGGGGATGCAGGATGTGACGGTTATATTGGTGGCTGTGGTTGTGTGAGTATTCCCTTTTTTCTTTTTCTTTTTTCTTTTTGGTATTTTCTTCGTTGATGGTACTTGGAGAGTTACTGATAAAAACAGAGCGGAATCGCTCCTTGCTCTTATTCTGGGGTGTGTTGGTTGTTGTCGTGAAGCGAGGATGGCGAAGAGGGAAAAGAGGGCTGTAGAAATTGGAACAGTGTCCATCCGGTCAGTAGTGGTTAGGGACAGTTAAGGGATAATATGACAAGGTATTCATTCACTGTACTGGTTAGAGCTGTGTTTACCTGTGGTGGAGCGTAACCCTAATCTTAAAAGACTTCAATGGTCTATTACTCTATATATAAGTATTACAAAGAAAAAATATCTCCACGCCGTCTACGGACTATATTACAGGTATAATTCAACCCTCCCAGGGAAGAATTAGAATCACGCTGCCCCATCCAACCGTTGCGCCTCACACATCCTCGCATACATCCCACCCCTCGCAACCAGCTCTGCATGGCTACCAACCTCAACAATCCTCCCCGCATAGAAAACAAAAATACAATTCGCATCCCGCACCGTCGAAAGCCGATGCGCAACCGCAATTGTAATCCTGTCCTTGGCCGCCGCCGCCTCCATCAACGCCGCCTGCACCAGCTTCTCAGACTCGGTATCCAACGCGCTCGTCGCCTCATCAAGTAGGATAACGCTAGGTTTACGCACCAGTGCGCGCGCAATGGCAATGCGTTGCCGCTGTCCACCTGACAACTGGCTCCCTGAAGTCCCGCTCCCGCATGGCGTTTCGAGGCCTTGTGGTAGGGACGAGATGAAGTCCCATGCGTTTGCTGCGCGGCAGGCCTCTTCTAGTACCTCGTCTGATGCGAGTCCTGCTGCGTTGAGGTTGGAGTCTGGAACGCCCTGGGAGATGTTCTCGCGGATTGTGCCTGGGAAAAGGGTTGGTTCTTGTTGGACTAGGGCTACCTGCTGGCGATAGAGATGGGGATTCAGGGATGATAATGGGGTAGATGAGTTGATGGTGATGGCCCCGCTTGTAGGGTCGTAGAAGCGTTCTAGGAGCGAGATCATGGTGCTCTTGCCGCATCCTGAGGCGCCGACAAAGGCTACGAATTCTCCTCGTTGGATCTAGGGAAATTAATACCGGAGCTGACAACCTGGATTCACGGGTACTTACAGATAGAGATACGCCTTTCAGAACGCGGTTATCTGGCGCCAAAGGGTATGAGAACTGCACGTCTTGGAAGTCATAGGAGCCGCAACCGTGCTCGGGTTCCTTTTCGCGGTTGTCGTCGGTCTCACGGATGTTGCCTTCAAGTCCATCCAGCCAGAAATAGTAGTTGGCGGCTTGGTTCGCCTTGGTGAAGCCTGAAGAGTCAGTAACTAAATTAATCACGTCTGAAAGATTGAACTTACTGCTGGCGAAACTGAAAGCCAAAGCAGTGGCTTGTCCGGAAAAGTAAACACCCATAAACGATACGATGAATTGGTAGAAGGTGATTTCTCCATCGTTAATCAACTTCGATCCCCACCTGTTCGCACAACCTGGTCAGTCAAATAGCTCCTGAAGGAGAAAGTGGAAGTCAGTCTCACCAGAACCCCAAAGCCAGTACAAAATACTCAACAGACTGCGTGAGTGAAAACCATGTCATCATGTGAAACATAGGCCCGCGAGCCTTCGAGATCGCGTGATCCAGTTCATCAACATACTTCCTCAGCACTGCACTCTCGATAGCCAGCGAGCAAACGGTACGGATTGCCATGACACTTTCCGAAGCTACTGAAGCGCTCGCCGACAGCCTCTCGCCCATGTCATCGTCCATCTTGGCCTCGAGCCTAACGCGAGCATACCCGCCAAGCATCATGGGCGGAAGCCCGGCAAAGACGCCGACTAGCCCTAGTTTCCAGGAGATGGCAATTGCGAGGACACTTGATGCGACGATGTTGATTACCGACATGATGATTATGCCGACGTTGAATCCCATGAGCTCGAGAATAGCTTGTGGGTAGGAGTCGAGCCGGCTGATGAGTGCGCCTACGGTGTTTTCGGGGCGGTCGAAGAATTGGAGATCCTGTCGGAGGAAGGATTCTAGGATTTCGCGTCGCATTTTCTTGCTGAGAGCCTGACACGGTACGCTATGCATCAGTATGACATCTTAATGAAGACTGCCTCCCAAGTTGGGCGGTCTCACCTGTGCAATAGTATTGGTCAACCAGCCCATGGAGAAGTATACGACGAGAATGCCAAGTGACATGACGAAGAACATCAGTGAGATGAAGTTGCCGCGAGAGACGAAGTCTGGAGAAGTAAAAACTGTCATTATTTCCCCTAGCAAGAGGGCTTGTCCAGGGTTGACGGCGGCTGGATTCGCATCTGGTTAGCAAGTGTAACGAAGTACCACTCTTGAATCTTCTTACCTCCAGCAACGCATGTGGCCAGTGTGCCTGCGAAGCAAAGCCAAAGCTCGGGTGTTGTGCGTATAAGCTTCCAAATATTGCGAATTATGCCCGATTTATCGTACAAGTCGTGGTTTTCTCGGTCCTTTAATGCTGCCATTTTTTGTGCCTGGGCCGTTCCGATTTTGGCAAGAGACTGGACACGATCGACATCCTCTCCATTTTCTGAACCTTCGGACGTACTCTCCGAGCCGTGGTTTTGGATGTTAGCCGGTGCCAGGTCCTGGGCTTTGACGAGAGTGGCGTAGACCCCATTCGTAGATACCAGGTCTTCATGGCGGCCCTGTTCCATGATCTTTCCCTGGGACATGACTACAATATTATCCGCGTTCCGAATGGTCGCGAGTTTGTGTGCGATAACAATTGTTGTCCGGTTCTGCGAGGCGCTGTCTAGAGCTTTCTGGACAATGCCTTCAGCGTGGGGATCAAGTGCACTGGTCGCCTCGTCAAGAAGTAGAATTTTTGGCTCCGATATGACGCTACGGGCTATGGCGATCCGCTGCTTCTGACCCCCAGAAAGCAAACCACCTCTCTCACCGATCCGCGTGTGATATCCTTTCGGCAGGTCCTGGATGAAGTCATGGGCGAAGGCGAGCTTTGCGGCTTCTTCGACGCGCTGCATTTGATCCTCTTTTGATGCTGCTTCCCATTTGGTGCCCACGAGGCCGTTGACGATGTTGTCGAACACGCTTCCGTTGAAGAGTACCGGCTCCTAGGCTGGTTAGTCAAAGGTCGCAGCTAGTGTGCTTTGCGTGTCTTGCCTGTTGAACTAGACGGACGTTGGTCCGCAGCCACTTGAGGTTGAGCTGGCTGATGTCCTTGCCATCTAAGGAGATACTGCCTTCGCAGGGGTTATACCACCGTTCGAGAAGACCGATTATGGTACTTTTTCCCGAGCCAGACGGTCCCTTTGAGATCTAATCAGAGACCCCTTCTATAAATACAGCGGGAGAACTTACCACCAAAGCCGTGACCTTGCCTGCCGGGATACTCAGGGTAAAGTCCTCTAAGACGGTGACATCTGGGCGCGTAGGATAGCTGAAGTTGATACCATGCAGATCGATGACGCCGGCAATGTTGTCAGGCCTGTCTCCCGACTCGTCGAATGGGTTGATCTCGGATTGCCTGTCGATGAGGGTGAACAGCTCTGAAGCTGCGGTTGCCGCGCGGCTGAAGGTGACCATATGCGGCATTATTTGCATGATTGTACTCGCAGCAATAATGACTGAGAAAAGAACACTGTCATCCTAGTTAGTCGTGGTCTATAATGAAATGAAGCATAGATACTAACGTAAAGACGGTTCCCAGATCGGATACCTCGCCACGGTCAAGCATGGCGATACCCTGCCAGAAGGCTAGAGCCGTTCCAGCGTAGGTGATGAAATACTCCCCTCCAAACACGAGGCCATAAATCTTGTTCTTTCTCACTCCCTGGGTGTGCGCATCCTGAAGATAAGAGTTGTACTTGGCGATTACCCTCGATCTAAGGCTGAAGGCCTCAATCGTACGAACTCCTCCAAGGATGTTCTCCGCGTAGCTACCAGCTTGTGCGTATATTTGCAAGATTTTGGTCTCAATCGTGGCATCTACGGCACCGGCTCCACCGAGCACTATAAGCAGGGTTGGTACCATAAATATAAGGATCAAAGTCAGCTTCCATTGCTTGACAAACGCGATCACGAATGCCGCTAAGAATGTCGAAATGGCTTGGAAGACGATGCCGAGCTTCTCTGCTATGCCAGATTGGATGAGCTTGCCATTAGTTGTGGCCTGCTGGGAAATGGAGCCAGAGGTGCCCATGTCGTAGAAGGTAATTTCCTGGCTAAAGGCAGCTCGTAGATAGCTTTGTCGGACGTTACGGGTCAAGTGGTACGCCACATATGTGAAGAGGGAGGAATAAATGTAGGTAGCCACTAGTCGGACGATACCGATGTAAACGAAGTAGAGACTAATTGCATTAGTTTGTAGGCGCAAAAGAGGAGCTAACATTCTTACGCTGATGTTCGCACGGCAGACATGAAATTGTCAGGAATTGAACTTGCGTCGGAGAAGCTAAAGTTGCTAAGCAGTGTCATGAATCGTCCGATGACCACGTTGACCATGGCAAGGGCAACTCCAGATGCAATAGCAGCTACGACAGCAATGCATTCGAGGACATAGAGCTTGGTGTCGCCAAAAGTGAAAACTCTCTGCAAACAGATTTGCCAAGTCAGTCACTACCAGACGAACATCCACCTATCAATCAGACTTACCAGGAAACCATTCGTGCCTTTCTTCTCGACATTTTCTCCATCAGGCTTGATCAGTATCTGAGCATCGTCGGCTCCATCGGCCGCTTTCTCCCCCTCTGGGGTGCCCGAAGGAGCTGCCATTTGTTAGCTCCGTGTTAGGAAATTTACAAGCGGAAAAGAGTGGACAATTGAGCAATATCGAGTTGGTCAATCTGTTAAAAGGAAATTGGTAATGAAGGTGTCAAGAAAATGAACGTGGTTAAGAAAGGAGGTAGTTATATATAGCGGGAAATTATTTGGCCACCTACAGTTGACATCTGCGAGTCACTGCCTCGATGGAACACGCGTTCCATGTCCATTCCTGATGACTCGGAGCCCTGGAGGCCACGGCGTCCGCTGGAGGAAAGATGATGGCAGGATATCAGTGAGAGCAAGAAGAAGCATGCGGAGGGCGGAGCCTCCGAGCCTCCGAAGGCCCGCGTCCGTGCCAAGACCTCGCACTCCTGGAGCCCCGACATCTCCTGCAACCTGCGTCTCTCGCATTCCAACCTTCATCGAGGCTCCGAAGTTTCGGCGTACACTCACATTGTTGGCCTGATTTCATTGCCTTTACAATTGCTGGTCTTCGGGCGGGGGCTCAATTGACACCCGTAACAGTGAACGACGTACATGTCCCGGCCCCACCCGCTTGCCTATTATGGAAGAACCAGATGCATGGTCCTCGCGTGCTGATGAGGATGGAGGACAGAATCCTACCAGTTCTGAGAGGTTGGCAGTGAGTAATACATGGACTGTGTACGAGTATATTTTAATGCTTCGAAATAGTGCTATCGATGCCGCCAGCGAAAGGTGAGATAAGATAGTCCGTCAGAGCCAACAGGCGCCAGCTGCTGATGTCTCCCTAGGTGAAATGCGATCGGGAGAGCCCATGCTCTCACTGCGTCAAGTCCGGGACACAATGCTCATACGCAACCACCCTAAAACCCAGAGAAAGGCGGCAGAGGGTCATGGTCTCGCATACATAGTAAGTGCCAGTCGAGGAGGTGGAGGCATGCTAATATCCGTCAAGTGATTCCAAATTGGATGCAATATCGAGAAAAATTGACGACCTCAGCCAGAGGATGAGCCATTTGACTCATGAGCCGACCAGAAGTAGAACATCTAAATCTTTTGATCTTGCAGCCCCTGCAAATACCGAACACTGCCAGTCCTCATTCGGACAGACACCGTCGCCTTCTTCACTCGGCTCTACGCCAAACCAAGGATCTCTGCCCTATAATACTGGCGAGGGAACTAGTGAAGTAAACTACGACACTTCCAAAGACGAGTACGAAGGCGAATCGTCCCTTTTTGCGCATGCCGTCTTTGCCAGCCGGTTTCTGCAAAATGCGATTAACAATGCGACCAACGCCGAGGTCGCGCACGAAATGGAAGTCGCCCTTGACGGGCTCAGGACTGCTGTTAATTCAGGAAAACAGCAGTCTGATACAATAGATAAGCTCTATCCTCTTGCCAAAGCCATCCCACCTGGCTCGTCAACTCGCAACCTTCCGTTGCCGCCAATTGATAAGGTGTTCGCATGTTTGCGCATAGCCAGGGAATGCCAACAAGTAGCCACACTATGGTTGGGAGACTATATTAAGCCCACCCAATTCAACGACTATTTCATCAAAGTTGCGTCGCCCGGTCCTGCTACCGAGGCTGAATTGATAATCGTGCATTGCGGTCTTTATTGGTTGTTCTGCGAATGCTCCAAAGCTGTCACCGATGATGAAGTAAAGCAAGATTATGATGCACAGGCTTTGATATGCAAGGCGAACCTAGACACCGTCCTTGCCAACCTTCGATTTCATCAGCCAACAAATATTGATGTCGCCTATGCGATGGGTTTGGCTGTAAGTTACGATATTGCTCGGTTTAAGCCACCAACTGACCGTAGTTGCTAGTCACTGTATTGTCTTCAGAAAAACAAGCCATCTGCCGCGTGGGCCTTCATTAATTCTGCTGCACATACAATACAAGCTCTTGGCCTGCAACACAACGCGCCTTCTGGAGAGGGAACAGAAGAAAAGACCAGAAAGGGGATGCTGTTCTGGGCTATATACATGAGTGAGAAGACGCTGTCGCTACGACTGGGTCGATCATCAACCTTCCGAGATCATGACATTACTCTAGCCCGGCCTAACATCGAGCGTCATGCTAGCAATTTCTTAGGCGATATCTTTCTTTATTGGATTGACGTTGCCAGTATACAGGGCCGGGTATATGACGATATTTACAGTCCAGGAGCTCTCATGCAACCACCAGACATTCGGACATCTCGTGCGCGGGCTCTTGCAGTTGAACTGAAGAGTGCTATGAAAAACGTGCAAAACTTCCATGTGAGACCCGCCTATTTTAGCCACTATTATCCGCTGATTGATGTAGGATCGTTATGAAGCAAGGAAAGGGCATTTGCTGGGTCAGAATTATCACGAAATAGCGAGATGTTCGGACCGGGTTACAGGTCTTTGCGTTCTCACGCTAATATACAGGAGTATCCCCCCGGAACAACCATCGACCTCTGCATTCTGCCAGGAATGTAGCGATACCGCGAGAGAAACACTGCAAGAGCACGACCGATGCGTTGCGGCTATAACAGAAGGCCGCGGTAGAACCGTATTCCTCGAAGCATACATTAACTGGTCTGTCCTCGGTCATTGAACATTTAATCAGACTAATCTAACGAAATATCCAGGACCATCACCCAATCTCCATTCATCCCCTTTATTGTTTTGTTCTGCCACATCATCGAAACATCCGATGGCTCGGACTTACAGCACATGCGGGGTCTTGTCGAGATGCTCGAGTCCACATCAGATACTAGTGCAGACACCAGTGCATATAATATAGGCGATAAACAGAGCCGTCTCTTCAAGGCGCTGTACGACGTCGCGGTAAAGTACGTTGAGGTGAAAGCCCGTGCAAATGGTGCGCAAGCCGGGATGTCCTGGTCGAAGGCTAGAAAACAGTATGTCGATGCATTTGCCGGCACGGCCCCGACCGGTCCTGATGGCACATTGAACCAGCAAATTGCCCAGGATAGCGATGGCAACATGCCATCATACGGCGAAAATGGAGCCGTTGGCCTGATGGATGGACTGGTGGCACCTGCGGCCTTGCAGAATCCGGCATTTGGGGATGTGGACATGGAGATGGATCTTTCAGGAGCGGAGCTCTGGGACTGGTTTAATAAGAACCAGTCTATCATGAGGATGCTTGAGGATACATAAATGCTTGTTCCGGAACAATATAATATACACTTGTTTGTATTTAAGGGGAAAAGAGGACCTCTACCTCTTCCACCAGCCCGCCCTCGCAGAAGGGAGACCGAAAAAGACATCGGGGATGATATCGTCCACCTATGGTCTTGATATTCTACATCTTACCCTAGAGGCCGAGGGTATGCGATGATATCCGAGACGGTATCACTCTTTCTACACTATGAACCCGGCGGCTGGGACGAAGTCCGTTTTTAATTCTATAAACATAATGCATTTAATATATGTAACTTCGATCGCCTTTTATTCTAAACCCTAACCCACCAAACCCCTCGACCCTCAGTTCATAACCCACGAACCGCTCCCACAAACCATCTCCCACGTGGCGACAGTCCAGACAAGAAGAGTTCCAGACCCCGCTGCGAACCAGCCAGGCACACAACTTACACAGGGCAACGCACAGACTCTTTGGAGCTCAAGGAGGCAACCAAAGTCAAGTCAAGTCAAGTTCAAGGTTACCGTATCCGGCCCGCAAAGTTCCAAACTTCCGACCACACCAGGGCCTGGCCAGGGAGACGGCGATCAAGCCGCCGCAAAGTATATAAATGTAATTTTTTTTTTTACGGAGTCCAAAAGAGAGCAAAGGGCAGCTTACTTGTTTAAGGTGGGGGTGCGTTTGCCTATCTTGGATTATCTGCCCTGCTTATCTACCTTGCTAGCATTATGTTGGTGATTTCGTGTTCCACCCCTTGTTCTTCAGATTATGGCTGAGGCTGGGTTGGTAGAGGCTCCTTCTGGTAACATATTTAAGGGATTAAATTATTATAGAACTATACCATGACTCCATGAAGGACTGGGATTCTCCTGTAGAATGTGAAGTAGGGCTGGCTTACTAAGGATGACACCCTCCAGTTCAACTTCCAGCTAGGGCTCAGTTCAGCTCAGCTCAGCCTCAGCGACATTGACATTGACACTAACATTGACAAGTCCAATGTTGTGCTCATTCCTTCACTTCAATTCACTAACCACGAAGAATGTCTGTGTCCGCACAATAATCCCCGATCAAACCCAAACCCCAAGGTACCAGAAAGGTAAGGTAGGGTAGTCCTCGGCGAGACCAGTCCAATAACGGCTATTGCATTACGAAGCCGAATTCCAATTATGCTTATTGGCTGCTGCTGCTGCTGATTCTTATCTTGTCATCATAACTCATAAGTTTGTCATTGTCTCATCGGGTAAGGTTAAGGTACTTTTGGTGAACACTTGACCGTTTCGGGGGAGACGGGATCCTCCATCCTTTCGTAGTAAGTTCGATCCTTCAACAACGGCCGAGAGGAATGTGTCAAATATTGTCAAATATCTGAGGAATAATAATAGAAAAAAATAACAATAACAATCAAGGGCATTATTCATTACGCGTACACGCGGAAAATAAACAAGAGATAAGAAATAAGTACAGGAATCCTTCCATCATAACATCATATCATTTCATATCATCCAGGACATCCACATCCACATCCACATCCCCCTAGTAGAGAATGCAGCATCCCATGCCATCGCCTGGGTGAGTAGGTCGTTTTGCATCAGAGCACTGCCATCCCGGGTTCATGTTCGTGTTCGGGTTCGGGTTTGGGTTCATGCAGTTTTGGCCATGGTTGTATAGGGGTTTCTGGATGTATTGCTGCTGCTGCTGCATGAATTGCAAGTAGTCCTGTCCGTACAGTAACTCCGGCGACATGGCCTGGGGCGGTCTCGAGTAAGTCCCATTGCGCATCGGCGAGTGCTCCTGGACATTCGGAACTGGAGTGGGAAATGCCGGTAGGCTGTAGCGGACCTCCTGGGTAGGGCTGGCGATGGGGTAGGACCAGTACCAGTTCCCCTGAGGAAACGGGTACGGATCGTGCTGTGGGGCCAGAGGGGTAAGAGGGCTGGTGGGGATGACGGCCTTGTCGTACTCGGGCTCGCTCTCGGACACGGAGTAGGCCTTGGATAGTGTCTGGATGGCTAGGTCCAGTGCGTGCGAGCTGTGCTGGTGGTTTGTGAGGGTTGCCTTGCGGCGGAAGCTTCATTGTGTTAACGCAGGCTGTCTTTCCTACCCATGGGGGGTGGGTTCTGTCTAGGAAAAGGAGTATTAAGAAAGGTAAGGTGTACCTTCGCTTGCATGTTGGTTCAGGACATACATATGCTCGTCTGTTAGTGTGGATACCGCGGTGGCGGGCTAGACTTGACGACTGGGTTGAATTTTTAGTATTGGACTTGATGACATAGAGAAGGGGGGTTTACATCAGAAAAGGCACTGTGGCATCCTTCGAAGTTGCACATAAACGGCTTTTCACCGGTGTGTGTTCGCGAGTGGACGGTCAAGGCACTTCGCTGGATGAAGCCCTTGTTGCAGCCTTTCACGCCGCAGCGGTATGGCCTCTCGTTTGTGTGGATGCGGTAGTGTCTGCGGAGGTCGGAGTTGCGATGGAAGGACTGGGTGGTCAGTATAACATAATGAAGGAGTTGCCAATGATGATACCTTTCCGCAATGCTTCCAGAGACAGACGAAATCACGCTTGGCTCCGGCCATGGTGAAGTTGACTGGATGGATGAAGTGACCACGCGAGATATCTTGGACAGGAGTTGAAAATGAAGAGCAAGATCCAGACAACTTCTCAATTGAAACAGGACATTGAAGGGATACTTAAGCCCGAGCCTACAGGACATCACGATAACAAGACTGGGAATGACAGATCAGCCGCGCGAGATAGCGCTGCAGCGCCCTACTCGAACCGGCAGTTGCAGGATTTAGTGCAACGCTCAAACCCCAAAGATGGCATCTGGAGCAGAGCAAACCCCGGGGACTTTTGAAGGCTCTACGCAAGGAATGAATCCATGCTCCAAATGGGAAATGCAGGCAAGAAGCCGACAATGTGGCCGAGGGGAGGAGACCGAGGGCGAGGCAAACTAGTGGAAATGCAGTAAGGGCCCATCGAGCATTTAAGGCAACTTGAACGAGCGCACACATGCAGGTGGCGCTGCGATGGGCATCAGGGATCCCCCTCCTGGCCCTCATATGGTCATAGCACCAATGCGCCACTCGGGCTTCACCTGCTGTTTGCAGCGGGACAACGGTCTAATACAGCAGCCCAGTCTGGCCTGCGGGGGAGCTTGCCCAAGCTTGCCTGGCTTGCCTGGCCATCAGTCTCCTTGGTGGCCGGCCGGCGATCATGAGGCGTTCGTATAACAGACGAACTGCCTGCAGCGGTGATCACAAGCAGTTAAGGAATCGCCGATCGGTACCTTTATCCCTGTCCAATCACAGTGACCTGCCGGATCACAAATTCCCTGTTCTCTTCCTAGAATGCTGGTCGAACCCCCGCAGAGCTCTCTTAGTCGCGATGCGCTCTCTTCTTGCATGAACGCGGCGGAGATCTTCGTGGCAGTCTGTCTCTCTCTCTCTGTCTCTCTAATGCACGATGACCGCACGACCTGAGCTGCTCGCACTAGAGTTTCTCCAACAGAAGGCTTGAGCGTATCGGGATCCTTCAACCCAGCTGCGAATCCAAGCGCCACTTAATGGGATTGCTTTGCTGGGACAGTATTAATGAGTATTAATATATCACTCCTTGCTAAACTGACGAACGGGGAGCATTTCCCAGAATCATCTTAGGGTTCTCTCCACATTCAGGCTGTCACAAACGGCCTCCAGCCACGAGGATCATTATTGATTGAAGAATGAGGAATGGCGAGACACCAGGAATGTTCCCAGGTCACGCAATCGTTCGACCAGGCTTCCAATCGGAGGATCTGGTATCTCTTGCTGATTCTCGCGGATGCTGTTCGCTCTCGACGCATTGGGCTCTTCAGCACGGACAGCATCCAGGAGGGTGGACCAGTGCCGAATTGGTATTTGTGTCGAGTCTGACAGGTTCCAGAACCCCGCGTGGAGAACGCCTGAAAGTGGAAGTTTAATAAAATAAATAATAATAAAATAGGCCCAAACTCCAAACGTTCCCAAACAGGGCTGGAATATTCAATGATTGCGTGGAATGCCACCACAACAACAACACCCCTTGTTAACGGCGCCATTGATCATCCAACGCCCGCTGATCAGTCTGGTCGAATCCTGACGTTATTGAAGTATAGGCTGCTATACCAGCTGTCATACACAGCCTGCATTGAGACAGAACTTCTGGATGCTCAGGCCCTTGCATAGCACCTCACCGACCTGCATATGCACGAGTCAGTGTGAGACCACGTCTCAATCGAATGGTATAAATGATATAAATATAAGAGAATGCCATATACCCTCTCCACCAACAGCCGATCGCTGCATGCGATTCTCCGAACGTCGCAATCCTGCCAATCAACCCGCGCTGATATATTAACCGGCCGCCTGTCACCTCGTCACAATGGTCCAGACCATGGCTCGCCTGGCAGTCGGAACTTTTGTCGGCGATCCTTTCGATCCTTTGATGATCGAACCGTCGATCCCTCTAGCTTCAGCCACTCCTCCATCCAGGTTATCGCGTAGTGCTTACTACTACTCGTTTGCTGCTATGCTTGTAGCCCCCAAGGTCCACGTCAACAGTCTAGACTGAGGATCCTCCAGTTCATGATTCTAGCGAGGCTGACTGACCCACCTGCTCGAAAGACTGCGACAACTGCGTGATCGACTTTACCGTCTATCTTGGCATGGCGGGCATCAGGGGGAGGCGCATCTACGGAAGAACTGCACTGAACTGAACTGAACATAAACACAAGTAAACATAAAGTAATAGTTCCCCACATAGCACCATGTACCTGTCAGCTCTTACTGTCCTTTATCCCAGTAATGAAATAACTGGAGCCTTTTATCCGCGATAGAGGCGGGAAGGGGAGAGATATTGACATGGTCCGCGCTATCTCAAGTCCCTCCCATAAACAACGAGTTCGTCCACCAAATCCCGACAATGCCATAGCTCCTGCAGCTAAATTAACTGATAAATGGATAGACCGGGTCTGGTGGTGTTTAGTTAGCTACTGATTGCGTGGTTTGCGGCACTTTTTGAGTATATAATATAAACCCCAGTCCATAAGCGATGTAAATAGGCGCCCGTTCCAGTATCGTCTAACTGACGTACTTGCGCGTCAGCTGCAAGGTCCAGGATCGGCGACAAGGATTTGTTTCGGCCGAAAGGAGTCTGTAGGGCAGCTAGAGCTGATGTGCTTACGACTACAAGCTCCCAAAGACAGGGGATATATTAACAACACTCCACCAAAACTATTCACGAACCCGGTAATAAGACCAGCAGGTATGGAGCAGCAGGATAGGACAAGGTCCAAGCGTAATGTCTTGCCTGATCTTGAGGAAGGGAATTTGGCCTCTTTAGGACGGGATGGATGTCCTCGTAGACTGTAGATCTCTTTGGTCCTGCCTATCTAGTACCCATGTCTGCCCGGTATGCCCCGAGGTATCAACCCCTCTATGTATTCCCAGAAATATCCAAAAGCCGCCTAAAAGATGTTGTGATGTATCGCCTACGGTCAATAAAGGTGGAGATATCTTCAGATGTTATGTACTTCCAAACTTGGAGACGTGGTATATGGCGAACCGTAGACTTCTAACCGTGTCTCTAAACTCGGGAAATTTAAGATATAGTGGCTAACGGGAGACTGGTGCTCCTTGGTTAGTGACACTGGTGAAGGAAGCGAGATACTCTCTGTGCCACACTTCCTAAATTCTCGTGGTTCCCTGGGTTTCATGTCCAGAACGCCAGCGCTATATCGTAAGTGACCGTAGGATGAGTATGCCAATTCCTGGCTGTCCGCGAAACAGAGGATGACTTCACTATCTAATCTCCATAGAGACATCCAGTATATTTCAGTATCAAATGCGGTTAATAAAACAGAGTTATCGATAACTAACAGGAGATCTAGCTCTTCAATCATGGTTCGAGTTAGGGCCCGTGGCTTCTATACCCTATCTCCTGCCTAATTGGGACTCTCGCTATTGAGTACTCAGACCCAAATAAATAGAGGTTTCTATTCAGAAGTACCGATATGCGATAACATTTAATTATGTAGTAGAAATACAGGTCAAGATAGCATACTTGGTATTTTGGCTCCGATGCGTATTTTACTTTACTGATTTTAGAGAATCGAGTAATCTGGTAAATACTCGCTCTGTGACATCTAGTTCACGCTTTCTCGGGCCCACACATTTTCATACAAAAGAGTGACTGCTGAGGGTCGACGATTCAAGAATCCTAAGCTTATATGGTAGTTTAAGGTTAAATCCATGAACATCGGTCCCTCGGTCCATCGGCTAAACTGCCGAGGGGCTGACATCTAACCTTATAAACACCATCTCTTGAGGACAGGTACGGAACATAGCTTAATCTTAAATAACCTTCCTTTATTCAAAATGTCCAAAAAGACAGAGCGATATACAAACGACATCCTCAGTCGCCCGGGGATGGTCTTCGCAGTCGATGTCAAAGATCCAAAGGAGAGGGTGCAGGCATACCTAGATTCATATAAAAACGATCCCCAGACGGAAGTAAGTTCGTTTTATTTCCCTCTATTAATACCGTATTAATGAATTTAGACCTTCGATGCAGCCCTAATGAAACATCACTTAAAACTCCTCTCCGCCACAGCAACGCCCAAAGTAACCGCAACATTCCGAATGAAAGTAACCCGGGACTTCTGCAGCACAATGGGCAACATGCACGGCGGCGCCATTGCCCTGGTTCTGGACATGTGCACGACAACATGCATGGCGCCTGTCTCGACGCCGGACTTTTGGCTGTTCGGGGGTGTTTCCAGGACGCTGAATACGACTTTCCTGCGTGCGATAAGGCAGGGGACTGAGATTGAGGTTTTCTGTGAGGTTTTGCATGTCGGTGCTAGACTAGGTAAGATAGTTTCTTCTTGTTTTGTTTCAGCTACCGACGGATTATGAGCTGCGATTCGAGGCGAGATCAGGGATTGTGCGGATGGGAGGTTGTTTGTTGTTGGGGAGCATAATAAGGCGAGTATATCGTTTGAGAAGAAACTGTGATATTAAAGAATCAAAGAAGCCAAAAGGTGTACGTAAACGAATATAAGCCAATACAGCCTACTACTATAACTGCTATACTTGTACAGAATACTATCCTAACCTCTCCTCGCCTGCTTCGCTGCATAAATCCGATACCTCCTGGCCGTGATAACCCTCATCCTCTTCCCAAAATACAGAAACCCCAACCCCCCAACCACCACAGCCGCAGTGATATAGTTCTGTCTGGAGAAGCACTTAGGGCTGGCGACCCGGATCCCGCGGACGCGGACTGTCGGACTGTCCGACAGTCACTTTTTAGCAAAACGGCACCAAATATTTGCAGTTGCCGAGATCACTTCTTTTAGCTGCATAGTATAGCAGACCGGAATTACAGCAGCTGGCGCCTCTTCGAAGAACATACGGTAGAGTAGCCAGCGGTCTGCTCTGTGAAAGCATACAAGCCGGATTCTGGAGCTACATAGGATGTCATCGTCCTCGGCCCCCAGTTCTTAAGCTAACGAGTTATAACAGCTTTATCACACTGGCACCGTATTAATCTGCAAAAGGGGCCTGGTGTATTTGTTGTGCCGGCTATGATACCCGCTTCCAGCGTACAGGCGCCTCAGGGTAGAGTCGTATTCGCGAGTGCACTGGCGGATGGCAGGTGGGGATTCATCGAGGGGCCATTCAGGACTGAGTCAGGATCCAAACTTTAAGACGTTAAGATTTAAGAGGTTCTGATTGCTTCCATCAGCCGGATTTGTGACTGATCTCTGCTGTGAAGTGGATGTATACATTCTTACTAAGCATGGCACCGAGGGAGGGAAAACACTACCCAGTTCAACTTAGAAGTTTCACTTCTCATTAATTACCGTCCGAATCTTATCCTGTGATACTCTATCTACATTCCTTCTCCGTATTCAAACAGGTTCATTACCCTTGGAAGCTTCCACAGGAATAGGTATGTGTGTAACCAACACTCGACTGCTGGACAGGGTACGGAAAGCACAATCATGACAAAAGAGGGGGTCTCTCGCAAATCAATCATACAGCCATCACCGCTTGCTTGCTGGCTTGCAGCTTCAAAACGAACATTCAAGAGGAAAAGAAAAACAAATGACAAAGGAAATCGACAAATGAAATAGCTTGCAACATCCCATGGGTAATTGAAGCTGGGGTATTTGCTTCTTAATATTGATCATCGCCATGCACCTTGGCTCAAGGATAACAACCCTTGGATACAGTCCAGGTCCTCCTCCTGGCTTGCTGTGTTTTCGCCAGCCATAAAGGCAGTGACGTCCGTGCCTAGACCAGACAGCGATTTTGTGTTTCCGCCACCCGCTTTCCGGTACGATTGTTGCGGCAGCCGAGGCCGGCCCGGGGCTTTGGTGTTCCCTCTGTTGTTTTGTCCGTTGGAATCCTTGAGAGCTGGTCGTTGAGGCTGGTGTGAAACAGTTCGTCGGCGCGACTGGGATACGCGAGTGCCGGGGATCCAGTTCTCCTTGTCGGAATCGCCGTCTTCGATGTCGAGGTCGTCTTTGGGGGTCTTGGAGTTCTTCAGTGTGGATGGTGGTTTCTCGCCTAGGACTTTGCGTCCAGTCTCCAGCCGGCCCAGCGAAGAGACGGTCCGGGACAATTTCCGCCGCTTCTCTCTCATCGCTTGGCTGATTGGTGTGCCCTGGTGTTCCGAGGGTGGTGTCAGGAGGGAGGTGTGTCTTGCAGATAGGGTTCTGGTCAGGGAACGCTGGCCGCTGGATCGTAATGCAGAAGAGTTTGGTGTGCTTTGTGAGCTGAAAGGCGTGGACAATGCACTTCTCGCGTCTGTATCGAAGAACGACTCCCAGTTTCGAGGGTCACGCGACCTCCCAAACGACCTTTCTTTCTCTAATGAGCTGGGGGGCGTACCCAGGACGACAGCGCTGGCGCTTCTCCGGAGACCGCCCAGTCTAGGTTTGCGAGCGGAGAACATGGAGACACGGTTTTTAGATGGGGATGGTTCGCCGTTGGCACGGATGACTGCCTTTCCATCTGCAGACATCGAGATTCGAAGGGAATTCCGTCCTTTGGGCGGTGACGGGGTTAATTCGTCTTCCTTGCGTACCATGGCTTCTCCGTCAAATGATAGCGAAATCCTTAATGACGGTGGTGACTTTGGGGTGTTCAGCCCTGCTGGGGCAGCCTCTGCAGTTGTCCCTCCGAGGTCTGACCCAGCTCGCTTCCTCTTGGCGGAGGTCTGCAGAAGCTCGTTGCTCGACGGGTCCTTGGGTGTTTTCACTGTGTGCAGATCATCCTGTTGGCTAGATTCCAGGCATTCGGACGTAGCAACGCTCGTTTGCGAGCTTCCACCAAGCTGCTCGTCCTCCTTGTCTACTCCATCTGATGCAAATGAATCGCCCTCCGGGAGTGCCGGGGCCCGAACGTGAGCGTCACCATGGTCATTCTCCTGCTCTAACCCTTCTGCAGGTATACTGTCATCGCTCGCGGCCTTATCGTCGGATTGGGAGGACGGAAGAAGCTCGTGAGGCTGGAGTGGTTTCGACTTTCGGCGGTCATTCTGGCGACGGTTCTGGAACCAGATCTGAGAGATATTAGGACGTCGTGAATCTACTTAAATTTCGAAACACGTACCTGGACTTCCTTCTCGCCCAGAGAGACGCGGCTCACTATGCTTGCCCGTGATACCTTGTCGGGCTTGGGGTTGCGTTGGTACTCGGCCTCGAGAATAGCGTAATCTTCGGGACTATACACGCATTATCGAGTCAGCTACATTCGTGCAATTGCAACTGGTATCCACCGGGATATAGAACAGTGGGCTCTCGACATACCTAGTCCGACGCCGCTTCTGCCGTGCCAGCAATTTGTTGTCCACCCGCGGCGGGAGGTTCTGGGTTAATGTCTTTTGGGAGTGTACGAGAAAGGCGTAGCTAGAAGCAGCAGCAGCCGAATCTGACGTCTGGGTCGAGGGAGGAGAGGACGAGAAAGCCACGGCAGAGGGCTCGGGGTCAGACATGGTAGTAGATAAGACGAGGTCAAGGCGGAGACATAGGACCAGAGGGAAGAGAAGATCGTTAGAGGTAAAGAAAAGAATAGATAGAAAAGACCAGCAGCATAGCGTGGACGAGCCGAAGAAAAGACGGGCGAGGCTGAAGTGGGAATGTTCCCGGCAGAGCTCGTGCAGGAAAAAAGACGCTTCAGTGATCGCGTCGCGATGTGGACGCGGCGTGCTTAACGCTAACCCCACCCGTCACCGAACTCAATACTTACGCTTCTCGTGCAACTTACCCTTAACTTACGCCTTTTTGGTTATAACTTATCTCGAAACGCGAATTAATCACGAGGTGGCTTTAATACCTACATCTATTCTGATAGCTTGCAAGACGTGTTTGTTGTCTGGCAAGCTAAATCTCAGTACACGACCACGACCGCGTGGCCCGTCAGACCAGAGTATCTGCGGACCGCGAGGATTTATCAATGCACAAATTATGCAATATTTTGCATAGTATACTAGATCGCTATGCCCGCCTTTAAAATTACAGTATAAATGCTTGAGTGTTGCAGCCAATTGTCCTGTATTGGCACCAAACGCCAATGAATGGTATTGATGGCAAAATATATCACAGGCAATCAAACAAGCAATCCTATGAAACTAAGTCTATTAACCCCAATATGCTCGATCCCGTCGATACAGCTTCTACTCCAGCCAAGTCTTTCTGCGGTGGGTAGCTGCACCGCGTGAGTCTAGCCAGCTGCGCCGCCAACAAATGCTCCCGGAACTGCAAATCCAGCCCTCCAACCATGTATATGGAGTGAGTTGCGCCATTGCCTCCCTTCTCTCCCCAGCAGAGCTTTGGCCCAACTGTCTCGTCCTCCATCTTTCCCGTTCTGCTTCCATCCTTGGGCCACACGCGCTTCGTCTCATAGAGCGTCTCCCAAGTAAAGGACCTGAACAGACCACCATCCATGCTCTTCCCATCAGCACGTCCGCTTTTCCAGACGAAATTGCGCCCGCCGTACTGGAACCGTCGCGGAGACCAGTCCTTGCGTTGCAATTCTCCGTCGGGGATCTCAACGATTTGGCCGCCATCCGGTGGAACTGTGCTCGTTACCAGGCGAAAGCTGCCTCCTTTTGTCTTGCGAATTCTGATGTTTAGTGCGCCCATCTCCGGGAGGAATTCTCCCGCGCGGCGTAGGATGGCTTCAACAATTGGCACCTGCTGACTCCATACCACCTGGAGAGCATATAGTACGTGGGTGTTGGTTGGGTCTTTGACGAACCACCAGTGCGAGCGGACGCCGAGCTCCACTAGCTCCGAAGAGTGAGTTAGACGATATGTCACGATCTCAGCCGACGGGGAAAGAGTCGGTGCAAAGAATGGGATCTGGGTAGAGTCTGCGGCGTCCAGGAAAGGCTTCAGGTGGTCGGGCACCATTTTACCGGTCGATTCATCTTTGTGATAATCGTGAAGTGCCTTTCGGATCTATACAAATTAAGTCAACTGTCACGAACGAGACACTTCACGTACCTGAGATAATGTCCACGGACTATCCTCATCCTCCCTCGCCAGCTCCTGTACAACATCTAACCCCGACGGTGGTAGCACAATACTAGAGAAATCTCCTTTACGCTGAAGATCTTCCAGATGCGCAAGTCGCTCTCGATGCAGCTGCACCTGCCGCTCAAACATCTTCCGGTGTATCTTGCGCACAATTGAGCCCGACTTTCTGAACGTCTGCGCCGCCGCCCCCAGGACATCTATGGCACTTTTGTGGATATTGATTGCTTTCTGATACTCCCCTTGCCGTTCAAGGACGAAAGGAGCTACAGAAAGTTTGTAGAGCTTATCTTTGATCTCGTCTCCGGTGCTCATTGTGACCAATATTGGTTATTGCGCTCAAAAACTATTTGAGGCAGACTTACGAGCTCACTCATCTCCCTACAACCCTCCAGGCTTAAGTATCCTCAACCACACCATCCATCGCTTAAAATCGCCGCCAAGTACCGAAGCAGCCTGACCGGGCAACCTCAAAGAGGCTGGTTGCTTCTCAAAGTTACGAAAATACCACGCATACATGGAGCAAAAATGCTGACAAGGGTGGACTAACAGCAACAGTATATCTAGCCGAGTGGTTCTCGCGATGTCTACGCAATCGCTTACCTTTGCCGCTTTGACTGCTTGGCTTGGCGATTAGATCTCAAGCAACCTTTGGGGACTCCATCCAGTACTCCGCCTCTTATCCCGCTTGTCCTATCGCTGGCATGGTGTTGGCTTAACTCGCGCTGGACTGTGACAGTATAATACACTCCAACTTGATCCTTCAAGGTATAGTTACCTCGGAACAGCTGCAGCGATCGACGGCCGGGGATCGTCAACAGACACGCGAGAAACGCGAACCCACGTGATCACTGTCTTGGCAACTGACCATTAACCAGTTAACTGCTGCTGGTATCCTTACAAGATACTGAGGCGAGTATCTGACCGTTAGGCGGGAGGATTGCTAATTGAACCTAGCCTAAATAGCCCTGGGACGTTTTTTGTTCGGCGACCAGTGCAGAAAATCATCGAGTATAGCTTGGGTTCAATAATCCAAGTATCAATAACCCTAGCCGTTTTGCTGCTTTTCCATAGCCAAATCTGAACCACTTCCGGTCATTCGAAACTGGAAATCCGGATTGCTCGGGCGTCCTTGTCCTTACTGAAAAGCTCTCGGGTGTGCGTATCCCATGTTGGTAATCGGCACGTCCCATTATATTGCCTCACATTGGAACTGTAGGATTGGGGGGGATGGGATCTCTGCACTTCGTCTATATCCTGATATCAATTACTGCGTCAGGATGCGCATGCACGTAAGCGCACTGTCAATTGTGAATTACCGGTAGGGTACGGGTAGCTGCCACGCAAACCTCGCTCACCAGTTGCTTCGGGTTCCAAAGTCTCAACATTAACAGCAGATCATGGATTTGGTTGCTATACACATATAAACAATGGACTCCTCGCTATTTGGTCCTGTAAACATACATGACCCTGCATGGATATAAGGTTGGCTAGCCTCGCCTTGTTCTAGAGATGACTACGTGTCTTCGGTGATTGAATATGTGATGAAAGCAAATAAACTTCTGAGCTTCGCAAGGTCTATATTCATTGTCAAAAGTTTCGCGGTGTTGATTGTCTTCAGAGTGTTTAGATTAATTCCTAATTTCAGAGCAATAAACTACAACTAATATGTCGAAACGAACCATGCACGCTGCTCTTCAGGACTCATCTTCTGCACGACGTCCAGCTCGGATCTCTTAACCGCAAGATACGTCGACACCAGGGCATCACTCAGAACACCCCTGAGTCTTTCATTCGCCTCCAAATACTCAAGACTCTCCGCCAGCCCAGCAGGCATCTTATCCTTGACGCCCAGAGCCTCTCGTTCCTCTGCCGACATACTATTAGGCGCAGTGAGACAGGGCCCAGCTTTCAAAACTGCCCCCTGAAGTAACCCGTCCAAACCCGCCGCAAGCATCGCACAAAGCGCCAAGTACGGATTAGCCAGTCCATCCATCATCTTCACCTCAAACCGAGTACTGGAGATCCGTCGCAGGATCGCCTCTTTATTTTCCCATCCCCAGCACACATAGTCGCCTCCGCTTCCGATGCCTCCTTGAACCCGGCCATAACTGATCTCCTGGGGGAGTGTAAATGCAGCAATAGATGCGAAATGTTCGAGAATCCCAGCGAAAAACGACTCGATTGTTGGCAAATCCTCTTTCTGATTCGGGTTCAGCGATACATGAACATGCGACCCAGTGCCAGGAGTTTGAGGCGATAATCTGGGATGAAGCGTCGCTCGATATCCGTGCTTATTCGCGACTTTCATGATAGCCTGTCGAGCAAGGACGAGAGCATCGACCGCTTTAAGCGGGGAGTCTGGGGGCAGAACGAACTCCCATTGACCAGGTGCTAATTCCGCATGGAACTGCTGAAGCCGAATTCCGAGACTTTGCAGTGCCAGTGCGGCTTCTTCCAGAAGGGTAAGGAGAGGCTCGTCTTCACGTCCTTGAGGCATGACGCTCCACGAATGCCTAGTATTTACCGGTGTATACTCGACTTGTCCGTTTGGCAGTGTTTGCTGGCGTAGTAGACAGAACTCGAGCTCGAATCCGACCAGGATGGAACAGTTGGACTTTTGTTCAACTAACCGAGTCAACGCATCAAGCTTGGAGCGTGCGCATTCTGCAATCGGCACGTTTTCCTTATCAACCCATCTGGCCATGGCAAGTGCCTTGTTTGAATCCAAGTAGGGGGCTACTAAAGATCGCACATCCGGCTGGAGAAAGAATGCCCCCGTCGGTGCTACCCCGTTCGCAAATCCATCGCGAGGGAGAAGATGGAGGACCTGGCTTGGAACCGAAATTCCTTGGTTTACCTCTAGCAGGCGCTTGAATTCTGCCACGGGCACCATGCGAACTAGGTTGGTGCCGATGTATGAGGTGAATAGCACCCAGACGAAATCTACGCCTTGGGTATTGGCGTCGAACTGAGCCAGAGATGTTTGGTTGTCCATGTTAACCTGGTCAATTATTAAAGGAATGGGAAGTGGAAGATGGAAATGGAGATGGGAATGGACGCTCGATCTCAGCCTGGAAAAGAAATATGATATATGCGTGGCTGCCTGAGCCCTGCATGCCCCTCACGAGTACAAGCCAAAGAGAATGCTTTACTGGCCAACTCGATGAACCCGGCGGTTACACAAATCAATCCCAATCCAGTATCCAATGTTTCTATGACGGCACGCCCGTACAAGATCTCGGCGTCAGTATGAATCTATCGACATTCAGACTGTGCATCCATATCCATGTCCCAATACCGCTGCGCCTGTACAAGAGCCAGTGTCCACAAACAAGCAAAAAAGCAAAAAAAAAAAAATAATGTACAGTAAGACACCGCCTGCCGCACAGTCCGGTCGATCTATAAATAAAAATACCCCGCCTGTTCTATTCAGTTCCGTACTCCGTCCCTTTTTAAGTCCTGACCCTCGCCGTAAAAGTGATAGTGAAAATAACCTACTGCTCCTGCTGATTCATATGCGTAGGAATATTCCACGGATCATAGTCCATATGCACATAAGCGCGCTCAACCGTCGGCACACTCTCAAGCATATACTGCAAACTCTCGCCCAGATCGTGACTATCGCGGAGACTCATCTTGTCCTCGAGGATGATATCGACCTCGACATTGAGCATATCGCCGGCGTAATAGGCGCGTAGATTCTGGATCTTGAGGATCGATTTGGAGAACCGCATCGTCATGTAGAGCAGGATGCTGACGTCTTCTTGGGATGCGGCGGCGCCGGTTAGATGGCGGATGTGTTCGCTAGCTGTTAGACCCCAGTTCCAGATGACGTAGATGGAGAGGAGGAGACCGCCGAGGGGGTCGAGGTACCAGATGTTTGTTAGGCCGCCGACTGGGATATGTTAGTATTGATTTTCATTTGTGTTACGAGGTACGTACCGAGTGGAAAGACGATACTGAAGAAGTTGAAAACTACGTCGGTCATGGCGTCTTGGGCTAGGGCTTGGACGCTTGAGTTGTTGATTAACCGACACCAGAACCAGCAGAGGCCCTTGACAACCACAGTGCTGCCCATGATGACCCCCGATGGGACCGTCAGGTTCACAACAGTGTGGTCGGCCGACATCAGTTGCGTAATGGACGTGATGGCGACTTGAACAAACGAGGTTACCATCACAACAGCAAAAACCAAGACACTCAAAGGCTCCAGTCGTCGTCGACTAATGGGATACTCGTAGTGGTTCTGTCGTCTGATAAGAGCAGTCGTAATCCAGACAATGGCAGTACTAAGGAAGTCCAAAGCTCCATCTACCAAACTCGCAAGGACCGAAACGGAATTGGTCATCAAGAGGGCGGCAATTTTCGCCGCAAGTAGGGTGACGTTGGCGATAAGGTTGATATAGATAGCGATAGTGACGATGCGCGCCCCGCTATCCACAAAGTCGTGGCCTTTGGGAGTGATATCCGACATTGGCGACTCGTTCTCGTCGTCTGTTGGCGGTAACAGCAGCGAACTTTCACTGGGGATCCTGTATAGATTGCGGGGTGTCCGCTTGATCTTCTTGGGGTGTTCACCGTCCGAGGGCCCGCCCTCAATAGAACCGTATGTACTCCCATTCTCGTTCTCATTTCCCTTGGCAGGATCCTTTATTGCGCTGCTCCGATTGTGCTGGTATTCGACGATCAAGCGGTGGGGGAGCGATGAGTCGAGAAGCCGGTCGATATAAACGTATTGCGAGATGAGATCATTGTTGCGCTCGTAGAGTTCACGCCTACACAGTTAGAATTTCTGTCAAGAATATCGGGACTGAGTACTTACACTGGCTTTGGCAACCCCTTCAAGGCGTTGGGATGTTTATAATACTGCTGCCTGAGATTAGTGAGCGTCATTCGCCATCATTCCTCTTCAATTATGCAAGCTAGCGTACCAATTGTACGACGGTTTACCCTCCCGATCTCCGATCAGCTCCCTTGCGCGCGCGGATGCGGGCCGGTCAAGCCAATCCCGGAAGGAAAGGTGACTCTCATCGCGATCGAGGTCGAGAAGACTCTGACTAGAAAAGGAGCGGCGGCGAAGCAGGGACGAGAGGTATTGGCCACGGGTGGACAGGATATCGCCCTGCCAGTCGAGGCTCGGTCTTCTTGGCCGAATCGGCGAGCCGGCGTCGGAGGGCGAGGACGGGACCGAGAACTGAGCCCTGCTTCGCGAGCGGCCGAAAGACGCCATTCGGCGAAGCGATCAGACAATTCAATGGAATAGAATGTGGGCAGGTTAGTTTTCCATTGGGATTCCACGCGAGGGATGAGTTTTTTGAAGAATCGGTCCAGAAAGATCCGGGCACGGGACGAGCTGTCATGGAGTGGAACTGCATCGGGTTAGCTCCACACAGCAGCGAGCTCCGTCATTATCATTGATTCACGATCCAAATTAACTACAGCTTCATTGACTGATGTAGTTTCCAGGCAGAATTCTTGACTGGCAGTCTGCCTTGGCTCATCCTGATGACGAATCAACCTGGTTATCAAACAGGATTCATAATACTCATTCTTTGAGATATCTTGGATCAGTGCTATGGACAGGAGAGTTATGTTTGACTTGTTCCATGCGAATCGACACCACCGACACCACCGACACCACGCTAATGCCAACGCCAATATAAGACTTGCGAGATATTGCGTTTGGTCTTGGTATCTGTTTCTGACATATACAGTCTTGACCTGTCAACTATTAGTGCAGTAGACTGGCTGACCGAATCTCGCTGAGCAGAACATAGCCAACTCAGCTTTATTTACATGCACACTGCACGATATCCAATATTCGATAATCGCGAAAGAAAGGAGCCATACTTGTTTCAAGGACGGGCTCACCGGTTGTCCCGGATTTCGTCTCGGCTGCCCGCCATTCCCTTGCGTTTACCGAGCGCCTCGCTGGTCTGGCAGTCTCTTCAAGGTCCGCCCAGGAAATAACCATCATTTCAATACTACATCTGAATAGGCGTGTGTCCAGTTTGTACCGTCCAGTGTCAACAGCGGTCCCGTGATCACCGACATCCTGATAAGCTGGAGCTAACACCGCCAGTCCTCCACTCATTACCTTGCTGGTGATCAGCCATGCGTCACTGCGTCTCGTAGCTCCTTGCCGACTGCATCACCAGCAGCACTTGCCATTGGACTGGCGGGCTGTCCTGGCTTGGCGTGGCGATCTGTGCTGGAGCATCGCTGCAGCATCTGTCAGTGTCCAATAGGGTGGAATTGCCTCACTGATCGTTGATTCTGATGTTTTATTCCCATAGTCACGAAGGATTGTTGTTCTTTTATCAGAGTCAGTTTTGAGCACGGTATTGCTTGATCAGTGTACTCCGTACTCTGCACTGGAATGAGGTGAGCGCTGAGTTATCACTGTAGCTTGTGCGGGGCTGATGGTGGGGTTGACTACTTTATCACTGTGAAGTCCTGACGCTGAGACCGTTGAATAGCACCATAATAGTCGTATCTCAGAGTAGTCTACAGAGACAGCAAGTAAAGCCAAGTAGAGTGGCAAGTTTCACATGACAAGGGACACCCGCCCCATCCCCGTCCCTCCAATCCGCCATCCACCATTCTGCATTCTCCATTCCTGATCTGATCGCCATGCGGGGAAACAGTCAACCAACCCTCATGGCCTGATGCATGGCAGTCGCAGTTCACGAGGACGGGCTGATCAGTAGTACTTAGACCGCAAGAGGGTGCAACATTCGTCAATACTTAGCGAAGTCACTGCCCCTCTCACGCCATCCATCCTCAATCCGAACACAGTATCCAGTACACACACATATTCAAACATTCCGCTGCCGCCGCCGAAATAACTCCGTCTCCGCGGGCTATACAGTCAGACGGGCTGAACTTTCTTTCTCTTCTTTCCCTGCCTCCTCTTTTATTCTTTTCGTTCTTTTCATCTTCTCTTCCTTCTCGTTGTCCTCGTTTGGTCAATCTCCACACTTACCTCCAGTGTACTGTGGGACTGCTACTGTGACTGCGCTACACAACTCCATCCGGTCCGTACCGACGTCACCACGGTCTAGACTAGACCGGGCCTGAATCTGCCGATACAACTCACGCGCGCTGGTTATGGCCTGATTGGCGGTACAAAACTCGTTCTGTGGCCGCAGTTGGCGCTGGGTGTCAATAAATCGACAAGCGACCGGACAACCCTCTCTTACAGTTTGTTGGTGCGGTCGCCGAATTGTTCCCCGCGCAGTACCAAGACATCCGATCCATGGCCAGAGAGGACCAGGACCAGGACCAGGAAAAGGACCGGGATCAGAATAGTCATATGAACATTGTCCTGGGTGTTGGACTCGGAATTGTTGCTTTAATCATCATGTGTTTGATGTAAGTGTTATTTGCATGGCATTAACTAGTTAAAGCTCACACAGCTGCTAGATTCACTGTCTACTTCAACCGTCGCGAGCGCAGCCCGTCCAAGAAAAGTCGCAGAAAGGACTCGTCAGACAAGCTGCGCAAGCTCGACGCCGTCTCTCCCATTCGAACCCTCCAGGAATGGTGGACAAAGGCTCATGGCCCTCCTCTCCCCTCTGATTGTCCCGATAATCAGTTCATATGGTACATGATCATTGATTCCTCCGAGTTTCACGACCCCGGCTAACTAGTCTCCAACCAGTGTCGTCTGCCTCGAACCTGTCCTCCGTTCCCAGGAAATCCGAGAACTGAAATGCCTCCACGTCTTCCATCGAGAATGTCTCGAGAAATGGTACCTCCAGGACCATTATAACTGTCCGCTCTGCCACAGGGCATACTATAACCAGGAAATCCGCCCGACAAACGACTTTGTATGGATGGTATGATGATACGACTGATAGAGTTGATGATTGACGACCCATGATATCCTCCTTCGTTTATATATTTCTCTCAACTTGTTGGTCTGGTAGCGGTGTTTGGTGTTCAACCTGTGCTGATTAACCCGTGCTGATTATAGCTGTAATCAATCTTAAACGATTCAACGACGCCTGAAAGGGCTATCGTTTACTCCGTACTGCTTTTCTTAAAATGGAAACCCATCTCCCGCCGGAAAATCAAACGGGTCAAGATCAAAATTATCCGGACTATACCAGTTCAGCAACCCATACAACCCGTCATGGCCGCCGTCAAGGAAATCTCTCTGCTGCGCCGTTGGCTGCGGGTCCAGCACCTGGTCCAGGATATCAGACAGCTTCTTCTCGACTGCCTTGCATGTACGATAATTGCCTTGCCCCGGCGATGCGACCCATGATAAACACGAGACGAAAACGCTGAGATTGCGAATCAGTTCCGACCGCGGGGGCATCACCGGGTGCGGCCCTGCTTCCTGGGTTTGGCGGAGGAGTTCAAATGCCAGGATACTTGCGCTTGGGAGCCCGTAGTAAAGAGCCTGTTGGCATTAGCGGTCATGGCGCAGAATTAGTCGAGGAAACAGATGCTTACAATCCAAGATTGGTGTCTGCTGTTGTCAACGCCCGGATGGCGCTCGTTGGTCAATTCGAGGATGATGGCTAGGACTTCGCGCGAGGTATTGAAGAGGGATTCGTGGCCGGTATTTGTACGTTTGGTGACCATCCTCTGTACCAGGAAGAGTGTATACAGATAGTCAAGGTAGATATGGCGTCTCGCGAATGTGAAAGACGGACTTAACCCCTCGACCTTTTCGCACTGGTCGTGCCGGAAAGTAACAGGACAAGAGTCCCATAGATTTCGTGCAGCTTCAATCACGTTGCTACTGCGGTTAGCCTTGTATAGCACAATACATTGAAATGGATCATCCACCTACTTGTATTTATTCAGGAGTTCCGAATCTTCAAACCTCCCCAATGCAATTTCAAGAGCTTGCTCACGAAGCACCGCCAGGAGGAAGCGGAGACGCAGCATACTTCCTCGGTGGTTACTGCCCTGGGGATTCCACCCCGCGGCATCCAGGTTCGACATCGCCTGGTCTAGACGCTCGCCTCCAGCAATGAGATCCTCATCACTCAGATCCAACGGGGCCGATATCGTGCAGTACCGGTAATTGATGAATGGCGGTCTACCCACAAACGTAGACAGAGACTTGTCAGCGTAGAATGCGGCGGCAAAGCACATCTTCCTCCACTGTTGGAGAAAAGGAGGGCAGTTTTGGGCCCGTGTGTTTTCTTGGTGCAGACCCGCTGCGTAGATGGTGGCTGTCAAGTCACCGAGCTTGCGCCAGGCAACATAACCTAGATCGATTGTTAGTTGAGAAAAGGTATAATGGTTTGCCAACATACTTGTGTCGCCGTAGTATTGGGTTCTCAGGAGCATATCATCATACTGCAGGAAGCCGAGTAATTCACTGACAGAGGCGGCAGTATCGCAGAACCCGACGCAGATACCGCTCGCTTCGACCACCTGCGTTCGAAGCATGTCCTTAGCTTGCGCGCCGGGGGCCACCCGCATTAAATCGGGGTCGCTGTCAGAAGTGGACATCAGCGCTATGCCGGCCATAGATAGAAGAATCCCGATCGCCTCCCAGCGCAGATTTTGATCCGTAAACGAGGCAAAGTACTCCTCAACGGTCATCGAGCTGTGCGAAGTCAAAGGATGCGCCGAGCTGAGGAATATCTGCTGCGCCAGGTCCCGTAGCTGCTTTTCCAGATCTTTACTGCAGTCAATACCATCAAGGATTCTTCGAACAGACTGCACAATGGCTTCGATGATAAGCCCAGAGACGGCGGCCATCAAGGCTCCGGCGTAGAACTTCCGGACCACGATGTCACATATCGTACTCCGATGAAGAAACTTCAAGACTTCCACGCCAGTCTCCAGCCTAGATTGGCCTTTCATCATAGCGAAGACACTATCAACGTCACAACTACCTTCCTCGAACGAGATATCAGCGCGGTGTTCACTAAACACAGCCGAGAAACTCGTCGACCCCAGATACCCTGGTGTAGTCGAGGGCCGCTCCGTGGTGCGCAAACCAGACTGCACCGTGGGTACTGACGTCGGGCTAGAGTCACTAAATCAAGTCAGCAGTCATCCTTCTACATTGCTGGGCAGACAGACTTTGAAGACTCGGTTCTCGGTCTTTTGGCTAGACGCTGGCCTGGGTTCGGCGCTGGGGCTGGGGAATCCTGTTTTGTCATGGGCGCAGGATGGTAGAAACACCTCTGCGTGAAGCCTTTGGCAATACATCGTCCGCATACAGGCCTTCCGTGGTCGCATTTGAGCTTCGATTTGCGGCATGGCTCGCAGGACTGGAGCAAGCCGTTGCGGCGGATGGCAGGTGGCTCTGGTTCGGTCATCCTGGTAATGCCCAGAAACGCCAGTCTTCCGGCCTATAACGCGGGCAGCAATACCATCCTTCCTGTAGAAAAGAAAAGAGAGAGATGAATCAGAGGCGTGGTGAGAAAGGAAGGATACGAATCGAGGCCGAGATCGGTGGAGGAGCTGTTTTTGGTCACGGTCTAACCCAAACAGGCAATAATGCCTTCTACACTATGGATAGAAATCACAAGCTATGATGTATTTGGAATAGACTATTTCTTCTATAAATGTCTTACACTTTATGGTATCCAGGCTGCAATTTCCAGAAAACTCCCTCCGGGTCGTATTTCCGCTGAATCTGCCTCAATCGGGCACGGTTTTCCTTACTGTACCCAGCGTAGACATCCTGCTCAGAGCCGGCATAGTTCTGGTATATGAAGGGATGGTAGAGGCCGCGCTCCTTGGCTAAATAAGCAATATCGCTTATAATTTTATCCGCAAGAGCTTGGAAGTGCTCATAGTCCGCGGCATCCTGGGAGAAAGTGACGCTGAATACTATTTCATTTGTCAGTATCAATATGATATACGCATAGAATGGGGGACGTACTGAATAATGGGCCCTCATCTGGATGAATTCCGAATGCATTCCCTCCATTTTGGGCAAACAAGCCAATCTCATACTTTGTCATCATTTGCAGGTTGCATGATAAAAGAGCGTCAGGTGTCGTGGTGTATGGGTGCACATTGGAGATAAACACGTCGTAAACGTCTGAAATCAGATCAGCGTCTAGCTTGAGTGTGATGGTTCGCCAGATGTTTCTGTCGACATGGTTAGCTGTGTTGGCACATTGCTGCTACAGTATACTTGACGTACAGTTTCCCCCTGAGCACTTGGTTCTGGCTGTCGAGTTCTGTTGTAAAGTCGGTCATATTGCTGACTCTGTTGGTTGAATGCAGTTTATTAAACGAGCTCACGTTGCGAAACACCGGCGGATCAGGTTCAGGAGTCCCACTCCCAGCAACTGTGGTATACATCGTGGTTATTCCGAAAAAGTAAGCGCGAAAGCTAGGCACCCAGGAGAAGAACAAGAACGCATGCGCCCCGGCATCAGTCTGGCTCTCATCACCCAGAGCAACAAACTCCCGAATGACATCCTTCGAATTCGTCGCGAGACCGAAACCCCCAAGGCCCTTCAAAAGGTACTTGGCAACGTGGCTCAGGAACGAATGAGTCGTCCACTGCCACTGGTCTTTCAATCCCAGCGCTGCCTTTCTTGACTCAAGATCCTCCATGATGAAGTTCGTCGTTCCCCCGGACATCATTCCAATGCGACGAGTCTCAAAATCAAACCGAGTCACGATACCGAAGTTATTCCCGCCGCCGCGCAGCGCAAAGAACAGGTCAGGATGCGAATCTTTGTTCACGTTGGCGATAGTCCCGTTGGCCAGGACGACTTCGTAGTTGCGGATATTATCCACGGACCAGCCATAGCGACGAGAGAGATACGAGATACCCCCTAGACAAATTAGTCCCACCACGTCAAGAAAAGAAAAGAAAATGAAGGGTGATATACGAACCCCCCAAAGAAAGCCCGCCAACACCAACCGTCGCCGAGCGACCCCCAACAACCAAAAGCCCCTTCTCCTCAAGCACCTTATAAACATCAACCCAGCGATTCCCAGGGCCAATCAACGCAAGAGACTCATCCTCAGAAACAGTCACGCTATTCAACCTCCCCAAATCAATCAGCAGTCCACCCTCAATACTCGACGCCCCAGCATGGTTCCCATGCCCACCACTCCTCGCAGCAAACGGGCACTGATACTCCCTGACAACCTGCACTGCCCTCGCAACATCTTCCGCTGATTCCGGCAGGACCACGCAGGCAGGCGTGAGCTGTCGCTGCTGCAGAGCGAAATAGCGGTCGATGATGAACTCGGGGCTGCTGTTGACATCGGCGGGGCTGGTTGCTTGCAGCTGTATGCACTAAGGGCTGTCAATACATTTTATCTTGTAACTACTTGGTGGAGGTGCGCTTACGGCCTGTTTACAACCAGACGTGGAATTCCCAAACACTACCCCCGCTGTATCGAATGTTCCCAGCGGTTCCTGCGCTTGCACTTGCGCATCAGCGTATTGGCCGCAGATCAGCAAACCGAGGCTGAGAGAGAACAAGAGTGCGAACATGGCTGCACCGAAGAAGATGGAAAGATAGAAAAGAGAGAAAGGAGAAACCCCCCAATAATTTAAAAGACAAAACCTCAGCTCTAGAAAAATAAGTCCCGTAGAAATACCCCGATTAATTAAGGATCGCAACTGAAAATTTGGAATATTCACTCTCCAACCGAACTCGAATCTTTAGGCCAGAACTCGCCCCATAGCCGAGACGAGCTCAAACCCAATGACAATTTGAAGAATTAATCCTCAACGGCTGAGGCTGAGTTCGTAAATTCCGCGCGTTGGGGGCTGATTTATTGAGAACTAAAATCTCACCTTCCTGCCCCCAAGCAGCTATCAGCCGCGAGTCGTGCGAAGACTGACACTAACGGCCCCGGAATTCGGGTCGGGATTCCACCACCGCACCTGTGATCGCGATACCGGATGGTACTTCTACTGGTGAACTACGCAAGAATAAATAAAGGTCATAAACCAAATTGTCATGTCGACGTACATCGTATATGAACAGACACATCACATGCCCCAAACCACCATGGAGGTATAGGTAGACGAGAAAAGCATCACAACCAAACAACGCCTCAACTCAACCCGCAGAGCAATTGAAATCGCAAGAATAGAAACAAACAGCGTTCCCAAAGGAAGCAATCAGAGGCGGGAACAACGCGATATGATATAGTAAGTAGCAAGGGCAAAAAGTATGCAAGAATTATCTCATCTCCGCGCTTATGGGCAATATAGCGGCGGCAAAAAGCGGCGGCAGAATGAAGAGTAGCAGAAGAATTTTGTAAGTCGGTTATCATCAAAGACAAGGCTAAGCGCTCAGAATTCATCGATGCCAGATCGTGCTTCCATTAGGCTTTGACGCGCACGGGACTCCCGGAGCTGCCGATTCGGCCACTCTGTTTCCGAATACCTCTGGAATCGCTGCGGCTTTCGGTAGTCCGGCGAGAACTGGACCGCACTTTGCTGACAGAGATAGGGGCACCGGTGGACTTGCTGCTGACCGGGGTCTTCGGAACAGGTTGCGTCGGGCCGCCCCAGTTCTCTCTGTCCTCATGGATGTCATCGTTCAGGGTATAGCTGGCAGTGACGGTTGCTGAATAACTGATGGAGCGCTGTCCTGGTGAGGCGGCGGGCGACTTTGATGAGCGCTTGGCAAGCATTCGAAGTTGAGCCTCCTCTTCACTCTCGCAGCTATCGCTGCTCTGTCTGCTATTCTTCTCGCTGGTTCTCTTTGCTTCCTTGTCAACAGCAAGACCTCCTGATGCGGTCCGAGAGTAAGGGTGATGACGGGAATCTTTCCTGTGGGATTTGCGAGGCTGCCCTGGTGTGGGAGCCGGAAGGTTCTCCTCAGGGTTGACCGCGCCAGCCTCATTGTGATCGATCTCGCCGAGTGCGGCCCGCTTTGAGTGTCCATTATTTGGTGGGGTTGTAACAGCTCCGTTGGTTGGGCGATGTTTGGCCGGTGAACGCCCAGGTGTGACGGGGTTGGGTTGTAGCTGAGCAAGCTTCTCCTTCATGGAATCCTCGTACCACCACTCTCTGAAAGATCCCTGGTTGAGGTGCAGCCAGTGTTGCTGTGGACCAACTACCATACCAGGGCGCATAAAGCGCATAAAGGCAATGACCTCATTGGCTGTGAATCCATATCGGTAGATCAAGTAGGCTCCGATCAGGCAGCCTGTGCGCCCTAAACCGGCTTTGCAGTGTACAGCGATCGCCTTGTGCTTGATATTGATCATGTCGTGGGCCATCTTGATAAACTTCTTGACCAACGGAAGTGGCGGGCAGGTTCCGTCCTCGAAAATCATATCGATGTGAGAAATTCCCATCGCGGTGAAATAGGACGGCGAGTAAAGTTCGGAGTTCAGTCGTACAACTAAACCGACATCGCGGGTCGCAAAGTGCGCCAAAACGTTTTTGAAAGGAAGAGGTAGTCGACAGGAGGCAAGCTCGGATACGGAGGATGGCAAAGCGGCAAATTCTGGTGAATCTCGAGGAACTGGAGCCACTGGCTGGTGTTGTGGGGAGGCAAAGGCAAGGAATTGGGGACTGATCCAGTTGAAATCTCCCATGTCGACTCGTTCGAACTTCTCGTATCTGGAGCAGTAGTAAGTATACTGTCAAAGTTTAAACTCAACGGCCTCAAGACATACTCTTCAAGGCTAAAATCCCGCAACCCACACAGGCCCTGCTCCTTAGCTCTCCAAACACCATATACAACATCCTGAATGTTCAGAATAAAATCCGCTTGACTGTAACCGGCATCGCGGAACGGCATGTACGGAGGGTCCGCCTGCGCAATGGGCGCCAGTGCAAGATGGGGTGGCCAAGACTGAATCAGGACCATGTAGCAAGCAACTAAGCAGGCCGCGTTTGCACGACTTCTGGCATCCGTCCGCGAGTAGAAGACTACAGCGCGGTCATTGTTCGCGGGGTCGCCGAGCAGGTCATGGAAGTGAACGGCAAAGCGGTACAGATGACCGATGTGGAGGGGCCCGAAGTCTGCGTGGAACGAGTTGTAAAGGAGAGTGTCATCGACGGTGAAATAGACAGGGCTTCGTTTCTTGCTTGGACTCGCTGCTTGTGTCCGCCGCTTGCTCGGGGACTTCGGCTGCTCGGAGGGGTAAGGAAAGGGGGTTTTCGCATCCGGAGGGTGGTCATAGGAGGCAAGGTACAGTCGGTCTAATGTCCAAATTAGCAAGCCACCCAAATAACAGTTATGCCCAGGTATTCCCAAGCAAACAGGCCGCGCAGATCAAGTCAAACTAACCCTGGATGTATTCAATGACCTGGCCATAGCCAGCACCATGTCCACTCATGTTGACGTTGAGACGATCCGCCACCTAAAACAATGTTGCAAAATAATAACAAAGGCAGTCAGGTGGGAGACAGCAGAAGCGATATGTGTCGCTTGTGGCCAGTATTCTGCAATTTCGAAGCAGTGGAGAGGCTTCGTTGACAGTTGAAGATATATCAAAACAGTCAATCTAAACAGTCATGGTCCGGTTGAATTCTCCAAACAGACGGGTAATGTATGTATAAGATGCAACGCGGCGCTGCAAATACTGTAACGATAGGAACGGCGGTGCTCCACGAGGAAGAGGATACACAGTGTGTAAAATATGCAGAGATTGACAGGATGTTCACGAGGGAGAGAGGAGAAGAAGCTGGACAGAAAAGGATGTTCCGCAGCGAGATGATCTCGAGGCCGACAAGAGAAGCTGGAGACCGTTGCAGCGGCGCCTCCCGCTGATTGGCTGCTGTCACTCCTGTTATGTTGTGGTGCCACTAAACGGGCCTAGCGTCCGCCGTTGACAGGACAACATGGTGCCTGAGGCAGCAGTGTGTATTTCAACAACAATTATGTAATCACCACATGCCAGCTGCAAACATGCAAACATAATAAATACCAACACTGTGAATGTCAAGGTGAAGAGAACTTTTGAATTTCAACCTAGTATTATTATGCTTAATGATTATTATGCTTAATTTGATGTCTTCATTGAAGATATTGCCTCGGTGCCGCTGTTTTGTCCATAGAAAACATCAACAGTTTTAAACATCGTCACTCCCGCAACAAGATATATATCACCGTCCTATATTACATGCGCGGCCCCATATAACTACAAACAATAGTAGTTGCAACAACAAAACTCCCTACTCCTGCAATACAAACTGTTCCCACAGCGACACCCATCCGGCAGCCGTTCCCCTTCCAAAGGCGCATAAACAGCCCGGTAAACCTTTGATAGGCTCAGGGTCGACCACTATATAGAGACTCCGTCTTCAGCACCAGTCGTCCATCAGGAATCCCAACCTCCCAGATAAACCCAGTTGCTTTACCCATCGACGTAGTAAGAGGGTAAGTCAATTTAGTCCCGTAAAGCGGCACCCTGATACTTCGCACTGCGCCGCAAGGATCGAGCCGCCCTGGTGAAACACGGTTGTCGTCACCGGTGTCAGAGTGCCACCTCCAAACAATGGCATAATCGCCGAGGCGGCCATGGCCCCAATATTTATGAGGCGGCGAAAACTCGCGAGAAGAGCCTGCGGCCAAAGTTCTAGCCCGACACAGGCGCCGAATCAGGTTGGGTTTGGGAATAGTGGGGATGGAAATTCCGCAGCACATGAGCAATGCATGGGAAATGAATGTCTTACATTACATGGTCGTGGTATCCGTGGTCCTGAAATTGAACTGCTCTCGAATTCGAAGTCGATTTTGCTAAGTTTATTTAGGATAGTGGTTACCCAGCCGGTACCGGATTAGCTGCATGTCTTGTCCTACTTCTGCTCGGATAGTGAGCTGGGAGCCGGAGCGCCTGGTGATTCTTTGCGTTAGAAGAGCACGGCTCCAGCGGTGGCTGGAGCTTTACTCGCCGGGTTTACTTATCGCCTCGACTGACATGCTGGCAGAGTCTCGATATCCTTTGCCGATGTGTTGGTGTCTCCGGCTGTCTTGGAAAGAATTGAGTAGCAGTCAATGGTCACAATTTTAAGCCCTCGGACAATACGATTCCGCGTGTTGTATGCTAGAGGAAGCAAATATATGGTCAAAACCAGTCTATACATTTGTACCTTTTACAAGATTGATTATGGGCCCTCGGCTTAAGATTGCGATGAGTTTATACCTCGTTATTTGCTTCCTTCCAAGGTTAGGGCTCGCAGTTTTTAGAATGCGACCAGGTTTGTTTAATAGTATTAAATAATTTTAACCTTGTAGATACACAAAGACAACCGTTTCAGTTATTATGGGGCATATAGTAATACATAAGTGCTATCATGACAATACTAATGATCCTGTAGGCCTTATGTAGTTTTAGCCAGCCATTCCCTGATCATCATCTTAGCGTGACTGAAGCTGGTCATTCATACACCTGACCATTCATACCTTATTTGACAGTGTCAGCATACCTGGTGGCCTGGTAGGAAGTCTGACCTAACCTATAATTTACCCTATTGGCTTGACTCCTCATCCGAGCCCGCATAAATTGCCTACATTGATAGGCGCCGCTAACCCAAACCCGACGGAGGGAAGGTCCAAGAGTGCTTGATCTGACTGGTGGACCTGCTTTTCTTTATGGACTAGGAACGAACTCGGTCTTATCTGGACATGGCCCCTCCTGATACTGGCAGTTTGGATCGGACATAGGTATCCGAGAGTGGTAGGGTCTACCAGCTACGATACTACGTATATACGTTTCGTCAACGAATTCTTCTGTCTTCAAGGCACAATACTGGGCTCCGTATTGCTAATTAATTATCCATCGTATCAGTCATCCTCAACTACCCCAGCCACGCGAGTCAGCATTCCCCAAATTCGGGGGCTAGGGGCTTGGGCCGATACCCGAAAGCCCTAACTCAATACGACAATACAGCGCAGATATCGATCAATCTCAATCCGCTCGACTCGTCGAATAAAAATAAAACAAAAATAAAACCTCTGGAATTGACTCAAATAATTAAACAGCCAAACTCGCAACCCCAAACTTGCCTGTCCCAAGATCACTCCTATGCAAGAATTCAACCGGACTCTGGTGGTCTTCTACGTATCCGACTCCCCCAACCGCTTTGTCTGGTAGCCCGACACTGCATTAGCTTTACTTCGTGCAATACAATACAATAATGTGAAGCAGTGAGAGGCGTAACATACAATACCCAGCAATCCGCAGAATATCATCCGGCAGTCTCCTGGCAACCTCGATAGGCGTGGAGAGAATCTCCTCCTGGTCTTGGCGGAAGTAGTCCCGCTGGCTAGACACAAGGAGTTAGCGTCTTAAACATAGCTGCAGACTGTATAAGAGTGGGTGCTTATCATACCCAAAGACGGCAAAGAGCGTGCGGAGAGCCAACGGGTCTGTCTTGTCGCATTTGTTCTCGCCTGCGCCGTGATAGGTTGCTGAACGAGTCAGTCATAGCAAGAGTGGGTTGGAGTAGGCTGGCCCTTGGTTGGGGTAGACTTACAACCAAGAGTGAAGAGTGCAGAGCCCGGCTCCATCTCTGCATACGTGCATTCCTCAACCTTAGGCATGCGCTCGGCGCCCCAGAGGTGACTACCGGGGATTACGGCGGTGGCCTGGATGTAATCCATTGTCAGTTGACAGTAGCTTGCAAACTTCCTCAAACAAAGCAGCTTACCCCATTCTCGTAGGTACTCTTGGATCCGGCGATTAAGCAGCCGACCATGGGGGTGAAGAATGGGTTGTTTGGGTCTGGTCGGGTCTGGTAGGCGATTTGGTCCTGAGTGAGAAGATACCTGAGTCAGTCATGTATTTAGAGTCAATGGGGTATAAGACTTGCCCTGTGTAATGGCTGTGGCTTGGCTCCTGGAACCAGGCGAAGAGCTGCAGTGGAAGCGAGCATGTACCCGCTCTTCTGGGGGACGAGTCGCTCACCGGTGTATGATGAGAATTCGTCACTTGTCATGCTTCAGTATTACGATTTGGAAAACCGCAGGTGTGATATACATACTTCAGGAACTGCCCCATAATTCCTTGCCAGACGGGAAGGCGTACGATCTTGCTGAGTTGGTCTGGAATCTTGGCTAGGAGAGCCTGGGAAGGTTAGGTATGTCCTGATGACGAGGCACGGACGTACGTAGACGCGCTGCGAGCCCTCTGGGAAGAAGTCAGGGCCGAGTTCCTCGTGAGTGGCTTTGGAGTTGTAAGTTTTGCGGCCCTGGAAGAATGGCTCGACTATATGCGTTGGTTAGTTGTCCTCGAGGTGGATGGTGATAACTCACTCGCTGTCATGCACTCTTGCAATAGCTCTGGAGATAAAAAATTGGAGACAATGACACCGCCATCTCTTTCAATAATCTTGATGATCTTCTCGAGAGGCTCGGAGGAGTCGATAGTGACAAGTGAGGGCGCCATGGTGATGACTATTAGGGATGATACTGAGCAACAACAAAGTTGGAATCGAGCTTGTTTAAAGAGAGCCAGACATGAGTCACAGGGTAACATGTCTATACCCGGACCGGTTTTTCCTGCAGGGATATCTTGGACCTTCCTCCTATCGCCAATGTGGGACTCCGATAGTGCATTATGGCTCTACAAATGATTCATGCCGCACCCCCTCCCCGATCTCCCCCTATCAGCACCCTCGATCGCCTGAAGTTCTCAGCCGTTTTGCAGTACCTACCCCAATAAACCTTCTTCTTTTATCTATTTACCGGTTGTAAAACCGGGCCGGTCGTGTTGGCTTTGGTCTCTTCCAGATGCGGGCGTTATCTCACAGCTGGGGATCTCGGCGAATACCCCTAGCGTTCCCCCGCGCTGCGAGTTATTATCTCAATTTTCACTGGCTAGTACACGCTATAACTCCCCAGTGACGGATCTGCTATATAAACACGGTTCCCCGGTCATGTTTCACTATACCTATATTCAACAGCACAACCAGCGCAATGGAGAACTCCGCGATTCCCAGCAGTGGCGCGCAGTCGCCCAAAAAAGAGAACTCGATGCCGAGAGCAGACTCTGTTGATATTGGACAGGTGTCTTTTGTTAGTCATCTCTTATACTTACTTGATATCCGACTAACATGTTGCAGGAACCCGAGAGCCCCGAAGAGCCATCCAAGTCCGGCGAGACAGAGCTGAGCGCAGCCATCAGGGAAGCCGTGAACCACCGTCGACTAAATCCGAGGCAGATCCAACTTACTGCGATTGCTGGATCCATTGGAGCGTTAGTTACAAGACTTACTTTATACCTATGTGATGGCATTGACAATCTATAGCGCTCTCTTCGTTGGAATAGGCTCTGGGGTAATGTCCGGCCCGCTCTGTCTTTTTCTCGGCTTTGTATTCTGGGCTTCTGTTGTATTCTCTGTGGCTCAGTGCCGTGAGTATATGCATATTCGCTTATGTGTTTAGTGCTAAAAGAGTCTAGAGACTGAGATTGTCAGCTTGCTTCCGCTAGACGGGGCCTTTATCCGTCTAGCAGGTCGAATGGTTGACCCTGCGCTCGGGGTGGCGGTTGGTTATAATCACTTTGTTAGTACTATATGATTATATGATTATTTCCACGATGCCCTTGCTAATGGCCTCTCAGTTTGCGCAGACATCCTTTGTCATTTTCGAGGCCACGGTTATCAACACGCTTGTTGAATACTGGGGATATAACCAGTCACCTGCCATTTTAATATCAAGTATGTTCCTAAATGCTTTGGTGCTATCTTACTGACATATTAGTCTCACTCGTTCTTTATCTGGCGATCAATGTATACCGAGCTGACCTGTTCGGAGAAGCTGAGTGTAAGTTATGCAGTGTCTCACCTGCCTGACTTGACTGACAATTCAGTCTGGCTCGCCTTGGGCAAAGTCTTATTAGCTACTGGTCTCATCGTATACACCATCGTGGTAATGCTTGGAGGGAACCCTATGCACGAGTAAGTCTACTCCGCAGTTACTGAGCTGGCCATGACACTATACAGTCGATTCGGTTTCCGCTACTGGAGAGACCCTGGACCATGGGCCGGTGCCGACCCCTCAAACCGTCTGATGTCGTTTGTAAATGCGGTTAGCGTCGCTGCGTTCTGCATGGGGGGGCCAGAGTACATCTCAAGTGAACAAGCTGCAACCCGAAATGCTTCCTAGCTAATCCCATGCAGTGATCGCTGGAGAATCAAGAGATCCCCGTCGCACCGTACCACGGGCATTCAGCACTATCATGACTCGTCTTATTGTCTTCTTTATCGGTGGCTGTCTTTGCGTTGGAGTAAGTCATTTCCTTCTTACAGCTTCCGATATACTTACGATGTGTACATAGATTCTAGTTCCATATGACGATCAGATGTGAGACTCTATCCTCTAACCAGACTTCATGGATACTAAATACTTATAATTGCAGTCTCACAAACGGCTCAGATAGCTATGCCGGCGGATCCCCATAGTTAGTACCCAACGCTGCACATATACTCATGAGGGAACTCGTCTAATCTCACAGTGTAATCTCGATGCAACGCCTACAAATCCCAGTCCTGCCGTCGATCGTCAACGCCGCGTTGCTTACAACAATTATCTCGGCTGGAAATGCGTATACATTCAACGCTTCGCGGAGTCTACATGCCCTTGCTTTAGACGGACGAGCACCGAAGTTCCTTCGACGGTTGAATAAAAGGTGTGTTGATATACCCTCATCAACAATTTAAAAAGGTTGCTGACCAGTGATAGGGGCGTGCCGTACATGGCTGTCATTGTAGTCATGCTACTTAGTTGCCTCGCATATCTCGCTCTAGGCTCCAGTAGTGCTAAAGTGCTGAATTGGATTCTGAAGTACGTTGCTCAAGTTATTGGGTTTAGCCTTTTCTAACATAATTGCTCGTCTAGTTTCTGTACTGCTGCTACTATGTTGTACATATCCCCAACCTCCCACATTATCAAGTAAACTCTCTGTTCAACTAACTACTTAACAGCAACTGGACCGTCATATCCTTTACGTGGATCCGATTCAACGCAGCGCTTAAAGCACAAGGAATCGACAGAAATACCTTTCTACCTAGTGTCTCAAAGCTCCAGCCCTACGCAGGCTACTGGGCGTTTTTCTGGGCATTTATATTTCTCTGGTACGTACTCTTTTCCTTAAAAAATATGGGATATGCTAAATTCTACTCTACATCAGGATTCAAGGATACGCCGTCTTCGTCAATGGCAATTGGGAAGTATCAACTTTTATCTTCAATTATGGGATTGTATGTTGTTTCTCCATGACAATTCGTCATAGCTAACATTTATTTTATCTGTAGATTGCCCTCGCCAGTGTAATTGGCATTGGCTGGAAGGTCTTCAAGCGTACGCCTTTCCACAGGAGCAAGGATGTTGATCTGAGCTCGGGGTTGGAATTCTTTGATTCTTTGACAGAGCATTATCAACAAGAGCGCGAGTCTGTGCCTATCACTACGAAGGATAGGATTATGGCGAAGATTTTCTAGTTGGCAGTCTTGTCCATAAGAGCAGGGTGGTCGTCTTCTGGTTCTTGAGATTTTCTTGGTGATTTATATAGGAAATATAAATTGAATTTCTTTTTCGAAATTATTATACCGTAAAAACGTTGAAAGTGATGCACATCCGTCTTGGAGGCAACTCGCTTCCAACTGCCAACTTCAACAACAACACCAGGATAAGCGCTCCAACCCCCTTTTGCATCAACACGACGTTCAAACCAGACCTGTTAGGTTCTGCCAAGGGTCAGCTCAATGAGCATGCCGGGCGACTGCACGTGCTGGCGAGCAGGCGGTGGTCCAGCCACTGTGGACACTGGAATCTGGACTGCTCCATCGGACCCAAAACAAGGAGCTCCCTTCCTCTTCATCCAACCTCATATACTGTCCTGTGAGGTCTGTTCTCGATCCTTGTAAAGCCAACACTTTTTTTCACTTAGTAAGTTTTTTGACCCGTATCCTGCTTGGCTTCTTTTTTCCATTTGCCTTTTTTTTTTTTTTTTTTGGCTTCTCGGACGAGCGGCCGACTCATGGTAGTGGGGCTCCCTAAGGTTGTCCAGATAAGCTTCGCGTCCACGTTTCGTAACTTTATCAGTTATGCCCCTGTATATATGCGTCTTGCTTACATTTAAACAGGTATATCAGAGTCCAGCTTCTGCTGAAATACTCGTCGAGCTGCACGCCAACCAGGGTGTTGACTCCGCAGCGCTATACAACGAGCCATACTAAGCTTCTATTTGCCGGTTTTCCAGCCTTCACAGCCAAGGAAAGTACTTTACTTTCCACAGGCCCATGGCACCGAGCAAACAACCCAATGTGGCCATTATCGGGGCTGGCTTGGCAGGCCTACGATGCGCCGACATCCTTATCCAGAACGGCGCGAAGGTAACCATCTTCGACGCGCGCAATAGAGTTGGAGGGAGGGTAAGTATCCATCAACCTAAGACCAAGCAAGGAGAACTAGCACTAATATACTCCATAGGTACATCAGACCAAGGTTGGCGACCATCTGGTAGATATGTATGCTATCCCCGTGTCTCTCTTAAGGGCGGAAATTGATCGCTAGAAGGGGCCCAAATTGGATTCATGGAGCCGGGGAAAACCCGATCCTTAATATTGCCAATGCAACTGGAACAACGGTGCATGATTTTGAAGGGGGTCAGCTTGTATTTACATCTGACGGAGGCGTTATGGACGACCGCGTTGCTGAGAAAATCTCGGATATCTTGTGGACGATCATTCAGGAGGCGTTCAACTATAGCAACGCCCACCAAGATGATATTCCGGCTGAGAGGAGTTTGCTTGATTTTATCCGCGAGCGTCTTGAGAAGATGGATCTGAGCGCGGAAGAGAAGAATCTGGTCATTGAGTCTTCCAGACTTTGGGGCGCATATGTCGGAGACCCTGTCGACAGGCAAAGTCTTAAATTCTTCAACTTGGAGGAAGCAATAGATGGAAGTAGGTCTTCTATTCCCATCGCATAGTTAAACGTCTTATTTGCTGACCAACTAGCCAACTACTTCGTCGCATCAACATATAAAGACATCCTCAAACACGTCTCAAATAGCGCTCTACAACATGCAGACATCCGCTTAAACCAACCCATCACCAAGGTCGACTCAAATCCAGACACTCAAGGAACAAGCACCCGTCGCGAAGTCACACTAACCACTGAATACGGTGAAAGCCACGTCTTCGATGAAGTTGTTGTTACTTGTCCCCTGGGCTGGCTCAAGCGCAACAAATCCGCCTTCACCCCGAAACTGCCCCCGCGCCTTTCCAGCGCCATCGACAATATCTCCTACGGCCGTCTGGAGAAAGTCTACATCACGTTCCCTGAAGCATTCTGGCACTCTGCAACAAGCAATCCCGTCTCCCTGCCTCCACTCACCGGCACGGCGCCAACCCAAACCACCAGCAACGGCACGAACGGCCATACCAGCAACCTTAACCTAGCCCACTTCCTCAACCCCTCCTACCACAAAGACCACCCAGCCGACATTCCCTGGGACCAAGAATGTTTCTCCATGGCCCCCTTCCCGGACGGAGCCGCGCACCCAACCCTCCTCTTCTACACATACGGCCCCTGCTCCTCATACATCGTCAACAAACTCACCTCCCTATCCCCCACAACCCCCCAAACCAACGAAGCCCACCCCCCTTCAACCCCAGCCTACAACTTCCTAACAACCCTCTTCCACCCCTTCTACTCCCTCCTCCCAAACTACACCCCCACCTCCCCCTCCTGCACCCCTCTCTCCATCCTCGCCACACGCTGGCAATCAGACCCCTACGCCGGAAACGGCAGCTACGCCAATTTCCAGACCGGCCTGGAAGAAGGCGACAAGGATATCGAGGCCCTGCGCGCAGGGATGGGCGTTGAGCGCGGCGTGTGGTTTGCGGGCGAGCATACGGCGCCGTTTGTGGCGCTGGGGACGACGACGGGGGCGCTTTGGAGTGGGGAGAGGGTTGCTAGGGAGGTTTGTGCGTTGGTAGGGCTTGGGTGTGTCGGCGTTGAACGTGTTGGGAGGGATGATAGTTTGCCTAGTGCCTGTGCTTGTCGGGGGGGTGGGGCGGAGGAGGTTAAGTAACAGGCCGTGGAAATGTTGGGATGCTGGGATACGAGGGTATATATTTTCATCAAGGCTGCTGGTGTAATACTCAAAAAACAATATATATATATATATATATATATGTTACAATACTGGCTCCTACTAGTACATGTTTGAGATTCTCGACTGTTATACCATTTACACGGCACGAATATATCAGTCAGTAGGAAGTCACTGTAAATATGTGGTGATATCATTATACACTCAGTTAAAAAAAGGCGTTGATAATATTTACACAACACGATACCAACCCCCTGCCATTCATTTGAGTCGTCTCTCCATCTCTTGGATAAGGTACAAATGTAATTTCGCGCAAATTGCATGTATAGAATACAATGCACTAATGTTGAAGTTGAAGTTGGAAACGAAATAACCACCCAGCCCGGCCCAGAATCGCAGACCCGAGACCCTATAACGATGCGCCCGAAACAGTGGCAGTGGGGAATCACAAAGCGATGAACGAAAGTAAAGAAAAAGAGAAAAGAGAAGAAAAGAAACGTGGATATTGCTGAAACTGAAATAGCGCGAACGAGAATGCAGACCCGGAAATAGAAACGAAGCGCCGACTGATAACTGAACTCCTGGAATGAGCCGACTACTGTGGAAGGACGAAAACAAGCGAGACAAAAGAGAATCAACGGTCCTGCGTGATTCTCCGGCGTTGGGTTCGGTGCATGTGATAATGGATATGAGTTGGGGTAGCCGCCGGGAGGAATCGCGACGCAAGTTCTTGCCTCCAACGGGCATTGGCATGGGCATGGGCATAGGGTGGTGATATAGTACAATGCGTGGATCAGATTCACCAGTTCAATCCTCCCATATTGTTTCAAGATCTAGGTCTTGCCGACGCTCGGCTCCGCACACACTCCAACGTTTCCGGTATGTGCCTGAGGCCGTGCGCGCATTTGCAAGAGAAGACGGTGCGGACATGTCTGAAACACCCCGCCGTCGACCCAAGCCGCTGGTAGCCTCTGCGTCATCTGCCCTGTCCGCTGCAGCCTTTAACGCAGCTATGCGATCCGATTCAAGAGCTGCCGCTTCGGCATCGGGAATGTCCGGGATGGTCTCGAGGGAAGATATACTCGGGCTGCGCGATCGGAGGCTCGTCGGCGTGGAGGGCATAGAGGAAACAGACGATGTTGAATAAGATGGGAAAGCTTCATTGTATCGGGAGCCGAGGAAAGGTGACGAGTGCGTGGAGGACGGGCTGGTTGGGAGCTGGCTCGAGGGAGAGTGCGGAAAGTGTAAAGGCGATGACGGTCGTCGGCGACCCATCCGCGGCGTACTATAAGACGGGACTGGCGAAGAGGATGGGTTGAGATCCGGAGAATACGTAGACGACGCTGAAGTATCCAGCTCCGCGTGCTCTGATATCGTCTCCGAGATGTTCTTCCGATGGAGCATTCTCGGCTCAAACGAGTCTGCAGTCGACAGCTGCAACGGCAAATAGCGCTTGGGTGTATTGCTGTCCGCCATATTCGTGGGCGCTCCCCGACCGTTGACAAAGATATATCTCCCCCGCGAGTCCAGCCCAGGAGAGGAGTGGGCGCGGATCATGGCCGGTATGCCAGGATCGTCTGCGAGCGATCGCGACCGCATGTGGGAACGGGGAAGCGGCGGGCGACTCGGAGCAGAAGTAGGTGGATCGGGTGTGAGCGACAATGTTATCATGACGTTTCCCGAGCGCCCTGGCTCGCCGACGTCGTCGACCGCGGGTGAACCAGAGGAGCTGGAGGCGAGTGACTCGACCGAATCCACGGGACTGGGAAGCATGAGGCCCCCCGGGCGCGTGCGACTCGGAGACGCTTCCATGGTTACGCTCTCGCTTTCTGTTTCAGTGTCCGGACGAGACCTAGAAGTGTGTTTAAACGGACTGCATCGCGGGTGAAGGAGGGAGAGAGAAGAAAAAGGTTCTTCCTGAAACTTCTGGAGCCGAACCCAAGGGGAATAGTTGGTGTCCGAATTCTTAAGTAGCGGCCCAAGATGGTCAGGGCGTGGAAAAAAACCTTTTCCTCCTTGGACGCGGCAAGCCCCTCGAGTCGTTGGCCCAGTGAGACCCGAAAGTTCGGTGAAGGGAGGCGGGAAGAAGTAGCAAGCAGGGAGAGTGAAAGGGGGAGTCGAGGAGTGAAGAGCAGGTGTTCCTGAGTGGTGAAGTGAAGACTCGCAAGTCACGCACCGAAGGCGACAGAAGCCGGCCAACACCGCCCCAACTAATCCCCAGTCTCCGTCCTGCCGAAACAACCGTCGCTTCTGCTCCCATCTTGGCTCCCTCTGCCCATCTCGTTGTTTCCATCCTTTTCCAATCCAGATTGGCGATTTCACAGGGTTCAGGAACGAATCAGACCGACCGCCAGCTTCAAACACCCAGATGGCGCAGAAAAACAAATCTGCAGCAGCCTGCATGATGACTTACATCAAGGCACGCTTCACTCGTTGCATTGCTTGCTCTAGACCCAAGAACAAACCAATAGTCTGGTAATGATGGCTGTCACTGTCGGGCTGAGTTCTACGATACACATTTTCAATAATCTCGAAAGGCCGAGTTATGCGAATAACGATTAGTCTATATTAGCTGACCTGATACTAGCCAGGAAACAGGAGGTATAACAAATATCAATCCAATTATCAACAGATATGGGAATACAAATGAGAAAACATAAAGTTAGATTTTAGTTGTGCTCGTCCTTGCACATGTCGGCGACGCTTTTTCGTACATAGATCTCCCGAACTGGGTCGCCTTCGAAGTTCTTGATCACCCATTCACCCATTCCAGCTTCTGGTGGCGCAAATCGGACTCCACGTCCTCCACCGCCGAGGATGAGATTCCCTGGACGGTACTTCTCATCCTTCTTCATGCGCCGGATGGCCGACACGTGGATCTGAGCTTCATTAGGGATGTCACGTACTTCTCCGCAGGGCAGCGGCCAGCTGATCGGTTCCCACGATCCGTCCTCACGTAGATCCATGCGGCGGAACGGTAGATACTCCATCAGCTTCCAGCTGATAACTGATAAAATCGGCAAACCACTGCGGAATGATAGACAATCGTGCAGGTAACCTTCAGTGCTGGAGGCAATCAAGGCGGCCTTGAATCTTTGGCTTGACTTGCTTGATTGCTCATGCTCCTCGTCGGCAGAAGTCTCCTTCCCATTGCCGTTATGGTGGTCATGATCATGGGCTGGGTCCCGACACCAGCTCTTTTGCCATTTGACATCTTGAATGGGGCTGTATTCTCCCTCAAACTCTTCGAGACATTCAAATTGCTTCATTTTTGCGGGGTCAAACTCCAAGCCTGCAGCCAGAGCTTCTTGGACCATCCAAACCAATGGTGCGTGACTCAAAGCCCAGCTCTCGCCGTCTGCCAGGGTCCAGCCTCCGCCGATATCTGCGTGTCCGCCAGGGAACCACACCTCCTGAATGTCTTGATCCTGGTCGTTGTCATCGTCTACAACATGGGCTTCCATCGGCACCTGAAGCGAAACTCCAGACTGCCCACTTCGAACTGAGGTAAGGTCCTCTGTGGATCCGGTAGCAATCGGAACAGCGAGGCCAGACCTATTCCTGTTAGCAGGCACCGGTGAGGGGGCACGGTAACGATTTGAGTTGACACTCTCGCGCGAAGCACGTGCGCTCCGATAGACAGATGTGCTGTCATCCTGATCCTGGGGTCCGGTGTTTGCAGCTCCATTAACCTTTTCATCAGCACCCTGGTTATCGTTCAGGACAATCTCCGGCACATTATTGGCGGCGGCTTCATCGTCCTGGTGCTGGTAATGGTGAAGGTGCAAATGGGGATGACGATGCCCGTGCTTTCTCTTCGAGGGTTTGACCTCAGAGATCAAGTCTTGCCGGAACTTAGCCCGGCGTTCGTCAATACCCACAGCATGTCGAATGACCTTGGCGGAACTCCGAGCTGTATATGGAAACTTGCTCCGCTGCATCCATGCCGACTCGAATCTTGGGACACTGTTGACCGTGTCGAACAGACCCATAAATCTGATCCTCGTGATGGGTCGGCTGAATGTTTCTCGGAACGCTTTCATGTAACGAAAGAGCTTCTGTTTCTCCTCCTTGTCTTCTTCACTGTCACCCCCGCGCTGCTGCCACTTTGCGAATGTCTTCCAAGCAAACCGAATCAGTTCCTCATTTCCTGCTTCGAGCAATCCGATGAAATCAAGCATCTCTGCTAAGAAGCGTGCGACATAGGCTCCTCGACTGAAGCCGATGAAGTAAATCTCATCGCCGGGGTTGTAGAATCTCATCAGAAACTTGTACCCTCCCATGACATGCTCATCAAAGGATGACCCGACCGCGGAATCCTTGGCCTTCTGGTACGCAGACTTGATCCGTTGGAAACGGCTGGTATGAGACAGTGTATTAGTCGTTACGTACGTTCCAATCCCTGGTTGGTAATAATGGAACTGATGAGCCCTGCTGCGGTCCAGCATCTTTGGTCCAAATTCGTCAGTAATACTATCGCCAAGCAGGCTGGAGTGGACCTTACTCGAAAGATTTTAAGGACATTACTGTCGGATTCATCTCCGGCGAACTTATTACCTGTGCCATCAAAGCAGAGCACGAACTGCCTTATTGGCCGAGCAGGTCCAAACTGTACGCCTTCCATGGTTGTTCAAGTTGGACACTGCTCCCTTTGAGACTTTAGGGTTGCGGCGAAGAACCGGAGTGATAACTGATAAGAAATTCTGACAGAAGGGGCCGGGATGCAAGTATGCAAGGAGCCAAGATATGTATGTTTGTCTTGGGTGCGGGCGACTACTTGTACAGTGGGATATCAGGCGCTCTCCTTATGGGGCTAAAGAGCAGCACATGCACGAGGATGTCTTTGGCCCTGGCAAAATGGCAAGTCTTTTCGAATCAAAGAGGAGGAATGCGCACGATGCTGTCAAGCCTTACTGGGTTGCGCGTCAGAGTTCCTGCAGCCCTGCCGGTCTTGACTCGCTCGGGAAGTATGCGGGCGAGAAATCGAGCTCACGGGTCTCCTGTTTGTGAGGAAATAAGCGATGGTTGGTCAGGTTGGTCCACACTTGATTTGAGATGTTTCCAGCATGAGATCAGAAGAATAGAGAGTTGGAAGGGGAAAATATTATTTCTCGTGTCGGACTTTTCGTTTCGAGGCTTCAGCTCCGGGAAAAGCGCCCATCTCACTAGTGAGCCCCGGCTAAGAATGCTCCTTTCAACCACCACCTCCCTTCCCCTCGTGGAAGTTCATGTGGGAAGATCTGACTCTCGCGTTTGCTTTTCTCATCCTAGTCAATCAGTTTACTCCGTAAAAGGTTACTTCCGCCTGCAGGTGGTCCGGCGATGAACGTCATTCTCTGCAATTTCCTCATGGGGAGGGTATGCGAACGAGTCCCTCCGGCCGGATTTTCCCAGCGTCACAGAGTGGCTTTGGCGATCTTCGCTAGAGTTTCCATCAAGTGGAGAAACTTTTTGACTCCAGCCATGGGTTTGGCCCGTCTCCCGTCGCCGTCCCAATGTACCAAACCCAGCGCTGTGCAATTACGGATACTCTACGGTGTATTTGCGCCAACCACGCGGACGATATGACGAGGAATGGAGGGAGAGAAATGTCCCTTCCCGAGGACCCATCCCTCTTCCAAATGTCCGACACTCTCCACCTTACTCAGTTGCGATTTGGGAGCAGGATCGACGTTCCCATTGATGCATGAAGGGCTCACCATTGGAAAATCGTGCCGCATTGCCGATACGAAATATCCAGGTTCCAACCTGCGATCGATCGCGACGCTCAGACTTTTTGGAGGGAATGCAAGAACACCAATAAGGTATCCGAACTGATGTAATGGAGGGCCCAGAAAGACCACACATTTGTTAACGCTGAACGCGGTGAGATATTCTTTCTAAAGTCTGTCTCTGTGACAGGGGTGACAAAGTTTGCTTCTGGATTGTTGTGCGACCTATGGAGTCCAACATAATTATTATTCCGCATCGTATCTTCAGAGAAGATCTCTTCCTTCTGGCAATGGCAGCTAATCTCGGCAACTAGTTCGTCAGCAAGCGAACCTAGCGTGATGGACCCACGCCCGAGCGTGACTGTGACGGAGGAGTGGACTCGGAAGGAGCCGATCATTAACCCATGGATTCAACTCGCTGGATCCAAGATCGCAGATGTCCCCGTTCGTGTCAAAAGCAAAGTTCCCCGTCCATGGCGAGCAGGCATCCTGTGGGCAGCCCCAGGGCTTGAATAAGGGTCAATATGCGCCTTGTGTGTCCATGACTGAGTCATAATAATACGGAGAAGTCTGGAACAACTTGTGAGCACACCGAGCCCATGGATTGTCAAGGAGATGGGAACTCCTTGCTGTCGACAGCAATTCTCCCTCTCCCCACAATCGACCAATCGCCAGTCCCGTGATTCGCTCATACGGTCTCGACTACGCGCCCCCAACTTTTCTCCCATGCAAAAATCACCCCTTCAGGTTTCTGCACGCTTGTCGCCCAAGTCCCGACCCCCCCAATAATTATTAATGGCTGCTCCTCGAGATCCCGATCTCTGCTAGTCTTTGACGATCGCTGACGAACACTCCCGCTCTCTTTGGACTAATGTATCTCGCTGATCAGAAAGTTCATCGCGGGTTGCACTCCCCAGAAGTCGGGTCCCTACTCGCGCCGGACGGAAAATACGACGTACTAATGACGATGATCTTGTAGCTCGACGCATGGGAAATATCGTGAGATCCACCTCGACGCCGAGAAGCTGCATCACAGCGGAGTCTTCCAAGCTGGTGCTTTTTCCTTCTGCAGTGCGTCCCCTCCAATCCAATTTTTCTAACTCAGGGTTCAGCTCCGAGTTTGCCGACCCCTCTCGAGTTCCTTCTGTAACAAGGTCGCAACTTTACCTTTTTTTTTTTTTTTTTTTTTTTTGCGCGAATCATTCGTGCCTTGCTTGTGATATAAGAACGACTCAGCACGATCACTTGTCTTCCGCAATCGAAAGCTGAGATCGCCTTGAATATGCCCGTCAGAGATTCAGAGCCCCCAATCATCCTGCACAAACAGTCCCTCGCGCTTGCGTTCCGACGAAAGCTTGGGCCATGGAGAACTGAGGGTCGAGGTGGAGAGTCGATCCATCCCACAGGATTGGCGTCGGCGCCGTCGAAAACTCGAAATCCCTACCAAAGTCGCGGTTTGAGATGAGTCTGACAATAATTGCATTCTGCAAGCCGATGCGTCGCTTTCCTCTCCTGGTAATTTGCATTTCCTGAGCATCAAATTTCTTGCTCAAAGCTCCACAGCGCTTCCATCCAATGGTGTAAGATTTTACGGGCTGTCTGAGTGTTCGTGGCTGGCGGAACACACTGTCCCCATTGACCCAAAATCAGCTGAACCGTGTAAACTGTGGATGCATTATTCTCATCATGCTTGCCCAGTGGTGAGCTTTGACGTGCGGAGCTTCTCCCGCCCACCCATCCTATGGGAGAGCTGCGATGTTACTTTGAGGGAAGCGCTGAGGCGAAGAGCTTCCGCCGTCCCAGCTCCCGATCCCATGAACCCAAAAGGATCGAAACAAATCATGTCCAAATGATTGCCCCCTTTCATCGAGGTCCCCACTCTTTTACTCCCGAAGTTTCTGGGCAACCATGGACCCGAAGAAGACGGTGTGAGCTCAGGTCACGACTGCCGCTTCGGCCACACCTAATCAGCATCCACTCAATCATAAGCATAATATCATAAAGCTCGACCCCTGTCCGCTCGTGCGTGACCCTCCTTGTAAAGACAGTTCCACTGCTTTTTCTCTCTCTCCTCCTTTTAGCTCTTCGAATCGGTGCTCTTCGGCAAGCGCGATCTTCTCAGGCACGAGGTGTAACCTAGTCTATCTTGAAGCACGACTGCGAGACTCCTGAGAGCTGTACTAGCACACGTGGAGACACTTTCTCTTTAATCGGCACTCCCAGGGGCCCGACTTGTTTTATAATAGTGTTTATTTTTTTTTTTCCTTCGCCGCTTTGTTATCTTAAAACCGCGGCTGCCCCTCTAATTGATTTCGTCCTTTCGCCTTTTCTCTTTGTACCTCCTCTTTCCTGATACCCACCATGTTGCGAAGATTCTCTACTACTTTCAAAAAGAAGGGCGACAAGGCCGAGAAGGCCGACCGCGAGCCGAAGGCCAACGGCACTGCCCAAAGCAATGGCGCCGCACCCGCGGCCAACGGCAACAGCAAGCGCCAGTCCAAGGTGCCGGCTCCGCGCAGGCCATCATCGGATAGCGGCAACAGTGCTGAAAGCGAAGACACTGCCGCTGTCTTCGAGAAGTTTGCGCAGGTGCTCCATGCTTCGTCCCGTCCGATCCCCCACCAGGGTGGCGAGGCTGCCTACCTTGAAAAGGAGCACCCCTCTGGCTTTTTCAGTGATTTGAAGTCTCTCGGGTTGAAGGACTTTTCTTCGTTGAAAGATGTGATCAAGACCAAGATCAATGGGGAGCTGACGGATGACAAGACGATGATCATGGAGCGTGTTATTCAGATCGTCAGCAGTCTGCCCTCGAACTCGAAGATGCGAGTGGACCTTACGAACGTGTTCCTTGATGAGCTCTGGGGCTCCCTGCCTCACCCACCGCTCTCATACATGGGTAACGAGTACGCCTACCGATCTGCTGACGGCTCCAACAACAACCCCACTCTTCCATGGCTCGGAGCCGCCAACACGGCCTACTCGCGCTCCATTGAGCCCTTGACCGTCCAGCCGGGAGGCCTTCCCGATGCCGGTTTGGTTTTCGACACTCTCTTCGCTCGTGAGAAGTTTACGCCTCACCCGAACAAGGTTTCCAGTCTTTTCTTCGACTGGGCTTCTCTGATTATTCACGATATCTTCCAAACTGACCACAGAGACTACACCAAGAACAAGACCTCTGCCTATCTTGATCTGTCCATTTTGTATGGTGACGTTCAGGAAGAACAGGACCTTGTCCGTACACACCAGGATGGAAAGCTGAAGCCAGACTCATTTTCTGAGCCACGTCTCCAGGCGTTCCCCGCTGCCTGCTGTGTTCTTCTAGTCATGCTAAACAGGTTTGTTTGCCTTGGATGCCACTTTTGGGACTTCTGGCTGATATCTCTAGATTCCACAACCATGTTGTCGAAGAGCTTGCAGCCATCAATGAGAATGGCCGCTTCACCAAGCCTAGCCCAAATCTTCCCGAGGAACAGGCTAAGAAGGCCTGGGCCAAGTACGATGAAGACCTCTTCCAAACTGGACGACTTGTCACCTGTGGTCTTTTCATCAACATCACCCTGTATGATTACCTGCGCACAATTGTCAACTTGAACCGAGTGAACAGCACCTGGTGCTTGGACCCTCGTGCCCAGATGGAAGGTGGTGCTACTCCTGCTGGTCTTGGTAACCAATGCTCTGTTGAGTTCAACCTGGCCTACCGCTGGCACTCTGCCATCAGTGCCAACGACGAGAAGTGGACCGAACAGGTCTACGAGGAGCTCATCGGAAAGCCTGGTCATGAAGTGAGCACTCAGGAGCTTCTCATGGGACTTGGCAAGTACGGTATGAGCCTTCCAAAGGATCCCTCCCAGCGTACCTTCGCGCATCTTAAGCGTCAGGAGGATGGTACCTTCAAGGATGATGAGCTTGTCCACATCCTAACCACCGCTATTGAGGATGTCGCCGGTTCGTTTGGTGCAGGCAACGTGCCCAAGGTTCTCAAGGCTGTTGAAGTCCTTGGTATTGAACAGGGCCGTCAGTGGAACGTCGGCTCTCTCAACGAGTTCCGCAAGTTCTTCGGTCTTAAGAACTACGAGACCTTTGAGGAGATTAACTCCAACCCCAAGGTTGCTGAGTCTCTCCGAAGCTTGTACGGCCACCCCGACTACGTCGAGCTGTACCCCGGTATTGTCTCTGAGGAGGCCAAGGAGCCCATGATTCCCGGTGTCGGTATCGCTCCTACCTACACCATCTCCCGTGCGGTTCTATCCGATGCTGTGGCGCTCGTGCGTGGTGACAGACACTACACTGTAAGTTTACGGCTTTCCCGTGGCAAATCGTGTTGCTAACTTGGACAGGTCGACTACAACCCTAGGAACTTGACCAACTGGGGTTACAATGAGGTCCGCTACGACCTCAACATTAACCAGGGCTGTGTTTTCTACAAGCTCGCCCAGCGCGCGTTCCCCAACTGGTTCAAGGCTGACTCCATTTACGCCCATTACCCCATGACCATTCCCAGCGAGAACAAGGTGATCATGAAGAACCTTGGCCGCGAGTCTCACTACTCATGGGACAAGCCCGAGTTCCAGGTTCCTCGCGTGAACCTGACCTCCTACTCCAATGTTAAGCTCGTCCTCGACCAGCAGAAAGACTTCCGCGTGGTTTGGGGCGACTGCACTCCCATCCACTCTGGTAAGGGTGGTGAGGACTTCTGGAGTAAGACTCTGAATGAAGACCAGTGGAAGAAGAGCATTAAGGAGTTCTACGAGAAGACAACTCTAGAACTGCTCGCAGAGAAGTCGACCAACCTTGCAGGAAGGAAGCAAGTCGACATTGTCAAGGAGTAAGTACCCGCGTATAGGATTAAATCAGTGATGGACTCTAACTTTGATCAGCGTTGGCAACATCGTTCCGGCTCGCTTTGCCTCGAAGCTTCTTTCTCTTCCCCTGAAGAGCAAGGAGAACCCTAAGGGTACTTTCACCGACTACGAGATCTTCATGTCTCTCGCTGTTATTTACACTGCCATCTTCTTTGATGTCGATATCACCAAGTCCTACCCTCTCCGCCAAGCTGCCAACGCCATTTCTCACCAGCTTGGCCACCATGTTGAGAGCCATGTCAAGTCTGTCAGCTCTCCTGGCTTCCTTTCTAAGATCATCAACAACTTCAACGATGACCACAACGCTGTTCAGGAGCTTGGTGACCAGCTCATAAAGCGCCTGGCAGAGAGCGGCTTGGGTACCTCCGACATCACCTGGGGCCAGATCCTACCCACTGCAGTTGAGCTTGTTCATGGCCAAGCCCAGATGTTCACTCGTGTGATCGAGTACTACATCAACGATGGCAAACAGCACCTGGCTGAAGTCAGCAACCTTGCTAAGCAGGATTCCGCGGAATCTGACAGCAAGCTGACCCGCTACGTCCTCGAGGCCGTCCGCCTGAACGCCGGGTCTGGAGCCTTGCGCAAGGCTGAAGCCGACCTCTACGTTAAGGAGGGTGACCGTGATGTGAACATCAAGCCTGGTGACGAGATCTTCATTGGCTCGGTGAGTGTTCCCTTTATAACATATTTGTCAAACTCCGCATCCGACTAACACCTTTTAGACCCAGGCAAACCGTGACGCCACTGCCTTCCCTGACCCTGAGGAGGTGCGCCTTGACCGACCCGACGAGTCTTACCTCAACTACGGCATCGGCTCCCAGGTCGGCCTCGGTAAGGATGCTACTCTTACCGCGGTGACCGCCATGATCCGCGCCGTCTTCAGTCTGGACAACGTCCGTCCCGCCCCTGGTCGCCAGGGTGTTCTCAAGAAGGTCGTCCGTCCTTCTGGATACACAGCTTACATGCGCGAGGACCACGGTGCATTCTCTCCTTTCCCTACGAGTAGGTTCTTTGTCCAGTCACACTAAGGGCCTTTACTAACCTCATTCCAGCTTTCCGCGTCCACTTCGACGGACAAGTCCCGACCTCCAAGAAGCAGGTTACGTCTTCGTAATACCCCAACTAGCTGAAGACTAGTTGATGACGTCTTAATGCGTGATATTTGGCTTGAGATATCTATTTGTTATTTTATACTACTCCGTATATAGTCCGTCCTAATATATGCACTGTACTGTTTAGACTTAGTTGGCCCCAATTTTGTACCAAACTGAAAAAATATCATTTGCGACTTCACCGCCTTCGAGCTCCCCACTTTCCTTCAGCTGTAGTCAACCTCCTCCAAAATAACTCCACTACTCCGTGCTTGTCCGTCCCCTTTCCACCATACAACAACCAAGTCTGGAGCATCTGCCTCAATAACTTACGATCCAAAATGCCGCCCAAAGCAGCCAAAGGTGAATACATCGAAACGGTACGCGCAAATCCCTCGATTAACTAATTCCCCCCTCAACCCCGCACAATCAACAAAACACTAACAAACAAAAAAAGGATACGGGAAACAAAATCTCCCGCCGATCCCAAATCCATGGAACACAGCACATCATGCTCGGTGGAAAATCCATCATCATGGCGGACGCTGTCGTCCGCGGCGACCTCTTCCGCACCTCCTCATCCTCCTCATCCTCAAACCCGGACCCCAAATCCAGCAGCGGCGGCAGTAGCAGCGGAAACTCAAACACGATCGCTATCAACATCGGCCGGTACAGCTTCATCTCGCGCTCGGCGATCCTACGCCCTCCCTCCCGTCTCCACCGCGGCGTGCACAGCTATTTCACCCTCCATATTGGACACCATGTGTTTGTCGGTGAGCGGAGCGTGATTGAGGCGGCGCGGGTGGAGGACCATGTGACGATTGGGAAGGATGTGGTTGTGGGGTCGATGGCGATTCTGAAGGAGCGGTGCCAGGTCCTGGATGGGGCGGTTGTGCCGGCGGGTATGGTGGTGCCGAGTCATTGTGTTGTTGGCGGGCAGCCGGCGAGGATTGTTGGTGAGGTGCCTATTGCGTATGGGGTTGAGGGAGTGGAGGGGGGATTGAGTAGGGAAAGATATAGGACTGTGAGGTGATATGATATATATCCTTGTTGATCAAGGACCTAGATGGTTTGGAGTTTGGGTTTGTTTAGATGCTGTATTATACCCCCGATGTATGTTTTCTTGAATTGATTGCAGAGACAGATTGTCGATTACTTCGTAAGGACGCCTATAATAGTTCTCGATATATGTACAAAACGATTCTAATCCATCTTATACACTAAAAGCTCTCGTTTAAGTCTGTTCTCGCCCTCCTGGTACGGAATACCCGCCTCTTCACGGGCCATGTCGTTGAGCCAGCGCTCGTTCGGCTTAATGACCTCACCCTTCGAAAGCTTCGAAGCGACATACAGCCAGTTCAGCGAGTTACCGACCGTGCTCACCTCATCACACACGTGGGCCAGGGCAAACTTATGCATCTTGTTCCACAAGCTATCATCAGTGCAGAGGTCAAAAAGATGGTTAGCCACGGCGTCGGTGTCTCCAACATCAACCAGGAAGCCATTTCCCTTGTCGATTACCTGCAGCGGGATGCCGCCAGCCTTGGTAGCGATGACAGGTCTGCCCTTGTGAATGGCTTCGGAAACCTTGACTTCGAAGCCTTCCCGTGTGGAGAGCTGGAGGGCAACTTTGGCTTTGGACATCACTGCGTTGAGCACCTGGTCGGAGGGGCCGAGCCGGACGATACAGATCTGGTCGGCAAGTTGGGGGATGGAACTTTCGATGTGGGTTACCACCGAGTCGTAGATGATGGAGCCGTCTGGGTCATCGACGGACCCGTGGCCGCAGATAAGAAGCTTGGGTGGCACTCTGTCCGGCGCAGACTTCCTCATGCGCTCGTAGAACTTTTCGTAGGACTCTACGACATCTGGAATGCCCTTGGATGGGTCGAAGCGTGCGACCTGGACAATGTACTCATCTGCTATCGTTAGGGCTAACCTTTCCTTATCATGCTATATCAGAACTTACCCGCGGGATAGTCGATAACCGGCATTCCCGAGTTTCTAACCATCGAGTTGAACACACGTCCGTAGTATGCCACGTCCTCCTCCCTCATGGACTTGTTCAGACCATCCAGCCAGTCTGTCGATGCAGGCATATAGGCTACCGTCTCGGGAGGAACCGTATGGGGTACGAATGTTTTCACGGGGTGACTGACGAATAGATCCGCCTGTTGGATGGTTTCCCACATCCGACCCCAGCATTCCTCTTGTGGGCTCCCTTTCTGAGCTACCAGGTCACTGCGGATTTGGATATGGCTCCGGAAAATCACTGGTCTGCTTGGGGCACTCTGCTTCGCCAATGGAATCAGTGAAGGCATTTGTGGGTCGTCAATGATGATAACATCTGCGCCCCCCTCCTTGGGATGGACGAGAGGGCCGCCGGAGCGCAGCCAGTACCTATCAGTGTTTTCTTGAATCCAACTGGTGACCTGCTCCCAGTTTTCTTTACTCAGACGCTCCTCAGGCGCAGAGACGCCCTGAAGTATATTATGGTTCGTCTTGGTGATGCGGAAGACGCCCGGTCGTGGCTTAGGCACATACCTAGGGCTGGTCAGAAACAAGAACGGCAAGAGCACAGCAGGGGGCCCACCATTTCATATCCGTTCCTAGAGCGTGAGAGAATCTGACCATGGCGTGTCTCATGAGGGCAACACCTCCGCCTTGCGGGGTGGCGCTAAAGAAGGCAATTTTGATCTTCCTCTTCTTGAGGTCGTTGGCGTAATGCTCGATGGCCTTCCAGGTGCTGGACGTCACAGATTCCTCGTAGTTCTTTCTATTGGTCAATTGCACATGGAAGCCGGTATCGACCTGAACAAGGCCAGAAAGGCCGACTTGCAGCAGGGGAATACCCTCTGGACCAAACAGTCTATACTTGGTCAGTATATGACAGTATCAAAGCAGTACAGTACACGAACCGCACGCATTTCCGAGCCATAGACTCCGCCTGCTCATCCAACGTCCTCAATTCCCAATCCATGGATTTCTGGAATTCATATCGTAGCTCTTCACCACCAAGTGAAAGCTTGCTATCGTCCGAGAGGACAAGTGGGATAATGTCGAGATCGAGCCAGAGACGTGAGCAGACAGTGGGACATTTGTCGGCCAGTTGCTGCGGAATAGCCAGGCCAATGATCTTCTCTAGATGGGCATCACACCATTTGTGTAAGTGCCCCATCATGTGGTCACCAATCTGCTTATCCAAATTGCCATCGCTCTGCAGCGGTAGCTCCTCTTGCGCAAAGTCGACCAGGTAGGTTGCATCACGGATCGCGACGGCGAAAATCACCTTGTCCTTCTCGAAAACGGCCGACAAACCGCCATATATAGTCTACAAACGTTAAGACTTCTCCTTCGAGCACAGAGGCCAAGCTCAAATGCGTACCCCCGCTATTGCGTTACCCCACGAATTAGGGTGGCATTCTGTGGATAGGCGGCGCTTTTGCTGCACCGAGGCGCGGCGGCCCGGTGCAATGCTGCCATCGGCCATGTTTTTAGGAGTCTAATGAATCGTAGAAGGTTGTCTATACAGCATTCAAAAGGCTAGGTGGTGGTGATAATTCTTAGGAGACGTGGATTGAGGTACATGGGCGGAACCACGGAAGTATATATGGGGGTGGCGGTTGTGACCTCACCAGTGAATGCAATGACGTAGAATTGAAGCAATCACTGGTGCTTACTGAATCCGAATTCGATGCAAACAAAAAGACCCCTGGGGGAATGAACTTGAGTTAAGCATTTGGATTGATGAACTGTTCAATTGATAACTGTTGTGTTCTCGACACTATGGAGCTCGCTCTCTCTCAAGCGTATGGTATGGGGGTGGGGTGTTATTGAGACGTCCATGATAACAGACAGCAGTCGCTGCGGAGTGTCTGTACTGCCTGGGCTGTCTAAACATGTCTGATCGACAACCAAGGAATGAATCTGATGATTCGGTGTCGCATCTGTAGATGCAGGGGTGGAATGAAGATGAAGAGATGAAACACGGACGTTCTTGGCAGACCGGGGGCGCTGAGTCAGCATCGCCAGCCCCTTTTACGGAGTTGGCGAGATTAAGGACAGCGACACTTGACACCGAGTCGAAAGAGACCGCCTCGTGTGGATCTTGTTGGAACCCCGAATTTATTCGGTGTCGCTCACCTCAATTGACACTTCTGTCGCTTAACTTGCTTTCTCCCCTCCCCCCCCAAGCAAGCTCTGTCCGCCGGCCGCTCACGACCACTATCACCCTAAAGCCAAGGTGAGTTTATCCCAACCGCTGCCAATCTCCCATGTGTCCCCCCGACTCCCCTGCCAACTGCGCATGAAATGACAACAGCCACGTTCGCTGATTCCGAGTAAACAGAACCCTTACTTCACCTCAACCTCGCATTTCTCCCTTACTTGCGATCATTACCCTCCCCGTTGCCTCAATTCAGCTCAATCGCAATCTACAACACCTTCTCTCGCGACCTCTTAAGCACCAACATACAATTTCCCCCGCAGTCGCGTGATATCCGTCAAAATGGGTGGCTCAGTATCTAAGATTATGGGCAAGATCTTTGGAACGAAGGAAATGCGGATTCTCATGCTGGGTCTCGACGCTGCTGGGAAAACGAGTATGTTTACTTCAAGTCCCGAGCTGGAAATATTTACTGACCCCATTAGCAATTCTTTACAAACTTAAACTCACCAACCAGGACGTCACCACCATCCCCACAGTCGGCTTCAACGTTGAGAGCGTCACCTATAAGAACGTGAAATTCAACGTGTGGGATGTGGGTGGTCAGGACAAGATCCGTCCTCTATGGAGACACTACTACTCAGGCACCCAAGGCTTAATCTTCGTTGTGGACTCTAGCGACACGGCCCGAATGGAAGAGGCCCGCTCGGAACTGCACAAGATCATCAACGATCGCGAAATGAAGGACGCTCTCCTACTCGTGTTCGCAAACAAACAGGATGTCCCAGGCCGTAAGTTCCCTCGTCCATATGTGAAGTAACTATTGCTAACATATCGCAGATCTGAGTCCCGACGAGGTCATCAGTTCGCTGAAACTCCACAGTCTAAAGGACAAGGTGTGGTATGTTGCGCCCAGTGTTGCTACCGATGGTACTGGTATCTTTGAGGGATTAGCATGGCTCTCAAACAACGTCAAGATCCAACAGCCCCCGAAATGAACCACGATCCCTTCCGCATAATTCGAGGGGACCCCGCTACGGTCCTTATGTACAAAAGCAACAACAACAACAACGCGCTCAATCCCTTATTTTCCAATCCTTCCAACTATACCATTCCATCGAACCCGTTTGTTGAATGTCCGTTTTGATGACAGAAGACGCAGCCTTTGGATTCATTTCATTACTTTTCCTTTCTCTGTTTATTTATGCCTATGCCACTGCCTTCTTATTTCTTATGATATCCCACTGTTTCTTTGGGTTTCGTCCAATACCCTTTTTAATCAATCATTTCCGATTTCATTTCTCTTTGATTGTTGGCTCGTTTTCGTGTCTTGTAGAGAAAGCATCTAATAGATGGAAATTGACTACATATACATACATATATATACATGAATATATTTTTTTACATCTGATTATCCTGTTGTACCGTTATCTATTATGTTTAGATGCTTAGAATAAGAGAGTCGCAAGGACTTTAACCGGTAGTTTAGACTATATACAACTATTCTTAGGCTTTCATACAACTCATACCCATCATATTCATGTCCGGAGTTTCAGCAAATAACAAAAGGGAGAAAAGAAGTTTACAGCTGTCCAGGCCAGATATCATCCGCAATATCCCTAACAAGCTGCAACTTCTTGACCATCCCCTCGCGATCAATGAGGTTACCCTCACGGTGACTAGCAAAGCCACACTGCGGGCTAACACCAACCTGATCAAGCGCCTGCTCCAGGGTAACTCCATTACCCTCGGCAATGAACTTGGCGGCATCATAGACGCGCTTCTTCATCTCCTCCTTATCCTCAAGCTCGGGGAACTTGGAGGTTACGACACCGAGGATGACGTTCTTGTTGCGGGGCAGCTCCTTGAGCGGCTCGAAGCCGCCGGCGCGCGGGGTGTCGTATTCGAGGTAGTAGGTGTCGACGTGGAGTTCCTTGAAGAGCTTGGTGGCGATACGGTCGTAGCCGCCCTCAGAGAAGTGGCGCGAGCCGACGAAGTTGCCGCGGCAGAGGTGGACGCCGACGTGGAAGTCGGAGGGACGCTTGGCGAGGCAGTCGTTGTACAGCTTAATGTATTTCTCGAAAGTCTCGTCGGCGCTGTACTTGTTGAGCTTGTCTTCCTCCCAGCCCTTGAGCATCTTGTCGGAGCAGAAGTCTTTGTTTCAGGCATTGTCAGTGGGTGTAAATAAGTTTGGATTGGTTTAACAGAACGTACAAGCAAGGTTAGGGTCATCGAATTGGACATTACGGCAGCCAGCGTCGTACAGGATCTGGATTTCGTCCTGGTAGGCCTTGGCAATGTCGGCGAAGTACTCATCGACATTGGCGTAGACGTCCTTGGGGAAGGCGAAGCCCTCGCGGTAGCGCAGGTGGTACCAATTGGGGGCAGCAAGGGTGATCTTCAGGTTCTTGACCTCCTCGGGGGCAACGAGGCTAGCGAGGTACTTGAACTGGTCGACATATGTGCTGCCGACGTGCTTGATCTTGCCTGTGCAGAAGACGCTCTCGCCGGGCTTGTGGCCAGCCTCGAGGAAGGCGGCGACATCGGGGGCGTAGGGGCGGAAGACATCTGGGTTAGGGTCTTTGACCTCATCGAACCCGTCGAGGCCAGGGAAGAAGGAGCCCCAGAACACTGTCCGCAAGGTTCTCAGTTAGTAAGGGTATATTAACCGTGGGGAGGGCGCCGCCGGAGGGTGGGGTTTTGCATTCTTGTTTCGGCTCTGTTCTTTGGCTTCCAACTTACTGTGTCGGCAGTACTCTCCATCTGAGAGGGCAGGGAAGCGCAGCTTCTGCTGGAGCTCGACGACATCCTTGATATCCTTCTTCTCGATGGCCTCGAGGTCGGCTTGGGAGGCCTTGCCATTCTCGAAGGCAGTCTTGGTGTCAAGGAGCTCGTGAGTACGGAGAAGGGAGCCGAGATGCTCGACGCGGAACGGGGGGTTGCGGTGGAGAGACATGGTGAAGTTTTCTACGCTTGGTTGTCAACGCTTAAATTTCAGACTGACGGGGAGGACGAGCAATGGGCTTACCAGGTACAAATACGCTGGCTAGGAGGAAGAGGAGAGAGGGATCAGGGAAGAGGCCAGAGGGGAGGATGAGGGGCAAGAACTGTTCGGCCCATGGCACAGCCAACACTGCCGAGTTCAACAAGCGAGTCGAGGGGAGGAATGGATTCTCCCGTTCAAGCCTTGAGCGCCTCATGGAACCAAAACCAGCCCGCCCCACCACCGGATCTCTCCACATTCAGTATCAACGTGCGCTTTGTTCGTTTGACAGGCGCCAGGATCGGATCCTGGGCGGCCTGAGCTGAAGGGTTGTCTGGTCGAAAGAATTCCATGATGTCATGGTCGTCGCAAAGCGCTGCAGGTACTGTCATCAGAAGAGAGATGAAATGAGGTTGAACTTGAAGCTCGTAAGAAGAAAATATGCGATGTGGGGCACGAGCTGCGACGCGTGGAGATCCATGCTGGCAGCCCTGAACTCTGACCGGAGAGCGGGAGACAAGACCTCAAATCACGGCCTTTACAAGATATATCGACAGTCGGATTTTGTGCCGGCATGGACTCGTCATACAGCGGAAAAGGGAAACCCTCAAGATAGCACTGCCAGCGCGAAAGACACTGTGGGCGATGATGCCAAGCTCCTCTTCCCCGCCTGGGGTTTTCCCGGCGGTTCTCTCGCTGGAGGATAACTACGGCGAGCCTCGCCGTATGTGCAGTGTACGCAGTTCTGAGGTCTCCGTATCCCAGGGACCATGTGTGATCCCCATGGAAATCATGCCTTTAAACACAATTTTTCTTCTCTAGGCTCTCTTGTCCGTTTGCAGCCAGAACGCATGATCGCCGATTTGTCAGACAACCTTCTGTCACCTGAGGAACTTCTCCGATAGGCCAGGCCCAGCGGGAGCCGGAAAAACACGAGGACATGACACCTTTATCAAAGCATGTCAAGTGCAGCAAACCAATCGAAGCTTCAGCCACGAGGCCAGCGGTGGTTAGTCATTGTGTCTCCCAAAGTCAAAGCCCACGACGTCAAAAATACCCCCTCTGCAATGCCTGAGAATAAACCACCTATCTCAACTCGTAGACTGGCCTCAGAAATGCCCTGACCATCTGGCAAAAAAGAAGAAACTGCCATAGTCAAAATGAAGGCCATCCTTATATCACAATTCGGACCCCCCTCCGTCCTAACCATAACAGACATCCCCACCCCAACCCCCTCCCCGGGGGAAGTCTTAATCAAAGTCACCGCGTTCGGGGTCAACCACGCCGAGATGCACATGCGCAAAGGCGAATGGGCCGAATGGACGCCCATCAGTGGCATCGAATGCGTCGGGACAGTCGTCTCCTGCTTCTCCGGAGAATTCGAGCCCGGGACTCGCGTCGCCAGTTTAATGGGCGGGCTGGGCCGTACAATCAACGGCTCGTATGCGGAGTATACAGTTGCCAAGGCGTCGAATGTGGTGCCGCTTGGCGAGGCCGCGAAGACGTTAAGCTGGGCGCAGCTTGCCGCGATTCCGGAATCGTATGCGACGGCTTGGACGTGCTTGTTTAGGAATCTGGAGGTGAAAAGGGGGCAGAGGCTGTTGGTTCGGGGAGGGACGTCAGCGTTTGGGAGGGCTGCTGTGAATCTTGCTGTTCAGGCTGGGGCGCGTGTTACTGCGACGACGAGGAATGAGGCCCGGAGAGCGGATCTGAAGGCTCTGGGTGTTGAAGGTGTTGAGATTGAAAAGCCTGAGCTTTCGGGTCATCTTGCGAGGCAGTTCGATGCGGTTCTTGATCTTATTGGGAACAGTACGATTGTTGATTCGTTGAAGCTGGTGCATCGAGGTGGGAGGGTCTGTCTAGCTGGGTTTCTGGGTGGGCTGGCACCTGTTCCTGATTTTAATCCGCTTCTTCAAATGGCCAGTGGCGTGCATTTCAGCTTCTTCGGAAGCTTTTCCTTTGGGACACCGGAGTTTCCTCTGTCAGATGTTCCCTTGAAGGAGATTGTTAATATGGTGGCAGAGAAAAAGTTCAAAGCGGAGCCGTCGCGGGTTTTCAAGTTTGAGGAAATTCAGGAAGCACATCGCGTGATGGAGGAGAATCAGGCGAATGGGAAGATGGTGGTCGTTGTTGATTAACTGACATACAGGTAGTGTATTTGTCTTAATTGGCCGAATTCCATAAAAGTGACTTATTGGCACGTTATCCGTACTTTACTCTCCTCACCAACTATCTATGCAACACACCAAGTGCATTATCATTAATCAACGCAATCCCCTTCTCCCGAAACGTGTCCGGTTCCGCGTGGCTAGTCACATTGGCATCAAAAACAAAGTCTTGCGGGTCTTCCAGGTCGTATTTTGGCCACTTGGGAATCTTGTCATCCCGCCCGTTATACTTATTAGGATCCAGGTCATAGATGAAGCTCGCCCAAGAAGAACTCATCAAATCGGCAAGGTCAATGTAGCTCTGGCCCTTACCCTCAAACGGCAGGATATCTGGTCTGTAGCCTACGCCCTCGAGGTTGTTGAACATGAAGCTGACCTCTTTAAAGTGGCCGGCCCCAACCTCGGGGGGAACACCGGCTGGTAGGGCATTGAATCTGTACGCGTATGCGGGGAGTCCATGGGAGGCCCATGTCCTGGACGTCTCTCGTCTCGACGCGATGAAGTAGTAGTCGCCCCAGAATGAGGCGCTTCGACGGAACTGCGCACCGTAAGGTGGTGCTGGGCGCTGGTCGCCTAGGCTGGCAACGACGTTGACGGATAGATCGTCTGTGTATGCCTCGAGGATGGCATCCTGAAATGAAAGAGGTAGAAATTTGGATAATGTAACTTTAAAGTCCTCGGTAGTGTTGATTCCAGTTGGGCCAAGGGAGGCGCCTTCATCGCTGTTTGCACCAGTAATGATGGGCACTTTGACGAATTGCCCTTCCTTAAGTTGCTGACTGCCATAGTTTCGGACAAAGTCACCGTCTATTGTAGGTGCAAAACTCCCAGTTTCGCTATGTTTGCCTATCGTAGCATTCAGTTTCAAGAAAGGAACCTCGCGCAGGCATTGGACCTTGTCCCAAGCGTCGTAGCATCCAACTGCCGACACAACAGAGTCGAAGTAGGTTTGGGAGCTCTGTGTTCCGTTCTGGGCCCCATAATAAATTGGGTTTCCTGACTGCAATATCGCTGCTCGGAAGAGGCTATCATCACGACCGCCGTAGGCAGTAAGCTATGCTCGTCAGCCAACACGACATTCATCTCGAACATGATTACTTACTTGGAAGCCAACGGAGGCAGCACCGGCAGATTCGCCAAATATTGTCACCTTTCTAGGATCTCCCCTAAAGGCTGCGATATTCTCCTGAACCCAGTGCAGAGCAATACGCTGATCTCTAAGACCCAGGTTTGTGATGCCTTCTCCCACGACTTCATTAGAATGGAGGAATCCCCACGCACTGAGTCTATAATTGACTGAGACACCAACGATCGGTTTTCCTATTTTGACTGACTGCTCCACGATAAATGAAAGATTGTAACGCTGGTCACCGCCGCCACCATTGACAAACCCTCCACCGTGAATCCAGAAGCCTACTGGAAGCTGTTTCTGCTCGAAACCGGCGGGGCGAACAACATTCAGATAGAGACAGTCCTCGGATTGGTTATAAAATGTTTGGTCGAGCTGTCCATGATCATTAGCATCAATTCAATGTTCTCCCCTTTTGGTGAACACACCCCATATCCAGCGCAAAGGAGGGAGTAATCTTTCGCATCCCTACTGCCCTCCCATGTTGAGTTCAAGGACTGGGGTAACTGAAATCTGAGGTTATCCACAGGCGGTTGCGCGAAGGGAACTCCTAAAAAGAAATCTTGGTCGTACTCAGGTGAATACACCCCTTCGTATGTTCCGTTCTTGACATGCGCTTTGGGTAGCCCGGAATCACCCCGTCTGGATGGGGTAGCTGAAGCCCCTATCGCCAAAGTTAAAAGGGCAGTAATAAATGTCCGCATTTTATCGAGTATAGGTGGCACATACTCGGTCAATAACTAGGGTTGTGGGATGATCCATGGGCCACCCCAGCGTATTTATACTGGCCAACTCGTGTAGGATATGAAGCCATCGCTGTCTAGTTCGACTATCCCGAGGTTATTCCGGGTCAGACGGGACATTAACCACACTAGTAGTCAGTAGCTATACCAGTAGAGGTATTCAGCTTGGAGTGAGGAGCCCCGCATCCCCAGAAACGGTCAACAGGGCCAATGCCGGGGGTGGGCCGGTTTTAGTCTCGTTCATATCGGATATCGGTCAAATCCCCGAAGGCGAATCCTTGAAATCCAAAAAAGTCGGTCTCTTCTCACACATATTCTGCTCATGCCTTTGTCGACATTGTGACTGCGCTCGGTGTTGCCATCCGAAGTCCGATGGCTCATACCGTTAGCGTGCCGCCAGTCCAGCATCGTTCACCCTAATCCGTCTCCAAATTGCATCATTTGACTTCAGTATAGAGCACCTCGGACATTTGACTCAAAATGAACTAGTGATCCATTCATTCTCCACCTATATCGCAGCCTTGAGGCCTAAAGAGCTCTATCACTGTCGTAAGCGGATGACCGAATTGGCCCCTATAACGCAGTCGGGCCTAGTGCAATGAAGCAATCCGCACTGAAAGGTCAGGAAGCGTCGTTCTATAGCCCAACAGAAGAGGATATACCAACATAAAACTCGAAATGCTCCTGGGGAAAAGTGTACAGTCCATCAAGAACGTTCCACTCCATGAGCAGAATGGAGCCACCTTCATTATTCAGGCACTTTGGTGAATGAAATACAGAGAGATGGTAAGACGTTGTTCTCGAAGGATGGAGAAGAAAATGGCTCTACGTCTTTCTTCACTGCTACACGTGACTGGCAAGACTATCTAGAGAAGCCTGTGTGTTATTACATGATCTCGTTGAATTCAAGTATCGCTATCGCAACCAGTCTTCACTATTCTATGTCAGCAATTACCAAGCTGTATGTCCCCCGTCCACAACAACCGTGCTTCCTGTCATGAAGCTACTCGCATCGCTCATCAGAAGCAGTGTAACACCTCTAAACTCCTCCGGCCTCGCCAGCCGCCTCATCATATTCTCAGATTCCCAGATGCCTCTTGTCTCCGGCTCCTCTGCCATGATCTTCTTCACCATCGGCGTTTCAATGTGACCAGGACACAGACAATTAACACGAATACCACCGACACCGTCTTGATAAACCTCTGACCACTCCATCGCCAGGCTCCGAGCGAGCTGGATCACCGCCGCCTTGGACGAATTGTAAATTGCAGAGCGCATTCCCTTGTTTGCAATGAGACCGCTCATACTCGCCACAAGGAGGATCGAACCGCGGCATTTGTGGTCCATCATTGTCCTTGCTGCCGCTACCGAGCTCCTAAAGACCCCGGAATAGTTGATGTGGATCAAATCATCCACAGAACTTGGAGTTTGTTCGATTGCGGGCTCTACGTGGTTTACCCCAGCCGCCGCAATCATACCATCGAGCCGGTTCTTACTCCTCGCGATACCCTTCATAACAGCTTCGGTGTCTGAATCGTTGGTAACATCCATGCGTTTGTAGTGAAGAGACCCCCCGAAATCGGGGTTCGCACGCGCTTCAGCCGCCTTGAATTCGTCGTCGGGCTCGGCGAGTCTGTCGAGAACATGCACTGCTGCGATTAGCAAAGACCTCATAACATGAGTGAGAGTCTACACTTACCTTCACCACCAGCTTCTACGAGAGCCTCTGCCAGCGACAATCCCAGTCCTCGTGCTCCACCTGTCACTGCGAAAACCTTTCCCGCCAGCGAGAACTCGCGGAATCGCTCATTTCCGTCCTTCTCGGGTAGCTTTTCTTTCAGGTGCGCAGGGCCGGCCATAGTCCTGGCCATATTCAGATTCAATTTGGCAGAGACGAGAGGCGGCTGTGCAAGCCTGCTGCGCAACAAGGGTGCTCCAAAGCGTCGCGACAGCATCTTTATCACTCAGACTTAACGCCAACAATTGGGCCTATGGAGAGAAAATTTCGATTGCATTTGAGTTCTAAAATGAACATCTCCTGAGCTTTTCACATTCGCAAGCTCACCAGGGGTGATTAGGCTTTTAAAAAAGCAGTGAATCCTTCTTGCGTCATCCCAGAACACACGGGCATGGCAGCTCCAACTTCCAAGATAATAACAGCAAATGAGCTTCTAATGGGCGGCTTGGTACAGCAAATACCTAAGAATGATGACAGAAGGAATCTCAGGGGCGGTCTGTGGAATCACGGATATCTCGTAGCTTTCATGTTCATGTTCTCTAGACCCACTATCATTCACTACCCCAGCTCCGGAGCACTGTACCCATAGCTTTGAAAACCATCCACCCGCCCGCCCCCCACCGAAACATATGACCCAATAAGGACATCATTAATTTATTTCCGTATGTGCCACTTTTCCCCTCCACAAATGTCTCAATTGCACGTCTCCATATTGCGGGCATTTAGGGGATCAGTCCATAATTAATCGGGGTCAGGCACACCAACCGCGGTATAACTATAACAGTCGGTATAACAGTCCCATGGTAGCGCCTACTCTCCCCTTTGCAGGAAATTGTTTTGACGTCAGAATCATCTCTCAACTAGCGCCCATCACGGCACGGATCCTGTGCATTCGTCAACTCGCTCTTACCGTTCGATGATGTCAGGATTCGTTCAGAGCTTCAGCTGAAGCTCGAGCGCACTTCCTGGGCAGTCAAAACACTAGTCCTAGAAAGGCCTAGTCGCAGAGATCTGTCTCATCTAAAATAGTCTATAGATTCATGCCCTACTCCGCAGCTAACTAAGGTATAAATACCTGCCTTTCATCATTATCTTCCCTCCTAATAACACCATGAAGCACACTGTAACCTAGTTATAAAGTTAAATCTAGTAGAGCTAGACAAGTCATCGTGTCCAACCCCACTTCAGGTACGGCCGAAGATCCCCAAACACTCGGTGCCGCCTCGCCTCATGCCGCTTACGGTTATAATCCAGGAACACCGCCCAGCTATTATCATTTCTTCGGATCCTCCTTCAGAGTCACAATCCGATTTAGCACAATTTTGTCATTTGTGCTGTCGCGGTCCAAGCAGAAATACCCTACGCGCATCCCTTGAAACCGAACACACTCTGGAGGCGCCGCCGCGCTGTCCGACGTTTGCGATTGCTCCCCTTTGAAATTGGGCCACGGGGCGCTACGGATAATTTCTTTGAGGCCTACTTCAACCAGTGCGTTTGAAAAGACTTGCTCTGAGTTCGGGTTGACGACGGAGAGGAAACCATCAGGGTGCGAGTCTGGATTGCTGACGGTGAAGAGGGGATCGTAGACGCGGACAGAGGCCTTGATGGGACTGTTTAAAGATGGGCAGTCTGCGACCCAGTGTATGTAGCTAGTGTAAGGGCTCTTTTAGCTTTGAAAGGAACTTAAAAGGGCCATTTTAGACAGATGGACATACGCCTTGGGTTTCTTGAACGTGGTACCCTCCTCGGGCTTGTCGTAGTGAGCACGTATTGACGTTACGAGTCCGGTAGTCGGGTCTTTCTCAAAACTGGTTGCCGTTATGGGATACGGCACCTTCAACAAGCCGACTGGTTTGCCAGGAGCTAGCCGGAAGAAATCTTTGCTGGCAGTCTCCTGGAAGTCAGATCGGTCAATGTAGACCGTTCCGGTGAACGGGACAGTGTGGGTCTAGGCATATGAGCACTGGATCGCGATATAGTTTGAGAGGTACGTACACCAAATTCAGGGTCTTTCGAGAAAGGCACCTCCACCATTTCCAGATAGTCTTCAGGAAGATTTTGGATCACAACAGGGATAGGATCGGGAACGACCATCAAGCGTGGCACAGTGCGTTCCAAGTACTGTCTTACACTTTGCTCAAACCGCCTGATATCTATAGCGGTTGTTGCCTTCGAGACACCAAGCCCATTGACAAAAGAAAGAATAGCGCCAGGCGGAACACCTCGACGCTTCAGAGCAATAAGTGTGTATAGACGAGGATCATCCCAATCATGAACATGTCCGTTCGAGATTAGGTCCATGATTTTCCGCTTGGACAGGACTGTGCCAGCCAAGTTAAGGCGCCCATATCTATATAGCATAGTAAGCGCGAGAAATGAGGCAATTCTGTGCGATAAGAATCTAGGGCACTACTTACTCTCTTTGCATGGGCCGGTAGACTTTCAACTTATCACAAAGCCAATTATACGAAACCCTTGAGAGCTCAAACTCAGTCGTACAAAGCGAGTGCGTTATCCCTTCAAAGCTATCAACCAGACAATGCGTGAAGTCGTAGGTCGGATAGATCCTCCACTTGTCTCCAGTGCGATGGTGGATACCCAAGTTCTGTTCGGCTTTGCCCTCGTCAACATCACCCTTCCGGGGCTGAATGACACGATAAGCCGCCAAGTCCCACATTTGGGGATTCCCCGACTCCAGGTCCTGCTTCATACGAAGTGTGGCTTCTTTGGGCGCATACTTTCCAACTTGCATGGCTCTGAACTCAACAAGGGACTCCTCGGTGGGCCGATCGCGGTGAGGGCAAGCATAGCGACGGGTGGTACCTTTGCCACCACCGCGTTGGAGAGAGATCTCGCTTTCTAAATCAGACATATTAGTAGCAATCAAAGGGCACTCGAGCTGTAAAGAGACACACTAGAGCAATGACAAACATAGGCGCCGTCTTTCTTAATGAGATCCTCTGCGAGTTCGTACAGACGATCAAAATAATCACTCGAATAGGTGACTTTGACGGGCTCGAAACCCAACCATTGAATCATGTCCGCGATAGCAGTGAAATATTTCTCCTCCTCCTTAGCAGGGTTTGTATCATCATATCGAAGATAACAACCGCCGCCATGATATTGTGCAAATCCGAAGTTGATTGCGATAGCTTTACTGTGGCCCAAGTGAAGGAAACCATTGGGTTCGGGTGGGAAGCGGGTGACAACCTTCTCAGCTGGGTTCAGGCCGTAAACATCAGCAAGAAACCCAACCTTGAACATGGCCTTTGGGTCATCAGGAACACTATCTTTAGGAACCGAAGCCTTGGTTGTGTTGGGTTTGGGTCTGGGTCTTTGGCTTTTGGGCCCCACCGAATCGGCGGGCCTGTTGTCCTTGGGTGGCTCCATTTCAGATAGTAGCCTCACAAATAAACAGACGATATTCTTTCAAGGAAGGATGAGCCCAATTTGACTATGGTGGGTTCTGGAGAGGTTTATAACTGTAAGTGCTACCGTCCTTTGTGTTAGTGAGGGGCTGAGAGCATTGTGAGTCATCAGCTCTTTTAAATCAGAGCACTATTAAAGAATGGGAAAAGGCGACTTGAGTCAAGGCTGATATTGAGTCCACTCAAGATGTCTGTGTAAGAACAGACATCTCCCTGTTGTAAGATAGTTATTGTCCCAGGATACAGGTGTTTGTCCGCACAACCACTGTATATTACGGCAAGACACAGTCTCCGAAATTCAAACCCACTGACAATAAGTGCAAAACATATACTCGTCACATAGCTGACATAAATTTGTACAATGATCAAATATACTTTCTATGCTAAGATCTTCACAGATAGTTCCCAATCAGCTCGTCGGTCTTGTTCCAAATAATATCAGAAGCACCCTTTTGCTCCAAATCTCCCAGAAGCTCACCGAGCTGCAAGGTTTCCATCTTGTTACCAACATAGAAGAGCGACCCGTCCGTCGTTCCGTTGACGGTGAGCCCTTGCTCCTGCCCTTCTATCAAGGGCACACCTTTCCCACCATACTGAGAGCTCGTCATCGACGCACCCATCGGCGAAGTCTGGGGCCTCGTGGCGGGCTTCGGCGCCGAAAAGGCATGGTACCCAGGCGCCAAGTCAGTCTCTCTCAAAGGATTTGGAATAGGCAGAGTCCGCACCTTTAAGTACGTCTACCCTGCCGGCAAGAACAAGGGCCAGGAATATACCTTCTCCGAGGAGCTTACGGAGTATGACGCTTCCAAGCACTCGATGACTTTCCAAGTTCGAAGACCTGATTACCCCGACATGATCGGCTTTGGAACGACCGTCTTAGACTCGCTAGGGCCTAACAAGACTCGTTTCCGTTGGGTCGCGGAGGGTTCGCCTTTGCCTGATGAGTTTGCCGCGGTTTTGCGCGAGGACCTCAATGAACGGTTCGATGGGCTTATTATTGCCATCGCCAACCAGCTGGTCTAGGACTGGAGAGATTGGTTCTTGCGAGAGGAGGGAGGCATGGTCTTTTTTGGAATCAACTGAGAGGAAGCTAGGTTGTACACACTGATTCATATCCGGTCTAAAGCGAAACCAAGTATAAATTATCCGATCGGCCTGATTGTTTGGATGTATGTTTGATATCGTTGAAAATGGAACTTGAGCACTTCAAAGAAATGAGGGTATTATTACTGCCGTCAAATAATAGTACACAAATAAGCATCATTGTGGCCCGAGTGCTCCTTTGGATATAGTCTGAGTAAATGCCTCTGATGATTCTCTGAGTATTCACTGGCGGCCGCAGCTCAGAGAAATCCTCTACATAGAGGTGCCTAAGTAGCCGGAGGTCTGGACTAGGTGCCAACAGACGTTAAACATAAGTCCAGTTTGTCAATGAACTTGCCATCCATCCACATCTACTCGATGTCCTACTCATCAGGAACCACTCAAATTCCAAACAGATAAGATATTCATTTAGTTCCCTCCTTCCGTTGCTCGTATACTGCAATCGGACAGGTAGGTAGTAGATCAAAGATAGTCATAAATATAAAAACGTCCTTAACATCCATCCAGTTCAAGCCGCCTAGGCTTATTCCTCAGGATATCCATACCCCGTTGCCTTGCCGCCCTTCCTTCCAGCTTCCTTCGCACGCTGCTCGCCGGGCTGGAAGCTTCCACTGGAGGCTTGGCCGCCCTGGGACGCGATATCGCGCTTTACGAATGAACCACGTCAACACCACGCCGTTAAAAGAGATACATAGCAAAGGAGATAAGTACCTGCTTGTCGGTGTCCATGCTGGCGAAGCCACCGGCGTGGCTTTGCTGGCCGCCCTTGCGAGCAATGTCTTCGACCTCGCCTGGTGGGCGGTTCAAGAAGTTACCCGGGTTCTGGTTGTAGGCCATTTTGGTGTATTGGTTGTATTGTTCTGGTGGTGGTATTTGACTTGCTTATGCTTAAGCTAATGATTGCTTCTTTGAAGGATTGATAGGGAGATTCGGGGTTGTTCTTATACCCTGACCTAGCCCCAGATCGGTGACTATGATGTCGAGGGTGAGATCATGATGGTCAAGAGAGTTGCTCTATATGTCAGGGCAGCATCATGGCCTTGTCATTGTGGGTTTGTGAGGTCAATATATATAGGTGGCGAGAGCGATGGATGAGGGACAGCTTCCGTCTGTCTTGGTTTAGGAAGCTTAGTTCATAGCGCGTGTAATACTCCAAGAAACAAATAAGAATTCTCACATTCAATTTCTGGTCACTGGCAGCCTCATTGTTGTGATCTATGGTTTCGATCGGCGTGGACTTTGTCTAGGCCGATGTTGGAGCAATCCACGTCATCCTTACCCAGAATTGAGACTCAACATGACTTGATGAGTTGTGATTTGTTATGAGGCCCTGAGGTACACTGGACTGTTTTGATACTTGAGTTGGCCAGACAGGTCGATAGGCTGATTTAAACATGATGCCATCCGAAGAGTTATCCTCGGAAGCTGCCGACGATCATTCTAGAATATCAAACTAGGGCAAGGTACAATCTAATGTAACATAGCTACCGAAAAGGTACCAAATCGGCTTGAAATTTCAGATAAAAACTAATGAAAACCCCAGAAAGTGCACGCAACGGTCAAACCCCTCTAGAAATATAAGAAACTTTTCAATTCCCAGAATAAACGTGGTATAAAGAAAGCATTCTCCCCCATCACTGGGGGTGGTAAGCAAACCAGCCACTGTCAATTTCGTTTTCCGAAAGTCGGCCTGCTCCAATATACCTGCTATTGTATCTTCTAAAACGGCATCAACGCTCACTGCCTGACGATGACGACGACAGAAAGTACCACTTCGGACTCCCAATACGCAGCCGTTTGTCTTGGGTGTTGCTAGACCTCTGGGCTTGAGCGATCGATGCAGCTTGAGCTATGCTCACATTGCTGGCTTTCCGAGAGGTGGTATCAGCTTCTCGAGATGTTGGTTGTGTGCTCCAAGTTGAAGACGGTGCACTTGTAGGAACGTCTTCCCTGTTTCCGAGACTCTGGCCCTCCAGGTCTTCTACCCCGTTGGTTGTGTCTGGGAAAAGCATGCTCTCTGCTTGTTGATCTGAGATATCCCAGCAAGAGGGCGATTGGGTAACGGGTGTCCCAGGTTTGGCACTTTCCATCGGTACAAACACAGACGGGCTTCCCGGAAAGGCTTGGTGGGAGGCCTGCAATAATCCGACAGGCTGTTCGTTAGCGGTCTCGTCTTTGTTAGGCGTTGATCCATTCTCGGGGTGACCGTTTCTCGTTTCTGCTGCAGGAGATTGTGTTAGTTTTTGAGGGTGACAGTCTAGAGATATTCTTACCGCCAGCTTCTGTGACCTTTCCTTCAAAGGTCAGGGACATATCGTTCTCGGTTTCCAGTGCGATATTCATATTGGCTTCCTGCTGTTGATATAACTCAAGACAGTTGATGGACGAAGGTAGTTGCAAGCTGAATCCATGATGAATGACTGAGGATTTGAAGAACCTTCGAGGTCATCCCAACAGTAAAGTTTTCTGACGTCCGGCGACACAACACATAAAGTGCTTCCATTTAGGTAAGTACGAAACTTTACCAATCGAAAGCATGCTTCAACAATATTCAATCTGGTGTTTGGTGGCCTAACCCTGGGGAAGTTACAGGATATACGTGACATTCTGTCGTCGCAGTCTTTACTGGCTACCGCGCAGTGGCCTTGTCACCAGTGAACATATCCTGATCATCTGGTGTCTGTATCATCCGATACATGGAGAGGCCTGACACAACTCAAATAGGATTAAGGCTGTGTAAAATCAGCTGCCTCGTTACCTGACTACAAATAGAAGCGGGCGTCTTTCTAGTTTTCGATATTCCAAACCCTTCTTATGATCCCAATTAATTACTCGAGTAAAACAAGCTACCTGTTGCAATTGTTCGTCTGGGCGAACAGGAACAACACGAATCAACGCAAGACAAAGTGAATAAGGATATTGCCCAAGCTCACAACGTCTACAGCAGCCTCCCACCCTGGGCCACAGAGTATACGTTTGGGCCACCATTATATCTTAATCCACTCCAATCATCATTGTTATAATGATCTCACATCTCTAGTTAAGGTCCACTAGTAATGGTTGCGTTCCAATTATGTTATGCGGACCACCAACAGCCAAGCTTCAACGCCAAAATGTTACTGCTACTAAGCGAACTCATTCAAGAACCCAATTCTTCTCCAACCAGCCGGACAAGCCGACCATATTGATGAAAAAAGGGAGTTCGCGTCGATCGGAGGTAGTGTAAGTCCGATGACACTGTGTGGCAGAACATGCGCAAGCACAGAGGTTCCGCCACGGAGACCAAAAATAAGATTAATCAATGTTGTGTTCCTTAGAACACTTTCAGAGATTAAACTGAAAAGAACAGATACTACACTTGATCTAAGCCAAAAGGCAAAGAGAGCTGGAAAAGAAAAGAAAAAAAAGTCTAAAAGTTCGCGGGCGGGAAGGAGTATTTATATTGGCAAGTAAATGGTCCGTGCGTAGCGAGTCACTAGTGTCGATTTTAAAACCCTTTCATTGGCTCATAGTCTCCCACTCTTCACAGAACTTTGCCCTACATTCTGGGCCCTAATCCGCTTCCCGATTGGGACAAACCCACCACAGAGGGCTCAGATTCGGCATCGCAGCTTGCTCCATCGTCGAACTTTTCTCCCTCACACCCACAAAAGGCGCAGGATACTCACCTCTTTGCGACCAACGACTTTTCACTCCTCATCTCCTTATACACCCCCCTTTCAGTCACAATGGCTCCCGCTGTATGTTTCCATTCTTGAACCGCTTTGCTGTTCCCCCTGCGTGTCCGTGATGGTCCTCGCTTCGCTTGCCCACCTCGTCGCTACATGCCCATCACCAACGGCCGAAATGCCCACGGTAGGGAATGCGCACGAGAGGCTGAAAATATGCGAACGAGGACTTCACACACTATCGGGGTTCGACAAATGGAACAGTAGGCTAATTGAATTGTCTTCCGGTTGAGCAGGTCGCCCGTGGTCGCAAGGCCCAGAAGGTCACCCAGAAGGTACGTTGCTTTGATTTCTAAAAAGATATAAATATTGTATGAATTAAGGACATTCGCTAACTTGTATCTCTACAGTTCGTTATCAACGCTTCTCAGCCCGCCAACGACAAGATCTTCGATGTCTCGGCTTTCGAGAAGTTCCTCCACGACCGCATCAAGGTTGAGGGCCGCGTCGGAAACCTCGGTGACAAGGTCGTCATCTCCCAGGTTGGCGATGGCAAGGTTGAGGTTGTCGCTCACATCCCCTTCTCTGGTCGCTACCTCAAGTACCTGTATGTTCCAGGAGTCCCTGCTCAACTGAATACTCGAGAAGGATGTGCTAATATAATCAATACAGGACCAAGAAGTACCTCAAGAAGCAGCAGCTCCGTGACTGGCTGCGCGTCGTCTCGACCTCCAAGGGCGTTTACGAGCTCCGCTTCTACAACGTCGCTTCTGAGGAGGCCGATGAGGATGAGGAGTAAATTTCTTCTACTCTCTCTTCTACGGTTTGATGGAGTGAGCTGGGGGTGAGGTGGATTCACTTCCACCTAACAGCAAAAAAAAAAAAAGATAGAAGTCCGGACGGTATATCCAGTTCCGAACTGGGTATGGATTTTTTGTGTGCTCTATCTGGTATCGACGGTTTGGGGGAGACATTTTTGAGGGAAGGTCAGCGGCGTGCCCGAAAGGGTGGCTGTTTTGTCCTTTTGCTCTCTTATACCCGGTGTTACACTTCGGCCGTCGGTATGAATATCTTACTTCAGCTACTCATGACGTTATGAATGGTAGAGATGAATAATGGAGCCAATCTACACCCACCCAACCCAATATCTTGATCCGAACGTAGATGGCCTGTGAATGTATATGTGAATGTATATGTGCATAGTATCGTAATCCACAACACCAAACTCTGGCCGGTCTATGAATTCGCCGCTTCACTGGACCTCTTCACTCCAGCTCCGCTTCCAAGCTTCAACTGCGGAAATGTAGAAATGTCCTCTTGCCCTGGCGGGGCAACAAGCTCTCCATCCCTCATTACCCACCCCCTCGCCTTCAAGTACTTCCACGACTCCAAAGCCTTAACCCTTACCAGATCCCCCGTAGCAATCGCATCCTCCTTCGAATCGTGTCCGCGATTCCCGCCGGTCTGGATATCCCGGTCTAGATGCTTCTTTGCTAAGGTTCTCAGGCTCATTCGGTAAGGAAGCCCGCCGGCTGGATGTGGGTAAAGGATGGCTGTGTCAATGACTGTAGGGTGAATGATTCGGCAGGCGTTTAGGTCGTTGTCAATTGCGTGGCCAATTAAGGGCGTGGTTGGGTGCAGGAAGGTGAAGAGTAGTGTGCGCGCCGTGGCGGGGGAGTCCACGACCTGTAATGGTGCATCTTCTGTTGGTGTTTCTGATGATGATGCAGGATTCTGAGTGCTATATGGAAGAGCCTTGTTGTAATGCTCCGGAAAGACGCCGGAGAATCGAGAGTTCAAGTCCAAGATTTCGCCTATTGGTCGGACGAGGACGTCTAGGATCTTCTTGCCCTCGGGCCAGCTGACTGCTGTCATTCGGATGAGCTCTAGGCCGAGCGTCGTGTAGCCCATTTCGCAATCAAAGCATATTGGGCTTTTTGGCGTCTTGTCTGGGTTTTCGGGCGTGGTTGCGAATTGAAGAATCGATGCGAGTCGCTTCGTTTCTGAGACCTTGAAGACGTGAGTCTCGCCTTTGGTGCATCCCGAGGTTTGCCCTAGTGTCTCATTACAGCAAGTAAAGTACGCCTCCCGGGCCCCGGTTACATGATCCGTCTTCTTCTTCGGTGGATAGAGGGCCTTGCCAGGATGGTGGGTGCATGTTCCTCCGGTGGTTAGTGAACCATCTTCGCGGCGGCCAGGAAACACCTGGAAACGGCCGCTGCATCGTTCACACTTCTCCCAGCCCTTTGACTCAACAGCGCCTTTCCTTGCGACTTCGATTTCCTCCGCTGTAGGTGCTCTCGTCACATAGCCGTAATTTTCCAATCCTTGCAGCGGTGTGATTAATTTGCTTGCAATTGCTATTTCCTCCTCGGTACTCAGGCCCGTCGTGAAAGGCTCCGGCTCTTTTGGGCCCTGTGAGGGTTGAATTTTGTAGTATTTCTTATTGAGGTAGTCTTTGAGCTCTTTCGCCCAGTCTTCTTTGCTCAGTTTAGACAGTTTCACAATCCGAAGCTTAACAACATTTGAGTATACGGTCGGATTGTCCTTTGCTGCCTTTTCTTCCTCATCAAGAGCCATCGTTACAAGCTCGTCAGGGGTTAAAACCAGGCACTTGTCCTCGAGTTCTTTGTCTTTCGCAAGCTTGTCGTTCAAGGTCTTCAAAGTATCATGTAATTTCTTCAAAATAGCAGAGCGTGCATTATAAGTTGCAGGCGCCTTCGGGAGCATACGCGGGTTCAGCGACTCCTTCGGGGCCTGTCTAACTGGCAAGCTGGACCCCGGATTTCCGGTAGTAGATACCTCGCGCTTGATAGGAGTGGCCGTCTTCGAGGTGGCAGGCTGCCGTGGGGTGGGCCGAGCACTCTCAGTTCTATGAGCCGGAGATTCGGGTTTCTTTAAGGGCGTATGCCTCCCGCTACCAGGGGCACTCGGTAATCTGTCTTTTGAAGTGTCTTTCTGTTCAGGGAGAGACTCTAACTTGATTCTCTTGCGGGCCGGTTCGGCTTCTTTCTGCTCTGACGGCTGGCTCCGTGTGGCTAGGGTTGAAGAAGAGTTCACGTTGCGATGAGAGAAGATACATGCTAAGAGGGAGCATTCTTCGCCCTGCGGACATGGGATGTCCTTGAATAATCCAAGAGGCGCAAACATGGTGATAAACAGGTGAGGCGATACTCAAGGTAACTTGGCTCGATAGACACTCAGTGATCCTCTAGCCACAACATGCAGAGCTCAGCCGATAGTTCGTGGCTTCGACTCTCAAGTAAATTCGAGGCCCATGTGAGGTTTCCGTTAATCTGCTTGGTCGCCAAAAGCCGAGGCGTTCGTAGTTATTGGCGTGAAAACATGTCGTCCGGTGGAATCTCAGCCAGCACTGCGTTAATGATTTTGGAAGTATCGCACAGCTAAATACTAATATATAGCACTGGAATTGTCTTATCGAGCTTGATGGTTGATGGAAATGAAGAGTAAGAAGCAGTGGCAGCTCCACCTATCGATTGCGCTGGCGTTGCAAAGTGTGCAAACCTTCTGCCTGAACTTTATGGCGTCTGTTCAGTATATCTCCCTCAAACACAAAAGTTCACAACTTCTAGTCCACAAAACATATCTCAACAAATTTGAATCATTCAAGCCGATTCGATATTTTTTTCTATTTAGATTTTCGATCTCCATATGTCCAATATCGATTCCATCCCTTCTCCAGTCCTATCACCCAAGAATCACAACTATATATTTTCTACCACACCGACTCAACCTCTCTTACACTCAGCTGCACGTCATCCGTACTACCACCGGTTGAAAAAAGCCTGGCGTACGTAGCTTTCTCATCGGGGAAAATCTGCGCTGTCACGGTGGTCTCTCCTTGTCCACCAAAAACCTCAACGCTGGACCAGTCAACAAAGACACGGAGCGCCACAGTGCCATCCTCCGCCGGGGAAAGCGGAGCGTGGTAGATGCTCGCAAATGTCTCGTCGAAGGATGAATTCCCTGATCTCCTCCGGTCAACGAAAATCTGCTCTGTGGCAAAGTTGTATCCAATTCGTGTCTGTTGGGTGAAGTTTTGGGTTGCGCGAAGGGAAATCCCGAATTCAGAGGGCGACCTTGACGAAGAAAGATTGGTGTTGCGGTCCGAGAAGGTCAAGTTGATCTCTAGTGCTTTTCCGAGTGATCCGAGGTCATGGGTTCCTTCTGGGAGGGATCCAAAATGAGAGATATTTGCTTTGCTAGTGATCGCATCCCAGTCCTCCTCTGGTTCCTGTACAAGTGTGACATTGCCATTCACTGTTCTGAGTGCAAGACTTCGAGGTATAGCCATTGCGCCGCGCCAGCTACCTGTCGGGATCTTCTCAGAGTATTGCCAGTTGTTCATCCAGGTGATTACTGTGTGCTGGTACTTAGGCAGGCCGTTGTAGACGAGTGCAGCGTAAAAGTCCGGGCCATAATCGAACCAGTTCGCCGTTCCACCGGCATGAATGCTTTCCTTGTCAGGGATGAATGCCGTGCCGTCGAACTGTCCAAGTATATACTGGTTTCCTGAGCCTACTGTACCTGGGGGACCGCCGGGGTTGAGACCGATAATGGCGACCCATTTCACGTTCGACTCATCGCCATCGACTGGTAGGGGAATGAAGCTAGGGCATTCCCAAACTCCACCAACTGCATTGTATGGACCAAACTCGCTTACGAATGACCAGTCCTTGAGATTGTCGGATGTGTATATGAGGAGCTTGTGTATTTCGGAAAGAGCAGCGACAAGAACCCATTTCCCTGTCTCTTCATGCCAGAAGACGTTCGGATCGCGGAAATTCTTATACTGGTCCTTATATGGTGCCGGGGGCTCAAGAAGCACCGGGTTCGCCTCGTCATAGGTTGTCCACGTTTCACCCTGGTCGAGACTATAGGCAATCGACTGGCTTTGCTGGTCTGTGCGAACACGCTTTCCACTTGGTAGCGTTTGACTAACTGGATACTGTTCAACCGTCAGCACATATTACCCACTGGGATCACTAAACTTCTACCCATAAGAAAACAGACTTACATAGGAGGTATAAATAGCAACCATCGGACCCTCATCCCCAGCCCCCAACCCACTCGTGTTCTGCACATCAACAACCGCACTCCCAGAGAAAAACATCTCGGAGACATTCCCAGGGAAGCCCCTCGCAAGAAGCGCAACAGGCTTTTCATCCCAGTGCGTCAGGTCCTCACTCGTAGCATGGCCCCAGGAAATATTGTCGTGATCCGTTCCACCAGGGTTATACTGATAGAACGTATGGTACGTGCCATTCACATACACAAGCCCATTGGGGTCGTTGATCCATCCGCGCGCCGGTGTGAAATGGTATTGGGGCCGGTATGGCTCGGAGTATGTTAGGGCTAGGGCCTGTGTTGCCAGGGACATCGTTGAAAGGAAACCGCCGGAACGCATTTTGCTGGTTATGCAATGGACTTCGCAGCCAGCAATAATCAGTTCTCACAATACAACCAGCCCTCTCTACGGGAGAATTCCCTGCCATAAATACTCGCTATCCTTCTCCATCACTGCCTAGTCCACAAGCAAGCAACCTTCTTGTCAACTCCACCTTATAGTGAGATCGTCCCTACAATGGACGCAGTATCGCCGACAATTCTCCGAAGAGTGTCCACGAGTCCAGTGAGGGGCTCCAGACTAGAATCAAGGCACTGTGATTGATCCTGGCTTTCCCCGCGGGATACCGAGTGTCTCCATTTTGGAGAAGCCGTGGGGTGAAATTTCGTATGCCGAGAGGTGAAGCCAGTTACTTGCGGGTAGTAAGGGCCACTCCGAGTCTCGGCTGTGCAAATTATCGCGCATACAATCCCCGAGTTTCTGGAAACGGAGCTTGGGTATGGGCCTTGTCTCTGACCTCATTGTTCGTATGAGGCTAGCTGGCTGTCCTGAGATGTTGTTGTGGTTGTACTCGGAGGAATACCGCAGAAAGATGTAGGCCGGGTGTGGATGTTATTAGATCATAGAGTGACATAAACCCTAGAGATTTTTAGGAGCTTACCAACACTTTGTATAGATGATTCTCGAATACGCTTCTGTCTATCTGTACAATCCATTTATATGCAAAAGAACTCCCCAAACTTCAAGAGGTAGGTAACAAAATGCGAGTGTACCGAATAGCCACTGCTATACGGAGACAAAATGTCACTATTATACATCATTTCCCTCCCTTATCTTCATAATCCTGGCGGCAGCATCCTTCTTTGCCTTTCTTGAAAGCCGAGGAAGTCGTATTCGTATATCCTCGTATTCCGAGAATGCTTTAGGAGAGGGCATCGACGCACGCCTCTGCCAAGCCTCTCTCTTTCCCCCTCGTGCACCTGGTGCAAAAGCACCCGCGCTGTAAACCTCATCTAACGTCGGTATATCGACATAAACGGTCGTACTACGTTCTTTCTTCGGCCGTCCTAGAAATTCAAGGCAAGGGGCCACTGTTAGTTCTCGATACGTACTGTCGAGTGCTTCATAGGAATGAGAACGATCGGGGGTACCTTTTCCTCTTTTAGGTGGTCGCAGGAGCACAGACATCTCCCCCGGGAATGAGGTCTTGGTCTTTGGCGAGAAGCCTATGCGGAGAATTTTGTCATTAGCAGCGTACAATCAAGTTTCGTGACAGGTTAAAGAATGTCGTATGCAAGGGCGTTCCGAGGAATGTGTAAATGACGAAAAGTCCAACCAGGGGATGAATCGAGCCCGGTCTATTGGAATGACGGAAGATAAGGTCGTGAAGGTGGATTCCAGTGTTATTATTAATTACATCATTCCAGGATCCCAAATGCATAGAGAAAGAGACATAGGAACATGGCTAGAATGAGAACTGTGAGGACTATCCAAATCCACTTATACTCACTTGGTCCGAAATGGTGGGTATTATCGTCGCTTAGCACGTCGTGGTATTCTGGGACGTAGTCCTTGGGGTTGGTACTAACGCTTGAGCTGGTGTGAGTGCTCTCGCCGATGCTCGATCTAGTACTGGTATAGCTGCCATTGGAACCACGTGAACCATAGCTTATGGCGGGTGTGTAATTGCTTTGGTAGGCCCTGGCAGCAAGTGAAGGGCGCTCATAATCGGGGTACATGAAATGATAGTCGTCGGGGTTGGAAGCTGATATTGGCGGCCGAAGGTTCACATAATCTGAGGGTCTCTGGTCTTTAAAATGTGGCGGAGGTGGGGGGATTGGTAACGGGTCTTCAACATGTGCAACTGTTGGCGCATAAAAACTACCCCAAATCATTTCCCTCACCTCGTCCCGAACAATGGGATCGTTAAGTGAATTCAGAAGATATTGGTATGCATAATCGCGTAGCCGGCTCTCATCCTGCCCATGCGTAGCGGGTGGGCCGGGGTCGAATTCCCAGCGCAGTCGTCCTAATTCTGGAAGCCGGGTGGAGCTTGATACGGAAGACCTAGGTGATATATTTTGCCCAGCTTCTGGACCAGCCTGTCGGATCATCCATCGCGGTGTAGGCGAGGCAGCTCCAATGTATATCTTGGGAAGACGGTGGGATGACTGATCCCCAACTCGACGTGAGAGTTCTGGTAACCCTAACTCTGTGCCTTTGACAAAAACTGGTGCCTCCATCGGGAGAATTTGAACCGGACTCTGGCAACGCCTCTCCGGCCACATCTCCTCTGGCTTGACATTATTTTTTGCTTTGACTGGTGAGTCGACCATCATAGGGTGCTTGAGGCGTGGGGGGAGTTTGCCTCCAACCTTCGCTCTAGGAAGAATATCGCCATCCGGGACTTTTTTCTTAAGCGACTTTTTTCTCTGAGCTCGCTTGTTCAATGCCTTTTTAGGCGCCTGCTTCTTAGCCACAACTGGCATATTCACACACTTTTGGTGAACGAAGAGCTGTCATATGTTAGTCGCTGTTGGACGGCGTCCCTATGATACAAAGATGGGACTTACCCAAAGAAATACTGAAGGAAGATGGAACTAGCAAGGTACGAATTTGGTACACAGAAGTTGAAGTTCTGTAGGAGCCAGGTAGCTAGAGGAATATCAGAAATCGGTTAAAGATTTTCTCAAGTCCTCAATAACTTACTGCTGAAGACAGACTCGTTTCAGGTTAAGCAACTTTCCTTTAGGGAGAGGACTGGATGGCTTAGTAAATATAATAAACCGTCTTTGTGGATAATATAAAGCGATCTTTATGAGCCTGAAAGCTGCGTGAGCAAAGGGCCGATGACTGCCGGCTCTTTATTCATACCTTCTTTGGTCTGACAGAACACGCCGTGGACCTATGACGATTTATTTCGCCTCCAAAAATAGTTTCTTTATTCCGAGACGAGGCCACTTTCTAATGTCAGTATTCACAACAAGTTCATGGAATCCCTGGAGTATCAAATACCAACCAGAATTGAAGTACTTGGCTAATACTCCGAACAATCAACCAAAATGGGCTTCTTCAACAGTGATATATAGACACGGGATCCCACTTCCAGCAAATAAGATGATTCAAATTCCCAGTTCAAGATAGTATATGACGAAATGTCAACACTTTACTGAAACATGCGGATGGTGTCCCAGGTTCATAGAGCAGACAGAATCCTAGATATCTGCCACAACAGGGTGAAAAAAAAAAAAAAAAAAAAAAACTTCGACCTTTAATCATTGTATCCCTGGGAAAACCTGGCCCATCCTATAGGAAAGACGCTTGGACACTGATCAACGGGGTGAAGCGATGGGCGCATTCCTCGGGGGTTTTGGGTCCGTCCTGCCTGGACCAAGAGCGTTGATCAACACTAATCATGGCAATTTATTCATTTTGCCAATTATTATTCCGTCAGTATGATGTTTTGTTCCTGCAGCAGGGGTCACTATTCCAGGTTGGGTCCAATCGCATGTCTTTCACACTGGTACTCATTGGTCGATAACTGTGATATCCACCAGTGTAACATACCGACCTGGCTGAGCACGATTTTTCCTGGAACTCTCAGTATACGATTCATTCTTCGCGCAACAGCAGCTCATCGCAGTGTTACTCAAGCCGGACCGAGATGTCGAGTTCCTGTTGGGGTGGCGTAGATTCCTTAACACCTTTCGGTTCTTTTTGTACCATATTTGATCAATTTCCAAAACAGCGGGAGAAATGAAGAAACAAGATTTGACGCATACGAAACTGGTTTTGGTAAGGAAGGGTATTTGGACTGGACTCATGGTGGTGGTTTCAAATCATATTGGAAGTGTGATGAGAAGTTGAAGATAGTATGACGGGGAGAGAAATAAGTGGTAACCAGCGAGCGTCACATGAGTTGGCGATCAGCGATGCTACCACCGTCAATTTATACCTTACACGGTGGTAGGTAGGTCCGGTATTGCTGGCTCTTGCCGTCTACGGACTATAGATGGGTACGGAAAGAGTGACCAGGTACCAATACTTGGAAAGGAAAGCACGACCGGGTGGGCACTTTGCATGTACTATTAGGCTTAAGAAAGCTGGAGCTAACACTGACAGATGAAGTGCTCGGTAGTTATGGTCACGGAAAAAATATATAGACTTTTCAAGTCGAGTTACTATACACAGTAGTAGTTATTAAACTAGAAGCTAGCAGCAGCTTGCTGCTACTTAGGACTATGTGGCACATTTTAATAGCAAGATGGTGATCACCTAGGACACCACAAACCAAATACGCTACAACATCGAAAACCCGGCTAGGTGGATCGATCATTGCCAGTATCTCGGCTCGTTAAAGACGTGGTAACGATGACCGCGAACGCCCTTGCCACGGAACAACGCAGGGAATCGGAGACCCTCAGGAACCATTTCCTCCGGAATCATCATTTCATTCTCAGGCTCTGGCTGTCCGACAACAAATTTACCGACCTAGAACACATATTAGCAAATGTAAACTCCGTTGGAAATCCAACGGTATAGGAAAAGAAACGTACCTGAATTTCGGTGTCCGTGATGGAGTCACGGCTGACTCGGGCGTAGCCAGTTCTCTTGATGTTCTTGTACAGGATGTACTCGCACCAACGGTCCCAATCCGTTCGGTCAATGTCCTTCATGCCGCTCAGTTCACTAACGTAGGTGTTATAGTTGCCTTCGAGTGGCTTGGTGACGAGGTAGCTGAGCAAGATCAGAGGGCGAGGAGAGGAGCCCATTAGGTTTGACAGGTACTCCGTTTGAAGACGACGATCCTCGGGGTCTTCCTCCTGTCCGGAGTGGAAGACCACAACATCCACCATCTCGCCGTACATATCCAAAGTGGCGTGAATGGCAGGAGCAAGTTCGCCAACAGGTGAAGGAAGAAGATGGTGAGTTGAGTTGACAATGGGGAACTTGGAAAGCAGAGCAGAGCCCCAGGTGTGCTTGTTAGGGCCAGGTCCGAAGTCTGCATACATGCCTAGGTCTTCAGCCATGAACTGAGTAACATCACGGTTACCCATGATGATGCGCTGGTTGTCCGATTCAAGGAAGCCAATCACGTCAATTTCAAGCTCCTGGATAACATCACGCATGCGTCGTTCAGAAGCCCACATATCGTTGTCCAGACCAAAATGCACGGTCCAGATACCAGCAGTTACAACCTTATCTTCCTTGTGGTAGGGCGTGTAGTCGTTGGTGGGGAAACGGAGGTATGCAATGGCAACAGAGAGCAATTGCAGGGCGACGAGCACGTAGACATAGTATGACCGGACTCTCCTTCCGTTCGGGCTGATGGCTGTGCTGCTCTTGGGGCTGCCTGATCTCGACACGGATGCAGAGAAAACACCTGCACCAATGAACAACATAGTGACAATCATAATCCAGTCAGTGTGCTCCCTGACGAGCGGACCACCGGGAACGAAGGCGTAAGCAACAACCCAGACATGGAAGAGGAGAAGGAACACATAGACGAAGAAAGCAAGGCCGAATGTTGGAGCTGGAGAATGCCGAACAGCAGAAGAGAGCAGAGCAGGTGAGACAGCCAAGAGGTAGAAGGCGATTGTGAGGGCTCCATAGAATCCGCTCCAGTGACGGGTTTCCGTAAGGAAAGCCGCACCGACAGACCCAATTCCAAATGCAGTCCAGCTTCCAGCAACATTAGGGTAGAATAAACCAAACACGAGACCCGCACCCATCGCAAAGATCGTGAGAGCACCATGGGGCACAGGAATAGGGCCACGGACTGGGTATCCGTCCCAGACCCAGGCGATCATTGTGCTCGAATCGGACAGGAGGAAATGCATCGCAAAGATCATACCGCCTACTCCCAGTCCAGCAAGGACCGAAGATCCCTTCTTGCCGGAAGAGGGGAAGTAATCCCCACCGTTGGTGGTAGGGGCTCTAAACGCGCGGACACCAGCCAAGATAGCAAGGAGCAGTCCAAGCTTGTTCCATCCACCATTGTCTGCGTGCATAATGGGCCAAACAGGGTTATTGGTCTTGCCGGCAAACTTGGCAACACTTGAGAGTATCAATCCAATGCCCCAAGCGAAAACACGAGATTCCAGCCTTGAGCTTTGGCCCCTGTCAGCGTACAAGGTAGCAACAAATGTGATACAGCTGCATGAAACAGCAAAGGTAGTGATAAAAAGCCTGTTTGCGGGGTCCTGCACCAAGTAGGCAAAGAATCCAGATAGCGACAAGAAGTGGAAGACACGGGGATTCTTGACGGCAAGGGACCTAAAGGCAGGAATGGCGAGAAGTATCGGCGATACGTAGCCGAGGATAACGACTTCGTATCCTGAGAGGCCCATGTGCCAGAGTGGGAAATACCAGACAAGAACAGGGAGGGAGGTCCAGTTGGTCCAGTAAACAAACTGCGCTTTGTCAGTAAACGACAGTTTAAGGAAGAAAGTGATCTAGTATGTACCCCATTATACGCATCCGCAGCGGCATCAAAGATTTCGCTCCAGAAGAATCCCTGGCCGAAGGTGTTTCCAACGGGTTTTCCCTTCCTGTCTACGAGTTAATTTCACCGTGAAATCCCCAAAAGGTGGGGTTATACACACTCTTTCTCAAGAACGGAATCCGCAGTAGTTTTCAACTGCCTGAAACAATTTCATCTTAGATCATGTCTTTCAAATACCAACGACCGAATTTTGGCAACTGTACATTTTTCTGGCTGGGCATTACTTTGGAAGCCACGGTACATACCCTCGACTGATTCCCTTGATATCCCTAACCACGATCTCGAAAGCCTCGAAGTCTAGCGCGGTAACAGCGTCGAACCCGACATCAAACAAAATGAGAGACCATTCAAAAAACGCGTATCTTGTGTAGGCTAAAGTCACATGTTAACATAAGCATGCAAGAAAGACAACAAGATTTTCTTACCTCCAGGAACTTTGTGCACCTTGTGTTGGATAAAGTAGTAGATCAACGGGACGAGGGTGCCGAAAAAGAGACTAGCAAGAATCTTTCTGTACTTAACAGCCCGACGGTTGTTTGGGCTCAGGGCCAGGCAACCAATAGTCCACGGCAGAGTCGCAACCAAGTACGAGATCATAAAGATGTCATGCCAATCATGGTCATCCGTCGACGTAACATATGTCCATCCACCGCAGGTAAATGTCCGAAATAGTCCAACACCGGCAACAAACTTGGGGAGCGTCGAGTTAGGGCGGGCAGTCACGAGATACCAGAGGAAGACGAGGGCGAATCGGGGGCCGGACGTGATGGCGATGAAGACTTGGAAGAACGAACGCTCCGGATACCGGTCACCAATGGTTGCTGAGACCGAGGGAAACCATTCGTCCGGATAGCCGTAGTGCTCGTTTTGCACAATCTTTTTATAATGTAGACACACACCAACAATGAGGGCGCTGAAAAAGGCAGTGTACGCGACGGCGGTATGAGCCCAAGAGACCCATTTCCCGTTCACCTATCAATGTCTCAGCAAGCGGCCTTGAAGAACCTGGAATTGAACGACACTCACAGTCGCGACAGCGTCCCCATCTTTGAACCTCGGCGCCATTGTCGCGCCGCGTAAGACTCAAAAGTCTTCAATAAGGGGGTAAGCCAAAGAGAGGTCTCAAAAAGGAGAATAGAGAGAGTCAAGAATTAAAAACAGATTAAAAAGAAAGAAAAGGAGAGTAAAGGGAACACGCGGACAGCAAAGGGCAACGAGAAAAGAACCCCTGAGGCCAGCGAGGCATCTGAATTGAACCTTGGTATGGAACGATCCATCGAATTGAAGTTCGGCAACCGGCGGACGCATATGATCACTCCGCGCTAGTGCGGATTGGGCAAGCGGCCAGGAACTTTCAGCCTCGGATTTCAGGCTCCCCAGAAAAAAGTGCGGGATAGCAGCGACTTTTTCCTGTCCACTGTTCTGTTGCTCTTGCGACAACGCTCTCCAAGTTTGCCCTTCCCCCTAGTCTAGCAGAAATCTGCTGCCCCAAAATCGGTCATGTCTGCCACTGCTGATAAGGCGCGGTTCTTCCTCGAAAAGTCCGTCCCAGAACTCAAAGAGTACGAGAAGAAAAAGATCTTCACTAAAGTGAGCTTCGCAAGGCCTGGTTTATTCTGGTGACGCTCAGGGACTTACACGCAAATTTCATACAGGATGAAATCACATCGATTATCAAGAAGCGATCCGACTTTGAGCATAAAATCAATGCGCGCGGTGCGCAGCCAGCCGATTTCGTACGCTACGCCGAATATGAGATGAACCTAGACAGTCTACGACGCAAGAGGATAAAGCGGCTGGGTATCAAGTCAACGGGATTCAGTGGGCAGCGCCGGATTTTCTTCGTCCTTGATCGAGCCACTCGCAAATTCCACGGCGATATCGGGTTATGGATTCAGTACATCGAGTACGCCCGGCAACAAAAAGCGTACAAAAAGCTCAGTACAATCTTAATGGATGTGTTGCGAATGCATCCGACGAACGCGGACTTGTGGATTTACGCTGCGCAATATTCAATGCAGGACCATGCCGATATGTCTCAGGCCAGGACTTATATGCAACGGGGGTTAAGATTCTGCAAGAGCTCCAGGAATCTCTGGATCCAGTATGCCAAACTGGAGCTCATCTACATTACCAAGCTAGTCGCGCGACAACGGATACTTGGACTGGACGAAAAGATTGAGGCTCCCAAGCAGCAGGAATCTGCGGATGACCTTGATGGCGACATGATTATGATGCCAAAGATTACAGAGGAGGATATCAACCCCAGTGCCTCGGATGATACCGTGAATGAAGCAGCCCTGCAAACCCTCAACTCCACGCCGGCGCTTAGTGGTGCAATCCCACTGGCCATCTTCGACTCGGCCATCAAAGCGTTTGATTACGATGATCGATTCGGCCACGAGTTCTTCGACATGGTCTTCGAGTTCGAGGACATACCCTGTCTGCAGAAGGTCCTGTCACACATTCTAGACGTAATGCAAGAGTCTAAGCCTGCCAGCCCGCATACGCTGATATGCTACATCAAACTCCCTACGGCCGGAATTCAACCCACTTCCGCCCAGTTCCCCCGCGCATTGGGAACAGTACTCTCGCGGCTGCAAGAACACCGCGAGAAGCCCCGGGTCGCCAAGGAGGTAATCACCTGGTTGCATCCAATTGAGAAGACGAAAGACTTGGATCCTGCTATCCAAACGGTCATTGCTGCCACTATTCACAAGGCGGAGCTGGCTCTTCAGGAAGCATAGGCCGAGATTCCAGTCATTTTGGGGGCGTTGTTGGGTCGTCGTTTATTGCCATGAATATATGCAGCATCTATTTGTTTATATAGATTCAGGAGGAAAAGCAATCTTTCAGTCGTCACGACTCCCTCGTCGACTACTCTTTTTGCTGCTCTGCATTTTCTTAGCCTTAATTCTAGCCTCCTTCCCTGCCTTTTCCCTGCCAAGTGTTAGCGGCCAATTCTGTAGCAGCAGTAATAACGGTCGTACAATTTCTTGACACGCTCCCTTTGCTCCAGGGAGGTCTCACCAGGAACTATATCCTTTGTGGTCGTCATCAGGAGTTGGTGGAGCTTCTCGTAGCACGCATCCACGTTAGCCGACTGCTTTCGGGACTCTTCCGATTGTATGACAAGGCTATGTGTCCTGGCAGCGTAATACCGGGAAGACCGAAGTGGAGAAAGTATGATGGGCGGCACCAAAGGCAACAAGGAGTCAAGAGGAACTTTCAGCGTGGCCTTGGAATTCACCCTACACACAACCGCTACGTGTTAGAACTGAGAGTTTTGTCCTAGTATTGTTGTATCGAGCGGGGGAACAGACTTGTTTACGTTCTGACCACCAGGGCCGCCAGAACGGCTAAACGAGATCTCCCCGATGTGGCGAGGGACCGATGTGGAGTTGAACTTGGAGAGCCATTCTCTAGCTGCAGTCAAGTCATCGTCTGTAAGGTCCGCCCGCCGCGTCGTGAACGATCTCCGAAATGCGGCACTATACCGGAAGAAAGGAGAGGGGAAGAGAGGACGAAGCATGGCACCGGACTGCACTGGAACAACGAGGATCAGAAGACCCTCGCCCTGCTGTCCTTGTCCGAGACGCCGGGCTCGCAGGAGAGCAGTAAGCGCAAGGCCCAAGCCCACGCCAGGAGATCTGATAGAGCCGGAGCAGGTCACATGGACGGGAGCGAGGCCGTCAAAGGCTTAAAAGACTCAGCGGGAGGGTCCAGACCCGGCGACTCAGCCAAAGATAAAGCGCACTCAACGGACCCACTGATCACCTCACTTTCTGCGCAAGCAAACTCTGCGTCCCTCTCCTTCAGGGTGTTTCAGTCTCAGAACCTTCTCTTCTGTTCCTCAGAGTCGCTCTCACAATGAGCTTCCGCCCGTCTTCCACGGCCTTCCCAGAAGCTCATTAGCTGGGCCTGATCCACCTTTAGATCTCCTGCTCGCGCCAGTCTGCCTGGTCACTTTTCGGTCACAGCTCTCTATCCCGACTTGCCATTAATAATTATCCCAGTATATCTGAGGAAGTGAGGACCCAGTGCAGGCGCCCTGGTCTGCTCGCCATCGCCGATAGAATTACGCATTATTATTGCGATCGGTATCGGGACCGACATTTGGTGCTGCTATTATTGTTTTTCACCGGTGGTTCTTGTTCCCAGGCTGACTGCCCCGAGCGTCTGCGCATCCAACTTTTTTCCGCTCTCTCCGATAGATCTTTCTGCAGTCGAACCACTTTTCCTCCCCCTGCCACCACATCTCTTCCTCCCTACCCTTATCACCAGCTCTATCTCTTCATCCTCTCCCCCACGCCATAGAAACCCTCCCCTTCCCTCCCATTTTCCTCTTCCTCTGCTTGCCGCCTTCGGCGCTCTAACCCGTTCGCCTGGTTTTTTTTACCACGAGAGCCCCACCTAAGCTAGGTCTGCGCTCATCGTCACAAAATCAACAACAACCTGGACTTGCTCCTCGACTGCGGCCGCCCCTGGATCCCTGTTTGTTTGTAGATGAATCCACTCTCCCAACTTGGTCTACATGACGCCAGAATCCCCCGATGAGGCTCTTCACTTTCGCGGCAAGACGTTGACTCCCGAGAGCCCTCGCCCAGTCCACGTCGCGGAACCTACCAATATCCCGGTACTGCAAAATCAGATGGACCCCGTGTTCAACGACACCTCGACTTACGAACAAGCCGAGCTTATTCATGAAAACAACTACAATATACAATCGAGTGGCCCGTATACAAAAACGGGCGGCGTGCGGTGGGAGGCGAGCTCTGTACAGCGTGGTCAAGAACAGCGACCATCGCAGCATCAATCGCATACACAAGGTAGCCTCCAATCTGGCCCTCTCTTAATCAATTACATGTTGATGGACATGGATACCACTTCCCTCTCTGCTGCGCCCGCAACTGCTCCGTTGCCTCCTTCACATAAGCCCATTCCCTCTACAAACTCTTCCACAGTACCCTTGAGTATCGGGGAAACTCCATCAAACTCTTCTCTAACTACGACAGCACCAGATCCTAGCTCCCTTCTAGCCCACCCTGTCCCCGGTGCCCTCCCATCTTCTTCCCAAGCTGCTCGCAACATCCCGTTCGCGAACGAGGTAGACGACTCTAACGTCAACCTGCAGGGCCAGACGGCGCCCCAGGGTCGACTAGACGCGGAGGAAAGGTTTGAAGATAATACTGCTGGGAATGGTGTCGATTTCCAGAACCTCCTTGATAACCTTCCATCCTCATCAGCCCCTGTGGTTTCTGGAAACACCATCTCAGTGGACGGTGCTTCTGCCTCTCCTCAAGCCGCTGCCGATGAAGCACCTCAATCTTCCCTAGGGCTCCCTCCTCGCCCTCCACCCCAGGAGAAACCCTCCATCCACCCCAACTACAACCCCGGCGATGATATACGTTCCTATCATCAGCTTCCTGCCCATAACACCTCTAACGCCTCCTCAAACCCTTATGCAGCCCAGCCGAGTAATTACCAGCCCAACGTCGGACTGTCCTCGTTAACAGCTGGTGCGCCAGGGACGTCTTCGGGTGCTGGCTCCCTCCCTCCTCCCCCTGTTGCTAGCTTCCAGCAATCTTCAACCGCTTCAGCGGACTCCCAAGACGCTCCGGCGACTGCAACCCAGAAGAATGGCCGCGTTGATAAACAACCTCCACTTCGCACAAACGACGATGCTCCATGGGGCCCGGAAGTCCAGAAGAAATATGATTCGTTCCTGCATGACGAAAGAATATATGTGACTGAGGGTCTCTGGGATCGCTTTCCATATGGGTCGAGATTGTTTGTCGGTCAGTAATCCCGTTCTATTATAATCCTTTCCGAACAAACCTATTCTGACATGACTGTATCATTATAGGCAATCTACCCACCGAAAGAGTAACAAAACGTGATCTCTTCCATATATTTCACAGCTATGGGAAACTAGCCCAAATATCGATCAAACAGGCCTACGGTTTTATACAATTCCTGGAGGCGCCCTCTTGCAAACGAGCTCTTGAAAGCGAACAGGGAGCTATCGTGAGAGGACGTAAAGTTCGTAAGTATTATAATGTCTCATATTTGGGAGCGCAAGCGTACTGATTTCTTCAGATCTTGAAATTTCCAAGCCGCAGCGAAATACGAGACCGGCGCCGGCGCCGACAGAGTCTTCCCGACCTGCCCCTCCCCGCCGCTCAAGGTCGCCCGACTATAATCGAGCTGCTCCCCCAGCCAATCGGCCATCAAGACCGGCCGGGGATCGCTATGATCGGCCCCACGAACCACCGAGGCTGCCGTTCAGCGACTTCCGAGATGAACCCTCTCATCGCCGGCGGGATGATTATCGCCCGCCACGGTCGCCGTCTCCTCGTGCATATCGTGCACGAGAGGGATACAGGTCTCGTGACAGGACTCCCGAACGCTTTGACCGGCGTGAAAGGCGACGCTCCCGCTCGCCATATGGAAGAGATAGACGGTATCGCAGTCCAAGCCCTCGAGGCCGTCCGACATATGACAGCGATACGGACCTACCTATCCCTAGGCGTGCTCCCAGGGAAGTTCCAGATGTGCAAATCCTTGTTTTGGAGGAGCTCGATCGGTATGGGATAACCCCTTAAGCTATCGACGAGTGTTGTTTTGCTAATGCGAGCCCATAGGAACTTCGTATACCACGTGGAAACCAATTTTAGGAATCGGGGACTTCGTGTCGATGTTTTAACGTTAGGACCCCGGATCCCTCTCGACGCTGCAGTCAAGCGCCAGGCCTTGGAGGGCGTTCTTGCCGTAGTCAGACTTTCACGGCCCAGTCAACTGTCTCGGAAAATTCCGTTGCAGGTATTCGACCGAAGTTTGGGTGTTGATAACATTCGGTCCAATGGTGAGTTCATGAAACCTACTACTTGCGCAAATTGTTTTGTCACTAACCGCCACGGCTGTAGAATACCCGGATCTTGAGCCCAACGTTGCAGCGGACATTGTCTTTCAAGCGCAGTCGATGCAACGAAATATCCCCGGCGTCCCAATCACCTCACCTCCGTTTGGGGTTCCAGCCCTCCCCACCGCTCCTCTCCCTCACCCCGTCGGGCCTTCTCTCCCAACTCAACCCAATTTCGCAAACGCCATCTCGCATCTTGACGGTGCTGGTCTACAGTCTCTGTTGGCGGCGTTACAGCAGCAACGCTCCCCTGTTGTTCCAACCGCACAACCACCATTCCCACCCACCAACCCCCAACCAACTCCAGACCTCGCAAGTCTTCTGAGCGCGGCAACACGACAATCCGTTCCGCTCAATCCTCAACAGCAACCTCTTCCGCAACAGCAATTTCCGCTGCAGCCCCCCACTACCGCAGCAATTTCCGACCCAAACCTTCTGTCGCTCTTGGCTAAAGGTCTAGGGGGCAACCAGGGGCCGGGTCAACCTCCCATGAACTCCCATCAAGTCCAGAATATTATGAGTCAGCTGGGCAAATGGAAACAATGAGTCACGATTTTCTTTGAATTCATTTGTTGTGCAACATCATCGTATTTTATGAAAAATACGGACATTCAACTACAGGAGTAGGGCGTTGATTGTCCGTTACTCGATTGACCCCCAAAGGGTTACCATTTTACTCGGTGTTATTCAGGGCAATCAATCGGTCATTCATATTTGTCGGTTTGGGGAGTTAGCGCAAAGACAGTTCTCGATTTGATTCTTCTTGTTTTGGGACACTATGTCCATCGGCGTTGGTCATTCCGTGTCTTCAGTGTCCATTGCCAGGTGTTTCTAGTAGTTTCATCACTATTTACATCGAATGCGGCTTCTCCGGTTCGTCGCAACAACTCTTAAACTGCAATAATACTAATGCAAGATTCGCATGTGGGTAGAGATGTTCGAGTCATTAAGCGTAAATATAGTACAAGTACAAGAGCCATTGCTCATAACCCAGTGTCTGTGGCTCAGCGTAGTTTTTCAAAAGTTCATCTTCACTCCAGTCCAGCCCAAATCTCCTCACTTCTGTGACCATCCTTGCGACTTGAGATCAGTAACTGTAGCCGCATCTTCCTTCTTGATCCGCTCGATCGTCTTATCCCGGTTGTACTCCATCACGCGCTTTTCCTTGAAGTATTTGACCTGTTTAGGAAAAGAGTCAGCGAGCGCTCCTAACTACACCGACGAAACCTCCACCTCCAAGCGCGGGGACGTGGAAGGCCGGCCCGGAAATATCAACAGGATCATACGTACCCAGGCAGTGGAGCAAGCCGACTCAAACTCTGCAATCTCCTTCGCACACTTCTTCCGCGCCTCCTTATCGCCCTTGACAGAGTCTATGATGTCGTTGTTGTCCAGACACGCAAAGAAGCGATCGCGACCTTCCCAGCATTTTTGTCTCGAGGTTCGATCGGGTGCTATACGACCTCCGTCGGAGGCCTTGTTGGAATCGGAGGACGAAGAAAACCAACCCATTGCGTTTAAAATATCGTACAGAAACGTATAACGAGTGAAAATCAGGTTCGGGAGGTGTTGTTTGAGCTATCGAGTAGCATCAAAGCCTGGAGCTCCCGAGATTCGCTCCGCTCCGCATGACTTCCGTTCCGGTCATGTGGCGCCGAGCTAGGCCAACATGGTCAAACTTCCCCATAGCCTCATCGTTGACAGGCTTCATAATTCCATTCCACCATCCCCATTTACGCTTCTCGATTGAATGTGCAAAGTTATTTGACGGGCACATTTACGCAACGGATATGATTTCGGGATTACCTCCCTTTTAATCAAGCGAAAACATTTTCCAACTTATCGACCGCTCCGAACCCTGTCTACCTAAACGTGCCCCGGACGCTTCGCCGCGGACGACGCTAAACATCAAATCACCAGTCTCTCGCTGGTATAACTTGTAGTTCATGCCCCCGCGCCGAAGACCTCCTCCAGCGGGGGCGCGGACAGACCTTCCACCGCTGAAAATCGTCCGCAAGATCCTGGTCCTCCAGCTTGCCTATTATGTCACCGCGACGGCCCTGATCTTGTTCACAACACTGGTCTACGGCACGGCTTTCTCGCTGGACCTAGTACTCGGCTGGAATACGTTACGGGGGGATACGACGCTAGGTTGGATGCTTGGACTGGTGTGGATGTTGAACAGCTTTCTATGGTGAGTGTCTCGGGCGTTTGTCGGTCATATAAACCAGGAGATCCCACTAACAAGTGTTGATACAGTGTTATATTCCTTCTCCTCCTCGTTTCGCGCTCTAAGCTTATCCCTGATTTTGCTCTTACGATTCATTTCTTGCATCTTATCACGACCTCGTTATATACCCGCGCGATTCCGTCGAATCTCCTCTGGTGGGGTCTGCAATGTGTCAGCGCAGCGTTTATGGTTTTCATGGGGATCTGGGCGTGTCGGTGGAGAGAGCTTCAACCGATCAGCTTCGGAGGTATTGGTACTGGGCAGAACTCGGATCGAGGATCGGCTCAGGCAGCCGAGAGCAGCAATGGGTATGAAATGGTAAATATGAAGGGAGATAACGCGGTCTAACCAGTGCCCGTCCTTCTGGTCTTCATTTGTTTCATTATATTTATTCCCTTAATTCCCTGTGTTTCTTCTTGTTTCTTTCCCGACAGCTGTTGCGATTCCAGAGCTGCATCGGGTCTCTTTTTTACTGTATCTATCTTAGTGTATACCCTATCTGGCGTGGGCCTGTAGAGATGGCGTTGTTGAAATTGGGCGTCCATCATTTAGTTGAATAGAACAACTCAACTCGGTTGAATGGATGTACAGTGCATGTGATATTGCAGCGTCTCGATATTTTTTTACTGCACTCATCCAACCTGGATCCTTCGTGACAAGTGCATACATACGGTGGCATAAGTAACCAATAAAAAACAGCCCATCTTATCAACTAACGCCTTCAAATGACATGCGCGCCTTCTCACAACAAGCCCGCACCATCATCTCCAACTCCGAGTGGGGTGCGCGGATACAGCTCCCGAACCAAGTTAAATAGACTGCAGAACTTCTCGAATCAACTGTTCTATATATCTCATCCGTTACCACTTACATTCTCTCCCACCTAACGCCAGATACTGAGTGACGCTGATAAACTGTCGCAAAATGTCCACCACCGTCACCGAGACCAACCCCGCCCAGGTGGTTGTCACCAACCCAGACCCCAACCCTCACAGCACAACCAAGAACATCCCTCCAGCCTCCGAAGATAAAGTATTCCAGGCCATCGCGCGCGGCGACCGCGCCGGGAAGCTCAAGCTGAGAGGCGTCCCGACCTTCACGGACCCCTACGCCGAGCGCCAATGGATAAGAGAGCACATGGCCGCGGCATTCCGATACTTCGGGAGAGAAGGCCACAACGAGGGTATTTCAGGACATATTTCTGTTCGAGGTATGGCATTTTATACTTGAAGACTATCCGATCTGCCCTTCCAGCATGGTAGTAGTACATGGCTTTAACAAACTACAGACCCCGTCCTGAAGGACCACTTCTGGATCAACCCATTCGCAAAGCACTTCTCGGCCATGAAGGCCTCTGATCTGGTCCTTGTCGACCCGGAGGGATACGTGACAGAGGGCGGAGCGCAGCTGCCCATCAACGAGGCCGGGTTCATGATCCATTCGGAGATCCATAAGGCGCGGCCGGATGTGATGGCTGCAGCGCATACGCATGGCATTTACGGGAAGACGTGGAGTGTGTTTGGGAAGCCGATTGAGATGATTACTCAGGGTGTGTACTGGCTTTCCGCTGTTATAGTATGTGCTTGCTAATGCTATGTATAGATTCATGCAACTTCTTCGGCAAATTGGGTGTCTATGAGGATCACGGTGGTGTTGCTCTAGCAGTGGACGAGGGACGCAATATTGCCAAAGCACTGGGCCCAGAAAATATTGCGTGCATTCTTCAGAATCATGGGTATGTTTTCCCTACCTTCCCGGCTGGATATCGGTCTGCCCAGTTCGTTGAACTAACAGCGAACAGCCTCCTGACAGTCGGCCAAACGGTTGACGAAGCCGCCTGGCTGTTCGTCAGTCTTGACCACGCCTGCCACGCACAACTAATGGCCGAGGCAGCGGCTGCGAATGGCGTCCCTAAGAAGATTATCCCTGATGATGTCGCTCAATATACCGCTGATGCGGCGCAGAATCCGGTATGTTCACCACCCCGTCTTGCAGCGGAGTGCTAACAAGCCTAGCACAACTTCTATACGGAGTTCCAGCCGGAGTTTGACTTTACTGTCGAGCAGAGTAATGGGCGCGTTCTTCAGTAATCCATCGTCTAGGTAGTAAATAATAATTGGGTACTGTTATTGGAATGTATGTTTGTAGGGTTAAAAAAGTATTGACGTCACCGTTACGACACAAAAACTCAAACTCGCCGACCAACTTCGACTCTGTAGCTGTATAGAGGAGACCTATCGGAATACAAACCAAGCAAAAACAGAAAAAGAAAACTCGCTTCCGGTGCGGGGAATCGAACCCCGAGCTGCCGTGTGAGAGACGGCGATGTTAACCATTACACCACACCGGATGTTGTTGGCAAGTTGGGTTTGGAGGTGCTATATGTGGCTTGGACATCACCACGACAGTCAAGCGAGGTTACAGGTCTTTTGCACCAATTTATTGAGGATCTGGGTTTTAAATCGCTTTGAATGTACAGCCAAGGGTCATACATGATAATCTGATTGCACAATTTTACCGTGGTGGGGCTCAACCACGGATATAAGTTATATGGCAGATATCCGTCACACCACCTGAAAGACGGTCTGCCGGCCAGGCTATGTACGGAGAATTCAGGTATAGAGCATAGTTCAAAGCTGAATATATCGGAGTAGTATACTCTAGACAGACATAAAGCAACTCAGCGACTGATCTCGATACTTGACGTACTGTCCAAGGTGAGTATGTGCTGACTAAGTCCCTTAACCGACCCCTGCAGGCGGCATCAAAACGTCCAAAAGAGCAACTGTGGACACTGGCCAGTCAACAACACTTCATCCGACATCACGCACAACTAGCGGCAGATGATGGTTGCGGTCCCTGCTCTGCATCAATTCGATCTGTCACATGCGTTTGCCAGGTGCTAAATTGAGCTCTGTGTTTGAAGCGGCCATTGAAGACGACAGATACATCTACCAGGCGCTGTAGAGTTGTCCTTTCGACACAACAGCTTAAGACCCATCACAAAATTTATATTATTGAATCGCCGATATCAGAGCAACAGCCACCTCGTGAACACCAGGCCCGAGCAGTCAAGTCCGTACGACATGGCCGCTGAACCCTCGTACATAGACTATGAGGCCTTCCTGGACCCGGACTTCTCGCCAGCCTCATTTGCCAACTCGCTGGTGGTGGCCACCAACAATGCCACAGACACACCGCTGGATCTGTCAACCCCGCTTTCCCGGGTATTGTTCGACCTTCAAGAGATCGACACGCATATCCACACGCTGACCACCAAATCAGCACTCCCCTTGCTGACGCACACGGGGGACCAAACCGCAGCTGCAAGCAAGATTCTCAAAGAAGCAGACGATCAGGTTGCCTCTGTCTCGCAGGGGTACGAGCGACTGGAGCGCGAGGTCTTGCGCAAGTGGGAGGCCGCCGAGGAGGCGAGAGTGGCTACGGAGAATTCTCTGGCCACCGTGCGTCTCGCACGAGCTGTTGCGCGATGCATTGCGCTTGGTAGGCAGCTCGATGGCCAGATGATGGAGGTCACTGGCCGTGGCGGGCTTCCTGGAGCAGGCGGAGGCGATGGGACGGCATCCCCGGGCCCTGGACGAGACGACAACACCCGTGCGCTTGAGCGCGCTGCATCGACGATTGTGAGCCTGCGTCGTCTGCTCTCTGATACAGGTGTTGGCGAGGAAGGCCACGGCCTCGACCGAGTCAAGGTCATTCGCACTCTGAAGGGCGACCTGCTGATTCCGGCGGAGAACCTTGTCAAGGCCAGAGCACAGCAAGCCATCAATCGGTTTTCCATCTCAGCTAGCAATTCAAGCAGCAATGGCGCAACTGCACAGTCAAGCTACAAACAAGCGCGCGACGCACGAGCCCGTCTCATATCGGGCGTTAATGTGCTATACCTGCTCTCTCCTTTACCGTCGAGAACAACCGCCGCCCATCCTGCAGACTTCCACCCAGAACTGCTCCTCTCCACTCTCCAAGGCTACATCCAAACCACCACTGTCGCCTCCCTCAACAACCTCTCCCGGGGGCTAACCATGCTCCCAAGCCTTGACAAGACCCTTCCCGAAATCACCGCCCGCTGCCAGGACATCCACGCCCTCGAAGCAATCCTCAGCACAATCAAACCCCCCTCCCACCCATCCCTCCCACAGCCCCAAGAACAAACATCGTCACCCTCATCCTCATCACCACCACCCAACTCCGACTCTAAACAAAACAACCTCCTCACCCCACTCCTCACATCCCTCGACACCCCTTCCCTCCCATCTTACTTCTGGCGCTCCCTCGCCTCGTCCCTTTCCCCGCGCATCCAGGAAATCATCCACCGCGGCGGCGTCTCAGCACGCACCCTCCGCTCGAACCGCGACAAGCTCAAGAGGGAGATCCGTGAGTGTGTCTTGCGCGGGTCGCAGCTGCCGCAGTCTGCTCTGGGTGTGGGAATGGAGAAACGCGACCAGAACCAGAATTGGGAGCGCGAGGCGGCGGTTATGGTTAGTGCTGTTGTGGGAGTGTTGGAGCGGTAGGCTATTAGTACTAGTAGGTTGTGGACAAAGCCGTTTTTTATGCGAGTTCTCCCTGTATTTATTTGAATAGCTCAATAGATATTTTATCTTATTATATTACCTATATCTATGCAGGCTATGCAGATTATGTATGTAGAATGGGCTTTACAGAGAGTTACATAGTCTAGTTTCTTTGCGGTCGATGTTCATGCAGCATATGTGTATATCGATATTGAAGCAGGCCAGGATAGGATCCGTTCCTATATTGACCATGCATATGGAGACATATCATACAACTTATCTGTACGATTGAAGATGATAGAGCACATCTTAGTAGAAACCTATTCCATATATCATATGGACCAGGATAGAGGTGCCTATAATATCAGGCACGGCCAGGCACAGGCACACTGGGTTCCGGCGCCCTCCGGCTCTTGAGCCGCACCTTGGAACCTATTCGCAAGGATAGAGAGATGGTGACGATTATCGTATGATGTAGTCACGGGTTCTTAAGATTAAGCAGCAGCCTCAACAACCTAACTTACCCTACCTACCTGCTGTTTTAAATAACCGGCTCGTAGTTTATCTCAAATTGCCACCTCAGCATTTTCAATTAACATTCGGCCTTGGACTGGGCTGAGCAGACTCGAGTGGGAAGCCCAGATGCATTATATTGGAATCCTGGGCAGTGGACAGTTGGCAGAGGGGATGCACTATGTATGCAATAAGATTATTCTTATTGCTTATGACATGCATACGTTGGGCATGGGTGTGCGTAGACTTTACCGAACCGGGGTGTTATTGGTTGGGAAGTGCGAGGAGGCTCACACCGCCAGACGGAGTTGTTTCTTTGAACGTTACTCGGAGTATACAGACTTGCAGAGTATCGTAGAAGAGCACGATTCAGGCGTTGAGGGTTGAGGTTGGTTTCGTTGCGAGACGGGCCGTGCACCATCGTCAGTCTCTGCTGGGAAAATGGTGGCAGGGCTGTTATTGGCGGGCGGGAATCATTCAAATGGCCAGTGGATGTACCTGTGCTAGTTAGCAGCTAGAGCAGGTACCGCCCGGTTGGAGAAGCAAGCGGCATTGTCCCGGAGTTAGTCCGGAGTCAGCAGGGCAGGTGACCATTTGAGTCCCGTATCGAGAGCCGATAAGGGAGGGGTCCCTTCTTTGTTGGAATTTCCAACAAACTTTCTGGCATCATCCCTGCCACTTTGAAACCAGGTCCAGACCAACCGAAGACGAGGGGCAACAGCTGTCTTGCGTGGCGCCGTGCCTTGTGCCTCTGATTTTCAGGCTTTGGGAGGATCAGCTCGTTTGTAGAGGGTCGGGATTGGCCCTCCATGGCCATTGCCCCTCTTTGGCTGCCCAGCCCCTGGTGTTGCCACAAAGTAAGAAATCTGTCTGGAGTCTGGTGCGTGTGGTGTGATTGGCCCTTGTTCTTGCAAATCGTATCAGCAGTAAGTCAGGCGCAAGTCAGGTGCAGGGGACAAGGCGATTCAACGGTACTCGACCCAGCTCGATTCACGCCCGTGGGAATGCGACTAATGCAGCAGCTGTCATGGAATGGTGGTGGTTGGGCCGCTTGGTCGGTGTGAGTGGCGGGGGGGTCGGACAGTCGTCCAGGAAAGTCCAAAACCTTGACCCCGCTGTTTCTCCACAGTTGACAACTTGTTTAAATCATCGAGGGCGAGGAACCTTGGGGTCCAGGCGAGTTAAGTACGGTCGACGACGGAGTGCCTGCGAAGAAGAACTCCGTCTTGTGGTCGAGCAGAACCAGTGGCTTGCGACAGTGAACTTGTCCGCGCTCGGGCCAATTGTCGCCATTGTACAGGCAGATCATGAAGTCGACATTGCGTGTCCACTGCAGGATGGATGCAAGATGATGGCTAGGAACAGGGAACTGGACAGAGCGTGACGTTACCATCGCGAGAGTTCGACGACGAGCTGCCTAGATGGGCAGAGACTCGACGTGGCGCTGCTTCTACGGTGTCCGGTGTATACGGTGTACAAAGTACTAACGGCGCCTCAGATACTTACCCCGAAGATTCCGGGGGTATCCTCCCAAGATCAAGAAGACTGGGTGACTTTATGGGTCGTCCGAAGCATTGGGTTTCATACTTCGAGTGCAGCTACAGCACCTCTCGCCATCTGGCCAAACCACCAGGTTGTCAAGCCTCAACCATCGAACAGCATTGCAGTATCCCACCATAAACTTAGCTGAGAAGTGGTTTCGACGTTCATTGCTGGGCGCAGTGGAGTATTCCTGGCCACGTCCTCTTTCTCCTGTTCGACAACCACAGGAACAAGGGTTGCAGCTTTGCCAGAGCATGGCCCTTCCGCGACGTGATATAAGAGCAAACTGCGAGGTGGGCGAGGAGTGGGTGTTGGGTACGATCTCGATGTAAGGTACTCTGCATATACGGAGAACCGCGTGGCAGCGCTCGGATTCGCTCTCAGCAGTCTGGACTCATAGATCATGAGTCTGGACAGATGGACGGAGTTTTCAGAGCCTATCGGGACGCCCGGGTTTTCGTAGAACGTCCCCCATGGCCAGACCCTGCCGTAGAATCTTTATGGGGCGAAAATATAGAAGAACCAGAGGGCTGAAGGGATACGCCCCGCCCCGTCAAATGGTAACGTCACTGCGGCCCAACCATCAACCAGTTCGAGAACCTCTTCTGCGCCGGAAATGGAAAGATTGCGAGAAATGGCGGACATCACCAGCAATTGTGCGGCCTTTTAATGGGCGAAAGAGCACAGGGTCCCCTTTGTCCATGGCTCCTGATTTGCGCTTGTCCTTGGGTGTTAAGTACTATAGTAGTATCCGTATCCTCGTGCCTGGTGTCTTCCCCGTAGCTTTCGGACGCACCGCCCGGCCTGGTGGAAGGAAGACTTGTCATCAAAGGGGTGTTTGGGTGGGAAACCTTCGTATTCTGGGACCCATGGCACGCTGTAGGGCGCAGAACGCACAGGGCTGTATTTAGACGCGGTGGGTTACGGATACTGGCCGTTATAGTAATATTTGCCAGTAGTTGATGCTCTCCGGAGCAGTAATGCTAGACAGATAAACAATAACCGTGCATCTGTAACTGTCCATATCCTGTGTACGACTAATATATTCCAGAGTGAATATATGCGGGCGATTCTATTTGAGGGTCCAGTCTTGCTTTGACTTCCACCCACCGACTCCACAGCGATCGCACGTCGATGATTCGTGTCCGCCCATCCGGACCAAGTTGTCAGTACCTGGGGCTAACCCCCGGCGTGCCTATCACGATGCAGGCTGCCTGAGCGGATCATCATGACCTCGCTGAGGGGGTGGAGGATTTCAGGTTGACTGAAATGCTCAGGGCCGCCTGCTGGTGGAATGAGTGAATCACGAAGCCTATTCACGGTCGTGGTAGAGGACTCCGGTCGATTATACTCTGGATTCCGTACAATCATCGAGTAATGGTGAGAGAGAGCTTCCCCTCTCGCTTTGGTGCCCCTCGTTTCGTTTGCCTCCCGGCGTTTCTGATTTCTGATAAGCCTCTTTTCCCCTCTACCAATCCAAGTATCGTCATCACCACCTGGATCGCTTTGCCGTCATTCACTATCGTTCCCCTTACTTAGCCACTTGCCTCCTCTTTACTCCCATCTTCCCCTTGACTGCCTCTGCCTCTTTCCATTTCTCTCTGGCAGCCACGATCCCAGCCCTGCCCTCGCTCTACGCAGCCTTGCTCGGCTCCTCTCGGCACCGTCTCCATATCGATCCTCTCCGCCTCATCTCGTGGCAGAGGTGTGCCTGGCTCCCACTCCGGTGTCACGACTCGCCAACACTTCCTATTAATAGGCTGTTTGGACTGATCTGATTTTATTGCAATTTTCGTTCACCCCTTCCTTCGCCTCGCGTCGATCCATCCATCGCGGCGGCCCTGTCTGAGCTGTATTCGATTCTCCAGCTACTATTATCACTTTGTCGCCCGGTTTTTGCATTCGGTTTGGGTCTTGGCTAGGCCCCCCCGGTGTATTGAATTCCTACTGTCATACCCACAACCGTCCCGCGACTCGACGCCCGCTACTGAACCGTGATCCGTCGAGTCCACCAAAACTTCCTCTTCGTCTCATCTCTCTTCTTGCCGCCCCCCTCTAGTTCTTCCATTCTTCCTTCTTTCAAATCCAGTTTTCTGGCCCTCCCTCACGTCCGGCTTTGCCCATTTCCGAACACCTGTCCCTTCCTCGCCTGAACCGTCAGAGATGCGCCCTCGGTACTAATGGGCGCCCTCTCTCCGTTTACAGCCTACCTACTACCCTTGCTTCGCCTTCTTCACCTGGAGGCTGTCTAGTCGTCATTTTCGAAATCCTCGCCCAACTTCTTTCGTATTCATCGCATCCCCTCGCTTAAAATAAAGCCCTGTGGACAAAGCGAAACCTTTTTTATTTCTTGTAAGTGTCACAGATTGCATAATAATATGGGAAATAAAGCAACCGTGAAAATTGGGTTTCTTCTGCCCAACTCAATCTTCATCCCTTGCTAGATGTCGCATCGCAGCGAAATTATCAAGGTCCACCTGCTTACATGATGTGCGCCTGTATCTAGTCGAACGTTGCCCGGTCGATTTTGTCTTTCCCTCTCGCCTCGAAAGCACCAGTTCTTCCGTATAGTTGCTGTGCTTGTCGGGTGCCCCTCCGACTCGGATTCGTACATAGAAGTTGGAGCTTGGCTTGCACATGAACTTTCGCCGCCAATATGTCTTTTTTGCCTGTCAACAACATTTCTTCGCCACCGGACCGTGCCATGGACGATGCAATCGCAACATCGGCCACACCTCGCCCTCATTCGGATAGCATGTCGATGACACAGGACTCCGGGTTATCAACCGATATTAAAGAGGAGCATGGCTTACGGCCGGCGCACATGACCCACGAATCCCGTAGGAGCACACACTCGGTCTCGGACGAGACCATACAAGCAGACTCAGACGCCGAACAAGAAGGCTCGGACCATGAGTCAGAGCGGAAGGAGCATGCACCGCCATCGAAGAAGAAGAAGGGACAACGATTCTACTGTACCGATTTCCCGCCGTGCAACCTGAGTTTCACACGGAGCGAGCATCTGGCTCGCCATATTCGAAAACACACCGGAGAGCGCCCGTTCCAGTGCCACTGTTCGCGACGATTTTCCAGACTTGATAACCTGCGGCAGCACGCACAAACTGTGCATGTGAATGAGGAGATACCCGGTGATTCGCTGGCGGCCACCGGCACTCGCTTCCAGCGTCAGATTCGCACCGATCGAGTGCGGCCCCAGGGTCGTGCGAGGGCTGGTACTGGAGGAAGCCAAGGAGCCCATAGCAGAGGGCACAGCAGGAATCTGTCCACCTCTAGTATCGCATCAACAACTTCAACATTCAGCCAACCGGCAGAGCTGCGCCGGCGCCCGCCACCGCTGATCATGGCCAACGATCCAACCACAAGATCCAGGCTAGGTCTTGATCCGATGATGGACGCTCCCACTACGCCGCCGGGTCAGGTCCGAGCCATGCATGGGCCTCCAGGCGGCTCTCCGTATACGCCCACTCATATGTATCCCGGTAACGCTTCTCCCATGCACCCATCATCTCAGGTTGCGGGCTTCTGGGACGGCAAGACCGCAGCTCGACGACTATCCGTCCCCTCCGGAGTTAATCCGTTCTCGGGGGTCCACTATCCTCAACCCTATCCGGCCCCGAGTTACGGGCCACCAGGGGAAATATATGCTAGTCCCGTCAGCGGGAAATATCCTCCATCAAGGGATGAAAGAGAATACCCGACAGAAGCCGAGCTGCGGCGAAGAACGTGGCATTTTTCAACGTGGCAGAATGCACCACGCGCAGAATATAGTGGGAACCCTAACCCGCCACCCTCGGAAACGCTCCCCCCAGCTGTTGGGGGTAATGACTCTGGGGATCGGCCGCCCCGCTTACCGGGAATTGAAAGTTTCGATAAGTTTGCGAGACGGCCCTTGACACCACCTGTGCGCAGGCCGAGTCCGATGCAAGTCGATCCGCAACATAAGCCGCCGGCTCCCGGCTACAATATCAGCGGCGGGTACAACTACGCACCGCCGTCGGCTCGACCAGCTCCGCCTGTTTCTGGCCCTGGTCATCGACGCGGTCACGTCTCGTGGGATATGTCATTGCACACGAACTTGACGGGTCTTCACATCAGGGACAAGTCTCTCCCCAGGCGGGATTCCTCGAACTGGAGCCAGCAAACTATCTCAGAGCTTCGTAACGTTGGTTCTCGCCCATCATCGTCATATCAGCAACAGCTCCAGGAATTCCGGGGTCACCATAGCCATGCATCGTCTTCGTACAGTACTACAACGTCAGGTTCACATGCTGCGCGAACGAGTCCTGAAGACTCGAGCAGCAGCGAGGGAGTCCACACGCCATCAACGGCATCCCTCGAGTACCACCCAGCCATTGTGCACAATAGCGGCTATGTCGAGCCCCATCATCCTCCATTCTCTTCTGATACATCCCAAACAGTACGCCCCCGTTATCCTGGTGGACCGGTTGCGATAGATCACTGATCCGGAGTACAGGCTTGTCCTCCTATACATTCACAACCCGAAGCATACCACTCAAAGCACGAATCTCGACCTGATATTATCAACAACAATGCGTCAAGAGACCCCGGAATGGGCCGACTAGAGGCTCTTGTTGCCGTTGCTACCAGCGAAAACAAGAACGGTGCGGACATCATGGTCTAGCCAAATCTCACACCAACGATGCGTGGTGCATCTCTTTTCTAAGGTTTCCCTGTGCGTGGGCCGATAATACTTATTGGCTCCATCACTGCCCTCGTTACGTCCAAATTTCCTTGCGTGCAAGCCCAGGTGTGACTTGTGCTAGTATCTACCTTTTTCAGAAGGCGCTATCTATCGTTTATATTTCTTTTTTTTTTCGGTTTTTGATTCTAAACGGCGTTCTAGAACCTGGGCCTATTGTTATTTGATTATACACCACAGCGTTATGGCAGTTCTTGATGACTTGTGATGACTGATGAATAACGCATAGTGACGGGTTCCATGGGGGTATTTTATATTTTCCCCATGTCAGTTATATTCTGTTCGGATTGTTTTACTGTTCCAGTCTAAGCTCTATTTCTTATTTTGTGTTTGATCTGCATGATCTGGCGTTTTCCTTTGGGTCGTATGTATCCAGCGCTTGAAGATACCCCAGCTTCAAATCCGGCTTTCCGCACGAAGTTCTGGGCAGATATTCAGATTCCTCCGGTTGTGGCGTGGCAGCGTTATGCTTTTGTATATTTCTTGTTCTCTCTTCATTATCCTGAATATATGAACTCATTTAAACCCAACTGTTCTCATAAAACTTGCCGCGTGAATCTCGGGCAATATCGCGACATGAAATCCCACCAGCTGATATCATTCCCCTATTAGCTCCGAGACTCCTGTTTCTATTTAGACGGAACTCCACGATGATCTCACTACTCTGAGTACACTTCCTTGCACTAGTCCGAGGTGGACTGGCACTATGTAGCGTCCATGGCAAATGATGGCCCGGTGACGTCAGGGCCGAACAAAAGCATCACCGATTCTCCCCGCACAAGCTTGCCGGTATATGAACCAGGGAAATCCAGCTACCTGGTTTGCGTAGAGAGAGAGAAAAAAAGTTCAATCCAACTGCCTTTCTATACTGGACCACAACCTACACTCCCTCACCATCTCAGCTACCTGGAGCGCAAAGGATATCATAATCTACCACCTCACAACCGAACTACTACCTGGTATATCCTAAAACGACCGCCCGACTTCAATTACATCACGATCCCCTAAATCAAACTACATACTCCCACAACCACTCTACACAATGGCCGCGCCCCCAAAGAACCGCACCGGTCTGTATCTCGGCCTCGGCGCCCTAGGCGCAGGCGCTTACTACTTCTACCGCGCTGGCGGCGATCCTAAGCTCGCGAAGGAGGAGATGAAATGTACGTGCCTCGAAGCTACTACCTTGCATACCAAATCGGCGTCGGTCGTGTAACACCCGCCCCGGGAACTATTACTAACCTGGCCGGTATAGATGACATGACCAAAGTCCGCGGCAAAGCACCCACCGGGGGACCCGGGGGTGACCGAGCCGAGCGAGCTGGCGAGAAAGCCGGCCTGGAAACGAATCTGAACCTTGATGAGGCTGTATGAATGCGTCCCAATGCACCTTTACCTCCCCCATCCGCCTTCTCAGATGTTAACAGTGAAATAGGCCTACAACCCTAAGACCAAAGACACCGACCTCGCATCCCAGGCGCAGCGGAAGCTAGATGACCTCGGCCAGGCTGGTAAGGACCAGGCGGCGAGACTGCGTGACGAAGCAGAGCAGCAGGCTGGCAAGCTGAAGAATGAAGCCGAGGACAAGGCGAATGAGGCGAAGAGTACAGTCTCAGGGTGGTTTGGTGGCCAGAATAAGAGCCAGGCGGCAAACCTGCGAGACGAGGCAGAGCAGCAGGCTACCAAGCTGAAGAATGAGGTTGAGGATAAAGCGGGCGAGGCGAAGAGTACAGCTTCGGGGTGGTTTGGGGGGAAGAAATAAACTGCTTCCCCGCCCTACCTCGACTTCAAGTGGGAGGACGATTGAACTCGAGTGAATGGTGTACTGTGTACTGCGTGCTAATTGACTATTTGTGGATGCGGAGCTTATTAGCTTAGCTTTAGTCTCGATAGTTCAGTCTTGCCTAAACGAATTGATGATAGCTAGTTAATGGACTTCAAATAATTTCAGAATACTTTTTCTCCGGGGATGAGTGGGGTGCTGGATAGGGCCCAGACCGTGGGTGGGAGGTATGTGGCATTCCAGCCTCGACCTGGATCACCGGAGTGATGGGCTGTATAGAATGGTAGGTTAAAACCAAGATTCAACCCGGTATTTTTATTCCTTCTACCGTGATGCTTAATCCCCTGAAACTCTGGTCAATAATTCCTATCCAGTCGAAGTGCGCTTGTCGCGATGGGATGACAGTCCCACGTTCTGGTAATTTAACCCAATCCGGACACGAACGCCAACAGCGCGTCGCGACGCGTTTTCTCCTTAAAATCCAAACTCCAATTTTAACCGCCCATCCCTTTGCTCGACTTCAATTAAACAAACCCGAGTCTCGACCTTTTTACCTTTACTCGATTGTGATTTTCGGGTTCTCGATTACTTTTCATGTTTAATACTTCGCATTGTATTAATTTTCCTCCTTACTCTTCTTAATCAATCACAAGGAAGTCGCGATGCCTCGCACCTCCTCTACACTGGCCCGCTCGCGTACTACACGCCTGCCTCGAGCGAGCCAAACGGGCATCCAGAGCTTCGCAAGAGCGACCAAGCCCGGCCTTAGCTCATCGGCATCCCTCGGTCTCATAGACGGAAAGAAGGATCTCGCTACCACCTCAACACCCCGTCAACTGCCGGTCTCACCTTCCAAGAAACGGAAACTTGGGGAGCTCGAAAATGTCGACTTCACGATCCGCGAGCAGCAGGAAGGCGAATCGGGGAACAGTACCGAAGAGAACAGCAAGGACTTGTCCATATTAACACCCTCCAAATCCTTGAAATTCAGTACCCTATCCGTTTCAACACCCAGCTCCAGAAATACTCGCAGGAGTGGCCACTATGTCTCTACCCCGATACCATCGCCAACACCGCGGCAGGCACGCACAGGACGAACTCAACCTGAGCATGCGGATAAAAGTAGCGCTGTACACACACCGAGTACGCCGACAAAGCCGCGCGCTCCGAGACAGACTAAGCCGCTACCACGATCGAACGCATGTATTCTTCCTGTTACGCGTGCGCCCTGTGTGGCGGAATTGGTCACGCTGCATTCGGCGTTTCTTAAGGCGTTGACGATCCATGCGGCGCACAAGGGTGTTGCTGCGCCAGCGGATCTGAGAGAGTTCTTACCGAGTGTGGAGCGAATCTGGAAGAAGAGGAAGGTTGTTGTTAAGGATTTGCAGAGGTTATTGTGGGTATTGAAGACGAGAGAGTGCGAGAGTGGGATGGGGTATCGGCTTGCGAATCATGGGCTTGGCCGAGTTTGTTTGGAGAAGGTGAATGGGCGGAGTGATCGACTTGATGATGAGGGTGAGCTGCAGGCGCGGTTTGAAGAGGCGGCCGATTTGCTTTGGGAGAAGGCGCTGGATGATGCCGGGGGTGATGAGGGAAGTGTTGATTATATGGGAAACCTGGGCCTGGTTTCAATTGAGGAGTCGTTGGCACCATTCACCGCGTTCCGGAAGGGGCAGCAGCGGCTGCAGGATTTGAAGGGTGGTGTTATAAAGATGAAGATGGAGACTTTTTTGGCTGAGGCCGCCGGCGACGAGACCTCGAGTACACCCGCTAAAGTGCGCAATGCGACGACGAGTCGGCGCGAAGGGCTGCTTGATCGAATTAAGAATAAGCAGCTGCGGCAGGCGAAATTGCCTCCGCCGCCGTCTAAGGAGGTGCTGCTCCGTCGTGCCGCATCTGGACGTATCGAGGAGGTTGCGGGAGTGCTGGCTCTTCTTCGACCGGCAGGATATGTGGGCAATGGGCCACTGGCAAGGCTGGCGGCGCAGCGGACTCCGTTCTGTCTGGAGACCATTGTCCGCAATGTGCAGGATTCGACTCGCAACCCAATCTCGGAGAAAGAAGTCGAAGCTTGCCTGGAGATCCTTGCTCGTGAAGATGTTGCTGGCCACTGGGTGAACATTGTTGTCGTGAACCAGCTCAAGTCGGTCGTCTTGAAGTCTTGCGGCGATGTCCAGTTGAAGGATGTTGGAGCCAAGGTGGCTCAATTGAAGCCTGGATGGGAAGAGTCCCCGAAACTTTTGGACTGATACTAGTATTTGTCTGCACTCTTTTCTGTTTGGATCCATGTTTTCTGGCGATACCTCATGGCGATTGGCATTTTTGGAGTTATGACTATGGGCTGCATTTTGTACGCGGATTATATCAGCGCTGTATTCGATATCCTGTATGATAGACTATAAAACTAATGAACACTTGAGGAACTGAAGAATTGAACCCTTCCATAATTCTTGTCTACATTGCTGACGCCTACTGATTGGCTCGAAACCACTTTGGCTCGACGCGGCCCCACGTGACCGTGTCGCGTCTCGCACGCGCCAAGGAATCTACCCATCAATTGGATAAGAGCACTTGGAGAACGAAGGTCGACAACTCTACCACGCCTCAACGCCAGCAATCAGGTCATTCTCTACCACACAGAGTGACAAGCTGGTACCATGTCATCTAGACCAGACCTCAGGGTAAGCTCAATTACTGGAAATCCCCGCCTAATTAGCACAATTTGTCCGGCCATTCCCTAACAATTTAACTTCAGGTCGACGACGAAGTCGGCTTCATCCGCTTCTACCGCTCCCTCGCCTCAGACGAATCGTCTCCCTCAAACAATGAAATAATACGTGTCTTTGACCGCGGCGATTGGTACTCCGCCCACGGCGCGGAAGCCGAGTTCATCGCTCGCACAGTCTACAAGACTACCTCTGTCCTCCGCAACCTCGGCCGCAGCGAAACAGGCGGCCTACCTTCCGTCACAATGAGCGTGACTGTGTTCCGGAATTTCCTACGTGAGGCGCTGTTCCGGCTTAACAAGCGCGTGGAGATCTGGGGCTCTGTGGGTACGGGCAAGGGCCACTGGAAGAAAATCAAGCAGGCGAGTCCTGGGAATTTGCAAGATGTCGAGGAGGAACTGGGCAGTGTTGGTGGGATGGGAGATGGGGGTGCAAGTGGTGCGCCGATTATCCTGGCTGTGAAGATTAGTGCGAAGGCTGGGGAGGCGAGGAATGTGGGTGTCTGTTTTGCGGATGCGAGTGTGCGCGAGCTGGGAGTTAGTGAGTTCCTCGATAATGATGTTTATTCGAACTTTGAGTCCCTTGTTATTCAGCTTGGGGTGAAGGAGTGTCTTGTGACGATGGACATGAATCGGAAGGATGTCGAGTTGGGGAAGATCAGGGCTATTGCGGATAACTGTGGGATAGCGGTTTCGGAGCGTCCTGTTGCGGATTTCGGGGTGCGTGATATCGAGCAGGATTTGACGCGGTTGCTGCGTGATGAGCGCTCTGCTGGGACGTTGCCGCAGACGGAGTTGAAATTGGCGATGGGCTCTGCGGCGGCGTTGATTCGGTATCTCGGTGTGATGTCGGATGCTACGAATTTCGGGCAGTATCAGCTTTACCAGCATGATTTGGCGCAGTTCATGAAGCTTGATGCGGCGGCGTTGAGGGCGCTGAATCTGATGCCGGGCCCTCGCGATGGGTCCAAGTCCATGAGCTTGTTTGGACTGTTGAACCATTGCAAGACACCTGTTGGGAGTCGGTTGCTGGCGCAGTGGCTGAAGCAGCCGCTAATGGATCTAGCAGAAATTGAGAAACGGCAGCAGCTTGTTGAGGCGTTTGTTGTGAGCACGGAGCTGCGACAGACCATGCAGGAGGAGCATCTGCGGTCGATTCCAGATCTTTATCGCCTTGCGAAGCGGTTCCAGCGGAAACAGGCGAACTTGGAGGATGTGGTGCGTGTGTATCAGGTCGCGATTCGCCTGCCCGGGTTTGTGAACTCATTGGAGAATGTCATGGATGAGGAGTATCAAACTCCGCTAGAAATCGAGTATACGGCCAAGCTTCGGAACCACTCGAATAGCCTGGCGAAGCTGGAGGAGATGGTTGAAACGACGGTCGATCTGGATGCGCTTGAGAACCACGAGTTTATCATCAAGCCCGAATTTGATGACAGTCTACGCATAATCCGCAAGAAGCTGGATAAGCTCCGCCACGACATGTATCTCGAGCATCGGTCTGTGTCGAAGGATTTGGACCAGGAGATGGACAAGAAGTTGTTCTTGGAAAACCACAGAGTTCACGGTTGGTGTTTCCGGTTGACACGTAACGAGGCCGGCTGTATTCGCAACAAAAAGGCGTACCAGGAATGCTCTACGCAGAAGAACGGTGTCTACTTTACCACCTCGACAATGCAGTCCTTGAGACGGGAGCACGACCAGCTCTCCTCCAACTACAACCGTACTCAGACGGGGCTTGTCTCTGAAGTTGTCAATGTTGCAGCCTCGTACTGCCCCGTTCTGGAGCAGCTGGCCGGCGTCCTCGCCCATCTCGATGTTATTGTCAGCTTCGCCCATGCCTCTGTTCACGCACCTACAGGCTATACCCGGCCCAAGATCCACCCCCGAGGCACAGGAAACACAGTCCTCAAGGAAGCGCGTCACCCGTGCATGGAGATGCAAGATGATATCTCTTTCATTACCAACGATGTATCGCTGATCCGCGACGAGTCCTCCTTCCTAATCATCACTGGTCCCAACATGGGCGGTAAATCGACCTACATCCGAATGATTGGCGTTGTTGCACTCATGGCCCAGACCGGTTGTTTCGTGCCCTGCACAGAGGCGGAGCTCACAATCTTCGACTGTATCCTTGCTCGTGTCGGTGCCAGCGACTCACAGCTCAAGGGCGTTTCAACGTTCATGGCAGAGATGCTTGAAACATCTAACATTCTCAAGTCAGCAACGTCTGAATCCCTGATTATCATCGATGAGCTCGGCCGCGGTACCAGTACATACGACGGATTCGGTCTCGCCTGGGCCATCTCAGAGCATATCGTTACTGAGATTCGATGTTTCGGGCTGTTCGCAACTCACTTCCACGAATTGACAGCGCTGGCAGATCGGTACCCCAAATCTGTCAAGAACCTGCATGTCGTTGCGTTCATTGGAGATGGAACGACAACGAAAGAAGACGAGGAGAAAAAGGCGCAGCAGAAGGTTACGCTCCTGTACCGCGTTGAGCCCGGAATCTGCGACCAGTCATTTGGCATCCACGTCGCTGAGCTAGTCCGCTTCCCAGACAAGGTGGTCAATATGGCTCGACAAAAGGCCGAAGAGCTAGAGGACTTCACCTCCGCAGATCCGACAGGGAAAGCATCGGCTACGGCCGTTGATAAGTACTCTCAGGAGGAAGTGGAAGAAGGAAGTACCTTGCTGAAGGCGATGTTGCAGAAGTGGAAGGCTGCCATCGAGGAACCGGGCAAGGATCTGACGGTTGAAGAAAAGAGGCAGATTATGAGAGATCTGGTCAAGGGTGATTCGAAGTTGCAGGAGAGTCGGGTCTTCCAGGGCATTCAAGCATTGTAACGAGCGAGCTTTTGAGGGTTTGTTCGTGGTTTGCGGTTCGGATTATACTTGCGTTCTATCTAATGGTGGTATGGCGTTTGGGATGGCATGGATTCTAACTATGTGGTTAGCATAGGTCTCGGATAATGAAATAAGCACATTCTACGTTCTCTTTTAATGCCCTCTAGAAGTTTTTCCAGATAAATTAGCTTCAACAGCATGCAACCATATCTTTGCTTTGATGCAGTATGTGATCACGTGGGGCAGCGGTCGAGACGCTGTCAGTAAATAAGGAAATTCGCTGGATAGCCCGCGGCGACACCACCGACCCCTCGAACGCTCATTCATCTTCTGTTCTTTCCTCCACTGTTCGCCGTAAGTTAATCCAGGATTTAGCTTCGCGCGTCGCTCCCTTTTTATCCTGCAGTACTCGATCCCTCCTCCTTGTCACTCGCTATGTCCCTCCTGTCCAATTAAAGCTGGACCATCCGCAACAGCTTGATTCATGCACCCCTTTTCCATCCTCACTCTCGGCATCTTCGTTGCGGGATATATCACCGCGAGGTGGGATCTTGTTACCCGACTTTACGAACTCGCCATATTCGCGTGGGATCACGGTGTGGTGGTGCGTGTTCATTTCCAACTTTTCTACCTGTCGCGCGACTTCCGCACGGGCTCCGCTAACCAGCCACGCTTCTATAGACCAGAACCGCAAAGGGATTTCTCTTCCTCTCTGTTTTCTTTTTCGTCCTCATCATTCCAATCAACCATCTTGCGCAAAAGGAGTTTGGTCAGGTATGCGATGTCGTCATTTATCTGGAGCGCCCCAAGCCGTACAGAAGCTAATTCACTGTTGCTACTTAATAGCACCCTCGACCTGTCCACCTCGGTGTCTCCGCTCGGGAACAACTACGCCGTCGAGGCTCGTTCTAGTCTTTGAGTGGAGGATGACAACATGCAGATGAGCGATGGATTGCTACGGGTATTTTGGCCATACGACCTCCCCCGGTCGTCCTCGCCGGGTGTAATTGTTGGATGGCGGAATTCAGAGCTGGATCTGTTTGTGTTGGCTGTGCTGGAGGATGTCGAGGTATGCCATGGTTACGTGCGTACTTGGTTTAGAGAAAGCTGCTAATTTGCGCTCGCGCAGCCTCGAAACGTTGACAATGCCCTCCGCGCGGGCATTCTATTCCGGCACAGCCCTCATCCCGTTCCGCGCATTTTCGGCCTTTGCGGTCGTTCGTCGATGCATGTTCTAGGATCGACTAACCTGCGCGATCCGCCGACAGCCTTCAATCCGTCCCATTTGATTGTTAGTACTCGCTCGTCCGGCAAGATTCCGAGAATATATTGTCCGCCGGAGACTGGCCTCTCGATTCAGGTTATCATGTTCCATCGTCCGGACCCGACTAGGATGGAATACATGTCGCTAAATCCAATTTCACTTGCTTTAGAGGACAAGGTGCTTGCTGCGGATAAGTCGGACTCAGTGTCGGATATGATAGAAACAGGGGAAGGGATACAAAAGGCTCGTGCGCAAAAATTGGTGGATAAGCTGAGACTTCATACGGTTGTCAAGCACGTTGCATCGCATAAGGAGTTGGCGCTTCCTTTTATTGTCAACCAGGTTAATTGCGCATACGAGATGGGGAAGTTGATAGAAAAAAACAGCAGTTTGATTGGAATTCGCGTGAAGAGGAGCATGAGTGTTTCGGAACGGGTGGTTGAGTCGGCAACAACAATGTGGGACATGTTTGTTCTCGGTGTGTCTTATGTCTTTTGGCAGTGGATATGGCCTGTTATTACCCGAGTGTTCGTGGTCGGGTTGGTATTTCATCGCGCGATTGCAGACTTTGTTCTACAAGTTTTGGAATGGCGCGCCCGACCTGACGCTGCGGCATTGAAGGATATCTCGGCGACAGCTCAACAAGTGGACATTCGCCTGCAACAATTTTGTTATTGGCCCACGCAGTATGTCAAATTACGGCAAAGGAAGGACGATTGGGAGAGTGTCACGACGTACCATGCGCACTACATTCGGTTCTACAACAGTTTATGGCTAGTTGCGAATGATGTGATCATTGGGATTGCCATGGGGTCGTACATCATTGATAATGCCAACTGGGTAGCTTATCAGATCAACTTCGTTCTCAGTGGCTGGACTGTCGAAGGCCTTCAACGGACGATTTCCTGGTTAATGGACTGGCCGGCCGGTTTAAAGTTGAATAATGAACTTGCTGCGTTTCTGGGTGATCTTTTCTTATGGGTTATTGAAAACTGGGCAGGTATGATAAGCATCCCCTTCGTTTGCGGACGTTTTGTTAACTGGCCAAGCATGCATTGCGAACCTCCAACCATACCTTCCTCATATCATCTACGTTATCGGCTGTGCGAGCTTTGCCGGCGCCAGCATGCCAATAGCGCTCTTTTCAGACCTTATATCTATTCTAACAGTACACATATACTCGTTTTACATTGCATCAGCGCGGATATTCAATTGGCAGCTCACCATCATCATCTCGCTTTTCCACCTGTTTCGCGGAAAGAAACGAAACGTCCTCCGCAACCGTATAGATTCTTGCGATTATGACCTCGACCAGCTTCTTCTCGGGACTATCCTTTTCACCGTCCTCTTCTTCCTACTGCCTACAGTCATTGTGTTTTATCTGGCGTTTACATCAGCGCGGATGTTGATCATCACGCTGAAGGCAGGCCTTGACACCTGGCTGGCTTTCTTAAATCACTTTCCACTTTTTGCGTTGATGTTACGAGTTAAGGATTCGAGGAGGTTGCCAGGTTGGTCCTAACTGTTTCATAGTTTGGCCACTCATCTAACTTGTATATAGGCGGAATCCGCTTTGAACTCCGCGAGGAACACGATAACTCGCCGAATAATTCCTTGGATCCGACTATACACTACATCCATCTTGAGGTATAAGTTCCCAAGCGCCAGTCAGCCGCCACTAAACTAACATCTATTAGTCCATTCCTCTAACCCTTCGAGCCATGTTTGACCAATATTTTCAACTCGGCCACCGTCTCCGTAAACACTACCTCTCTCCCCAAGTTATCTTCTGCCTCTTCACTGGCCGCTTCGTGCCGCCAATTCACCGCCGCAGCCTCTACAGCATGCAGTACAGCATGCTTCCCGATGTCCGGCCATCACTAGCTCAAGTCTGGAGCGAGCTAACTCAACCGAGAAAATCAGGTGGTGGAAGTGGTGGTTCAAGCTCCGGGATTGGCACTGGAGCGAATGGGATCATGAAGGGAGGATTTGGCGAGGCCAGGAGAAGAGGGAATCGGTAGCGATGACTGCCGTTTCCTTCAAAACTTTGCCTGAGCTATATAGATATGAGGCAGTAGCATCGTCTCATTATAATAAATAATAAACATTCTGCATTCATACTTTGCATTTCGTACCTCATATAATAATATGGCTAAACAATGCAATACATAGGTTATTAGGCCAAGATCATTTATCCAATTTGCGTTGCTGGATTCGATTTCGCCCCCTTCCACATCTCAGCCACTTTTTTGAATACCTCTTTGTGCGGGGCTTCCGGGTTCTTGGTTTTATATTTGGGGATTTCATCCTTCATGAACTTGTGGTAAGCTGAAAGTGGCTTCTTTCCGCCTCCCTTCCTGACGCTCCCGCTTGATTTTGATCCTGTGGTGGGAGATACCATGGTTCGTTTTCCTGATAGGGTCTTTAATATATAAATATTTAATCCTTCGTAGGCGGGTATATTACCTCGTTGCTTGTTTCGGTATGACGCGGTTTATGTATAAGACAAGAACATATAACAAAAACAATAAATCAAATAAAAAATGTAAAGACGGGGGAATAATTCAATACCCTGGATAAGATCAGATATCCCTATTGCGGAGTCGTGATTGAGTGGTGATATCAACCAAAGTCTATATTAGGCCGACTATAACAAACAAAAGTGCCGTTCCATGGATCAGTAGGCACAAGGGCGAGTATCGCACACCTCATGGGATCCTTACAATTGTAATTATTAAGTTTCTCGCATGATCGCTCCAGTCCCGGAGTTTCCGATTTATTAAATTACTGGAATTGTTTTCCCGAGATTGAGGGGTGGAATCTGGTTATTATATTCTGTTCTAAACCTCGCCCTAACCGCTGCCTTTAGTGTCGCTATCCATCTGTTCACTTTACTCTCTTCTAAACATATATATACTCGCCACCACTTAAACTAGCTTAACTATGAACATCGACGAAACAATTTGCTACATCACCGGGAACCTCTTTGAGCTCGACGATGTGTGTCCATCTCCATAATATCATTATCCACACTAACCCTAACAAACCCCAGGTAAAAGCGAGCTCGAACTTCAACAACCTTGGCCTTGACCAGGGCAATATCACTCAGCTGATCGAGCACTTGAATGATGTATGTTATTTATTTTATCCTTTTTATTTGATTAAGCCAGGGGGAGAAAATATGCTGATTATGTTATTGCTGAAGTCGCTAGATCTTGATATCCCGCTTGATAAGGCGAAGGATTTCAACAGCGGTGAGTGCCTGATTAATTAACTACTTTGTGCTTTTCTTTATGAACTGGAAATTGCTGACAGGGTTTGTTGGAAGTTGGTGACTTGGCAGGTTATATTGAGGAGGAGTATGAGGAAGAAGACGATGAGGGGCGGCCGAGCGATTAGGATCTTGGGTTACTTATGACAGGAAGCAGGTGGATTGAATTGTTTACGTTGGTTATGAAGGATCTACTTAACGAATAATAGGGCATGATTTGGATGGCTTGACTAGTTTATTGAAGTAATTCTAATTCCTCGTATTCAAGAGTAGATTAAACAGGGTATCGCTATGCATTCGTATCACTTATGCAATCTAATTCTCATATACATACAAAGGAAGTACAGACAATGTATCCCAGTTACTTAAATGTATGGCTCCTGCCAGGCAACTCGCGTTTCTCTTTCCGCACGCCGGATGGGGCCTCGAGCGCTTTCTTGTAAGGGTTGAATGGTCGTTTCGATGGCAGCCCAGATGTAGCCTGAGGAGCGTGGAGAACGGAATCGGCGTTGTCGTAGTTGAAGGGCGTCGTGTCCTCTGCAGACTGAGGCTCGTTCTGCTTGTTCAGTTTCTTCTTTTCTCTCCTTTCTTTCCGGCGCTGTTTCTTGGACGGTGGTACATCGACGTCGATTGGGATCTCGTCGAGTTCGGGTTCGGGTTCTGTGGAGGCTGCAGAGGCTTCGGCATCCGCTGGAGGTTGTTGTTGCGTGGACTTGCGCTTGCGTGGACCGCCGAGTTCCTTAACGGTGAAGATTTTGTTTTTATCTTCTTCCTCCTTCGTTGGGGCTGGTGGGGGAGTGGCTGGTTTGGGTGGTTGCGCAGCTAGTTTGTCGCGGGCTTCAGAGACGGTTCTCGGCATGGGTGGTATGGGAAGGGAGAGACGGAGTGCTTCAGCGGAAGCCACGCGCGAATACTCTGGTGGGGACCAAGGTGTTTCGGTGTTCAACACGGAGCCCCAGAATTGAGAGACATCGAAGCGAGAAGCGGTAGGGAAGGATCCATCCTCTGTTGTAATAGGAGGAGTCAAAGGCGCCTGCGGCTGTTGTGGGGTTCTGGTGGGCTTGACATAGATGTCGCGCCATTCAGGCCCGTCGGCACCTTCAGCCTTTGCCGTTTTGATAACTTCCAACAGGTCGGGCATGCGTTCCTTGGTGATCGGTGTGACGGGAGAGAGTGTTCTAAACAGGGTCCCTAAGTCCTGCGGCATCACCTGCGCGGCTCGGAAAAGAGCGTGCTTCGGGAAAACACATTGGACGCCTTCGTCTTCTTCCCGAGCTACGTTGTCGCGCCATTCGTGAACCGCTTTGAGAACCGCAAACTGCTCTCTGTTCAAAACAACCTGACTGCGCGTCATCAAATCGTACCAGCCACCCGCGCCTTGACCTGTCGCTGCGTCATAAACGGGGCGCTCATAACGCTGCAACGCCTCGGTCTTCGACCTCTCTAGCACATAGTCGACAAGATTATCCTGAGGTGTGGAATTCTCCAGAAGCTCGTTCCGTATATTGTCGTAAATGTAGAGAAGATAGTGTGTATCGGAGCGAGCGTAGTCGAACATACCAGACGGAAGCGGTCGAACTCGCCAATCCGCCATCTGATACCTTTTATCGGCCTCGAAGTTGACAAATTTTTGTAGTAAGAATTTCAGACTCTTCTTCGGATAGTTCAGCGCACAGGCTGCATGGTAGGTGTCGAACATGCCCACGACGTAGAGGCCGAGATCACGCTGCAGCCAGATAATATCCATGCTTGCACCATGGAAGAGCTTGATAATGTTGGGATCCGTAAAAACCTCATTGAGTACTTGAAGTTCTTCTCTCCAGGGCTTCAACGTATCCACAACCCAGTCCTTGTTCCGAGTGCTGATCTGCATGAGCGATACGAGACCATGATATGAATGGACATCATGGTGCTCCAGATCGATTGCAATCTCGCTCGCAGACTTCAGTTCAGCCAGCATCTCCTTAACTCCCTCAAAAGTATCCACAAAAGTCGCTGTCGTCGACTCGAACGGCAAATAGTCAATTGGAGGTGCTACAACGTAGGCGGATTTGGGATACTTCGCAGCACGGATCTCGGCCTCGTACGGGTTACGGTACCCTTGTGGCACATCAGCCGGCGGAGTCAGCGACTCTTCTAGCGATTCTATAGCATGAGGTTTCGTCTTGAGTAGCGGTTTGAATGGTGACGTATCCGTAGAATCTATTTGGTGCTCAAACTGCAGCTGAGGTTTGGGGATTTTTGAAGGACCGTAGTCGTAGATTGTCGGGAATTTTTGCTCCCTTTTCGCGGCAGGTTTCTCTTCCCCCTCTTTTTCCTGTAGCGACGGGCTCAGTTTCTTGATAACCCCTGTAAACTCATCCAAGCAAGCATCTGCTCTTTCCAAAAGCGCATCGATCACATCCACAATTCCCCGCCAGTTGTCCTCGATTGAATCTTCACCTGACAGTGTCGGCGCAGAGATATCCGTCCCAGCAGTAGCTGCCTTGAGGATCGACGATGTCAGAGACAGTAATCGGCCGCTTTGTTCGTCCAAACCCTCCGCAACTTCTGCGTTTGAGGACCGGTGGAAACCGAGATCATTCACCGGAAGCTGTCCAGTAGAGCGGGTGACTTCGAGAAGAGACGATTGCAGCCGTTTCTGAAACGGAGCGAAATCAGCGGCGGAATCCATCTCGACGACTTTCCGCTGAAGAATGGTTTCTCGAGGGAATTCGAGAGTTGAAATCGCAACAAAGAAAAAAAAGGCAGGCGGAGATGGAGAAATTTCTCTGGAGCGGAGGTGACCGCCTTCCGGAACCGGTGGATCTCCGATTATTCTGCTGGCGATTCTCGGTCTCGACTGGCGATATTCCTCACTCTTCTTCCTGTCCAAGATCTTTATTTCGCAGTCACTTTTCTGCCCCGCGCTTTTATCTCCTTCAAATAACCATGGCAGCTTCAATAGCCCCCGAGTGTAATGGCATCAAAGAGTACGCAGCCCGGTCTCACCCCATTCCACAAACCAAAGCTAATCCGCTGCCTAGAAAGTACGACACGTGCTTCTTGAAATGGTACAGCGAAAGTATGTTGCTTGATATCTGTTTGTCTGAATAGAGAGACTTACAAGAAACCCAGAATATCTCCGCGGTAATACGAATTCCAACGAATGCGAAGAACTTTTCGCCAAATACAAAACCTGTCTGACTGTATGTTTTCGCCACTCTTCTTTGACCTTTCCCTCGAGGACAAAGGACAACGAAATTAACCTCTGTGCATAGAAAACTTTGAAAGAGCGAGGCATCGATAACATGCTGGATGACGTGCGGAAGAACACACCGGAGACGGACGCCGAGTACAACCGACGAACATAAGATGACCAGCGGAAGATTAGATGGTGGTTACTACATGGGTTAAAACCGTTTTAGGGGACTTCTTCCCCTACCGGCCCTTTTCTGGCTATTCGCCAGATGGACAACGGAAATTCTCTGCTCTATTTTTGTATACTAACTCCACGACTTTGTACGATACATTTGCATTTTCTTGAGGCGCTTGGTTGAAGTTGCTTTATGTCACATTTCGAGCGATATACGAAGTCATGCTCTATTACCCAGCAGCACTGCATAGTTAATCCACAATCGCATCTATATGTACAGAACTTAAACCATCAATTTTCGGGATACAAAATTAGCTGGTGGTTTTGGAAGTGACTCTAGAGCCTAGGATCGGCCGGCCGGTGATACCTGACCTTTTCCTGGTGACCATCACCAGCGTCTTTGGGATGCAGTGACTATTTTGCAAGCGTCTTCTGCCTCTGTTTAAGCATATACGAGTACATCATAACAGAGCCTGGCGCATATAATCCAAGAAAGAAGTAGAAGATACCCGCGACAAGCCAGTTAGTTGTCACCGTAGTAGCCCGATACATGAGCCACCACTCCGTCGCGATTCCAATGGGGTAGAGGATGATGAAGAGGGAGTATCTGCAAAACACGTTAAAAATGACCATCGCATAATTTGACTATGGAGAAAGAACAGACATACCTTAACCACTTCAGAACCCCCGGGACAGGAAACCCAGCCAGCATGATCGCGAAGTAAGAATACCGCACAGCGTCAGCAGTAGACCAAGCAAAGAGCATAGCCGGGTAAGCAGGCGACACTGCCGTCACGGATGGGAAGGCATAGTTGATTGCCCAGACTTGCACGCTACGAGCAAAGATCTGGGTGAAGGTCGTGAAGACTGGGGATCGGGTTATGCCTAAATTTCGTTAGTTTGGGTTGCATATGGCCAGATCAAGATGATTTAATTATTAGGGGATATCCTTACCAGTCGCAGCGTGTAGGATTTCCACGACAGCAAGAGTCTGCACCCATCTGGCTTGTGGCTCGAGGGTGGTGTATAGTGCGGGATCGGAGTGGGAGGTGAGTATGGTGAGGAGGATGCGGAGCCAGAGGAAGGCGTTGATGGAATTGTATAGAACCAGATAGCCTTTGACGGCAGGAGACTGGGGCGAAGGCATATCGACTTTAAGCTCTTCACTGTTGGCGACAAGGTGAAGATGTGGTTTCGCTGGTTTCTTCATTGCTGTTAGCGGCTCACTAAATTTCAGCCTCGGTTCTTTCCCGTACTGTATCAATTCCAAGGAGCAAACTGAGCTGGTAGAATACTCTATCCAATTCCTACATTTGCACTACCATGGCTATCCAAACCACAGTGGAATTAATAGCCATTGGGCTGATTTCCGGTCAATGATGGCCTCGTGCATGCATATGTGGTGGCTGGGTTGATCTCTCTGCAGGAGCAAGAGAAATGCTAACAATCAGACCGAACCAGCTGTCTCGCTGCGTAAGGCAGTGCAGCACAAGGCTGGCGAGGCTGAATCCCACCAAGCCGTACATGGAAGCTTTTAATTAATTGTGCCTTTGCCCGGTCTCCCAAGAGCTGAATTGTACTGCCTCACCTTTGCATATCCGATACCGACTCGAGATGGACTCGGCACTCATACCTAGCCAGTCCGGACCAGTTTTCAGCCAACAGGGAACCGTGGATTGGACTCAACTTGCCAATTCTAGCGTCACTTTCTCACTAGGTGTACTATCGAGATTGTCCCAGGCTGGCATTGAACCTTTCACGCTCGCCGTCGGACAAGCGATATTTTCACGCTTCCCACTACCGCCAGAAACACAACAGAAAATCCATGAAACGTTGGCCAATCTCAAGCCATTCTCATCATATGACAACGTCCTATGGTTTGGATTCGGCATCAAGCATGTGGCAAGATTGTTGGCTGAGTCTGAGCAAGGAATTGCCTGCATTGCACTGTGCGGCAGCCTTTCTGCTTCCTACGACAAATTTTACTGTGCCCAGGTGCTACGTTCAATGACCAAGATCCAGTGCGCGCCTGGAAATTTAAGTCCCTCGATTTCGCAGTGGTCGAGCCTTGTTGATGTTTGCTCTGGAACCCTAGTGTCTTCAGAGTTCCCAAATATAGTCGAAGGGTTTTGTCGGCTTTGGTACGATTATCAGAACGAACATATCTGGAAAATACGGGCCGCAACACCCCCTCATGCTTTGGGTAAGGCACTATCAACCATAGCAGCTGTTGCAAGTGGAGAACTCCATAGTGCAACATTTATTGGTGGTGTAGATTGTGCGTGGATAGCGGCCATTGCAGAGTGGGTGCTCTGTCTAACAGTGGAGGTTCAAGATGCAAAATCTGGCCATTGTTTATATCAGAAAATAAACAATCCCGAGCATGAAGTCCCGCAGGTCCTGATATTGCGGAATCTCGATGAACAGGGCTCTGTGATGCGCCTCAAGGACAAAATGTGCTTTCTTCCTAGCGGGACCGACATATTTAACGCGCATTCTGGAAATGGAGAGAGTGTTTTCGCAGCAGGTCGTTCATCATGGAACAAAATTCTATCTGATACATTCTCTGGTGACGCACTGCGGCGTTTATTTTCTTCTAAAGCTGGATCTGCCTTTGCATATTTGCTTCATTCAGCCGCGGAGGATATATACCAGCAGCAGGATGGCAGGAATGTCTTAGAGCTCCTTCCAGAGCTTGAAGATGTCCTATATCGCCCTCAAAAGCCTGATCAGACCATTGAAACCGCTGAAAAGTCCATTCGGTCAGCTTGTGGTTGCGAGGGATGTATTGGCAGAGCGCATGTTTTCAGGAGACACCGTGGGGGGCTTTGTATTTTCCACATAAGTCTCACGATCACCCACTATGTTTGGATACTTGGACATGTGCAGTGCTATGGAGACATTTCGCCATCTCCGTCTGGGCTCCAGCAACTTTACCTTTTGGTTATAGACCTGGGAATTAAAAGCACGGGGGCTAGTATTATTTCACAGAACTACAAAAACAATGTCCTTGCAAACATATTGCGTGTCATGACTGGGATCCCGGCTGTGGAATCATCCAGTCTCGACGCATCGGCAATATCCGAGTCTGGGATGTCCATCTGTTGTGCCACTCTTCTGGAGCCTAGTTTGCTACCAACAGGAAAGGCGCCATTTTGTCTAATCCCAGGGCATATCCAGAAGGATGGCGCATTGTTTAGGGAAGTGTATGATCTTGATTCAAAAGGTATGCGGCTTGGGGAAGATACTGTCATGAAGTTAACATTCGACGAAAAATTACGGATAATCACGAGTATTCGGCAGAGCAAGTCTCGTCCTGAACTCCTAGTCAAGGAGACCATCGAAGGCCGGAGATTGCAGGCGAATTACTCCTGGCAATATACACTCTTCAACGATTATATGCCAAAAGATCATCACCGTGGTGCCCCAAAATCGTCGAGGATGTTAGTTACTGCTTTTGGAAGCGCAGACCTTCAACGGCGCATTTTCGAAGACATATCACTCCCACGTTGCGACCGTAAGCAGTTAAATGTCGTCGTACCCGGCGATAAAAGCTATTCGGGGACTTGCTGCAGAATTATGGAAGACATCCAGAGGCAGATGGACCTTTCTTCGACCTTTCTTCCGCGACCAGGAGATTGGATCCTCTTGGATGTCGGCAAACGCAGACAACCCGGGGTATATGACGGGGAAGAGTTCCCAACAAAAGTCTATCTGGGGTCTATTATAGAGCTCTACACGCTCCTCTGCAATAGAGAACCGGGCAAGAATTTGAAACTTGCGCGCACATCGAACTGTTTATTCTGTACGTGTGGGTGGGAGGCGCGTACAATCATGCTTGCTTCTGATCGGATGGCGACGGCTCCAACAGAACGTGTTTTCGCAGATGATATCACAGTTATCGAACCTGCAGATCAGGAAGCCCAGACGGTGAACCATGTAGACACTGGAGATTGTAATCATCAAGGTGTCAATGGTATCGCATCACCACCACCACAGTCTCCACGACCCAAAACAAGACCCGCAAAGAGGAAGAATGCCAGAGAGACACGCGGGAGCAGGAAACGGAAAGGTGCTTCTAAGTGAAAAACATGGTTTGATATATATGTCATTACTATAGATTGACTGTTACTTATTTCGGGCTATCCTCCCTAATATAATTCAAAATCGAGCTCATTTGCGGTTTCGTTCCCTCCTAGTCGAACTTGTTAGAGTTGGTGAATATAGTCATGTACTTACATAGGTACTGCTATAGGCACGGGCTGCTTCTACTGATCTGCCCCAAACCACAGGAGATTGAAAGATGGGCGTATAGGTAGGCTCTGTCAATATTAATGTCGGATGCGTCTACTTGGATGAAGATTATTGATTGGGATTGGGCCAAGGCCATCGAAGACAAACCTAGTCACGAATTACCCCGTAGGCATGAATGAACGTGACAAGCTAGGCGTTTACTTGAAGTTGTCGCCCGAATGACGGTGAACTGGATGATCTGAGTCGTATCCGATTAACCCTACTTTACCCACGCGCACCCCGAGACTGAAGTCTGAGTTCAATAAAAGACGTCATATAAAAAGCAACCATGCCCAGGACAGATCGACAAATCCCGGGGTTGGAACTCTGAAATGTCTTACTGAGGTTACTTCGAGTGTGCTCGGTTGTCTTATTCTCCGCCCCAAGTGACCTCGTATTGTACGATTGCGGGCAAATTCAAATTCAAAATTGGTGGGGTTAAACCGTACTCGGTAGCGTCTAGTCTGGCGTGGAGGGACGATCCGCCGATTGAAGCGATTAAGCTCCTCACGGCCCCTGAGACATCAGCGCACTGACACTTGACTGACGATTTGTGCAGCGGCCCAGCGGGTGCTCGCAGAGTACAGAGTGCAGATTTCAGACTGATGTGGGTTACTTTGCTGTTACACCGCTACCATCTCGAAGGGGGATGACCGGATTGTAGTGGATTTGACGGCTGATAATCCTCATTTTGAAGGCCTCCATCCATGGTTCTCTGCAAATCACAACGTCTTCTTTTGGCCAATTGTTGTTTGTTGGGGACGATCACTTTCTTGTCGACTGGGTCTCCTCGTAATTTGACAGAAGCTATCTACGGTACTCCGTGCTGCTGTAAGTACCGATTCAAGGGAATGCCTGCAACCTCTTCAATGCTAGCATTGTCACCTTCTCAGGTCTTGAAGCATGCAAAGCCGATTTAGGAATTTGGGCCAATGCGGTCGCAGTCGAACAAGCCCACCTCAGGGTGGCAGGATCTGCTGACCTCTGAAACATCATTTAATACAATCCAATCGTTCAGGAGAGATGATGTAATGTCCAGGTCAGGATTCAGCAGCAACAGGGCTTTAGAATCGCTCACCAATAATAGGACGATGGCTGCGAACAAGGTCAGATGATGGCTTTGGCTTTGGCCTCCAAAGATAGATGCCTAGCATTCCATATTTCGCGGCTAAGTCCAACGCAGGTACCAGGATGGCTCGGGAGCCTGGAAGACTGAGCGGTGCGGAGCCGGACACATGGCGGGGTTGGGACTTGGCAATCAGGAACTGGAACGGGTTCCACCTGACTAGTCATGGGAAAGTTTCATTTTGAGTGATGGGACAAGGGAATCGGATTTCTCGGCAGATCTCACTGTCTTCCCAGTGATGAGATCGTACGCTAGGAGCATTTTGATAATATTGACTGTGATATCAAGGTATTATTTGAAATAGAGGCCCTAAATTGTGGAAATAGTGAGCTGGGGCTGGTTGTGATGGTGGCTCTGGTTGAAGCTAAATTTCTTATCAAGAGGAACGGTGGGCCATCGCAGTGACCGCAATGCACCAATGGCAGGCCCGGATTTATCCACACCAAAGCCATCCATGTCCAATCTGGCCTTGTGATTCTTGCCCATGGGAGCGGATGAGTCGCCGGGAGGAATGGACTCTACGGTGTGGAGGCTGAGAATGATGACTGGGAATATTATTCGGATGGAGGCTGAATACTGATAGATGCAGGCTTAGCGAGATGCCGGAGGCCGCGCGACACCGCTGAAGTCAAATGCACAGACAGTGCTCGAGTCAGATGGTCCGTGGGATTTGAAAGCCTGCATCCGTATCCGGTTGAGCCGTATCGTCGAGGCGCCCTCCTTGACAGGGGTTGCAGCTTGCCGGACGGTAGCCTAGCGATTGGCTTGATAGCCGCTCACAAAACAGTTATCCCATCAGACTCATTAACGAGTTCCCAGTGTCGTGATGGTGCTCCATCGCTCTGCAGCACGCAAAATAATGAAAAAGCGTGGCCCCGGTTGACCCAACCTTGGGAGGTTGGACGGAAGTGCCAAAGGCGACCGAAAGCGGAAATAACTGGGTGACGCCCGCAGGTGCGCGTAACGCCGCCGCAGCACGCACAGGGCCAGGGGTAAACGACGCTAATGGCTGATGGATGGAGATAGTCAGCATGTCTGCAGCACCGGACCTTGAATTAGTTTAGAGCATCTTGTCGAAATTGTGGACGGACAGCGATGGCGGATGTGGGAAATTCCCCTTGCGTCTTGCAGCAGTTCCTGGAGCATGGGAGAAAGAGGTAGGAAATGATCATCCGAGTGCGAGGAATCTCTTCGCTAGAGAACGAATATGGATTAATTTCGCGAGTCCAGGACGGAGACAGTATTTTGTAGATTCAGAGACAAGAATTCAAGAAATGCAGAGTACTCCACCTCGGGCCAAATAATTATTCACACTAGGAACAAAGGGGACAGAAACATGGGTCGGAAAATCAGGTACAGCGATGGCCCATGGATGGTCGTGAGGTGTGGCGGTGGAGCGAAATGGCAACTCCTGAATCACTGGAGAATCGAGGAATAACGAACAAATACACGGGGAGAACGACAGTTGCAACTTGCGAGAAGAAAGAAGCGATAAAAAACCATCATAGACCTTGCAAGACTCAGGGAGAAACCGAGTCGTCGCCTGGCGGGAACATGAGAATCTTCCCAGTCTTGCTTTTTCTGCAAGTCACAGCCAGCATCTCCAGTGCTCCACTCCCTCGCAGTAAGCCCAACTAAGTCAACGCTCAAAAGGAGCCGATTCAATCATACTCCATCGCCCTCCCCTCTTTCTTCCCTGAAAACCAACCTCCCCCTCTCGATTCCGCGTCTGGGGAACTGATACACTTCTTCCACATCATCCTTGTCTTGCTGAGCATCTACCCCTCTTAGTGCTCAAGTCTGTGTTTCAGCTCTCATTAATACTCCCGCTATACTCCCTTCTTATCGTCTCCTATTTGTTTCCCCTGTCTCTTCCTGCCCCCCCAGTATCTGATCTGCGACTCGACCGACTCTTCCCTCCGTTAATCTCTCCAATCCCGGCCCTCCTCACTCTGAAACTCGCGCGCTCTTCCACTTCCCTCCAAGTCTCAGAGTCAGTACGTACGCTCCTCTTCCTCCTCTCCGGCGTCGGGTTTATTTCAGCTCGCTACCTTGTCCTGCCCGATCACGATACCCAAACCATATACCTACCTCCTTCCTTCGCCCTATTTTTTTTTTTTTTCCCACCCTTCAATCTCCTCGATCCAGGAACTAACTTGCAACGACTCACAGTTCAGTCTTTAGCTGCCTGGCAATTGACTTGTTCACCCAGCACATATTCAAGCGCTGCTTTTCCGAGTCTGATATTTTCCTTCGACGCGTCCGATAAGGGGTACAATCTGCCTCCCGATCGCGTCAGCTCGTGCCCAAAATATTCCAGACCTGTCGATGAACCGACCGTTAAATATCAACAACGTACACCTTGGAGAATAATTGGCGACTGTGCGCACTGCATATTGATCTGTGCAGTCCTGTCGGTGGCTCGTGCATCGAAATATATCCGAGTTTGAGCATCTTTTCGGGTGCCGCTCCCACACACTTCGAGCGCCCGTTTTCTTTCACACAATGTCGGTTGCGACAATGTTGCAACCCGCGTCAAGAGCATCTACTTCCTCTTCCTCTTCGTTCCAGCCAGTTACACGACAAAACACGATGTCTTCCCACGATACTCGCTCGCTTCGCCAGTCGAAGCGGATGTCCGTTACCGCGCTCTACCTGTCGATGTCCGCGAAGGACAGAGACCTTGAAATATCAGATGACCTGGCGAGAGGTTGGTTTTACTGGAACAAGACTGCTGAGCTATGCTAATCAATTGAACCAGCCCAAAGATTCTTGCGAGAACTGAAATCAAAGATCTCTTCCCAGTCGAAAAAGAATTTCGTCCTAGAAAAAGACGTACGCTATTTAGATTCACGAATAGCATTGCTTATTCAGAACCGCATGGCCTTGGAAGAGGTACGTCCGCCCGGCTACTTCTACGTATGATTTGTTTATCGCTTACGAATTTTACAGCAAAACGAAGTTGCAAACCGCCTGGACGACACTGTTGACCCCCAGGAAGGTTTCTTCCCCAACGATGATAAAACACAGAAATATGGGAATCTTCTATTCCTTCTCCAAACGGAGCCCCGCCACATTGCGCACCTGTGTCGACTTGTATCGATGGCGGAAATTGATTCCTTGCTTCAAACCGTCATGTTCACTATCTATGGAAACCAGTACGAGAGTCGCGAGGAACACCTGCTACTCACCATGTTTCAGTCTGTGCTCACCTACCAATTCGATAATACCCCGGAATATTCATCGCTCCTGCGACAAAATACCCCTGTTTCGCGTATGATGACCACCTACACTCGACGTGGGCCTGGTCAGAGCTATCTGAGACAGGTCTTGGCGGAGCAGATCAATGGGCTGATCGAGTTACGTGACGTCGACTTGGAAATTAACCCCTTGAAGGTCTATGAGGCCATGGTGAAGGAAATCGAAGAGGAAACTGGTTCGCTACCGGACAACCTCCCCCGTGGTGTCACAGCAGAAACCGCTGCAGAGAACCCCCAAGTGCAGGCCATCATTGCGCCGCGTCTCAAGAGGCTCACAGACATTGCAAACTCTTTCCTCACGACGATCATCAACTCTGTGAACCAAGCGCCTTACGGTATCCGCTGGATTTGCAAACAAATCCGAAGTCTGTCACGGCGCAAGTACCCAGACGCTCATGATCAGACCATCTGTACCCTGATCGGAGGCTTTTTCTTCCTGCGTTTCATCAACCCGGCCATTGTCACTCCGCGCTCGTACATGTTGATTGATGCTACTCCTACCGACAAGCCTCGACGCACTCTGACTTTAATCGCCAAAATGCTTCAAAACTTGGCCAACAAGCCCTCCTATGCGAAGGAGCCGTACATGGCCAAGCTGCAGCCTTTCATTCAACAGAACAAGGAGCGCGTCAACAAGTTCATGCTTGATCTGTGTGAAGTGCAAGACTTTTACGAGAGCTTAGAGATGGACAATTATGTTGCATTGTCTAAGCGAGACCTCGAGTTACAGATCACTCTCAACGAGGTGTATGCTACCCACACTTTGCTGGAGAAGCACAGCGTGGCTTTGGCTCAGGATCAGCATTCCCACCTCCAGGAAATCCTCCAGGAACTGGGCCCTGCTCCTCCACAGCTCCCACGCAAAGAAAATAGAACCATCACTGTTCCTCTGTTCAGCCGATGGGAAGCCGCGCTAGATGATTTGACCTCGGCCCTAGACATTACTCAGGAAGAAGTTTTCTTCATGGAAGCTAAATCAACGTTTGTTCAAATTCTACGTTCCCTTCCTCCGCACTCTTCGGTGGCACGTCGCCCTCTTCGCTTGGATCGTATCGCCGAAGCTGCAGCGACTTTGAAGAACGATGCCGTCATGGTCCGCAAAGGTATTCGCACCATGGAGCTTCTGAGCCAATTGCAGGAGATGGGCGTTATTGATCGCTCCGACGAATTCAGTCTCCTCCGGGACGAAGTTGAGCAGGAACTCGTCCACTTGGGCTCTTTGAAGGAGAAGGTCATGGAAGAGACTAAGCAATTGGAGTCGGTCTATTCGACTATCCGCGACCATAACGCGTATCTTGTCGGTCAGCTGGAAACGTACAAGTCGTATCTCCAAAATGTCCGCAGCCAATCCGAAGGAAAGTCAAGGAAACAGCAGAAGCACCAAGAGCTGGGTCCCTACAAGTTCACCCATCAGCAACTTGAAAAGGAAGGTGTGATACGCAAGAGCAATGTGCCTGAGAATAGACGGGCAAATATCTATTTCATGTTCAAGAGTCCATTGCCTGGGACTTTTGTTATCAGCCTGCATTACAAAGGTAAGAACAGCTGTCCTATCAGGCTTGTTTGTTTTGACATATAATCTAACTTCTTATAGGTCGTGCTCGTGGGCTGCTGGAGTTGGACCTCAAACTCGATGATTTGCTCGAGATGCAGAAGGACAGCTTGGAAGACCTTGACTTGGAATATGTTCAGTTCAATGTCACCAAGGTGCTTACGCTTCTGAACAAACGCTTCTCGCGTAAGAAGGGCTGGTAAAGTGTTCTCCCAGCCCCGTCACCGTCGCAGGTGATTTCAGCTGCGACATACTGCATTCCAGATGGCTGGAAGTGATCTTGGCAAACTACTCACCCACGAACTTCCAAGAAACACGGGGCACGCCGAATCCCATCTGACGGCGCTCCCTCCCTGATTCGCCTTCTGGTTATTTCGAGCCGGTTTAGTACATACGATTCCATCTACGCGAAGCAACCCTACACGAGTGGATCGACTATATACCCTGGGAGCATTCTATGATTTATTATTTTTCATTGACCCTTTGACGTTTTTATTTCGACGGAGGCGATTCTGTCGACGCAACAACTAATTACTTCTTATCGTGAGAGGGCTTCTGTTCTCGCTGGCCGGGAAAGAGCAGCTTCACGCTCAGCAGACTGTTGCTACTCCATTTTCACTGATGCTTTGAATCCGTTATACCCCGTTCGACGATATTGCATGCGTTTCTACTACTTGATGACTGTGTGCGCTCTCTGTTTAGTTCCCATCTCCTCTTACTTCTGGTTATCTCATTTGTACTGTCGGATTTCTGTCCAGCTGGTTTATATGTATTTATATGTATTGGACTGAGCGTCTTTGCTGCCAAGTTGGCTATAATGAGGAAGATATTAGTTGGTTAGTGGCGATCCGCTTCATCAGCAGTGCTATACCCATAAATGAACATAAGCGATGTGATTATAGACCGGACGGAGACCTTCCCTGTAAGCCAAATCGCGAATGGCAATTTTGGAGCGTCGACGTCACGGTGGCCGAGGAGCGGTGGTTGAGGATGACGTGAGGCGCGGCGGCGTCGTTTTCCTTAAAGGCAGAATTGACGCTGCATCCTCTCGCAAATTATATTCAAATTACCTGCAAAAGTGGAAACGTCAGGGATATTATTGTCTCCAGTGACCGCGTGGGCGCTTAATGTTGTCGTTGACCGCCTTGGACCCCTCCTGAAGTTGACTAGTCCGACTGTTCTGCTGTTTCCGTCCCCGTCTGGTCCTTGACCGTTGTTCTTCTCCCTCTTCGTTCTCGTTTTCCCTCTGCTCTGTCCTCCCAGTGTTTCTCTGACTTTCTGACCCAATATTTTGAGAGTCCAAGCACCCGGATCTCCCCTTGTGCCTACTATTCTAGACTTCAACCGTTGAACGATCATCTCCATTTTAATTGTCCCTCTCCACTCTCCCAATCGATCTTCCGACCACGGGGAACTACTATCGGCTCCCACACTCCGTTCTTCCTCACTTCTCACCAACCACCACCGTCAGCTATCACGATGGCAACCACCGCTGACCAAAAGCCGGCCCCTGTGTCCAAGTACGACGACTATGACTTCCCTACCACGGCCCCCGAGGCGCAGCCTGGCCACCCTGGCCATACCACGCCGGAGCAAGATGCCAAGGTAGAGCAGCTCCGCAGCGAACTCGAGAAGGAGGGCTACACGGAAAGGCTAGATACCTTGACCCTGCTGCGCTTCTTGCGGGCTCGCAAGTTTGATGTCGCCGCATCCAAGGCCATGTACGTTCCCACCATTCGTGGGTGTATGGATTCGCCCACCCCCCGGATTTTCCGACTAATATCTTTTTTTCCCTGGGCTGTAGGTTCATCGCATCCGAGAAGTGGAGGAAGGAATTCGGAACAGATGATCTTCCTCGCACCTTTGACTACGCTGAAAAGCCAGAGGTCTCCCAGTACTATGTCCAGTTCTACCACAAGACGGACAACGTATGTTTGCAATTGCCTTATATTGTCCCAGTCGTGGGGAATGGATTCAGCTAATTGTATGGATTATTAGGATGGACGACCTGTCTATATCGAGAAACTCGGCGGCATTGATCTAAATGCTTTACAGAAGGTTACCACCGACGAGCGCATGCTGAAAAACCTTGTGACTGAGTATGAGAAACTTGCGGACCCCCGGTTGCCCGCTTGCTCGCGAAAGGCTGGAAAACTGCTGGAAACATGCTGCAGTATCATGGATTTGAAGGGTGCTAGTCTTTGGAGCGCTCAATCTGTGTACAACTATCTCAGCCGCGCATCTGGTATCTCTCAGAACTACTACCCCGAGCGACTGGGTAAGTTGTACCTGATCAATGCTCCATGGGGTTTCAGCACTGTGTTCAGCGTCGTCAAGGGCTTCCTTGACCCTATCACTGTTAAGAAGATCCATGTTCTCGGCTCCGGTTACCAAGCCGAGTTGTTGAAGCAGGTTCCCAAGGAGAGCCTCCCCAAGGAATATGGTGGCACCTGTGAGTGCGAGGGAGGATGCGAGAACAGCGACATGGGCCCATGGAGGGAGGCCGAATGGGCCAAGGAGCCCAAGTGGGCTCTCCCCAAAACCGAAGAGGGCCAGAACGCTGGTGTCGAAAAGGAGGCCGAAGTGCCAGAGGCCGCCCCTCAACCTACTGCATAGAGTCCAAAAGAACAAGAATGTTGTCCCATTTATGCTTCTGGTCTTTCCTCCCTCCTACTATCTATTTCTTTTACTGTTCTCCCGGTATCTTGGATCAATATGGTAAAAGCTCAGACTCTTTCCTCTCGATTTCCCTCCCATCTCCTCTACCCTCTCTTCTCTTGATATAGATTTACAGAACTGCCTTGAAAAGACTGCTCCTTCCCTGTCATACTACTACCTACTATTGCCGAACTCAGTCCACATATATATATCTGAGTTCTGGGCGCAATTTCTCTTCTGACATTGTCGTTCACCGACTTACGTTGACTTGTTTTTTTCTTCTCTTTCGTTCGTTCCAGCTGTTTAGTTTAAAATAGATATTGAATGCGGTGACTAGCGGTGAGACTTATAGATTGGAGCTGAAGGTGTTGAGGGGTTGTTGAACTAACTTGAATCTTAAACAATTGAAAGTCAAATTGTTTACTATTGTAATCTGTTCATGAATCTAAGTGGTTCGTAGGAATGAAACATAAAGCTGCGTTATCCGCAGACAGGAAACTGTTCATCATAAAGTGGTATCTCCCTAGAATAAAACGCCACTCCGTAACCCAAACGTGAGAATATCTGACCAAAGACGAAAAAAAGGAGAAGACAGGATATGCGAAGAGCGCTCGAAATCAGATCTTCTCTACAAAATCAACCGCCCGACCAGCTCGCTCGGCTTTACCAACTGTAGACGCCAACGCACTGCTGTCCATCCCATCAGAGTCGGATCTCTCATCATCGCCGGGTACAGCTTCACCCTGAAGCCGGAGCAGTGTCCGCAATGCATCCTCGTAGACCTCTGCAATCTCCCCATTCCGCCACCGCTCTGCCTCCTTGTCTGTTCCGAGAGGAATATTCAAATCCCACTGCTCTGATTCTTTCTCCGCCTGCTTCCGCCGTGATCTCTTCTCCTTTGTCTTTGCTGTTGCTTCTTCGGACTGTGGTTCTGTTTGGTTCGCATTCGCGTCGGCATCGGCATCACCCATCTCAACATCCTGACTTCCGCCCTCCTCTTCCTCCCCGTCGTCGTCTACCTCCCTATCCTCCTCCTCAATCACCCTCCCAAGCTCCTCAACATACTCCCTCGCCGCCTTCCCCGGCGCATCCCTTCTCAACTGCGCCACCGTTGTCGTCAACGATTCCAACTGGGCATACAGCGACGACACCCGCGCCGCTAGCTTCCCGTCAAACGGCTCATACTCGACGGTCTCCGCAGGCGCCGTAAATGCAGCCGGGAAGGGGAACTCAGGCGACGACGAGTCAAGCCCGTTGATTGATACACTGGAGGAGGCGCTTGCATACGTGCGGTTTATGAACTGCATACATGACATTTACCCGTTAGTACACGGCACCTCCATTCATAATAAATAAACAAATTGAGCGCCATGAGATAAGACGGAGGGAGAAGGGGTATAAATACATCATCAACAAGCTCGCGCACGCGCTCGCGCATAGGATCCGGCCCATTGTTTGGGGCCGCGGAGGGGGGAAGATGCAGGTCGAGTTTTTGGCGGGAGAGGGCGACGGTGTTGCCGTGGAGGTAGGTGAAGTCTGCAGCGGATTGGAGCTCGATTTTGCGGTAGTGTGAGGAGTCCATCGTCTTCCAATTGTTGCTATGGACTGGATGAAGATGGGAGGCAGGGTGTAATTTGGCGGGATTGATAGGCTGCTTTGGATAAGAGTTAACTTAGTTTACTGACTGGAGACGCGTCGGGACGGAGGGGAACTCTGCCTTGGTGCCTTAACGGTTTTGGGAGCCTGAGTGCCTGACTAGGTATCTGCCTGAGGCCGGAATTGGAGTAAGGCCCGAAAGGGAAATTTGGCTCCTCAGGCAACAAACTAACTGCAGATCCGCCCCACAACGACGTCATCCTCGATCTCTAGCTTGATCGGATTCTTCTTGTTTTAGGGGAGGATTTTCGTTTGCGTCTCCTTGGAACTACAACCACCTTTTTCCTTTCTCTTTGGAATTTGCAGCGGGGGTTTGACACTGTGAAAGAAGGAATATGATCTTTTTTACTTATATCTAACTAGAGCGACCGAGCCGGGGCTGCGAGCGCTGAGCAATGGATACCACCAACATCCAGCTCGTTGACAAAACGGCCCCCGCTGAGCGTGCTACAGACGACTTAGCCGGAGGCTTTTCTAGGACATCCACCAGCACCAGCACCGGGTCTCGACTGTGGAACAGGCCGTCAATTCGCGCGGGCCGAGCAAGACGGAAATATGCAAAATGGCAACCTGATCGGTTAGGCGTTGCTCCTTCGAATGAGGGCGAGGCCGATCAGCCGTCGTCGGACGAAGGGGGCTTGTTGCGGGCAGGTACAATGACAAACACTCTCACCAACACGAGTACGATACAGGAGGGTGTCAGTAGCGACCATACGAACGGTTACCAATCCGATTCACAGGGCCTCTTTGAGCAGAATAATACGGCAGAGCAAATCCAGCAGCAGGATTTCGGCGCCGGCACTGGCAATACGAGCGGGAGTGAAAGTGGAAATGGAACCACACATCAATCAAAGAACCACCCCACGATCTGTGGCTTGAAACCAGGAAGCGAGTTGGATATCTTGTCCGAAAACCAACGTGGCTGGTTCTTCTTCGGTATTCCGCTTTACTCGAGCCAGTCCCTCCTCAATATGGACCCACCGTCCTGGGTAAACGCGAGCGGGAAACGCAGTTTCGTCAATATAACAAACGCACAGCTCCCCGATCCGAGCTGGGAATGGGCATGGAAAACTTGGTACGTGGATATGTCGGGCGACGTTGACGAACAAGGGTGGCAGTATGCATTCTCGTTCTCCCTGTCGTCGTCATGGCATGGGACACATCCATTCTGGCACTCGTTTGTGCGACGCAGACGATGGGTGCGGTTACGAGTTAAAAAGGTTTCTCCTGTTGAAAGGCAGAGACAGAGTCGGACGGGCCTGGAGATGGGCCATACGCTTAATGAAGATTACTTCACGATACATACGGGGATGAGAAGGAAACGGGCTTCTAGCTCTGAGAGGGCGTCTCGGACGACATCGGTGAATTTGGAGAGCTCTGCTGCGAATAAAGAAGGAGATGAAGGCGTGGATGAGATTAGGAATATCCCCTCTTTGATGTATGCGATCAAGGTTGCGATCGTGGACCGGGAGAAGTTCGATGCTGTGAGAAATTTCGTCGATGAAGGAGGAGAGGAGATCTACTATCTGGATGGGAAGGTAAATAGAACTTCACGAAACGTGTAATCACCATGGACAATGCTAATGCCTATTAGATCCCCGAAATCATGAACCGACTCGTCTACCAGACCTCCCGGTGGCAGCTCCTCGCATATTTAAACGACACCATCCAAAAGATATCACAGCAACAACAGAGCCAAGAGACTAATGAACAAACTATGATGGAGGCCGAAAGTCTTCGCCGCAAGCATGAATATCTCTCTCGTGCCGCCGACACAGCAGAGCGGCATCTCGTTGGCCCCGTAGTATTCCACGAACCCAACGCGAATGAGGGTACAAAGCGGGACTCAGCAACAACAGAAATGCTCGATCTTACGCCGGATAATAGAAGGGATAGCCTCTTGTCTCGAGTCTCTGGCAGGTATTCGTTCCAGCCGATGGACAATGGAGGTGAGATTAGGGGCATCCCGGCAGAGGCGGAGATTGGGCATGATTTCCATATTTATTGAGTTACGATTGAGCATATTTTGGGTCTGGGTTGGATTTGCTACACTGCAACGCTCTTTTAAGATTTCTTTTTTGTCATTGTCATCGATACCCTTTTCTCTTTGTATAAGTCGAGAACTTGAGGGCTTGCGCCGGAGTGCCTATGGAGTTCTACTCCGGCCTGCTATTGGGGCAAACTTTGGATACTGTATATTACAGCCGGTGATAAATAAGATATAGCATTTAAACACTGGGTTTCCTATAAATTCTATAACTTACCTGGTTGGTACGTTTTATTGCTGCAAAGTTACGCTCTTCCTCTTTTGACGCCCGAATATCGGCCAAGTCGTCTCACCGCCCGGGCAGATCGAGCTCCCCGAAAAGCTTCATCCGTCACCCGAAGAGAAAAGTTGCGTCTGTCCTGCCACGTCTAATACCTCCCCTCACGTTCTCTATATGCTGTAAATATCCCTTTGCCGGTCCACCATATGTTTGCGCGCGGCCGCTCGTGTCTGAAAAGATGCGGTCTCTCGACAATTCTCGCGGAGCATGCTGCGGGCGCCGGACCTCATCCCGACGAAGCCCTTCTCTTCCTCTACCCTCGCTGGTTCACAACGTCGGTCCGACAGCAGCGGAGATCAATAAACTCGGCTTCTAATCGCAGTTATATCTCGCATGGTAACAATGGGGCACTCCTTTCCCGTTCAACCACACACCGCTCGCCGACTCGGAGACAGTCTTTCGTCGGCGTCTCTACGAGGAAAAGATGGTTATCCCGCGGGTCTAAGCCTAAGCCTACAAAACCCGATCTAGACGACGCGGTTGAGAAGCCCCAAAAGAGAGAAACACCGACACCGGTGACGCGAACCAAAGCGGCGAAGAAGAGCGGCACTGGGAAATATGGAATATTCGATGCAATTGCAAATATGGAAAATGAAAGCCAGCGGGGGATTGATTCGGCGTTTCTTGAGCACAATTTCGATATACTTTCGAAGCCTGGGGCGCCGCGGTGGCCTCCAGCATCTTCGGATCGTCCGTCTCGACAGGCAGTGCGGAAAAAGCGAGACCTTCTTCGACATTTACCACCCCCGCAAAGCCGCAAAATACTGCGTCGGCAGTTCTACCTCGGTGAGGTGCCATTCAAGCAGCGGCTTGCAATATATAAGCAGATAAGGCAGTTCCTTGAAAGTGCAGAGGAACAGGCCGAAAAGGCAGAGTTTCTCAAGCCGAGATTCTTCACACAGCAGGACTTGCATAGAAGGGAGGTCCTCGTTCCTGATGAGACCATTGCTAGTTTTGCTGGCGTGTCAGAGAAGTTTTCGCAGTCGGAGAATATTTGGTTTGAAGCGCTACGACATGGTTGTAGGGTACATGTTCTGCCTTCTGATGAGAGCGAAGGCCACAATCGAAAGGTTATTCTCTCGGGTTCAGCTCGAGCCACGGAGTTGGTTGCGGACCGCCTCCTAAAAACACGAGAATTGCAGGAGCACGGAGATCCCTTAATCGATATTAAGAAACCCCCGGTTCCTGCTTTCCCTTCCCGCCTGGCCTTTGAGAGAAGCGGCACCCTTGCGCCATTAATCCGGACCGTTTGGAGCTACAAGACCAATCCACGGCCACGCGTGATTTTTGACTTGCTTAGTGCTAAATCAGAAAGCATATCTACTGTCAAGGCTTTTGTGGAACACGTGGAGGGGCTTGTAACATCTCTACCGTCAACTCAGCGCCATGAATCGCCTCATCCGCGACGGGTAGCTACAGCCCTGCGGGAGCTATTTTGCCACGAAAGCCGACAACAGCTGATATCCACAACGGCATTAAACACTGCCATCTCGTTTCTGCTCCAACATGGTTTCATGAACGACGTCCAGGAATTGATCGACCGCGGCGGCCATGTTGCAACCATTGAGACCTTCAACATACTTTTGAGATCTGCGGCAAAAAGACAGAATCTTGGTTTCTTTAACCTCGTGCTGCGGGTCATGGGTCGCTTGCGCGTTCGACCTGATGTCCATACTTGGCTCGCATACCTTGAGTGTCTGATCTCGCCTGCAGCGAAAACTGACTTGGTCAAAGTTATGGAGAAGAAGGGTTATCTTAAGGATCCAGATGCCCTGAGGAGCGTGCTGCGGCTGATGATTAGTGAACTGCTCATAAAGCACTTCAAAGATGGCGGGAGCGTGGATGGGTTTTTCAACAAGATTGTCGAGACCGCTGGATTGAACTGGTTTCCAGCATCTCTGATCAGGAAGATGGTCGTTGTCACTGCCCAACTGGGGGATGCGTCTGCCATGACACGGATACTAGACATCTGCAAAGAAAACAGCCTCCCCCTCTCAAGCGACATAATAAACGACGTCATACGGTTTTTCCCCAACGACACTTTCACCGCGCTGCATTATATCATCATGTGCCTCCAGGGCCCAACCGCCGAACTCAACCAGGAGGCATACGCTCGCCTTTTCATCAATGCCCGCCGAAACAAGCACTACAATATCTGCCGCGTCCTTTGGAGATATGCCTGCATGAACGAGGCGGTATCACGCACTATGAGGGATGACGTGACCTTCCTTCTATTCCATAACGTTGCGCGTGAAGGTCTCGCAGAACAAGATAAGCTCTGGTGGACATGCGCCGGGAAAGTCCTTGTTGGAGTCGACCTACATCTTCCTGATTTCCCGTTTAAGAACGATCTCCTCCGAACCATTCCCCCGGAGTTCCACGATAATCCCGTCGCATCCTTCCTAACTCCGCTCAGACTGGAGGGAGAGGAACGCAGCAAGCAGCGTCTTGCAGCTAAAGCAATAGTCAAGCATGACGTCGAGATCGGCCCTTGGTACCGTCCGACGTACTCGCTGGCGCATATGCTGGAGGTCGCTGCTGAGCTGGACAAGCAATGGGTAGGCGTTCCGCGCCCTGCTAAATGGCTCATGCAGAATGCCATCCAAGTTCCAGTGGAGTTTGTTGGGCATAACCTCAAGGACTAGTTCTTGTGTCTACTTCACCGAGCGGGCTCGGCTTTCTGAATCTCGACTTGTATAATCAATCACCACCTGTGGCCACATTCTCATTGTATGATACATCAACCTCTCTTTATACCACGGCCACAGCCGCTGTACTTATATGCCAAATAGGCATAGAATCTAAACAAATAGAACCATGAGACAAGAAATTCACCCTTCTATCCCGAGCTAATGCAGTCATTATCATAAACATAAAAGTGGCATCTCAATATGCGTCATCACCTCCCATTCTCGTTCAGTAACGGTGCCGCCGGCGGCACAGGGGGAGCAGGGAGATGACCATAAGAATGAGCATTGTCTGACGGATGCGCATACGGGTCAAACGCCGTCCTCATCGATCCAACGCCTTCCTTCAGATACAGCACGAGCCGATACGCCGAGTTCCCGTTTAGGTAGTACCGATGCAGGCGCTTACTGCGCAGGAACCCGAGCCGTTCGTAAAGCTTAATCGCCGCGGTATTTGTGATTTCGGTTTCGAGGGCGATCTATAGGGACAAGTTGCACGCAGTGTTAGTGTTGTTCATTATGCAGGAGCAAATGAATATTTTTCAAGGTAACGCACCTCGTCTGCACCCCCCTTCTCCATGGCGTCAATTGCCATCCTAACTAATTTCGTCGCAATCCCTTGCCCGCGATACTCCTGGCTCACGGCCAGCATAGCAATATACCCGCGCAGGGGCCCGTGTCTGTGCGGCTCGAGCTTTGAAACGACAACGCCGACCATGTGCTCGTTTCCGGCGGTGTCGGTGTCCATTGCGAGGAAGCAGAGGTCGGCCCATTGGTAGAGGAAGTAGCGGTAGACGTAGATACTGTATGGTTCGGAGAGGTCCTTGGAGATAAGCTGGCGCATGGCGGCGACGTGGGTGTCTTCCTGGGCGGGGTTATAGCGGATGTAGTGGAGGGCGGAGGGCGAGCTTGCAGGGGGGTCAGTGGCTGTTGAGGAGGCCATTGTGGGCGTGTCAAGGAGAGAGCAGGAGAATGAGGGGGTGGAGGGAGACGGCAGGGCAAGAAGGGGGCGAGGAAGCTGGCGTTGTTGTCGGTGTTGGTGCTGTTATTGGTGCGGAGGAAGATGTCAAAAAAGAGCGCATGTGATTGAGCTTATCGGAGGGACTCGATTTTGTCCCTCACACGACTTCCCTCCTCTCTCGATCTCATCGTCTGTATTATTCCTCTATACTTCCAATTGCATCTTTCCTGCTGTATTCGTTTGTTTCCCCCCTTCCCCCCTCTCCATCTCAATAACAACAGCCGATCCGTGGGCGATCGCTGCACGTCTCGCTCCCTATGCAGCGCCGTCGTCACGTCAAAGGCGACCACAACGACGATGTCCAAAACACAACTCGCGTGGACTCGTCCTCTGAAACGACTCCGCAACCGAAGCCAATAAACCTGAAGGGCGAAAGGAAAGAGTCGTTCATCACGAAGCCCAAGAGCAAACGCCGCAATGGCCTCATCTTCATGCTCGGCGGAGTCTTCGGGATCTTGTTCGCAGTGTTCTTCGCCCAGCAGCAGGATGTCATCAGTCTGGATTCCCTGATGGATCTGAATATAGACTCGTTGATGGATGTTATTCCGCAGAGTATAATGCGGGATGCGCGGGAGTTTTCGGTATGTAATTGGTATAGGGAATTAAATTTGAATAGGGTGGTACTAATGGTTGGCTACAGCAACATGAACGCGAAACAGTCAGTTACGATGCATTCTCCGTCGGCTTGAATCTCCGGTCACAAGGAGTCGAAGCGAAACATCCCATAATTATGATCCCGGGAGTTATCTCGACGGGGCTGGAAAGCTGGGGTACTAGTCCCACTTCACTAATGTACTTCCGTCGGAGACTCTGGGGTAGTTGGAGTATGATGCGAGCACTGGTGATGGACAAAGCAGAATGGAAGAATCATATCATGCTGGATAAGGAGACTGGGCTTGATCCGCCTGGGATTAAGCTGCGCGCGGCGCAAGGGTTCGATGCAACGGATTTCTTCATCACAGGGTATTGGATTTGGAACAAGATCTTGGAAAATCTTGCAAGCATCGGATACGACCCGACCAATGCGTTTACAGCGGCTTACGACTGGCGGTTGTCCTACTTGAACCTGGAAACTCGAGACCAATACTTTAGCCGCTTGAAGTCGTATATCGAGACGGCTGTCGAAGTGCAGGGGGAGAAGGTAACGCTGACTTCGCATAGTATGGGCTCACCGGTGACTCTCTTCTTCTTCAAATGGGTCGAGAGCCCGAAGCATGGTAACGGTGGTTCGGACTGGGTGAATCGCCATGTCGCCAATTGGATCAACATCAGCGGCTGCATGCTCGGCGCCGCCAAAGGCCTCACAGCCGTCCTATCCGGCGAAACACGAGACACAGCACTCCTCAACGCCTTCGCCGTCTACGGACTCGAAAAGTTCCTCTCTCGTGAGGAACGCGCCGAGATCTTCAGAGCTATGCCAGGCATATCCAGCATGCTCCCCAAGGGCGGCGAAGCAGTCTGGGGCAATTCCACCTGGGCACCCGACGACCAACCAGACCAACAAATGACCTACGGCAACCTCCTCAACTTCCGCGAAAATAACTCCAGCCTAACGCAGAAGAACCTCACCGTGCCAGAAAGTCTCGACTACGTCTTCGACCAAAGCGAGGACTGGTACCGCGCCCAAGTCCTCGGCAGCTACTCGCACGGCGTCGCCCACACAACCGCCGAAGTCGAGGCCAACGAGAACGATCCACGCACCTGGCTCAACCCGCTCGAGGCCCGCCTCCCCCGCGCACCAGACATGAAAATCTACTGCTTCTACGGCGTCGGCAAACCCACCGAGCGCTCCTACTTCTACCAGGAGGAACGCGACCCCCTCGTCAACCTGAATGTTAGCATCGACACAACCGTCACTACAGCAGATGGCACAGACCACGGCGTCGTCCTCGGCGAAGGTGACGGCACAGTCAACCTCCTTAGCACAGGCTACATGTGCGCCAAGGGCTGGAACATCAAGCGGTATAACCCATCTGGTATTCCTGTCAAAGTATACGAGATGCCCCACGAGCCGGACCGGTTCTCGCCTCGTGGTGGCCCAAATACAGGTAAATACTTCCTCCTCCGTCAAATAAACCACAATAAGCTAATGAAATGTAATGTGAATAGGCGACCACGTCGACATCCTCGGCCGCGCATCGCTAAACGACCTCATCCTGCGTGTTGCAGGCGGTCGCGGTGACGAAATCGAGGAGAATTTCGTGTCGAATATTAAGAAGTATGCGGAACGGGTTAAGATTTATGAAGAGTGAATAGGGAAACGAAAAACGAGATTTAGTATAATTTATATAGTTTACGTATGCACGGCAACTTTTTGAAGAAACTGGTAGGTTATTTTGTGATGATAATATTACCTATATAGATTTGTCAATCAATCAGTCAATCAGCCATTTAATCAAACGTTATAATTCACTAAAGGCACCGACCTGCTGGACGGGGTTCGCATAGATGGAAATATAGTACGCGGTTGGCCACAGTGTTATCAAGAAAATATTCTTTCAGAAGCAAGAAATAAAATATTAACAAAGTTGATAATAGTATACAAGTTGCCTTCATAAATCATAACACTACCGGATTATAAAAATAATACTGCTGCTATGGATAAAGCTCTCGCATCTCACTATCCAAGGGTGGGGAGTTGGCGTCGGAATTAGGAGCACCGAGGAAAGTGTCACACAAGAGGTGAGAGTAGGTGAGGTGAGATGATAGATGAATAGGAATGTGAGAGCGTCAACCCATAGCAAGCAAGCCCAGTCACTGTCCAAGCGGCTTCATGAGACAACGCATAGCCAATTCAGTCCAGATGTTACAATAATAGACATCCTTCAGTGAACCTCTAGCGAGTCCGATCCGAAACCGAGCAACATACCGGTGTTTCTCCTCCCAACTTCGCACCCGTCCGGTAAGTGCCAGAAAGCAAAGCAGTAAAGCCAAAGCCATGTGTATAGCCCCCGGGTATTCCGTGGATGAGTTCCACGATGAGCGATTGGATAAACCATGCGAGCAAGAAGAAAGTCCGTCCTTCCCCTCTTTCTATATGCCAATGCAAAGTTCGTGATGCACTGGAAAACAAAACAATAATAATAGCCATCTATGCACAGCGAGTGAAGTGCCAGAAGAAGAAGGTAAAAGGCGCCCCATTCCATGAATTTTTTTCCCATACAAAATGCTTCCAGTCCCATGCGCCAAGAGGGTTCGAGTGATCGACCCGAATGGTAAAAAATAAAGTATATATAATAGTCGAATCGAAAAATAAAAAGGGATTCGACTAGGTCAAAGGTAATAGCGAACGACGGAAGTGAGAATCGAAGAGGTGTGTCCAAAGTAGGTGGTGGACAGCTGACAAACGAATGTTTCCAACGGGGGCATCGGAAGGTCTTTGAAAGGGCTTTAAACATAAAACGCAATGTCTAGTCCCATTAGGTCCATTAGTATTATGACCGGGCAGTCGAGGGCGGCGATGAGCGATAATTCATGCCACGTTCGTGCCCAAACGGATTCGCAATGTCAATTCATGTACAGTATCAAGTGCGGCGAAGAGAGAATCGGTATCCCAGACAAGTCCAAACCGAGGACATTAAGGTTTGGATCGTTAGAAGCTGGAGTGCCGAGAAAAAAGGGTATTAAAAATATTAGTGTCGAAATCTGCTCGATGCAAAAAAAAAAAGCCAGAATGTCGTCAAATATTCTAACGCCGTCTCGTAAATAGATGCAATGAAGAGGAATGTGGGGTCGCTATATGCAGATCGAGGTTGATTCACGAGATCCTCAGGGGCTGAAGGCATGTCTGCCCGACTCGATATCGGTCTGAGGAGAAGTCAATGCTTCAGTTTCCCATGAGTAGTGGTCGTCAACAGGGCTTAGAGAGCCTGAGGAGATGGAGGACGAAGAACCAACGGTCCATTCATCGCTGTCGAGATTGAATTCTCCATCGTAGCTAGCCAAACCGTAGCCATACTCTACAGCGGATTCGCCGAATTCCACATAATCGTAGTCCCAACGGAACGTCTTGTCAAGCTGAACGCGGGGAAGGAATCGAGTCTTGGCGAAGTAGAACGAGATGGCAGCTAGCAGGCCACCTGCAACCAGATCGACCGCATAGTGGTGGGAGAGGTACATAGTTGCCCACCACATCCACAGAGTGTAGGTGACGAAGACGGGCTTCATGCGCGGGAAAACATGGCTCATGAACAGCGCGGCCAGAGTTGAGTCAGCAGCATGCAACGATGGGAACGCGCCGAAGACAACGGGCGATTGGTGGAAGCCAGAGGTATACAGGTCGATCCCGAACAGCTTGTCAATGCGGGCAAGACCAGCCGGGTCACCCTGAATCGAGTAATCGGCTGGGGCCAGTCCGAAGCGGTTCTCGTACCACGGCGGGGAGCACGGGAAAAACAGCTGAATGGTAACCGCGGCCATGCTGATATAGCCAAAAGTGCGCGCGAAGAGGGGAACAGTGCCCGGCGGCCCAAAGATGAACATGATCAATGAACAGACGAACGGAGCTCCATAGTGACAGATACCGTACGGCAGCCACGCCAGCACATCGAGCACAACGCTTTGGTGAGCGGATAGAATGTTACTGATGTTGGCGCCATATAGAATGTTCTCCAGAGCGGGCAAAACACGGACCCAAATCGCAGGACGCCAGTCGCTTGGAATAAACCTAAAGCATCGCATGAGAAACGGATCTAAAAGATAGAAATTGGGAATTCAGTGGGAATAACTTACTGGCAGGCGTAGAAGAATAAAAGCCATCCGGCAATCGGCAGAAAGGGGAGGAAGAACTGCCGGGTCATAGGGAGTAGAAGCGAAACTAGGAGCATAGTAAATATCCCCGTTTTGCCCAAAGGCCCAGGTGATTCGATGACGGTCAAAGAAAAGATGCCAACGATCAAAAGCAGCAGATATTGGAAATCATAGACAGTCCATCGATGGCTTTGCAGCGATCGTAGTGTATCCCCAGGCGACAACGACGTTTGTAGAGAGGCTATCGACGAGGTTGGAGACACTCTACTGCGCAGCTTGGACCTCAACTTTCGCCGCATACGATGCGGAACGAGAAGCTGAATGGACCGCCATGGGACCTGGATCTGAAGCTTTCCAAACTGGTTTTGCGTACGGTCCTTCCACGTCGGAAGGGTGGGATTCATATTTGCGGCGAGCCTCTACAGGCGAGACTCAATTATTTCCTCCAAGCGTAGTATTCCGGTCGTCCTTTCTTGTCCTGACCGTTCCGGAAGTCCAGGGGGTGGGAGGCGAGCAATAAAGTCGGGAGGCAGCGGCGGGAAGTAGAAAAGGGGTCTTCTCGAAATTAACGATGCGGCAAGGCAACAAGTCGATTCCCTGGCACCTCACCGGGCGGAGAAATTAGGATCGGGTCCCAAGGAACAAAGCGAAGCGCAAGCTCCGGTCTCCAGCGGCCAAACGAGGATGTCTTTGAGCCGTCACGTTGCAGGAGGTTTCACTGACGCAAGGCGGACAGTAAGGGCGAGCAGTCGAGAGAGAAACCTGGAACGCGGAGGTCGCGAGGGGCGCAGCTGGCCACGGAGCCGGAGAAAAGGCGTAGAGGGAGAGACCGAGGGGATGAGGAAGAAGAGAAGCACCGATGAGGGAGAGAAGAAGAAAAGGACGAGAAGAAGAGAAGATGAGGATTTTGGTGGAGGAGCACAAGCGCCAGGCAAGAGAAAGTCAGTCCACGGCCGGCCTGCGACGGGCCAAAACTTTCGGTACTGGTATTTACCGCCGCTGTTTCGTACGGATCGCACAGCCGCTATGCCTCGTGAGGTAATCAAAGAGTCAGGACTAACCCACAACAGGCCTAGCTCGCCAGTCAGCAGGCCTCGGCGCCTGGAGCTTCCGACATTCCGGTGCCTGAGAGGCCGAGTGGAACAGCTTGTGGAGGGAGTAAAATCTTCATCAACCAAACTATCGATCGCATTAACTTCGCCCTTGGCACCCTTACTGGTGTCAAAGCTCGCTTGAGGGGTTCTCTGGTATTGGCTGCCACAGTATCTTGCATCTTGCTATGTCCGGCGGTGAAGTGTTGTCTTGACCATGAAGCGCTGTCGTGACCTCGTGCTCAGTTGCAGTAAGCGCTCTGATGGACCGGAACTCCCGGATGTGATGACAGTGCAGAGGGAATCAAATCAAAAAGGAGACTCATATGCATTGGTAGCCAACTGGAAGCTGCGGATCTCCAGAACCAATTTCTCTGGGCCCACTCTGGCCCAGCTTCCAGCCAACCACAGGGCTTCTTCCCGCCAAGCAGAGTGGTCCCTGAAGACTCTCCTCATTTCCCTGGCAGCTCAACAGGAGTCCAGGTCGCGACTCGCTGAAGCTGTTGCCTGTCAGTTTTGTTGACCTCGACAAAGAGCTGCCCAGCCATCTCTTTTCTCTCGTCTGATTCTCGTTGTTGACCTGCGCTTTGTTCAGGGGTTGTTGGACAGCCGACAGGTCCTGTACTCCGTATCAGTAATCTACTAATCTTACCGCGCCGTTGATAAGAAATAGTCTGACATCAACACCATCCATGCGCGCAGCTCAACAAGGATCCGAGCTCAGGCGGGCGATAAAACTCCGAGCGCCTGGATTTTACTGCCCTTGCCTGTCAACATAAAAATTCACATGGATAGCCCAGTCAAGCCGTCGCAGTGCCGAATCTCCGCTGCAGTCATCGATTGGGCACACGAGCCTGCACCCAAAAGAGGAAGTTGTGGCTGCGATACGCGATACACGATACGATACGGGCAGGCTTACGGTACGGTACGCAGAGATCACGGCCCCGGCAAAGTCTCTCGGACCGTGGACGAAGTTGATCATTCATGCATCCGAGCAGTTTAATGCAGTTTGCACGCCACCTCATTCGCCTACAGCGGGCATTGACTGGATGCTCTGGCAATCTGGGTTTTGCATAAGCTGAGCAGCTGACCTTGCACGCGAGGGAGAACTCTCGTTTTCGTGTCGGTTGCCGCCTTTGACAGCACAATTTACGGTCGTTTCAGGATTGATTAAAGGAAGAATCCAGGATCAAAGGCAGAAAGAGCTGGCCAGCTTCGCCTCGCTTCCAAGTTCCAATCTGACTGGACCTTTTTTTTTTTTTTTTTTTTCTTTCCGCCGTAAAGAGGACCCGTAATAGTACCGCCCGTCAGCCATTCACGGTTGTCGTATTCGTTCAGCTGCATCTCCGAACATCGTTGGCCCGTGGGCGATGCAGTGAGATCGGGCATGAAATCATCAAATCACCGATGGGTGTCACTAAATTAGGACAAAGCAGTCTCCAAGCATTTAGGCTGCTCTGTTCTTTCACAGCGCCAGCGTATATCAAGGTGCACAGCCCCGCCAAGGGCTCAGCGGTGATCTGTGAGGCTTGGACTACCATTTACGAAGTCATCGATCACCACACTCTCAATCGAGATTCAAAGCCAGGGTCAACTAGGCACCGTCCATCCAGCAAACATGACCAGTGCTCAAATGGCGCAATGGTTCCATGCTACATGCCAGCGGGAGTGATTTCATCCCATACATCATAAGTTCAGCACGGACAAACGACATCGCGATCCAGTGTGGAGCTCAGCCCTGTTCCATGCTGGCATTTCTTGCTTGCAAACTCGCCAACATCATGATCCACGTCCGTTGTGTCCGACAACCGAGTAAGAGCTGGCGCTGCTTTCGCCTCGAAGAGATAACTGAATACGATTCGCCGCGACTCAACCCTCACTGCCTTCCGTGCGACAGGGCCGACAAGGCGTTGAGGGCCAGAATATGAACAATGAGATCATCTCACATATCGCCCGGTATTGCCGGTTGAGGTCTCCACCAATTTCTCAGGAATGTTCTCAAACAATTGACCTTCAGGCCTTTCCGATCGATGGTTCATAAAGGAATGTGGAAATGATACCCGACCGGGGATAACTCGGCCGAGCTCCAAAGAGCACAGTGGCGTTCCAGAAGAGCAGTGTCTGCTTACCTGATTGTGATTCCAGGGCAAACAAGATGACGTCCAGACCGCAATCAACTCTTCTACGTTGTACGGTGTACGGTGTGTATGCCCCTCACATCGTTCTTCCATCCCCAAAACCCTCAAACAGGTTCCATGCATACTCCATACTTCGTACTCCGTCCCAGCCCGCCCATGATGCCATATGCCATCAGCATCCGCATTCTTGGTGAGATTATCAACATTCCTCACCAAACTCAGAGTCAGCCCAAGCCTGACACCTGCAACACCCTCCCCATCAATCCCCACATACTGAACCTGTCTCAGCCTCGGGGGCGCCCAGTCCAAGCCCTTGAAACGAGCGAACAGCAAAGTATGCACGGAGCAAGAGGTAAGAACTTATCTCAAAGCAGTAGTACTCCTCGCACTCGTAGTATCGCAGATCCAGCGCTGCGGAGTAAGATAACAACAAAACTCCGAGGCGCTTATCAGCGGAGTAACCTACAGAGTTCAGGTAGGGCTCGTAAACGAGGCGCTGCTGCGCTGTCAACTCTCTGCCGGCCCCGTGGCAGTGCAGGGCTATATTCCATTCCACCCATGGATGCTTGCCGCATTCCATAAGCCCCTTGCGTTGAGCGAACCCAAAGTCAGAACCAGGAGTCATAGCCAGGAGGGCTTAGGAGCCACGACAAGGAGACAGCAAATTCCACGACCGTTAACGAAATTCCATGTGGTAGCAATAACCTTCAACGGATATCTTTCCCTATCGGTGGATATTTGGCGCGCTGAAGTCAGCCTCGTCGTACTCGTATCAAGCTGAACCTGAACACCCCAGCCACGATGCATTACGTAGTTGAGCTAAGAGTCGAAACTGCTCAGCATTGAGCATGGAGTAGTCCAGGCAGCAGCTGGATTGTTTAATTAAACTATGTAACCACCGTTTCACGTCTGGTCTTGACCGGGACCCGCTCCTATTTACGTTGGCTTACCCCTGTTTTAACGGCTGTCTTACCCTGGAATCTGTGCTCTTCAGCGGATAGGATGCCCCGTATCCATGGAGTTGGCGACGTTCGTATCGAGGATCCTTGGTTGAGCCGGCTCGACCAGGCAGCATAATAATTCTTAATTCTTTGGAATTGATTGGGGTGCTATTTAAGGAGTTTAATAATGGCCATATATATATTTATATTTAGGAGTGTGGATTAATAAATACTAGGTAACTCTTGAGCCTGCTAAGCCATTTGACGACTAGATCTTCAACCCACCTAGGCAGGCCACCATCATAAAGTACAATCGAGATCTTATTGAATAGATTAGTGTCATTGGGTAGCACTACGCATTACAAGGTCGCTTAATTTATTCAAAGCAGTTTATGTATGCGCGCTATAACATGTGCTCGAAAGTCTTGGTGCGTGAACGCGGCGTACCATGGAGGATATATATATATTTCGTCAAGCCAACAACATAGGGTTGTTATCAAATAAACCAACAGATATTAATCTCTTACTATAGGATAGACCGGGAATATGACTGGAAAGATAATGAATCCTTTATATATTATAATATACCTACACCTGGCTAGTATCCCCTCCGCATGGGCGAGTTAGGGTTTAGGCGAAGAACAACAAGATTCAAGGGAGGAGGGCTCCAATCACACCGACTGAGGAACTCTGAGATTAAGCAAAGAATATACAAAATCAAAAACTAAAATTATTAGACATTAACTAAACATTATCAAGTACATGGAGTGATCTTTCCATCCAAATCCAGATTAGATATAGCATGTAACCAGCGTTAAAGAAATGATTACGCCATGGATCTAAATCAAAATTGACACGGCGTTGCTTTCAGGATACAGCACTTGGTACTTGAGGTTCTCCCAGCTATCCACCTCCTTTGCGTAGTTTTCAAATTCCTCTTTGCTCTGATCAAGCTGAGTGAGGAAGTCAGTTGCAGCTTTTGCAATGGCTTGATCCGATTCCCCTTGTTTAGTGCGAAAAAGGCCGGCCGCAGATTGGGCGTAGTGACGCAAGGTTTCATCGTTGTCCGGGTTCTTGTTGAGCAGGTATGGGATATGGGAAGCGAGAAGCCATTCAGCAGGTTGGTTCATAGGCAACGCCTTGACCAGGTCTTGCTCGGTATAACGCAGCAGTTCCTCCAGAGTTTTCGGAGGCTCTTCGAAAAGACACGGTGGCTTGTTGACCACAAAGGACAGGTAGTAGTTCTGTAGATAATTGACGGCAGTATGCTGAGGTGACGCGATATGGATACACATGGTCACACAGTCAACCAGTTCATCGAATGTTTTGATCTCGGGGAATGTCTTCAGATTGGCACCATTTGGATTTTGCAGCTCTTCAACCCAGGCCTGAATCTGCTTGTCTGCCTTGATTTTGTCGTCGGCACCAGGCCCACCGTATATAGCAGCGAGAATGCCCTTGACGAACTTCCTGATCTTCCACCACATGCTGTTGATGCACTTAGCGTACGCATAGTTGTGAAACTTTCCATCACCGAGTTTCTCTGGAGGGAATCCACGGTTCTTGAGCTCTGTTGGAACATAGTTCTCCTTGAAGTCGAATTTGGTGTACGCATCCCAGATGAATTTGCTCGCCTGTTTGTCTGAGAACCCAACTAGATCAAGAACAACATGGGGCACAAGGGTTGATCGGGCAGCCTGATTCAGAGCCAGGGTCTTGCGCCAGTGTGGCCTGAGCAACTGCAATACCGCATGTTCATCGTCGAATTGTCGGTTAGAGGCAACGATGATGGCCTCTTCAATAAAGTGAGTATTGGTAAGGTGGGCCGTGACTTCATGCTGGAACCAGTCACTACTCTGGACGCAGGTTTTGGCTATATAGGACTCGACCAGTCAGCGCTTGGACATGACAAGAAGACATAATTGGGGGGTACTGACCGTATCTCCAAGGCCAGTCCTTTTTCTCCTCCTCGAGCTGATGTTCCTTCTCCCGAATGTCGGCTCCCGTTCTGAGGTCCTTCGACTTGAACATTGTCCTGTTGAAGATTGTCACAGAGTCCCTGGCGCTATCTCGCCAGTCGATCACAATAGCCAACGGGTATAGCTGGCCTGTCTCGTTGAGATAGTAAAGACACACTGATGCGCAGTTATACCGATAGCCATATTTGCTCCACGGCCAAACGCCATCTTTCCAGTACTGTTTGATGTCACCTGCGGGGTCCATTCCGGCAGCTTTGCGGAAGTAGCTATAATCCTGCATGTATAGGGACTCTCGGGAGCTGTTTTTGAGATCCTTTATGATATCAGTAATAGCGTGATCCTCGTGGTCGTTTGAGGCCTGAATAAAATGGTCAAGCCATTCATCTGAAGCTTGCTTGATAGTTGTTGGGTTGACCCCTGTGAGCTGCTGCTGGGCGAACGCGGCATCGCTGTACCAGTCCTCCAACTCTCCCACATTGGGTTTATCGAATATATCATTCTTTGGCTTGTCTTGTTCTCTTCCCTTAAAGTCTTTTGATATCTCGAGCCTTTTTTTGTTATAATCTTCCACTTCTTTGAGTGTCTTCCCTTCATCCGGTGTGCCCAGTTCCCCAAGGTGCCATCTGGCAATCTCTGAGGCCGCCCACCGTTTGTACCACACGAGAAAGCCACGCATCAGGGCCCCCGCCTGGGTCAGACGCATGCTATCAAAAATATTATCTAGCGGGAGGTCTAGTCTCTGATCCTTTGATGCCTCGTCGTCTCTACCGACAAGCTTCAAGTGGGGTGGGAAAACGTCGTCGTCGCGGGTGAATAAGTAATGCTTGCGCTTCTCCTCCGCAGGCCGATTCGGGGGAAGCGAAGAATCGAACTCCATTACCTCCATGAAGGAGTGGTGGCTGTCGAGGCGTGTCAGCTGTATACTACCAGGGGAATCGGAATGCAAAGCAAATTACCGGTGCTCGATGATTTCATAGGTCTTCAGCAGCGCCAGCTGGGTACCCCGGTATGTTACTTCCTGAGATGTATCGGGCACAGGAGCCTGCTCGGTGGTTTTGCCCCCTGCTGTGGTCTCGGGCCCCAGGGAGAAAGGAACTATCTCATGCTTGTCGGGCAAGAGTCCGAGGTTCGTCAATTCATTGATAAACACGCCAGTGTCGATGCTGTTGAGCGGAGGGGCCCCAGGCACGAAGCCTGGACCTGAAACGCCAAAGTTTTCACCCATGGCTAGTCAATCAATCAGTAGATTTGTTACAATGATTGAGAAGAAGATCGATGGGATTGGAAGCCCTAATATACTGACTCCTATGCCTGATACTAGTATTTTTGTCTTGATATCACGACTATCCTCTATAGATAAAACACTGCACGTAATTCATTTCAACAGCCAACCATAGCAGACTGTTTTGTGGGCATCTCATGTAGAAAGCATCTGACGTAAACATTTCGAGGATCTACACCAAAACGGACCGTACCGCGCGGCGACTGGGCCGAGCCGAATGACATACTTAGTCCGTAAGACGAATTGTGAATTAAAATAATTATTATTCCATATCTATTCTTGGAGCGAGTGGAAGGCGGATCAGTATCCGACTGTAACCTCAGCCTGCCACCGTCGTAGATCCTGGAGACGAACCGTGGTTGAAGCCAGAGGACAGTAAGTAGTCGGATTGTACAAGCCCAGCCTATTAAATAAAGCTAATCTACTGGATCATTGCTATTGTGGTTTCATCATGTACATAAGACTTCTATGACCTCTACTGTCGAAGAACTACCGCACTGGAGTCAAGCCATTAGGGCTTGAAGACTCCGCATTGAAGCTACCAGTACCCTGCCTATACACCGTCGATCTAATGACAGTATTCTGTATTAGTCTCATCTAGAAGCAGTCTCCACTTCGGTTAGACCGGATAACATTCTCGCAGAATACTAGTATAAACCTGTCGACCTTCTCGTCCTTCACCAACCAATTAAAATGGCCCTCAGGCGTCTGGTATCACTCGCATAGCTTGAGCAGCTCACCCGTACGGACATCCCAGACCTTCACAGTGTGGCCACCGGAGGACGTTGTTAGTTGATCGTCAGGTAAGAAAGTGACTGAGTAAATCTCATGGAAATAGCCCCCGAAAGTACGACGCAACTCACCAGTCTGGGCGTCCCAGACCTTGACAGTCTGGTCAAAGGAAGCAGACGCCAGCAGTTGACTGTCTAGTGAGAAGGAAACCGAGCTCACCCAACCCAAATGGCCCTTGAGCGTCTGGAGTAGCTCACCCGTACGCGGGTCCCAGACCTTCACAGTGTGATCATCGGTGCCGGACGCTAACAGTTGGCCGTCTGGTGAGAAGGCGACCAAGCGAAGCCAGCTGGAAAGCCCAGTCCCTGTGTCCTTCACTCTGGGTGCTAGGCTCCAGGGGGATGACTCGTTCTTGAATGCTCTTTTGAATATCGAACCTTCTTTCGTAAACATCAACCCTATTGAGTAAAGCTGAAGGGGGCTAGTTTCAGCTATCTGGCGATTTCGAAGAATAAAATGCCACGCCTCAGACATGAAACCCGACAGCTGATGATTTTCGTAAGTCTATATTCGTTAGTATCTGCTAATGCACGGAGTGTCTGCCTCTGCGTACCGGTATGGCTAACCGTAGTCTCTGGACCATTTCAACGACGTCAGAGAGGGCTCCCAAAAGACTCATTGCTTCAACCCAATGGAGGAAATGGGATTCAAGAAATGAAACAACCTGAGTGAGCTCAGTAACTGGGTTGTTCTGTATCAGATGGTGTACCCAGTATCGGCAGGCATACTGTAATTCTGATGGCAGGCAGTGGCGGAGATTCTCTTGATCAATGTCGTTCCTGGGGGTATCATGTTGCAAGTTGCAGATATTCTTCCGTAGTCCATGTTGCATGACTTTGAGGCATTGGACACCCAGTCTCTTATGGACCAAGCCCTTGTCTATCCAGAATGGAGATTCTTCCTGCTTATTATCGAGAAGAAAATCCCGGAATGAGATATGTGAGATCCGAACTGGCTCATCTGGCGTGGCAGGAACATCAAGAACAGACTGGAACAGCTTGAATTGCTTCCGGACCGTGTCGGTCTCAATCTGTACAAGGTTTACAAAGGAATCTACCGACAGCGGAGTAGCGAAGAGAATGAGAATGCCAATTGTATTCTTAAACTCGTGCATCAACTGCCGGGTTTCCTCTTCATCCGTATTCGTGAGAAGTTGATTTAAAATGGGCATATATGTACCCTCCATCTTTGTCGTATACTTAGTTTTGTCACTTAGGATAGCTTCGAGGAGCTCTGTAGCACTCCCACTGTCGCCACAAACGAATCGAAAAAGAGTAGTAGTGGAAATGAAGGACGGAGCAGTTCTCTCGACCAGTGTATTGATCATCTTGTCCCCGGGCCAGTAGTTGGGAGGCCACACTCTTGCTGCAGCCGCGAGAATTCATTATTCAAGTACAGTCTGATATCGTGTTCTATCGCAGGATTAGGGATCTCGTGAATGATCAGATGTTGAAGCCCTAACTTGACGGGTAGATCAGGCCTGCTTGTTAGCAGGAATCGCACCTGCACTGATCGTGATTCCTGGACACTGGGTAGAAGTTCTAGAATGTCTCGGACATCACCATCTTGGTCGCATTCATCTAGTGCATCAATCACGATCAGTATGGTTGAAGTTGGGCCCGGGTTCAAGGCAATAAGTGGCTGTAGGATGAGCTTCTGGAACTGTTCCTCAAGTCCTCTTCCTGCGATATCTGGATTTTTCCCTATTACATGTTGGATGCTGGAACTCCGCTGAGGTATAGCATCTCCTAGCTGTTTAGCCAGTGCTGAAAAGAGTAGTTTGGCATTACCTCTGTCCTGTTCGCCCCTTTTGAAGATGAAGCTGGCCCCCAGGATTCCCTGCCTCCTGGCACAGCTTGAAACTGTCCGGGCAATAGTTGACTTTCCCGATCCAGCTATACCAGTCAACCAGAATAGACACTTCCCAGGGCTCTTCATCCAGTTGTCGATCTTGCGAAGTACGTCCACCTGGGTTCCTGGGAGGCATTTGATCCGTTGATTTTCGTCATTGAATGTCACTCCTTTAAGGTCTATCTTTGGATGAACCAGATGATGAGATTGCCTGAACTATGGGTTAGCTCTACCTTTTAAGGCCGATTATACACCTACGTCTTGCTCAGCATCAACGATAGCCAAAACGAGGATTCATATCTCTCGATTTCACGAATGACGTTGGTTACGTCGTTGGCTGTCATGGGCCATGTCCATCGTTGAAATTCCCATCTACTTAGCAGTGTCTGCGTTGTTTCTGGGTCGATTTTGTCCCGTAGCCTGCTGAGAGTTGCAGAGCATTTGGCGATATCCTCAAGCAGGCCTGCTTGTGTCGGTATCTGGCTGTGAAGAAGCGTTTGAAGCGGTTCGAGTGTCTGGGACAAGGCACCAATCTGGCGCTGTAAGAGGGAAATATCCCACCATACTTCTTTAACTCGACCGACGTTGAGATACCTCCGAAATATCCGAGTGATGGCTTCTATTATTTGGATGATTTCAATAACGCTTGCTGTGTCTGAAAGCGGATCCATAATCAAAATAACCATTCAGTAATGCTTGGGGAACTGAAGATGGCGAAGATGGCTGAGTTAAACACCAAGAGTGCAGGCGAGATGCTCTTGGCTGGAGCCTGGATTCCCTTGGGAGAAGGATAGTATCGAGAGAGCCAGATTCCAAGAATTAGACTATATATAGGGTTATTAAAGGCCCAGGGACTAGATAAGTAGCTAGTACAAGCTTAGGTATTCTATTCTTTACAAAGTAACTTATTATCTAACATCACAGAGCACTGCGTAAAGCCAGGATCTCTTTTCGGCCAAGGGTCTCAACCAATTGATCCAGCCATTAACATGAGAAAACGTCCTGTTTCATATCTTATGGAGCTTGGAATGTATAGACCGTCGATAGTCTAAACCAACGTTCCTGCTGGTCGATTGTCCAATAAATAGGAGTCTTGTACATATCAGGCAACAATGCTCTCTGATTGTTGAAGAATTGGCGGCAGGCACCCTTTGAATATACACTCATACACCTTTAGAAGGTCCCCGTATCACAACCCGAAACGGCAAATCGGGTGGAAAGCGTTCGTGCCACTCCTGTCCCGGATGATCAGGATCATCATAGATCTCAACCACAAAGTCTGACAGTGCTCGGAGTTCCATAAACGGGCCTAGGTACGGCGAGCCCATCTCAATATGTCTCGGCAACATTACTCTCGAAAACGAGACATGAAGGCGACGGAGTCCCGTCAGTTTCTGTAGGACGCTGAGAACCTCGATCCAGCGACCGGCTTGTCGACACAGGGCCCCGTGCTCTGGGTCGACATGCTGACAGGCGACGATAAAGAGAGACACTGATTTGATTGAAGATAACCTTGCGGGGACGACCACGCTGGGGAGGAGGTTGAGCGCGGGTCGACGGTTGAAGTAGAATGTATTTCTCTCATACAACATGTCGACTGCTTCGGAGTATCTGGGTGGAGCGTGTTAGCATTGAGTGGATAATATATAATACAAGTAACTACAACTTACATCTGCCGACAGGTCGATAGTAACGGTATAAACCGATTGGGTGGTGTACTTTCAAAGTCCTCCTTTTCACTCCACTCACCATATAGGTAGTCCGCAGAACGGAAGATAACGATCTCACCGGGCCAACTCATAATGTGAAACCAGATCATAAGACGGAGTTCAGGAGGCAATGCAAGCAACCTCGATTGACCGGGACATTGACCCGCCATTGCGCGGGAGACGAGCATTTTCTCGTCCTCCAACGGCATAGGAGTCAGGGGACGTCGATCTGCCCAAAGAGATGCTGACGGCTCTCTTTCTCGTCTGTATCTTTCATTAAGTTGTTCTGCGGTCTCATCTTTATCAGATTCTCGCATGGCACAATTGCGGAGCAGCCTCCAGCAGAAAACCCACGGGTACACGAGAATCGCAAGAACGCAATAATATATTACGCCGAGCAATGTCATTTATTATCTGAAAATGAAAGCGCAGAGTACATATGCATGGGGAGGGAGCTTTATATGTACATCAACCCTGGAGCCTGTGAGGCGCATATCTGCCTGGTTCAGCCTCAGCAACGGCCTGCGACGTCTGAGCTGGAGATTCACACATATTCTACTCGGTTGAGTATGGCTTTGGCTGTAAAGTGGCATATCGTTGGTGGATTACTTCGTGAAACCCACTGGCTTACTCTGGGGGCCTCACAGCCACTGACAAGCTGGTATAGGCTGTTGCCATACATCTGAGCGGGTCGGGGCGAAGATCAGGGCACTTGCACGACCAGAGAATGGCCTCCAATACGGGCAGTCGCAGGGACATCCTCTTCCTCACCGAAGGTGGCTTGGGAAAGCGTCTCGGCTGCTAACAGGACCACTCCAGACAACCCAGCAGCGGATCCGAGTACAAACGGCATGTCTTAGGGCTAACCAACTCCTTATAATCCCGCTCGTCGTCAAGATAGCACTGGTTGGTGGGTTTCCTCCTTCTCTGGTGTAAGACTACTCTCTTCAGGAAATAGAAACCCCAACTTATTTTCCTTATGTCTGAATCTACCTCAGAATATGTGTGTTTGTGGTCTAGCCTTACCAAGTGGGTGAAAATAATGCAGTATTATCTTTATATAAGATTGTGCATTATTATATGTCCGCCGACCTATTATATAGTGAACATTAACTTATTTAAGAGTAAAGCTACCCAGTCTTTGTAATTACCAACTTACCTAGGGTATAATCCTAGAATAAACTCCCCTGTACTCAAGAATCTTATATACTTATCTCATATCAAGTCCCAGTCTATATTAAATAAACTAAAGCATCCCACGGACAATATCTGCATCTCTCGTCTCCCACTGAAGCCCATCCTTCACAGACCGGACTATCTCCTCATACTTTGAATCCCTCGGCTTGATACCTACCTCAAACGGCGCCGGGTGGCTAATCATGCCCGGTGAAAAGCGCGGTTGAATATCCACCTCCTTACCGTCACGGACCGCCCTGCCGATATTAAAGGCCGCCAGAGACATACTAATAGTTAGGTATATATTCGAGTCCGCAAGGATCCGACCAGGGCAGATACGACGCCCGAAACCAAAGACCAGCGAATGCGGATCTCGCTCGGGGGTATCGCCGAGGAAACGCTCCGGGTTAAAGCTCATTGGATCTTTATAATCTTTTGGGTCGTGGCAGAATGCCCTGATGTAAATTATTAGAACCAAGCTTGAAAGGCCAGTTAGGTAGACAGGGGGCTGACCAGATATTCGGCATGATGATGGATCCTTTCGGGATGTGATAGCCATCGCAGACATCGTCCTCCATTAAGCTGTGCGCTACGCCCATCGGTGTGACGGGATGCCATCGAAGGGCCTCTTTGACTATTGCATTGGTGTAGGGCAGATTATCGCGGTCCTCGTATCCAGGCAGTCGGTTTCGGCCAATTACTCGGTCGATTTCTTCCTGGGCGCGTTGTTGCACGTCTGGATATAGAGCCATTGCTAGGTAGAATGATGAAATTGTTGAAACGGACTGATTTATGGTCAGTGGGCGAAGATAGTGATACCAGATGATGCAAGCAAGACATACCGTGTCAGCACCTCCAAAATACAGTGACAGGGCGGTCCACTTGACGTCGGTCTCTTGCGTGGACCCAGAAGGTATGTCGTTCTCTTTCAGCAGATTAGCCACGTACGAAGTCTCGGCGCTCTGCGCGTTGATTCGTTCTTGCACGAATTTATAAGGAACATCTGCCATCGACTGGAGGTCTTGCCAGAGTACTTGCGCGACTCGGCGAAAGCCAGCGCCTGGGAACCACGGAGGGACGTGTCGCACTGTATTTGTTAATAACGAAAACACGGGAGAGACCAGCAGAGGAATACATACATATCGGCACGGCATCTACTAACCATGTCCCTGGGACGAGCGCAGCAAGAACCTTTTCCATAGTTCTCTCAATGAAGTCCAGAAGCGGATCTGGCGCGGTATAGTCCATGTGATAGCCATACAGGAACTTGAGAGTCAACGCTCCGGCGAGCCTACTGTTATTAGTATAGATCTTGCTCTCTGTCTATGAAACATACTTCCTCGCATGCTGAGGTAAACGCTGCGGTACATCCAGCAGGCAGACCAGAAAGCGACGGACCTCGGTCTCTTGGGTTTTGTTAAACCGCGAAACGCTGGTGCTGGATCCCAAATCATGGTGTATGTACTTGCGGTAGGCTTTCAGGCGTTTTCCGTACCGTTGCATTAACAACGTGCCATCCAGCCCGCATCTATAACAGTTAAACCATATAGCTAAAAGGCAGCCAGGGAGGGAAAGCATACAGAGCGGCAAACGGCAGTTTAGGACGGTCCGAGTATATCAAGGACTTCTTCTCTAGCAGGTCAAATGCAAGACGGGCATCGTTGAGGATGATCAGGCGCTGGCCAAGAACAGACACCGTGCTTATAGGTCCTATTCTGAGTTAGACGAGGAGGCTGTCTGGGAATGTGAGTACAGTACCATATAGCTCTTTGTGCTCTAGCCAGTGCAGCCAGTCTGGAGAGCCCGCCGCGGGCATATCGCGCACATTGCCAATTATTGGCAGTGGCTTCGGGCCTGGTGGCAGGATGTGGGATGTGCGAGAAAACAATAAACGAACAAAATACAGGCTGGCGAGGCCAGCAACGGCAAGGAGTAGATACATCGTGATTGCAGTGGCAGAACCAAAACCACGGCCAGTCTTGATAACAGCCTGACCCCGCGGTTGGTCTCACATTACTAAGAGCTAACTGCATTAAGCCTAAGAAACTGATATGCCGCGTGGCGGAGGCCAAAGTATTTTGATTGGCTGATATAGAGTAACATGAAAGGATATGAAAGAACACATAAGATTTATGCCCATAATTATAATTATACTAGATAACAGCCGAGAGCAAAGCAATAAGAAAAAAGTCCATCAGATTCCCAAGCTTCAAATGGGCTAGTTCACGAGCTCTTCATCCTCAGGCTCTTCCTCCTCAGGCTCTTCTTCCTCAGGATCTTCCTCAGGCTCTTCCTCCTCAGGCTCTTCTTCCTCTTCTTCCTCAGGCTCTTCATCCTCAGGCTCTTCATCCTCAAGCTCTTCATCCTCAGGCTCTTCATCCTCAGGCTCTTCATCCTCAGGCTCTTCCTCCTCAGGCTCTTCTTCCTCAGGATCTTCCTCAGGCTCTTCCTCCTCAGGCTCTTCCTCCTCAGGATCTTCCTCCTCAGGATCTTCCTCCTCAGGCTCTTCCTCCTCAGGCTCTTCCTCCTCAAGCTCTTCCTCCTCAGGATCTTCCTGCTCAGGCTCTTCCTCCTCAGGCTCTTCCTCCTCAGGATCTTCCTGCTCAGGCTCTTCCTCCTCAGGATCTTCCTGCTCAGGCTCTTCCTCCTCAGGCTCTTCCTCCTCAGGATCTTCCTGCTCAGGCTCTTCCTCCTCAGGCTCTTCCTCCTCAGGCTCTTCCTCCTCAGGCTGTCCCCTCTCAGGCTGTTCCCCCTCAGGCTCTTCCTGCCTTGGAGCGTGGGCCTTAACTGGACATTGCGTTTCTATTTCTCTCACCATTACTTCCTCGAGTTGTTCAAGACGGGAGGAAATATGAGCAGCTTCACCAGCAAGCTCTTTCTCATCGTCTGTCAAGGGCAAGTCGGAGTCCTTGTGATCATCCATGTCTGCTATCTCTTGACCAAGTGCATTTATGGTATCGTGTAGCTTCTTTTCCGCCGGCGCCATCGATTTCTCGTTCCGGGTGTTGAAGCCGTGGGCAAGTGCCGCTAGGTTGGTTGCTTGTTGGTGCACATAGAACAAGTATTGGTGGAGAGCAACCCTCTTATCATGGTTCGAGACATTATCATCGAATGAAGGGAGGCTTTTGACTGGGGTGTCTCTTGCGGAGCTCTCGAAATCGTCCTTGAATTGGCGTAGTTGCGCACAGTCTGAGGGAGAGACGCTGGCGCCAAGGGCGACAAGGGAAAATAGAAATAAAAGATAAGACTTCAACATTTTCAATGCCTGGTTGTGTCCTGGAAATTATGGTAGGATAATTGGGGTTTTTATATCCAGGCCAACAAACAGTATATAACTATAGGGAACAAAGGGATTGTATCTTGATCAATCGATTGACATAAAAATTACTCTTGGAACTGAGCTATAAGCTCTAGCATATAATTATTGCAAGCCACTCTTCGTGTTGAATTATCTTTTCGGTAAACCTTTAATGATTGATGCCGTATCCGTCGCTTGAATCGACGGCTTTGGGTGTGATCAGATAGGTCTTTTTCTGAAGTCAGGATCGAGGATGACCTGTAATAAACAGCAATATGTAGAGTATAAAGGGGTATTGAAGTTTATTCTCACAGCATGGTGGCTTAATACTTGCAGCTTGTAAGTTACTACTTAATGACCAGTCTGTTCCTATCTGATATCTCGAGATATCTACTCAATGAAAGTGTTTATATTTCCTTTCTGATATCACACAGTCCTAAAGTAGTATTCTCTGCAATCCACTGCACGGTGTCAGTTTGCCTGGCCTCTCGTGCAAACTCCAGTATGCTCCATCCTCTGTGGTCTCTGGTATAGACATCTGCACCAGCTTCAATAAGCATCCTCACAGTCTTTAATGAGCAATTCGCCGCAGCAGCATGCAAGACCGTCTCATCTGTCCTCGTCTTCTCATCTAATTTCGCCCCCCTCTTCAGCAACTCCCCGATAATCCCCCCATGGCCCCTACTAGCAGCAAGATAAATCGCGGTCTTCCCATACCTTGTGACATGGTTGATATCTGCGCCCCTATCTAACAAAAACCGTACAACATCCACCCTCTGATCTCTTCGATCAACCGCAAAATGCAACGGCGTGCGCCAGTGCGGCGTTTCTTCATTAATCCTAGCCCCCCGGTCTAAAAGCCACCCCATACACCCAGGGACGGTCCTATTCCATCCAGAAGCTGCATGAATCGGCTCCGCGTCATCAAAATATCCTGGTATAAAGCCGGAATACCCTCTCTCTTCCCTGTACGTTACAAGTGCCTTGAGGATTTCCAGATTCCCCTTCCCCGCTGCCATCAGCAGTTCATCTTCAAAACCATTCGCCGCATCACAGGGCTGCGGAGATCGCACGCCGTGCTCGAAGAGGAGATGCATGATTTCTAGCCTCTCGTGGCGTATACATAGCGTAAGCGGACTGGGATCCATGTCGATTGGGTAATCAGGAGAAACACCGTTTGCAAGCGAAAAGCGGACCCTCTCAAGGTCATTCTTGCGGATTGCGCGGGTCAGCTTGGTCCCTTGCTTGCCGAGGTAGCGTCTGTGGCGTAGGATGTGACTCGGCTCTCTTTCGTGGTCTCTGGGTTTGTATGGGAATAGCGGTTCGTCAGAGTCATCGATATCGTTAGAGTTACCGGGTTCGATGCTTTCGGTATCCATTGTGATGTTGATATGGATAGTATGAGGGTTGGTAAGGAAGAAGGTGAAATTTAGGGGGAATCAGCTTAATATAGTCAACCAAGCCACCAAATTCGCGCTTGACTAGGGAGGTACTAGACTGAAAGCCAAAGCATTATACTTATGAGAAAGCAATGATCCTCTCATACAAATAACTGTAAAAGATGCTAATTATGATAGGGACTTGGGATCGAACTGGGTCCGAGAATAACAGCCGAGATAAAGTGTCCAGCAAGGCAACTTGAAGATATCACGCCAGTGCAGCCTCCCAAGCACGAATATACACAGCCATATTCAAAACAAACTCCGTCCGCTTAGGATACCAGCCCAGCACGGCCCTGGCCCTTCCTCCTTCAGAATTCCCCGCCGTACTCATCGCCTCAAGCATGACGTCCCCTCTGGTGCCTGTATACTGCACCTCCGCCGTAAGCCCTAAGCTAGACATCGCCGCGTCAACAATATCCTGCACGCGGACTGTCTCTGTCACTAAATCAAACACAGGCCATGTACCCAGATTCCCATGGATACGGTCAATAGCAGCATGAAGCCCAGCAGCAGTATCGGTGATATGCACGCACGACGGACGTGCCGTGATATCAGCAGGAATATCAACTACACTGGTACCATGTTTCCTCGCTTTAAGCAGTGGTTCCCACCAAGGCGTCCAGATCCACGACCCACGCCCGTAGATAAGTCCCGGCCGTATAATCGCAACATCCAGCACATCTCTCGAGGCAAGAATCGCCTGCTCTTGCCCCGCGCGCCACGAGACAATCCGCGGTGGTGTACCCGTTGATAGTGCACTACCGACAGGAGAAAGATCACTAACTAGCTCGGACGTAGACCCGTGGACCCATATCCCTGAAGTGTAAATAAAACCGAGCTTAGGACCGACGATGCCTTCCTTAGCGAGATTGGCGGCACGTATCTTTGCAGCGGCTTTCACGCCTTCTAGGACTTTGTCGCCTTGTTTGTGCGTTGAGGTGGCGTCGACGACGATGTCGATGAGATGGTCGATTATGACCGAGCTGAGGGAGTCTGGGTCTGTGATGTCTGTTTCTGCAGCGATCGGGGTGATTTCGTTCTGCAGGAGCAGTTTGGCCTTCTCGGGGCTGCGCGCTGTGCCCCAGACTCTGTAGTTGCCTGACGAGACGAGGGACTGGCCTGTGGTGAGGCCGATGTAGCCTGAGCCGCCGAGGATGAGGACGTTTGGCATTGTACCTGGTGGAGGGGAGGAAAGACGAAGGGTTATATTTCCAGATATAAATAAGTGTGATATTTATTGCTGTCAGGCGGGGTATGCGGGGTCATGCATAAACTAACGTACAAAAGAGAACTAACTATATCGATAACTATACAAGTTCACTCACTTAAAATATCATCCCACCACAGCCCCGTAAACGGCTCTATATCTCTTTGACAGACCGTCCCCTCCGCAGGAAGCGTCCCATCCCTCCAAAACGCCGTCGTCTTCTCCAGCAGACACAAACTCGGCACATTGGTCGAGGTATGCCCATTCCCATTCACCTCTAGCACGACGCTCCCCTCAAACCCAGCACTGACATTATGCGCCGACCTCAGCGGCGAGTGCGAGTCCAGCGTGTTCCCAATAAGCAACAGCGGAGTCTTGGTCTCTGCAGTGAACGGTCCGCGGTACGTCTCCTTCGGCTCGATCTGCCACTGCTGACAGCCGATATAGGACCCGACGGGATTATCCCCTGCTACGCGGCTGGTATTATAAAGTGCGCGAACGGTAGGCATGAAGTCTGCTAGTGAGTCTGTCCGGACTTGGTTATCGCTGCAGTAGATTCCCATAAGACCCATAGTCGCTGTTCTGCCTACTTCGCGCAGGTCCGGGTCTGTACTGAACGTCGCGGCTGTAGTATACAGAATCTCTTCTAGCTCCTCGTACTCGACGTTGAATAGGAGATGGTCTAGGAGCATGGTGAAGACCGGCCAGCCTTGCATTCCGGAGACGGTCCCCATGATATACCCCTTTAGGCTGGGGTAGTCGATTATCATTGGGCCGATGGTGGTAGGACGGAGCTTGAGGCGCTCGAGGAGCTGGAATGTCATTTGCTCCAGTGCTGCTGCTGTTTTATTATGTGCTGCCAGCGGACACAGCTCTGGGCCGGCTTTGACGCAGTGGGCGAAGAGGTCGGAGAAGGCTGCGTCGGAGTCTGCCCATTCTTCGATATTACTGTGCTGTTAGCTTCCTTTGTTCAGACTTGAAGATAGAAAACTTACGCAGTTCCATGGTAGTACTCATGCGGATTCATCACGCCGTCCAGGATAACCTTGTCCATCCGATCAGGAAACATGGCGGCCACCGTCGCGCCCAGAACCGTCCCATACGAGAACCCTACCGACATTAGTACTTCAGCTTAAACACTTCAGGAATACTTGGAATGCATACCCCAGTATCGAAGCAGTCCATCCTCCTCCAACGCATCCACAATCCTCATCATATCCCTCGCCACAAACGCCGTCGTCAAAACAGACCCGATCCTCGACGCATTCTGCGCGCAGAGCTCGGCGTTGATGGTCCCGCGCGCCCACAGCGCCCCTAGTGCTCCCGCGCTGCTGTTTCCCGGTATTATCCCTCTGGTCATTTCATGTCGATTGATCTCGTCCTGCGTACACTCGAAGGGGATGGTGTTGACCGTCCCGCGCGTGTCGAAGGAGATGATGTCGTGCTCGCCGCCGGTTAACCTATTTTCTTAGCCACCCTCACTAGAAGGAAAGGTAAAGGCATACGCAATAAGAGGAGAGGCAAGTCCTACAATGCCCGACCGCCCAGGCTGTCCTGGCCCGCCTGGGTTAGCGAGGATACTTCCCTTTGAGCCCAGCGGGGCAGGGATCTTGATGAGCTGGAGTGGAAGGGTTTCAGTAGAGTTGGGACTGGTGTAGTCGAAGGGGACGTCGAGGGTTGCGCAGTGCAGGGACTGTTCGCCCTCGCATGGTGACCAGGCGATTTTGGCCGATGCCGTGCTGATAACAGCTGGAAGGAATTGTAGCAAGTATAAACGCATTTTGGATGTATGAGTTGTAGCATAAATGAAATAAATTCTGGGTATATTTATACCCAGAGGCTGCCAAGTGTATTCTGGCGGTGCATTCCATGGCATATGTATACAGGCAGACGGCGGTCCATATCGCCCGAGTCGGTCAAGATTGTCGTGTATAGTAAACAACTTGGCGCAGATCATTCTGTCTTGGAAACTGGAGCCTGCCCCATCTTGGCGGCTGGGCATGACCAGAGCTCACTCACAAAGCAGCACTCAGTGAGAGCGCGCGGTATCACCGAATCGAGCTGTCCACCCGGACCGAACTGCGTTGCCACCTGGGCACAAACCGATGCCGAGATACGCCCAGCTTCGGGGTCGGATATGTCTAAATATGCATCGTCGTTTGAAGTCAAAGAATTAGCACGTTTTCTGCCTTCTACTTGGCATCATGTCATAGCACATGTTATACGTAGGCAGGTTTGTTACCACGATACAATAATCTAGGCAAGGATTGTCTTGTTTACAGCAGACAGTCTTTCCGTTAAAGAATCAGAATTTAGCTAAGGGTTAGGTAACAACAGTTCAAAGTTGTATGTGATAAAATCGCATACCATTATGTTCGGTGATTATGACTTTATAGATCTGCAACTGGTGTGCTCTATCTGATAAATTCATAGTGTAGAGGAGTTGGGCCTTGGAAGGCCTGGCCAAGGCAATTAAAGATATCTAAGAGCATGTATGCCCATAGTTATCAGATATCAAATTCAGACTGTCTCGTATTCACGAAAAAAGCCCAGGCTGCAGTACAGAACTCGAAGTGGCTGCTACAAGTTCTCTCTCCCAGTGCTGATGGCTATTGTTGACCTCGAGGTAGTGGAATCCCGCCAGCCGCGTTCGTTGGATATTTCCAGGACCAGAGGGTTGCTGGTCTCCGTTGCTCCCAGTCATCGAATATGACTTCAATCCTTGAAAATTCCATCAAATTCAGATAGCCTGTTCGCCTGTCAGAACCCACGTTGCTGCCTAGTAGGGGGCAGCATGGCCCCCAACCTGGGTGAAATCTCTGTCCCTTCGTTCAAGTTGACCCTTATCTTTCCTGAACTCTTGAATCAACCTTGTCAGCTTCCAAATGGACCACCTTCGTGATTCCCTGCTGAGCGCTCTGCCTAGAGACACAGCTTCTACCGCAGCTATCGACCATGCTCGCAGAGATCGGGAGGGCACACGCCAGGCTGTCGCTCGGGGCGAATTCAAACAAGTCCGAGACATGGCCTTCAGTAACCGGACCTGGGTCGTGACCAGCCGATACTGCGATATCGGAGATGGTGTGGACTCCCTTGAAGGCCACATTCATTCCCTGTGGTATATGTACTGCGAACTTGGTCGGAGCATCTCCTCCTCGTCGCCTGAACATGAGGGAATAGTCCTCGATATCCTCCGCATTCAAGGAATGGGGCCGTTGACTAGACCTGCAAGTGGGGTCAATGGGATTGATATCGCAAGAACCGTCGACGGTACACTGTGGAACGATCTCCCCTTCTTAGTTGGGGATATGACTGATTTCTGGGTCAATCATGGTGCTTCCATGTCTGGAACACACCGTCTCAATTTTTCAACATTTCTGGCTAAACTTGCATCCACTCGTGTCGCTAAGGATAGACTGTGCCAAGTTGCTCTTCTGATCTTCCGTGCTCTCTTTGAAAGCCCTCAGGCACTTCGCACTGGGCAAGAGTCAGACGAGGAAGACCTCAACCGAGGCACCAAGCAGCTTGAGGTCTTCCATCTGCTACCAGCTGCTGTTTCATGGCTGAAAATAGCAAGCCACAACCTCCTGTTGCTGTCAGAAGTGTGCTGGAACGACTGCCCTAGCCACATCAGCAAGGGTGGGGAGGAGTTCCTCGAATCGCAGCTCGGACAGCGATCCCCTGTTGGATTCTCGCCATGGAGATACATGTTCTGGCTGAAGCGGCTGCATGAGATCCAGGAAGAAGCTAGGGAAGCCAATGAGAAAGCGCTGGAGGAGCTTGCCACGGATGGCATTCAGTACATGATCACTACAATCAAGCAGAGGAGGTCCGAGGTTCTCAGGGCTTATAAGAAGGGTGGCGACGCCCTGCATCAGGATAAGCATCTTTCGTGCCTAAAGTCCCTTGCACGCGTTGAGCCAGAGTCGTAGACTCTTCTCGGCCTCTTGCCTTTAATATCTAAAATCCAGTCCACAATAAATCTATCTAAATATCCTCGAATTATGCCATAAATAAGTGGTTGCAGTGTTAAATTGATATTTTGCCTTCAGCCTACCCACATTCCAGTGAATGACTCCAGAAACAAGAAGAGGGATGGTATTCTTAGATAGTTATAAAAAGGCATATAGACTGTCCCGAGTAGACGTTCAATAAATGACACATCGGATGTCGGCCACCTGTTCTTTACTTAACCTGGCCAACACAGATACAGTACCCTATCACGGCCAACTTGTTCGCCCACAAGAATGGTAAAATTGTGCCATATTCTGCTGAGGACTTACCTGAGTGGAGCCATGCAGATTTCATTGCATGGAACCATTGCTTTAACTGCTCTTTGGTGGTGGTATCTACCGGCACGAGTCTGTTCCATTCATTTCCTGGCACATTCCAATGTCCTTTTGCAGTATTGATATAAGGCCTTTACTAGCTTTTATAAGTTTAGTTTGATTAATATGATTTAGGCCATTATGGCCCTTACTCTAAGGCTTTGGACATATGTATAATCACGGCCTATGCTGTAGTATGGATTCCCTTGAGTCATGGATTTACTGTCAGATTGGCACTCCTATTATTCCACAAGCTGCTACCACATCTATCAGTGGCCCCAATCCTTTAAAAATAAAGATAAATATAGTCCAGATATTGAGGAGGGGCTGTGTTGAGGTCAGCACGCGGGCTGGCTCTATCTACACTAAACGACGTACTAGCAAAGGGGCCGAAACTGTCACCCTCAACTTACCCCTCGGTGGACCCATAACTTGCATTAGAATATTATACGCAAAAAGCACGGGCAATGGCGCGTGTGGAAATAATCCCCCATCTGGCCCTGGTACGGGATGGAAGAGCAACAAGACGAGGTTATCGCTGTACAGGGCAGATACGCATCTTGCTGTACTTCCTCTTAGCAACATTAGGCACGCAGTGGGGAAGTCACGCTGGTTAAGAGAACCGCACGCTGAGTCCTGGGTGCCAAGCTCGTCTCGGATTACGCCGTAAACCTGACAGCACGAGCGTAATTCCTATTGCGCCGGGCTTAGCTGCGTCTTGTTGGGGCGAGCGCGAAATGACCTTAGCAGAAATCCTGCACCAGTGGGCCAATGCCAGTAGCCAATAAATCAGACTAGCAATGCATGCCTCTTCTATCTCTGTGAGCTGTTGGTTAAACCACCGGCGTGCCTGCAGCACCAAGGACAGGAATCATGTCGGCTTTTCGCCAGGACAGCTTCACCCGATGCCACCGGCTTGTATCCAATTTAAAAGTGCTGCAGCCGTGTGGCCGTGCCTGGGCTGCGGCGATGAAGCTGAAAGCCTATATTAGTCCTCCCGGTCCTGACCAGACCAACGTACGTACATTCAGCGCGCGCAGACTGAAATAAATAAAACACAATGAGATCAAGTAAAGCCCAGCCCAGCAGCCGATCCACCGATCGCCGATACAGTGCTCGATACCTGATCCTCATCTACCGCGAGACCCGACCACACTTCGACCCGCTAGAAATCCAACGCCTGGTCGCACGCGAGCAAGGAAAATGCACGATCGTGCGACAGGCCGATAGCAACTATCTTGCCTTTGTGGACTTTGCTGGCAAGCGCTTCCAGACGCGGAATCTCGGCCTATTTGATATTCAGGGCTATCGCCCGAAATGGATCCACGTCACGTCGTCGCCGTGGCGGAATTTAGAGAAAATGATGGCCCAGGGTCATGTCTTGTGGAATGGAATTAGTCCTCGGCCTCAGAAACAGCCCTCTCCTCGCAAAAGAGGTCCTGGTAAGGAACCGGCTTCGTCCGGCCCGTGGGAACTGGTCGGGAGCGCAACAAACGAAGCGTCGCTGCAGGAGCTTTTGCAGAAGGAAATGGACTCGGAGCAATCAAAGGCCCCAGAACTACCGCTGGACTGCGTCCCCCTGGTCGGTGGCGAGACGGAGATGGCGCGGAATGTGCAATACTGGCAGGATGGCTATCGAGCGGGCTACAAGGCTGCTATATTAAACATTCACCAGCCTATGGCAAATTCTTCTTTAAGGTACTATCTTTTTCCTCTTGGTGGAGGCTTTGCTGACCTGTTTGCAGTACGATTGATCCACCCGGGGCTGATTCCCAGCTCTTCGTATCAAATGACTGCGACTCTGATGGCGCCGAATCAGCATGCCGTAGTCAATCTGCTTTCCCAGGCGATATCCTGGGCGAGGTCTCGCAGCTGGACTGGAATCTCGAGCTGGAGGATGTGTGGAATCAGCAGGTTGTTTGATGATATACTTTTTTTCTTTGCGATACCCAGGGGCATTATCAGCTAGTCTTTTACATCAAACATAAAGAAGATTTTCATTTTAAGCCAGCAGTATTGTGTAGCAACCGTGTGCTAGAGAGATAATGTCCACACCAACAACAACCACCATTTGTAGATGATCAAGTCTAAGCAAACGAACCAGAAGACCTTGTTGAGACCACCGAGCTCGTCTGTGATTTTGGGGATTGCGGTGCCTATAATGGTCTGTGGAGAGTCAGAAAGGGTTGGTGGGTAGGGTAGTTAGGGCTGACTTGATCGAGAGATATCAGGAAGATGGCAAGAATCACAGCCACAACGATAAGAGCGAGACTGATACCCGTAGGGTGTTCCTCGGGCTCTGATTAACAAGCAAAATTGCTTGATTCACAATCAGAATTCTTTGTTGATCGGACAGGAGTTGATCCCTGCTAATCTAGTCGAGCACAGTCAAGACAATGATACACACCGTTCGGGGTCCGCGGGTGCGGTCTGGGTAGATGATCCGAATATATCTCACTTAATAAGAGATTGGCAAATATTATCTGGAACAATAAAGGTAGTAAAATAGTACTCTGTCACACGAGAAATGCTTAGGCGTGACAGGCTGTCACAGATGAGCCGTGTCCCATTCGAGTCTCGGAATCGAGAGCGAGACAGGAACTTCAATTTGCGAGACATAAAAGGAATAGAAGACAGGCTAACGCACTATTTCGACTTCTTTAGTTGAAACGACGTTCCAGCCATGGGTACAGAGCAGATCGAGCTGAAGGAGAGCACACAGCTCTCCAAGCGCTTCTATTTCGCCTTCTTCTCCATGTCTGTTCTGGCACTGGCTGCTGCTCTTTCAATAACGTCGGTCTCTATTGCGCTCAAGGTAAGGCACATTCTGGCGATGCATTTCCTTGCTAACTGCTGCAGACAATCGCCCAGGACTTCCAGCTGTCCACGCCGCGGACTTTCTGGCTGGGAACATCAACTGCCCTCACCTCGACGATCATCCAGCCCTGCTGTGCAACATTGGCCGATGTTTTTGGCCGCAAAGTCGCGTTGACAGGCAGTGCGCTGCTCCTTACTGTTGGCTCGCTGATGGGGGCTCTCGCGCCGAACTATGCAACAATTCTCGCAGGACGGACATTACAGGGTCTTGGATCAGGGGGGATCTCTGCCCTGACTGATATTATCGTCACGGATCTCGTTCCATTGCGCGTCCGGGGCAAGTGGTTCGCTTTCATCAGCGTGCCCTGGGCCATTGGGACGACAATAGGACCTGTCCTCTCTGGCATTCTCACGACGGGAGGATCATGGGTAAGACCATAATGTATTTTTTACTTCTTCTTCTAACGTAATCAGCGATGGGTTTTTGGAATCAACGTCATCGCCACTACAAGCGCAGCCGTCGCCTGCTGGATTGCATTGCCGCAAATACCCAGCGCTCAGCATACTGTGTCAACCCTCGTCCAGGTAGACCTTGCTGGATTCCTGTTGCTGTCGCTGTCGTTGGTGGCTATTCTCGTGCCCATCATGCAGGCTTCGGTCGTATACCCCTGGGATGACGCGCATACTCTGGCGCCGCTCATTATCGGCGTCTTGGGGCTTTGTTTCTTCCTCCTCTACGAGCAATACTGGGCTCGTAACCCCCTTATTCCCCTCGCGCAGTTCCAAAACCGCACCTGTCTGCTCACGTTCTTCTGCTCCATGCTGCACGGTATGGCCCTGTGGTGTATCATGTACTACCTGCCCGTCTACTACGAGACCATCAAAGGGTTCAGCAGTCTCGACAGCGGACTGGCCGTGCTACCCGAGACTCTAACACTAGTCCCTGCGTCTATTCTCATCGGCTACCTGGTGAGCTGGAGCGGCAGTTACAGATGGGCGATATGGCTCGGTTGGGCCGTGTCGACCTTGGGTTCGGCGCTCTTATATCTTCTCGCCCCTGAAACCTCGAAAGGCGCATGGATCGCCCTCAATCTGCCTGTCGGAGCGGGCATGGGTCTTTTATTCGGTGCAATGGGGTTTGCAGTGCAGGCTGCTGTAGATCCTGGGCGGGTGTCGTTGGCTGTGGCCCTGTATTCGTTCTGGCGCTCATTTGGTGCTGTAAGTCTTGCTATCGAAACTGCCTTCGTTGTCTAATGCCGATCTGCAGGCTATTGGGATCTCAGTCGGCAGTGCTATTGTATCTAGTGCCGAATCCTCGTCTCCAGCTGCAGCCTTGATTGATTCGATGAATGCACTACGGCGTGTTTGGATCTTCTGCGCTGTTGCGTGTGCTGTTGCCCTGGTGGGGAGCCTTGGGATTGAGTCTCTCTCGCTGGATGCGCCTTTGAAGAGAAAGGATTCATCTAGTGATGATGCTGTATAGAATGTTAACTGCATTGGCAAAATTGTATACACTTTAGATGCTGGAATAGAATAATATCAGGTCAAACTTCTATCTTGCCGTTTATTGACTATGTTCATCTGCTGTACCGATATTCAGATATTTGGATAGCTAGAGTTCCATTCGCACCCTCGATAACTGTATACCACGATATACAACCCGATCGACTATCAATCTATTGAAATGAATATTCTCCCTTATATTTCAACCAACGCAGACATACCTCCGTACTCGCCTACATCCTGACGACGACCCGGCTCTCCGACGAAAGAGATAATATCGTCTCCGGGAATCCCAACGAGTCGTACCTGGAGCAAGAATGAGACTCTGCAGTTCGCCATGGAGAATATACTTACCTCGCCTGGGGTGGTAGGTGTTCACCGTGACGACCAGAAAGTCGTGTGGCTGTGGCATTGGAAATATCATTTAATGATCAGATAACCACTGGAGCTGAATCTGTGGGTTATCCCTATAAGATATTCCAATGGTCCTAGGCTGTGCTGCTGCATGTAGACAGATGAGCCAGCTGGCACGACGGCCCCAATCACAAATAGTGACTGTCATATCTGACACTCCTTCTTGGGTCACTGTCACTGTCACTGTATCTGTATTTGAGTCTGTTGGCACAACTGAGAAGCAGTAAATTGCCAGTTTACTCGATGTATACAACAATGCTCAAGCGAGAAAGAATCCTGCGTGCCAGGGACGACCGACTCGAGACTCAAAATACCCCGTACAACAGAAGGCAGGGCAAGATATAAACCGGATGGACGTCCTTGCTTTCATGAACAGAAACGAAGTCAGTCACTATGGATGTCAATAACTCTCTGCTCTGGAGCGCTGGGCCTGGGCCCATTCCCACTGTCGACCACGCCCAACCTGTCGTTCATAATCCGATTCTTTTGCTTATCCCAGTGACAATATTCCTTGTCACACTCCCAAGCTTATTCCAGAAGCCTCCCCAGGTCTATGATAAACCCCGGTGGTACCCCCACAAAGACCCAATCCTCGGCCTCGACGTCCTGTTCGATATCGCCCAGTCGGTGTATAACCACCGCTTCCTTACATTCACTGCAGATCTCATTAACCGATTCAACGGGACAATCACATATCTGAGCCTCGGGCGACAGGCAGTCTACACAATCGACCCGGCCAATATACACGCGATGCTGGTCGATCGCACCCACAGCCAGGACTTTGGGCTGGGCCCTACGCGGCGCCGGAACTGGAAGCCGTTGTTTGGCAGTGGTATTTTCAACTCGGACGGGGTGACTTGGAAGGTAAATCTTCCTTGTTTGTTTCTAGTAGCTATCCTAATTAAGAATGGACAGCACCACCGCAGCACATTACGGCCTGCGTTGTCTCATGCTGGACCGGATATGCTTGAAGTCTTCGAGACGCATCTACAGGTACTTATACGATTAGTCCCGGATGGAAGGACGGTTGATCTGCAGCGGATATTCCATGCGTTGACGCTGGATGTCTCGACGCATCTCTTCCTGGGGGCATCGACCGAGATCCTGCCGTCGCTGTTTGGGTCTGACAGTGATGGCTCGCGCGGGCGGGAATTTGCGGCGGCGTTCGAGTATGCCCAGCGCGCTGTTTCGGGGATTGATGATTTCAGCTTGTCTGGGATTTGCTGGAGGTTTGTGTTTGGGGATGCGCGGCTGGATCGGGCTTTGCGGACTGTGCATGCGTTCATTGATGAGGCTATTGATCATGCCAGTGGGGGTTTCACTGCTGGTTCTGGGCAGGTTCTTCTTTACAAACTCCTTAATGAAGGCAGGTCGAGGGAGGATATCAAATACGACATGATCAATCTGCTGGCCGCGGGCAAGGACAGCATGACCTCATTCATGGGCTCGATCTGGTATATTCTCTGTCAGAGACAGGATATTCTGGAGAATCTTCGTGCGGAAATCAGTGTTCTGCATGGCCAGCCTCCGACAATAGAGCAGCTTTCCAAGCTCACTTACCTGCACATGGTCCTGCAAGAAGGTATTTCTCCCCCCCCCCCTTTTTTTTTTCAGAGCTAGTGCTTATTACTTCCAGTCCTCCGGCTATACCCCCCAGTGGCAGCTAACCAGCGCACCGCCGAAGTGGACACATTCCTCCCTCGTGGTGGAGGAGCAGATGGGAAATCGCCTATGCGCGTTCCCCGCGGAGCATCCGTAGGCTACTCGGTGTATGCAATGCACAGGATGCCAGAGTTCTTCGGCCCAGACGCCGATGAGTTCCGGCCTGAGCGGTGGGTAGACATTGGTGTCAGGCCCAAGGCGTACATGCCTTTCCATGCTGGGGCGCGCACTTGCTTAGGGCGTATGTTGCACTCTTATATTTATTGATTGAATGCTGATGGGGGTAGAACATCTTGCGTTGGCGCTGGGCAAGTACTCGACGGTTAGGCTGGTGCAGTGCTATCAGAGGGTGGAGAATCGGAATGAACTGCCGTGGGAGGAGAAGTTGGGGTTGAATTGCAGCTCGAGGCATGGAGTGCTGGTAGGGTTGTCTCAGTGTGTTTCGTAGATTTGTATATTTCCTTTCACATATAAACATATATTGTTTGTTACAGCCATACTTTCTACCACCACCCAGAATCTGTGTATTTAATTCGAGGCTTTAAATAAGAATAGTTTTTATACATGCGATATGCAAGTATAAACCAGGCCGGTAGACACTGGAGACAGGAGCAGATCTTGCCTCATTTCACGGGATAAAACTTTCCCCTTGGCACGATATAATCATATGATTAACAGGACGGACCCAATAGCAGTCTGCCGAGACAGTGGAAGCGCAACATGTCGACCGATTGGTCAAGGTGTATAAATGAGGATGCGCTGCTGGCTTATTGTCTCTGGTATAGCTCTTAGAAGAGCCCTTGGCGACGCGTGTTCTGGCGCCTCATCAAACCTATTTGATAGATCCCTGTCCGGCCTATAACGGTTGATGGTTCAACGGACATGGCCATGGGACGCCTCACCTGGCTTATGGCTATGGGACGCCTCACCTGGCTGGAGAAGTACTTACCAGTGATTCTTCCCACGTTACAGCAGCTACGCAGCTACACTTCATCACAGCACAGAACATGTCCAAGTACCAAATCCCCAAAGAGTTCCAAGACCAGCTCGAGCCCGCCGAGCCGCTCGACACCCGCAGCGACGAAGCAATCCTCGCCTCGCTCTCCAAACACCGCCCGGTGACCTCGGAGAAGAACATCTGGGCCTACTGGCACGCCGGGGTCGAGGCAATGCCGAAATGGTGCCAGCGAAACATCATCGACTGGCACCGCATCTGCGGGCCCTCGTGGACAGTCCGCGTGCTCGACAACGTCCCGGACTCCCCCAACCACGCACTCAAGACCATCCCTCCGGAAATGCTGCCAGAGACATTCGTCAGGGGCACCATGGCCGGCCAGTACGTGGGCCCCCACAGCGCAGACTTCCTCCGCGGCGCATGTCTCTACCTCTTCGGCGGCGTCTTCATGGACGTCGGCATCATCCTCATCCGCTCCCTCGACCGCATCTGCTGGTCCCAGCTCGAAGACCCTGAGTCACCCTACAGCATCAGCGTCCCCAGGATGTACGACACGGCCATGGCAAACCACTTCGTCGCAAGCCGCAAGGCCGACCCCTTCATACAGCGCTGGCACGAACTCTTCGTGCAAGTCTGGAAAGACCGCACAAGCTACCAGGGGATGTGCCAGAACCCGCTTTTCGCCTTCATGCGGGACGAGGGGTTTGGTGCGTCCCAGGAGCGAGGCTTCACCTGGGAATGGGCCGTGACGCCTACCACGGTCTTCGAGTACATCACCCAGGTCCTGGCCTGGATGCGGCTGACGATGCTCGAGGACGCGGGCGACGGATTCAGCGGCGTCGACTACGCCATGAACCAGGTGCTATGGTTCGACGTGATCGTTGAGAACTGGGGTATTGAATCGAAGATCGGGTTCAAGGGTGAAGACGCGTTTAAGCTGCTTGCGACCCGGTTGGATGCGGATCCGGAATCGGAGGAGTATAAGAAGGCTTATGCCATCGTGTGGCACTGTTTGGCGCAGAGTAGTATGCAGAAAGTCACGCATGCGAAGAACTTGACCAAGACGCCCGCGCTGGGCGCGCTTTGGGATATGGAGGAGAATGAGGGGGCACATGGTGAGGGGACTTTTGCGGACCTTTTGAGATACGGAGCGACGAGATTCAGGCAGAAGAGGGAGGAGATTGCGGTGGTGCAGATAGAGAGGCCGGTGACGATGCGGAAGGGGCTTTATGAGCCGTGATGCAGAATATTGAATAGTTTATCCATATCATAGTATGATAGATATTAAATGAAGTTATACACGCGATATGCAGGTATAAATCTGGCGAGCCGAGGTGGAGAGTGGAGCATCAGATTCTGTGCCGATACCCGACCATCCAAGGATACTATATATAAAGATCTGTCAGATCTGCCAGATCGTGGTATCTGACTTGGCACATACTCAAAGATGACAGACGTCGAGAAACAGGCCACGGACAATGTCCTGGTCGAGTTTGACGGCCCTGACGATCCAGAGAATCCCTTCAACTGGCCCACCTGGAAGAAAATGCGCCAGCTGGTCCTGATGGCTTTTAATACCTTCATAACGTACGTAACGCTCTAATAGTATTCTACAAATCTAACGAGACAGTCCCCTGGCATCATCCATGTTCGCCCCCGGCGTCGGCGAAGTCATGAAAGATTTCAACATCGGCAGCACCATGCTCGGCTCTTTTGTAGTGTCTGTCTATATCCTGGGCTACTCCTTCGGGCCGTTTCTGATCGCCCCGATCTCTGAAATCTACGGCCGCGTCATGCTGTACCACGTCTGCAATCTACTCTTCCTCATCTTCACCATCGCCTGCGCAGTGGCCCAGACCATGCCGCAGCTGATCGTCTTCCGTTTGCTGGCTGGCATGGCAGGTGTCTGCCCTTTAACGATCGGCTCTGGCACCGTCGCCGACATGGTCCCTAAAGAGAAACGCGCCGGTATCATGGCCATCTGGGCAATGGGGCCTATCCTTGGCCCAGTCGTCGGACCAGTCGCCGGCGGCTTCCTAGCTGAAGCAGAGGGCTGGCGCTGGGTATTCTGGGTCATTGCCATTACAGTACGTCCTATATACATTCTATCCTATCCTTCAGAAACTAAGAGATAGACCGGGGTCATGATGATCCTAACCATAATCTGGTATCGCGAATCCTACGCCCCTGTAGTCTTGAAACGCAAAGCCGCGCGTCTCCGCAAGGCCACAGGAAACCCTAACCTCCGCTCCGCGCACGAAGTAGAGGAATTCACCGCGCAGCTGTTCCTGTCTGCTCTGGCACGTCCGGTAAAGCTCCTCTTCGGCTCGCCTATTGTGTTCCTGATGGCTCTCTTCGCTGCAACGACCTACGGCTATCTCTATCTCATGTTCACGACCATCACGTCGATCTTCGAGACGGAATACGGCTTTTCACCCGGTGTGGCAGGCCTGTCATATCTCGGCTTCGGAATCGGGAGTATGCTCGGCCTCGTCGTGACAGGAATCGTATCAAACCGCATCGCCGCACTACATATAAGACAAGGCCGGTTCACCCCTGAATCCCGGCTATTACCCATGATGGTGGGGTGCTGGTTCATGCCCGCCGGGCTATTCTGGTACGGCTGGGCCGCGGAGTCGGGAACGCACTGGATCGTGCCGATATTGGGGACTGGTGTGTTTGCTGTTGGGCTTATGGTCGTGTTTATGTGTGTCAGCACGTATCTGGTGGATTCGTATCTGCGGTATGCGGCGTCGGTGACGGCGGCGAATACGGTGCTGAGATCGCTGGTTGGGGCGCTTTTGCCGCTGGCTGGGCCGGACATGTATGAGGCGTTGGGGCTGGGGTGGGGGAATTCGTTGCTGGCGTTTATTGCGCTGGCGATGTGTGTGGTGCCGTTTGTTTTTTGGAGGTTTGGGGAGAGGATTCGCACGGATAAGAGGTTTCAGGTGAAGTTGTAATATTAAAGTAAAAGTACCGAATAGATTAGTATTAAGCATACCCTGAGCAACTTATATTAAAGACTAGATTGAATAGATAAGACCGAGTGTTATGAGAGCTCCGCTACGCTACCATTAGCACAGGCTTCCATATTTCTTCACAACCAGCAGCCTAAGAACCGGTTCCTCGTCATAAACATCATCCGCATCACCTTGTACATTCATGCATTTGTCCCACAAGCTTCAGGCGCTCCCCTATATTCCCTGCTAATGCAAATAAAAATACCGATATTCCGACTCGGGCTTGTCTCTCTTGTCCAAGCAGTAGTAAGTAATGTGTAATTAGGGCTAATTTAAACTCTTCCCAACAAAGTCCAGTCTAGTCCAAAATATCATTAAATAGTACGATACCCATCCAGAATAAGTTTATATATCATACTATCAAGCACTCGCATCAACAGCCGAGACAAGCGGCCACTCTGTATCCACACCCACACCCACACCCACATCATACCCGTAGCAATCCAGCGTCTGCAGTGTTTTTGGTGATAATGGTGCAATCTCACTATCAAACGTGCCACTCGCGTCTATATCTGTACAACTATGACTATAACCCGGGGGACTCGGGACGTTAAAAAATGCGGCCTCGATGTCGCTTTGGAAAGGAGTGCCGTCGCTAATGTTTATCGATGGTAGAGCTATGTCGTTATCAATTAGAGAAGTCCTGTCCTGGTTCTGGCCCGGTCGATGGTGATGGCCATGCGTAGTACTGCTACTGCTACAAGGGTTAGTATCCAAACTCCCAAAAACCCCCGCAACCAAACGACCCTGGTGATTCAGCTCGCGCCGCGCGCGAACCTCCACGTATCTATGACAGGCATCCCTGAAACTATCCACGATAGCGAGGTGGTTCTTCGTCGCGGCGTCGTGGGGCGCGAATCTAGCCAGGACGCAGCGCGCGTTTTGCAGGCTGTCGTGTAGAGGCAGGGTGTTGTCCATGTCGGCAAAGATGGCGAGGCCGAGGACGAGCGCGGAGAGGAATGCCGAGTTGGTGATTAGGGGGAGGCGTTTGGGAATGTGCAGGGTTGGGTTTGAGAGGGTGGTTAGGAGGGTGCTTGTGCGGATTGCGGAGTCGATGCAGGCGGTGGCGAGGATGTTTGACGCTGATGTTGGTGCTGTATGTGAGAATTTATCAATGAGGACAGGCTGCGTGAGGAGCATGACAGTCCAATAGTAGGCCTCTTTCAGCTGGATGAGGCCGAGATTCGGGACGCGGCCGCGGTCTGTCTCGAGGGATTCCGAGTCTGGGATGCCGTCTGTCTTGAGGCCCTCGGGGAAGCGGGAGGTCCAGCCGCGGTGGAGATGGGTGATCCAGGCCAAGGCCTCTTTCGTGACGGTGCGCTTTGCGTAGATCTGGGTTAGGATGGTTTCGAAGATGAAGCAGAGGTCGTTCGAGGCGGAGTAATTGTCTTGCGCTGTTGTGTCGCGGGTTTCGGTCGTGGACGGGGGTCGGCCGAGGGAGGCGCTCGTGAATAGATCGAGGATTCGAATTGCGCGCCAGAGACGTTCGCGTGTGCAATATTCAGATGGAGAGTAGAGTGCTGAGACGTCTTGTTTGTGCAGGCCAAGAGCGTAGGCTGCCCGGACTGCAGTGCCGAGATACATGAATGCCGAGTTCCTGCGTGATCCTGCGAGGAGGTACATGGTGATGAGGACGTGGCATTGGATGGTTATAATGGTGGGATCTTCCATGAATGTCGTCAAGGTGATATACCGGCCGTGGTTGAAGTATCTCTCTGCCGTCTCGTCTCTGTCCTCAGGGCACGACTGGGCCCCGAGGGCAAGAACCAGATAGTACATCGCACTTGAACCTGAGTCTGAATCTTGTAGACATTGGCACCAGTCATTCAGACCTCGAGTGAGTTCCTGCTGGTCGATGAGATTGAGAAGACAGTTCGTCGCCAGGTTGAACCAATGTATGAGGTAGTCTGCGTCCTGCGGCGTCGGCTTTGCAGGACTGGGGGCAGCTGGACCATCATTAAAATTTCGCTGATGAACTTCATTCTTCTGCAAAGAATAATCCATGAAATCATAAGCCAGCACAGAATGCACAATGCGCCGGGCATTGTGCAGGAACGACAAGGTCGCGGCGTCTCCAATGTACATGTAAGTGCCGCGCTCGTCCTGTGCCAATGCCGGCAGCTGGGGGAATGGACGAGCACACTGGTCTATTGTATTGTCCAGGCTGAATTCTGGGCTTGAAACCAGCGAGTCTGTCGGGGCTATGATCTTGCAGTCCGAGTCGACGCCCCTGGCCATGCAGCGCTGGCAGGGTTGGCGGCCATCGCAGCGTTCCTTGCGTCGCTTGCACGTCTCGCAGGCCCGGAGGCACCGTCGGCGATCGCCTCTCCGCGACCTCTCTGGTGGCATATCTGGTAGTTGTCAGCTGGTGGAAGTGGGAGTCGGAAATGCAGGCGGGGTGGTGGATTGTGGATTGTGGGGTATTTGCGGGGGAATATTTCTGTCAATCCCGCAGCGAATGGGAATTCAATTGAAATTCTCAGCAGCGAATGGGAATTCATATTGAAATTGGCTCAGGCTTCGGATCTTCCGATGGCTCTTCCCGATGCTCTGGCAGCCGATACTGGTAGATGCGATCCGATATCGTCTGGTATAAAAGCAACATCTCAGCAATGTATCCATCGGCAGAATTATCCAATTCACAATGAGTTCAATCAGCACAGGTGAGTCTGGCAATAACATCTACTCGCAATTATACTGACAAACAGACAATCACACTCACCTAGTAGAGCAGCCCCTCTACACGCCGCGGAGGCTGCGAGTCGTCTGCATCGGAGCGGGATACGCAGGGCTAATGCTGGCGTATAAATGGAAGAATCAGCCTGGAATGCGCGACTTTATTGACCTGGCAATATACGAGAAGAACCCCGATGTGGGCGGCACCTGGTTCGAGAACAGGTACCCGGGGGTTGCATGCGATGTATACGACAAACAGCACAAGATGGGCATAAACTGACTAACTACTGTAGGTCCCAGCGCATATTTATACCTTCCCATTCGAACCAAACCCAGACTGGTCCTCGTTCTATGCCGCCGGGTCCGAGATCTGGGAGTATATCAAGCGGACCACGGTCAAATATAACCTCGACGAGCGCGTGCAGTTCAATTCAAGAGTCTCATCAACAATCTGGGACGATGAGGCTGGAAAATGGAACATCCAAATTCAACACAATGACACCACCCAACAAGACACCGCCGACATCGTCATCAACGCCTCCGGGATCCTCAACAAATGGACCTGGCCCAGCATCCCAGGGCTCCAGTCCTACCGCGGGAAACTCGTCCACAGCGCCGCCTGGGACGAAACACTAGACTGGACGAACAAGCGCGTTGCAATCATCGGCAACGGCTCCTCTGCTATCCAGATCCTCCCTCAGATGCAGTCCAGCGCCGCGCACATCACGACCTACGTCCGCAGCGCGACCTGGATTGCATCGAACTTTGCCGCCGAGTTTACGCCTGATGGTAAGAACTTCCAGTACAGCGAGGCGCAGAAGAAGGAATTCAGGGAGGACCCTGACGCTCTCTTCCGGGTGAGAAAGACGGTTGAACATGGCTTCAATAAACAGTTTCTTACCTTTCTCCGGGACAGTCCTGAGCAAGCGGCTGCGTATCAGGGGTTCAAGGAGACAATGGAGAAGAGACTCAGGAATGACCCGTCGCTGTGCGAGAAACTCATTCCGTCCTGGCAGGTTGGGTGTCGGCGGATCACGCCAGGGGACGGATACCTTGAGGCGCTGCAAGAGCAGAATGTCTCTGTCGAGTCCCGGCCTATCGAGGAGGTTACAGAAAAGGGTATCCGGACACACAAATCGACGGAGGCGGAAGAGCTCGACATCATCGTCTGCGCGACGGGGTTCGACACTACGTTTTCCCCGTCGTGGGAACTGGCTGGGAAGGACGGGATCCGGCTGGCTGATCAATGGCGAGACATTCCCGAGGCGTATTTCGGGATCTGTGCATCGAACATGCCGAATTACTTTATCTTCAATGGACCGAATTGCCCTGTTGGGCATGGAAGTCTATTGGCGGCCATGGATGCGACGGCGGACTGGGTCTTGCGCTGGTGCAGGAAGATTGCCAGGGAGGATATCAAGTACGTCAACAGCTACACTATTACAACTATTACCGAGCTAATGATGTTCAGATCTGCGACAGTCAAGCCCAGGGCAGTGAGCGATTATAACGCGTACACGCAAGAGTTCCACCGGCACAAGACTGTATGGGCGGGTGGATGCTCTTCGTGGTACAAGAGTGGTGGGACAGTGACGGCGATGTACGCTGGCAGTGTCCTGCACTATAAGGAGATCCTGCAAGAGTTCCGGGTCGAAGACTTTGATATCGAGTACAGGAGTTGCAACCGGTTCAGGTTCATGGGCAACGGGCTGACCATTCGGGAGACCTCGGGGGGAGACTTGGCCTACTATGTGTACAAATGAGCATCACTGCCTGTTCAATCCAGACAGAAACCCAATTAATTCACTCGTGAATAACGTCATATCCAGATTTGAGCAACTTCAGGATCGCCAGATCGCCTCGACTAAACTCTTGACTTCACTCCTGAGCGGCAGATCTGCACGGCTTGTTTTCTCGTCTGAACGATGCGGATCAGGTCCACTGACCGGGTGAATCCGTCCAGGCTTGTGTTGGTGATCGGAGATGGTGTGATTGCTGATTAATCGCTCCACGGACTCACTTGGAGTAACTGTCTACTTAACACACTCCCTGCTCTTGACCACTATACCAGGGTAACCAGATATGAAGCCCGAGTCTTTGAGCCAGCCCGTTCAAGGCCATCCCGATCATGGCCAGCCCATCGTCCTGGACGACCATGAGAACCCGCGGCAATGGCCTGCAGCGAAGAAATGTACGCTTGCCAGTATACCTATTTGACTGTCTAATGTTGACTGTCCAGGGACCTGCACTCTGATTGTGGCCTCGATGACTGCGACGGTGGCCTTCTGCTCGAGTATCTACACTGCCGCCATTGACAATATCAAAGATGACTTCAACTGCTCCGACACGGTGGGCACTCTCGGGGTCACCACCTTTCTCCTGGGCTTCGGCTCCGGCTCTCTCTTGTTTGCTCCTCTCTCAGAGCTTTGGTACGCTTCTATTCATCTCATTTAAGACATGGCTAACGCGCGCAGGGGCCGCCAGCCAATCTACAGACTGACCATGGGCTTGTTCTGCGTCTTCCAGATCGCCTGCGCAGTCTCGCCCAACATTGCAGCTCTGATCGTGTTCCGCTTCTTCGCTGGCTTCTTTGGATCCCCAACAGTTACAAACTCGGGCGGCTCCATCACCGATATCTGGCCGCAGAGCCACCGCTCCGTGCCCATGGCCTTCTTCTCCGCGGGCAGTTTCCTCGGCCCCGTAACCGCCCCGATCATGGGCGGCTTCATCTCGCAATACACCTCCTGGTGCTGGAACTTCTGGGTCGTCCTCATCATCAGCGGCGTCGTCTACGCCGCAGTCATCTTCCTCCTCCCCGAGACATACCCTGCGTATCTTCTCCAACAGAAAGCCCGCAAACTCGGCCGCGCAAGCGAAGTCACCCCCAGCCACAGCCCCAAGGAACAGCTCCGCAACAGCCTCATCCGCCCATGGCTCATGCTGTGCACCGAGCCCATCCTCTTCCTCCTCTCCCTCTACATGGCCCTCATCTACGGCATCCTCTACCTCGACTTCACAGCCTACCCCATCGTCTACAAGCAGTCCCGCAACTGGTCCGCGGGAATCGCAGGCCTCTCCTTCCTCGGCATCGGCGTCGGCATGGCCCTCGCTACAATCGCCTCCCCCTACATCAACGTCATCCACGCCCGCTTCGTCACCCGCCTCGGTGGCCCACAGCCAGAAGCACGCCTCCCGCATCTAATCCCCCTCGCCTGGCTCATCCCCGCCAGCCTCTTCTGGTTCGGCTGGTCCGCTGAACCGCCTACCCACTGGATCTGCGGCATAATCGCCGGCGCTCCATTCGGTTTTACGCTCATCGTCCTCTTCCTAGGGATAATGGCATATCTAACAGACTGCTACGGCCCATTCGGGGCAAGTGCGCTGGCGGCGAATAACGTGCTGCGCTCGATCTTCGGCGCTGTCTTTCCGCTGTTTGCGGGGGAGATGTATTCCGGGCTGGGCGTGGCTTGGGCGACGAGTGTGTTGGCGTTTGTGGCGCTGGCGTTGACGCCGTTGCCGTGGGTGTTTTATCGTTTTGGGCCACGGATTAGGGGGCGGAGTACATATCATCTGAAGACTAAGGATATGCCGGAGTAGACTCGGCTAATTACTAGTAAATGATATCAAGTATACAGGTATTCACGGAAAGTCGATAACGCACTAACCACACCAAGTAGAGTAGAAACACCAAGGAGAGTAGAAAGGAGAGTAGAATTAAAATAGAACCAATGACCTCATGGAAAGCACAAACCAAAACATCACAGACTACAATTCAAGCAACGGAAAAAGCAAGCGCCCCGACGAATAATTTCGGCTGACGCGCAAACTCCTCAAATCCAACTCAACTCGGTCCGTGGAACAGCACAGCACAGACCAGGCAGCACGGCCGACGTGCCGAGCACCCTCTACCGAGCACGGTATTCGTACTCAAGGGGCCGAGACACTGACGCCATTAGTAGTACGTACCTAGTCGGAACTACGGATACGGTGTACATGGTAGATCCTTCTGGGCCAGGGGGATCCGGTTAGGGCAAACGCCTGATCGTCCGGTCCGGGCTGGCTAAGCACTTTGCCTCGCTAGCGTTTCCACTCTCCAGCAGGCTTCAGTTTTGCTTAAGCTTTTGGTTCTAGATTTGGTTCCGGTTTGGTCCGGTGCACGTTGTTATTTGGCTGTTGGGTTGTGGATTAGTTGTGGCTGTTTGCTGGTTGCTCGTGGTTCTGCGTGTGGCATACCATGCTACTAGGTTGGCCATGGGATACTACGGATTGCGTGTCTTCTCTTTCTACTGCTAACACCAAGCCAGATAGGTCTGTAGACCTTACTACGGGGTCCTCTTCAACTAACAGACCGCAATGGGCATTTTCGGAACCAGGTCAGTGAGTGGACAGTGGACCTCAGCCCAACCACAGGTCCATTTGCATCTCGCATCCCGTATCCGTATTCCCATTTGCCCTCCGTTTGCATATCATTTGCTTGTTTTTTCTTGCGTGATCCGTAGATCGTAGATCAACTCATCAAGTCGACTCAGTGATCGTAGCCATTCCACAGTACACGCCATAGAGTTCAGGTTCAGCTCCACCATAGGTATTCATAAAAGTTCCGAGGAAAGGAGCTGAAATCCATCCGAACCGTCTTTTCTGACTAGCCACCTCTCTGCAAGGTAGTTGTCAAGGTCCAGGCCTTTCACCTTCCAATCACGGACTTGAGCTGAGCCACGGTTTGATCGTCTGGTGATGGAAGTGGGATGGCGAGCTGTACGGAGTAGATATCCGATTATCGACCTTCCTTTGACGGTTGTGCGGTTTTCTAGCGCTAATTCAGTTTCCATAACTTTTGCCTTGTAGTTGATGGTGTTGTGGTTTTTGTGCGCTGTTGTGACCCTGATATGTGCATGTTCAGCCATATACTGGCATTCTTTTATCAATAGAGAATTATTCATGTTAGTACTTTTCATATTCTTAGTATTGTTGTCTTGTTCGTGTGCAGCCTCAGCTATGCAAGAGATGGGTCTGCGGTTAGCACTCGATGATTGACAATTTATCGTCATCTTGCGTACACTGCGCAATTTTCGAGCTGATGGACGATCTCTGGTTTGCATGTGCTGCCAGTCTTTTAGTTATAAATCGGTTGAAAGTGCTCGGATCGGATTTCCAGACTCCAATTAAGTTCCACAGGGTTATCTCGAGTTCCCTTTCTTCCTTGGTTTTATTCTCTTGTTTAATATTTGATATGGACGTTGGTGTTGTTGGTGCTGGGGTTTCCGGCCTCTATACTGCGCTCATTCTTCAACGGCAAGGCCACAATGTGACCGTCTTCGAGGCGAACTCGAGAATTGGAGGCCGGATATATACCCACCGCTTTAAGCCCCTGAACAAAGGCGAGGATGTGTACTTTGAGGCTGGCGCCATGCGTCTCCCCCGGTCGAGGTTACATGACCGCGTCTTCCGCTTCATCGACTACCTCAACGCCAACGGCCGGTCCGAGGATAAAGTCGAGCTGATCCCCTACATCATTGAACACGAGAACAACGGCGCCTATGTCTATGGCCACAAGGGTGACGTCGCTGGCAGTGAGCATGCAGGTCTTCTCGACTTACCTTCACCGTTCAAGGGCAAGTCCGCGCGCAGCCTCCTGGGCGAGGCCGTGATCCCCTGGCTCCGGCTGCTGGAGCAGGACTTTGACAAGGGATTCGAGAAGGTCATGGAGTACGACATGATGTCCTTCCGCAGCTATCTCCATCTCGTGCTCAAGTGGCCGCACGAGGTCATCGAGTTCGTCGAGCTCATGTCCAGCCAAACAAACCAGTACGACCTCAGCTTCGTCGAGATCATCATGCAGAACATGGACTTTGGCGTCAAGCACTGGGCCACCGTCCGCAACGGCATGTCGCGCTTCACCCAGGCCGCCGCCAACCTCGTCGGCCTCGAAAACATCCACCTCAACGCCCCCGTCGACCGCCTCATCCCATCTCCAACCGACGGCCGAGTCACCATCCACACCCGCGGTCCCACCCCTCACACCAGCACCTTTGACAAAGTCGTCCTCGCCATCCCTCCAGCCGCCGTCCAGGGCATCCGCGAACGCCCCACCTGGTCCTTCATGAAAGAACAAGCCATCCGCAGCGCCCACTTCGAACCCCTCTACAAGCTCGGCCTGCACTTCCGCACCCGCTTCTGGGAACACATCCCCTCCCCTTCCTTCGGCGGGCAAAGCACCACAGACCTCCGCTTCCGCTGGATCGTATACCCCTCCAACGACCTCGGCAGCGACACCTCAGGCGTCCTCCTCCTCTACTGCTGGATGAACGACGCCTACCGCATCCAATCCATGCAGCCCGAGCAGCGCGTCAGACTAGCCCTGCACGACCTCCAGCGCTTCTTCAAGGACACGGGCGTCGACATCTACAATCAGTACGTCAGCGCCTTCGACGTCTGCTGGAGCACCGAGTATGTCACGGGAGACGCGATGTTCCTGCCTGGCCAGTTCAGCCGGTTCCATCGCATTGCGGCGCAGCCCGAGGGGAATATTCACTTTGCGGGCGAGCATTTGAGTCGCCATCATACGTGGATTGTGGGGGCGCTGGACTCGGCGTTTAAGACGGCGAGAGAGGTCAGTGGGGATGAGCGGTTGTTGGCGCTGGGCGAGGAGGAGCTGGGGAGGTCGTCGAGGGCGACGGAGCCGCCGAGGCCGGAGTTTATTCGCGCTCAACTCTGAGTAGTCATTTTGTTAAAAGAGTCCAGCATAAGTAATAGATTTAGAGTTAATAGTATAATCCATAAGGCTACCATTAATCTTTCACCCACCCTAAAATAGAGTCTTGAGGGCCAAGTCCAGGCACCAGAATTTCTCCGGCGCATCAGCCACAGCCGCTTCATTTCTTTCAGCCGACATCCACATTCCTCCGCGGCGTTGCACATGCGCCTGCAGCGGAGTTAAATACAGTCAATCCCCTTGTTTTGTTTTGTTTTCCGTCTGAGCACACGATCTCTTACTTTTCTTGCTTTTCTTGCTTCGTTGTTGAGTTGATTCAAGGTATGTATTTATCCTGACTCGTGACGACGCCCGATCCGATCAGCCCTACGATCGCACGCACGGGCTTCTCTCAGCCTTCTCATCCTTCCGTCCACGAACTCCTCATCTTCCATCATCACCACCATCACCATCTTTCTATCATCCATTACTGCAAACTAACACGACCTGAGTAGATAATCTACTACCAACTACACACCACCTACACGAACCGTCCATCGAACAACCCCGCGAACAACCCGCGAACCGCACCTCACCCCTCACTTAATCTCAATAAAATGGCCAGCCGCATCCTCCCGCTCATCATCCTCGTCGTGGTCGTCGGCATCCTCGCCGTCGTGGGATTCATCGCCTACAGCATCGTGCAGGATGTCTCGGATAAGACACGGGACAAGATGGAGAAGAAAAACGTCATGTTCACCAGGGACGGGATGAAGGTTGGCGTCAAGGAGGTTAATGAGGAGGACTATGTTGATCGGAGTCAGAGGTTTGTCTCCTTTTATTCAGTTCTCTTTGCTTCACCCCGCAAGGAATATAATGGATGTGGCTAACGGATTCTAGTATCCTCGTCAACATGTGGAACCACACTTCGTTCCCGGCATACAAGAGTCGGCTTTGGGATATGACGGGCGCTTCTTCTTCGTCTTCGAATGGGAATGGAGGGGATGCTCAGCAGAGGAGGGGGTGAGTTTTTCAATCTACCTTCTTCGACTAGTACCTGGTTGAAACGGCTAACGCATATTTCAGACACTCCTCGCAGTGACTATCGAAACGTCTCTTTAAACCCCGACGCGCGAAAACATGGATTACAGTTGATGGGTTGTTGATGGAACCTTAGTCCCGATCGATCGGTTGGTCGGTTCATCGATTCATAATCGGATTGAGATTGAAAATGTATATATGCTACGGCTGAGGATAGGATATGGGCTTTTTTTTATGGCATTGCAGTAATGACTGACGAGTGATGAATACAATCATTCTTTTGCGTTGATCGATGGAATTAAATCTCGCTGCGAACTGTGGAGACTGCAAGTTTCATGTTTACTCCTGCAGTACACCTGTCAGTACGTGTCCAGCTACGGTGATTTGGCGGTGATCGAGTCCCACTGCGGTAGATCTCGATCTGTGGCCTAGCTGGTGGCCTAACGCTGAGCCACCACGGTCGCAGTCTCGCAGATCTATAGTGGCCGGTGTAAATCTTGTAACATTATTCGTGAATTTATGCATCTGCTCAAGTAATCGGGTCGAAGTTCGTATTTTATACCTGCTTAGTGCTGAGACGTACAGGCTACAGATAACTCGTCGTGGCTGGAGAGCGGAAGGGATATAAGTGGGGATATCTAACTTTGCTCAAGCATGAGTATGTATGAGACGCGACTCGCAATGACTTCACTGGACAGGTACCATGAGCTAGGAGGCTTCATTCAGTTCTCCTTAATAACTCTATTCTATCCTTGTTTAGACGAGATGAGGCATTATAGGGGCAATATACAGATCACTATCTGGACAGCTGGTGGGCCATCAGATCGCTGCTAATTATGGCGCAGGATATGTAATAAGCGAGGCAATAATTGAGCTTGCGTATTATTGACCGTCCTCCGATTGCAAGCGATGCGGGTGACCGGTTCAGGTTGGACAGACACCTGACGATCTGAGGGGTCAGCCCTGGCTGCAGGCCCTTGCATCGACCCATAGTCCGCTGGTTAGAACTTAGAGTCCCAAGAATTCTAAGCGAGACTCATATGGTCGAGTTGGAGATTCTCACCCATATACCATCAGCAACAATACGAGTTACTTCGTAGTTGCACGACAAAGTGACCGGAGTCTGGACGACAAGTGGAGAGAAGTGGAACTGAGGAACCTCAAGCTTTTCCCCGCGGCAGCCAGCGAATCAGCCGTCCACGTGCCAAGAGCAGCCCCCCCCGATCGCTGCACGTTGCTGGTCATGCCGCCATTATAGGTCCCTTGGCCCAGCTGCACCTGATAAGCTCCAGGGCGCCTCCCAGGCACGGGGGTCCTCCGGCCATTTTCCTTCGTTCCCTCGCGTCCTTGGAAATCCACGCCCTCTGGTAGGTTGGTTACCTTTGAGTCGGTGGGTGCTTGATTACTCCAGTACTGCGATGGCCTGGGCCTGATATAAGTTGGACTCTGCTTTCTTTCACATGGCTCCGCTGTCTTTCAATCCTCTGGACACGCGCGCTCACACCGCCAACATGTCTCTCGCTTCCCTCAAGGGCCTCCTCTCCTCGCCAACGAGCACCGAGTACGATGTCGAGAAGGACTCTCGTCTGTCAAGCGACGGAGAGAGCGCCAATGGAGATGGAAAGCGCCGCGAAACGAAAGACACCAAGCTCATTGACGGCCGGGTAATATCAGACGCCATCATCGGTCTTTCGGATGGCATGACCGTTCCCTTTGCCCTCACTGCGGGTCTCTCCGCGCTGGGAGACACCAAGGTTGTTGTCTTTGGCGGCTTTGCTGAACTCATCGCCGGTGCTATATCTATGGGGTTGGGCGGGTACCTCGGTGCAAAGAGCGAAGAGTACGCAACCAATACCCAACCCATATTTTAAACAAAGTATACTGATCAGAACAGAGAATCATATCACGCAACCCTCAAAGAAACCGAAAAGCAAACCATCACAGACCCCACCTCCGTCTCAGACACCATCAACGACATCTTCACCCCATACGACCTCCCCCCGCACCTCGTCTCCGAACTCACAACCCACCTCACTTCATCACCGAACCTCGCCTCCTTCCTCATGAACTTCCACCACACCCTCCCCGAACCCTCTGACTCGCGCGCCGTCATCTGCGCCATCACAATCGCCCTGGGCTACTTCATCGGCGGCTTCGTCCCGCTCCTCCCGTACTTCTTCGTCGGGCCGACCGACGCCTTCCTCGCGCTGAAGTGGAGCATTGCAACCATGGTGGTTGCGCTGTTTATCTTCGGGTACGGGAAGACGTGTTTCGTGAGCGGGTGGAAGGGCCAGAAGAATGTCCGCAAGGGCGTTGTCGGTGGGCTCCAGATGGTGCTTATCGGTGGGGTTGCGGCGGGGAGCGCGATGGGGCTGGTCAAGGGGTTCCAGGCGTGGGCGGATAATTCTTAACGCTTTAGTCTGCCTGGTCTGGGTTTAACTAACTATATTTGTCTTGCTTGAATAGAATGGGTGGGTATATTTGCAGCTATGGTTATGGCTTTGGCATTGGGAGCGAAATAAATATTGTATATACATGGGCGGAGTTAGCTTTTTAAATATCAATTCAATACATAACAGCTTTGACGAAACAAATTCATATTGAAGCTAAATAAACGCTTTTAAACCAAAACGCCTTCTAATAAATGCGCGCCGCGTAGAGATATTCGCTGCGACTGCTGCGTGAGTATACTAGCATTTCAGGTTTCATTGTCTCAGCTGTGCTGACCGTGTTTATACTAGATACGCCGCTGTCCTTGTCGTCTTCGTGAGCGGGGATATTCCAAGTTCAAGTCCAAGTCCGAGTTCCAGCTACAGTTGACCGACAGGGTGCTTGCTTCAAACTGTGACATACTTACCCTGATGAGAGCAGGAGAATTGGGGAAAAAATGTCAAGTCAAGGGAAAAATAATTCGGTCGAAACTCGGCATCACCGAATTCACATAGGTCAGGGTGTTTGAATAGCCCTAAAGCCTAAAAAAGGCCATTCGTGAGTATCTCTCGAAAATCATCGTCGCCTTGCGGCCAGACGCGTAATTCATTGTGTACCCGTTGATCTTAGTTGGCTATATCAGATTGCCGCAAGCTCTCAATTATTGAAGTGTTGTTTGTACATATCACACTTCTCATCCCCATAGAGTTGTTCCAGGACCGAGTTCCACTTCAGCTTCCCTTTTGGCCCACCTTTATATAAGTCCAGACATGTATTTATAGGAGGTATGTCTATCAATTATCAAAAATTTTCAGTACGTTGGTTAATATGGTATCCGCCAACGCGTCACCAGGAGCCCACAAGCACAATAATTGCTTCAAAGGGCCGTTCAATCACTAGAACGCCTATCAGAACCATGTCCATCGTTAACCATTCCGAGTTAAGCCAGGGGTAAAAAAGACCCCTTGAATGAAGCTTGTCGTCAACCAAGGAATGCATCATTCTCAGGAAAAGTGAAAACCTTGGAATCTTATCAGGACCTTCACATGATCAGCAGTGAGTAATGTAAGGTCAGAACCATATCGTTACCTATGTACTTTCAGAGACGGCAATAAATCGGAGATGTCCTTATATGTCCAAGAATAGGGTTGTTCACGGCTGGAGCTTCCCAACCCTAACGCCCAGACCCATCCATCCGTCCTCCATGAAACAACATCCAAAACTAATACCACAGACAAGTCACCTAAAGCAAGACGATGACTCAATCCCAGCCACCCTTTGTGACGACCATCGAGCTCAACGTTACCCAAAACAACCCAGCTGGCGAAAGGACCAACACCACATCCTCCCCCTCTACCTCCGTTAAAGACACACAAAATGACGCCCAGCTACAAACCTCACTAGCCGCGGACTCAGAAAACCCCGACGGCGGCTACGGATGGATCGTCCTGTTTGCATGCGTGGTGATAGCCTGGTGGTATATCAGCATTGCATACACATGGGGGATTTATCAGATAGCCCTAGTGCAGCAGCAGCATATGCCCGCCTCAACACTGGCGTTTGTGGGCTCGCTATGTCCGAGTTTTATCGCGTCGCTGGCGATTCCGAATGCGAAGCTGGTGAGGGCTCTTGGGCCGCGGGTTACGGCGTTGATAGGGATGTTTGTTATGGGGTTGGGATGTATCTTTGCTTCGTTTACGACGCGGCATGTGGGTGGTCTGTTTGTGACGTTTGGGGTTGTTTGTGGAGTTGGGAATAGGTAGGCCATATACCCATGTCTGAATTGTGTCTTTGCTTGAAGACTAATAGCCAAGTTTGCGGTTCGGGTGATATAGTATGCTTTTTATGGTGAGCTTTGCCAGTCTGCATCCACTGCATCCATATTTAGCAGAATAAATGCTAATACGATGGGTTACTTGACTAGGTTATCAATGTAGCCCCATCGCAATGGTTCAGCAAGAAACGAGGCCTCGCCAACGGCATGATATACGCAGCAGGCGGGCTCGGCGGCGCCGTGATGAGTTTCGTCTTGGACGCTCTAATCAAGGACCTAGGAATCCCCTGGGCGTTTCGCATCCAAGGCTTCGCTATGCTAGCAACAGGTCTACCAGCGGCGCACCTCCTCCGAACGCGGTATCCAATCCCACCAACCAAGATGGTCGAGTGGACTATGTTCCGCGATGCTAAATTCGTCGTCCTCTTTGCCGCTGGCGCGGTTACTACATTCCCGCTGTACGTGCCGCCGTTTTTCCTCCCGCTTTATGCAGATGCGCTGGCGCTGTCTTCAGATGCAGGGGTTAGTCTAGTCGCCGGGTTTAATTTCGCGTCTGCGGTTGGGCGTCTGGGATGTGGGTATGCGGGTGATGTGCTGGGGTCTGTCAATGCACTGTTCCTGTCGGTGACGCTGAATGCGCTGACGATGCTGATGATCTGGCCGTTGTCGGATTCGCTGGGGCCGTTGATTCCATTTGTGATCCTGAATGGAATGGCGAATGGGGGGTTCTTTGCGATCATGCCGACGATTGTTAGCCGTGTTTTTGGCTCGGCTAGGCTTTCAGTTGCGATGGGGATGATTGTGACGGGCTGGTTTGGGGGGTATCTCTTGGTATGTCTCTTTGTCCTTTTTTTTGTTGTTTGGCTGACATTCTTGATTTTGAAGGGCCCGCCAATCGCTGGGTATATCCTCGAGGCAACAGGGGATAAGTCCTCCATTAGAACATATCGACCAGCTATCTTCTTCGCTGGGGCAATGGCAGCAGCGTCAGTTGTCCTGGTTGGTGCGATACGTTTACTGATAGACCGAGAGTTACGAAGGAAGGTTTGATACATCGATAGAGCCAATAGTTGACTATTAGAAAACAAGAAACCTGAACATAAAAATGCTTATTCGAATGAAAGCACCAATCAGAAGCCCCAGACCGAGGGATGGATCAACACACTTCCCATCGCGGCGACTCCAGATAAACTTCAACACGCACATCACTTTCGTCATAATGAATCATCGCCTCGCAACTTGGCTCCTCCATATTAATTAATACCACCAGCTAGTCTTGTCTCTTGAATTCACTCCATCCATACCTATATCATACCAATATAACTATTATTTAATTAGCTATTTTATTCTATTAAGCATGTGCGACGCACCCTTCATCCCCATCTTCCCCATTTGCTTCCAATGCGGCACAGACCAGAACCCATGCCGGTGTAAAGTCGTTGGTCCGACGATTGGTATAGTCTCTAATTGCACTTTAATTGTGGGATCCGTGCTGATATTTATAGGCTTTGTCGCGACGATTCTTGCGGCGATTGTATGTTATCCGGCATCGATATTTTGTGGATGCTGTTGTACGAAGGCCGGGAAAGAGTGAGTGGTGACTTGTTGCTTTAGTATGGCAATGCTGATGATTCCAGTGTGTTGGCATATCCGGTTAAACTGAATGGGCAAGTGTCGGATTGTATACCGATATAGGACGCAGTTATGTGAATAGACAGACAAGTATTATTATACGCAATTACACTTCCAACCTAGCAGTATATAAACAAGAGACGTAGACAAGAGAATATAACCTAAGTATAGACGAGCGTAATAAGGTATCCAGGCGAATAATTATCAACATGCGTATCCATCATGACTTGAACTTCTCCTTCAGTCGAGCCAGGAAACTCGATCGTTTCTTCTTCTTCTCTTCCTTTCCGCCGGTCCCGGCTGCTCCGCCAGCATCACCGACACCGCTAGTGGCACCACCAACCCCAGCTGCACCACCCACGCCAGCAACTCCGGCGGCCGCAGCTCCAGCCGCAGGGATTTGTGAGGAATCTTTGGCACCTTCAGAAGCGCCAGTTGTCTGTTGTTGGGCAGCTTCCTCCCCGGGGGCTGTGGTCTTGGTGCCCGTGGGGGTAGTCGTCCGTGGTGACAGCTGTGCCGATCCTGGTTCAGCAGCCGTGGCCTTCGGAGCGGTATCTGTAGTAGCAGCGGTGGTGGTAGGTGCCGGGGTGCCTCTCGAGTTCTCGACTGGAACTCTCCGGTGAATTTCTTCCTCCAGTTCCTTTTTCTCCTCGACGACCTGCCTGTTTGCTGCAGCTTCTGGGTCTCGGTGTGCTTTGGACATCGATTCCTTCACAACATCAGGAACGTCGTCTGCTGGGGCTGTGGTGTCGGCGACTTGTCTCCTCTGGGATTCGAGCGGGACGTTGCCAGCGAGTCCGGCGGTGGTGGATGTTGGCGCAGCCGACTGCACCGTGGGGTCGGCGTTGGCGTATGCAGCAGAAGAGCCGGCTGCACCTCCCACTGGGAGGCTGGATTCGGGAATCGTGTTTTTGGAGACAGGAGGAGCGGAGAATGCACCAGCACCAGCCAGCCGAGAGCTGTCAGTCCCTCCATATGCTTCTTGGCCTGTGCGAGCAGTCGACTGTACTGTGTTCGAATTGAATGTGCTCGGGTCGGGGACTTTCTCTCCTGGCTTGAGATGGATCGGGTTGCCAATGCCGCTCGAGGCTGGGATGGGGTTCACGGAATATTCAGAGTAAGGAGACTCTGCGGGAAATCCTCCGGGGATATGAGCCCCTTGCTCAAGGGGAACGTCCTTGTCTAGCCCCGCTGTTGTCGAGATAGGAAGCCCTCCGGACTCCTTGGAGACACCACCAGCTAAGCCGGCAGTTGTGGAGGTTGGGGTAACGCCAGAGACAGTAGCCATGTCTTGGGGGCTGCCGTTATGTAGGGCTGAAACGGAGTTTGTTTGAAGCTGGTCGGGGTAGAGAACGTTGTTAACGTTGCTGCTGCCGTCGTCCTCCTCAGGTAATCGGTTATCAGTGGTCCAGATGCCGTCAACGACAAACTATGAGCAAAGAAAGACACACGTCAGTGGTACGAAAATGCTTTCCCGGTGCGAATCTTATAGTTTCGTAAAGAGGGGGTGCAAAGACTGGTAAGCACTAAGCCCATGACGTCAACCGACGTCCCCGGCGTCATCACTGATGGCACAATCCATGCACAGTGAAGACCTGCTTGCTTATCTGCGCAGGTTGGCCGGGTGGATTAGGCGGCAGCCTCGAGAAAGGCAGGTTACAAGCCCAGCTGGCGGGGGCACTCATGTGTGAGGCTGCGGTCGAGAACCCAATTGATGACATACCTTGTAGTGCACCTTCTCGCCCGTCACCGGGATTTCGACTTCCTTCTCGAAAACGTCGCCCTTCTGGTCCAACTTGACCGTCCTGCCCCAGTCATCGAACGTTCCTGTGACAAACACCTCATTCGCATTGTACGGCCTGAAATGCGAGGAACCAGGGTCAGCGATCCATGGCAGTCGATAAGGTTGGGTCGGGCTGGACACTGCGGGGAGGAGGCAAGTTAATTGGCTTGAGTCACTCACCATTGAAACTTGTAGCTCGCCATTTTTCAGCTTGAAAAGGCTCCGGTGCGTGGCGGATGAGGAAGCCGGGAGGATTTGGGAAAGCCGGGGGAGGGGTCCAAGACCAGCAGCAGTAAGCAGGTAAGCAGGAAGGGAATGCTCCGGGAGAATTGAATGGTTTGCCTGCACTGATAAAGCGAGGGACCGCGAGGAGGCTGGGGTATTCAGTTGCGGTGCCAGACAGTGTGAGAGAGAGCTATGGGCCCAAGCGGGGGCGGCGGTCGGACGCAGCGTTCGTGCGGAGGATCTGGCAGCAGGCACGGGCTCTCGCCGGTCGAAGAATAATTTGACAGACGACAGCTGATAAGCGAGAGCTGCTGCAATCCCCTCGCAGATCTTTGCCACTGTTCCTTGGACAGGATGGTTGTCGCTCCAAGTAGCGGTGGGATACACTTTCAGTCTGACACCATTGGGTCTAGACTGGATCGAGACCCTCAGCGTGGACAGCTTGGATATTGAAATGTCTTAGTTTTTACTGCGGCAGTCTCTCAACGCTACTCTAGCACCAATAACTAGGATTAAACTTCGGGAAAGTATAAAAATATATTTACACGTCTTTTGTTACCACGCCTTTTGCATGTGTCGGCTCTTCCACGCTGGGAGTATACAGAGCTGTCCACGAGCCCGGATCTATGCGGATTGCTGCTTCTCGCAGGGTTCCAAGGGAGCTTAGCTCGGGGGATAGCCTGGCTTTCTCCATCCACGGTTCAAGCTGGCCCTGCCGATTAATTGAGTTATCATGTGCAAGCCAGAGTGGCTGTTGTTTACATCATGAAGACGGGGAAGACGTCAGCGTTGCAGCGATGATCTCATGCGAGCTCTTCGACGCGGAAGGGGTAAGACAGCCTGGTCGCTTTTCCTCCTGACTCTGAGTAATTTGCACAGGGTTCTTGATTATGATACCTCATTAATGGGCGAGAGCCGTGGCGCAGTCTGGACCGAGCGAGTCGGACAGTCATCATGGGCTTCTAGAAAACGTCTGGAAGACGTTTCGATGGCCACCCGAAGCTTCCACACAGCCACTTAACCCAGTCGGTTCAACGTTTCACCTGCATCTGGATTCCTATTCTGCTCTTGTCGATTGAAGGAGTCGCTGTTTGCCGATGCCAATTTGCGGCGGTGCATGCTCCTTTTTCTGTCCAACTATTGACCTTCCCTCGCCAGCTATTGAGCACTAGTGAGCTGCGAGCGGGGGCCAGCAGTTGACGTCGATCTGCACACGGTTGAGAGAAGGCATCTGGAAAGACGAGTTAGCAATCAGCAAGAAGAAACCCTCAATATCGTAATTCCTCAATGCATCTTTGATACATCAATAATAGAGACAAACTGAATTTATCCGTAGCCGAGCAGAAAGTAGTGAGGGAGTTATGCAGGCTGAGGTTCGAGAGAGCTGCAGAAAGCTTCCCGGTGCTCCCCCGCCTTTTCGGGCATCCTCCCCCTCCTCTCTTCGTTCATACTTATTCTTAGCTTTCCCTTTTATCCTCCGTATCATTTGGGCCATCTAAATTATCTGTCTTTCTGCCTTCGTTCCGCTGTTTTCTTTCGCCTGTCTCGTTCCTCTGGCCAGAACAGCGTCCATCTCACAACACCAAACCCGGTTTCAAACACACGAAAGCTTATTCGGCTACACTGATTTTCGTACGGAAATCCTCCACGCGACTTCGGAGATCAAACAGCTGTCCTGAAGTATACAGAGACAAAGATCTCTCTGGTGTCCATCCTGTATGCGCCCTTCATCCATCCTCTGCGTTGCCCCTCGTTGACATCCGAAACGTGACAGGAGACGGAAAAAGCCACAGGAAAAAGAAAGGAAATTAGCAAAGTAAGTAAGAAGAAAGAAGTTTCGAACTTTCTTTGACGCAGTCCTCCTTTTCCTGCTTTCTTTTCTTTTTCTTCTTTTTTACCCTTCAGCTCTTGGTCTCTGGAACTGCGACCAGCGGCCGCCCCGGGCGTCTTTGAATGGGAGCGCCTCGTTGCGTCGTTGGGCCAGAGCTCCATTCAAGAGCTTCAAACCTTGGTCCGATGTGTCTCGAACCTCTCCAATTCGCACTCAGTCTTCCCGATACCCACCAAGCTCTGCCAAAGGTCAAGTTGTTACCAGCCAATTTCCTCCCAAAGCTTTGTCTTAACTTTGGCGGTTTCTCTACCCGCCGCCACCCCTCCTCCCACTTTCTACGCAGATCCTCTTCGAACCCTGTTGCTCTCGTGCATACATATCCTCTTCCTTTTTCCTTTCCACATACCTACTCAGTTTTAACCTCCTGCATAATCGTCGCATGAACTCGTTTCTTGATAACTCCACCGTTTGTTAATATATGCAGCTCGCCTCTGACCTCCTTCAGTTTTCTTTGTTCCGCCCCTCCCCTCACTGCGCCTCAACTTTCTAGCTCGCTCCCCCGCGCTTCACGCAAGCCGAAAGAATCCAACCGACAACATGTCGAATAGCTCGTTCCCGGGTACCAACCCTTTTCTAAAGGTGGCCACCAAAGAAGAGAACAAACCCTCGACGTTCAATAAAATCGCAGAAGACGAAGAATATGAGGTGACGTCACCAACCGATTCAACGTTTCGAACCAGCAAGATCGACGGCAGCAACTCGTCCGGCGGAAATAATCCTCTCGAGACCGGTCGGGCCGGTGAGTCGGGCGAGGGAATACGTTTTGGAAGAGATCCGTTTGGCGGTGGCTTCCAGGGTGGTCAGGAAGGCCAGGATGAGTCTGTGCTACCAGAGGACTTCCGCCCAACTGGAGGACCCAGCCATGGCTTTCCCAACAATTACGCCCTAGGTCGCCGAACATCTGTATCTGCTGAATCTCTGAACCCTACATCCGCTGGCTCAGATAGCTGGTCCCCGCCTCACCACCCAAAGACGGAGGAACAGCTCGGCCGCCTGAAGACAGCTGTCAGCAACAACTTCCTCTTTTCTCATTTGGATGATGACCAGTCTCGGACTGTGCTAGATGCCCTGGTTGAGAAGCCTATTCCAGCAAAGGATATCAAGGTTATCTCCCAGGGTGATGCCGGTGACTTTTTCTACATCGTTGAAGATGGCCATTTTGATGTTTACATCAACCCCTCTGGCTCTGTGCAGTCGGGCCCAGACGGAATGGGTAACAAAGTCGGCGCGATTGGACCTGGTGGCTCGTTCGGAGAACTAGCTCTTATGTACAACGCACCTCGAGCAGCAACCATTGTATCGACGGATTCAAAAAGCACTCTCTGGGCTCTAGACCGCATTACCTTCCGGCGCATCCTCATGGACTCGGCATTCCAGCGACGACGCATGTACGAGGCTTTCTTGGAGGAAGTCCCGCTCCTCTCGTCGCTCAAGCACTACGAGCGTGCTAAGATCGCAGACGCGCTCGACACGCTCAAATATCCAGCGGGTTCACGTATTATTACGGAAGGCGACCCAGGCGATGCCTTTTACCTCCTTGAGTCCGGCGAGGCTGATGCTTTCATGGAAGGCGTGGAAGAGCCGACCAAGTCATACAGGAGAGGAGACTACTTTGGCGAGCTCGCCCTACTGGATGAGAAGCCTCGAGCAGCCAGTGTTGTCGCCCGAACTGAGGTCAAAGTTGCCAGACTCGGCCGGGATGGGTTCAAGCGGCTGTTGGGCCCGGTGGAAAATATCATGAGAAGGACAGAATACACATCGAGACCCTCTACAGCACAATAAGAGCGGCTGAACAAACCGCTTATGAAATGTTTGGTTTTTTTGTTTGTTTTTTTTTTTTTACAACGAAATATCATCATTGGGTTGAATATGTCATTCTTGCTCGTTTTTGTTCTATATCAAAGGGTTCCATATGTAAGGGAGTGTGTTTTCAATTGCGAAAGAGGTTAGAAAACTCCCGATTTCTCTGGCGAATGATTGGTCTTGCTATGCACGGATATCTCATCTCTCTGTCTTTTGTTGTCCTGTCTTGCCGTTTCCAAAACACCCTTTTCCTAAGCGATCTTTCTCTCCATTGAGATATTTGTGCATCCTGCTCTTCAGTCACGGGTTCCAATCCGTGTCTCTAGCTAGGATCGCCACGCTTTTGAACACCAGCCACACCGCTGCATTGAGTATAGCGCAGCAACTAGGTTGGGTTGGGTGGTCGCCGGGACGCTTCACTTCCTACCTGTTTTTTTGTCAGTCCAATAGGCCTTGCTTGATGTTAATATGTAACATGACAATAGTTCCTCCTTTTGATACACCACCCGGAGTCCAACTCAGTAGTCGCTAAGGTATCAGGCCGAAAGTACGTAGTAAGATAGTAAATTCATCTTGCAACCACCAAATCACTCCTCAACACCCACTTCTCTCCACCCGTAACTTCTTTCCCCTCATGCAGCATACACTGATCCCCATGCCGATGCAACAGCGCCATCCCCACCTCGGGCGCGACTGAGATCGGCTCTGGGTTACGGTTTGCGCGTGTTGGTTCTGGGTAGAAGACTGTTTCGCCGCCTGTACAGGAGGAAAGGTAGATGAGGAGGGTCCATGTGGTGCGGGCAGGCTTGGGCGGTGTTGAGGGCGAAAGGAAGGAGAGCGTGTTGGAATCGTCGTCTACGTACAGATCCATGTTAGATTATGGTATCATCTTGCTTCATAACTACGGGGCTCTTTTACTTGTATTGGGTATTGGATTGGATTGGAATGGAAGTAGGTGGTCGTAGCGGAAGTGGGGATATAAAAGGTAAACAACTTACAATGCTGCGCAAAGAACTGGCCAGCGGAGTACCGATAAACACGGATATTCGCATTCAAGCCGAGCGGTTCGCCGCCCCAGACTTCCTTCATTGTCCTCTCTCTTGCGCTGGGATTCCCATCTTCCTCTCCACCTTCCCCTTCTCCCTCTTCGATGAGATTGGCGGGATCGGTCACAAGCTCCCGCAGTGCCGTCCCGCGCCAAAGATTCTCAGCGAATGCCGCATCCTGGATTTGGAACCGGTCGTTGACGCGGACGGCATCGCCCTTTTTGGGCTTGCCCGGGGTTGTGATTAAGGGAAGCGAAGAGAGGAATGAGACGTAGGTCTTGCACAGCGAGGCAGGGAGGAAGTTGCGGACTAGGTAGATCTGGTCCGGGAGGAGCGGGTCAAGGTACAGGTCCGATGAGGGGATGAGTGGGCGGAGAGGAGGCCAGTTCGGAGGTTGCTGCTGTGGTTGGGAGGGTTGGCGAGGGGGTTCTTTTTTGGACGGCTTTGGTTTTGGCATATTGTTAAAGTTCCAGTGTTATGGCCCTTTGGAGTAGTAGAAGTGTTACTGACGGTGTTATACCGTGGGGATAAATTGATGTATAACTGTAGAGTGGAGATTACGTAAATACGGCAGAAAATCCCAGCACGGAATTTCATTTGTCCGGCAGGCCGTCTGGCTCGATCCAAATTGCATTTTCCCCTTCACCGCCCTTCTCCCTCCCAGTTCCGACTCTGGAAACCGTCGACGGTCCGCTCGAGAACTTCTCTCAGGCCAACCAGCAATCCCAGCCGCTCCCCCCCGGTCATGTCGTCGTCGCAGACCATGACAGCGCCAGCGGTGGGCCATCATCCTTCAGAGGCTGGTCCGGGCATGTCGTCTCTGTACGACTATTCCCGTTCTCAGCACTCGCCAGAGAACGACCATCTTTCGTCCCCGCCCACGGGCAACAGCGACTCCGCAATCCGCAATCTGCACGATTCTGCCCCCGACCACTCTCCGTCCTCCCCCAATGGCCTACACTCCCTGTCCGGCATGGTGACCGTCAAGTCCGAGTCTGAAGACCAGGCTTCCCATGCCTTTTCTAATGGTCAGGACTCTCAGTCGGATTTCCGCCGTCAATCCGCCGCCAGCGCCCTTTTAGCGCAGCTCCTTGGCGGCCAGCAAACGCAAATGGAGGATTCGAATCAGACGTTAGAGGGTTCCGGGTTAACAGGCGGGCAAGATACTGAACAGCAACATGTATTTGGGGATGCGTCGCATGAAGATTGGGCAACACATCAAATGGACGACGTTCCGCCCCCGGGGGCGGAACCGACCAACGGAGATCAAAGTCAGCACTCGGAGCCCCAACATCAAGAAGACATGGCATTTCACCATTCTGGACTGCCCTTTTCAACTACTGACCAAAATACGAACATTATGGCCAAGTCTGGCGACTCTATCGAAAGCCTGACCGACCCCTTGCTGCTCTCGAAAACGGGCCTCGATCATCCTGTACTCTTTCCTCCGATAGATTTTGGACCAGCTCCGGAGACGCCAATGGAGGGTTTGCAACATCACGATATGTTGAATTCACCCTATTTCCCGCAAAGCGCGGACCTATCAGCTTTGGGATACACCGAGGGAACTTTGCATAATAGGAACGGCTCGGTAGCAGGGTCTGAGCCAAGGATCCAAGCTTTCGCCAAACTCGAATTTGATGATGGGCATTTCTACTGCAACACATATTCTTTTATCCTAGGGCGAGACGTACGAGCGGCGCGAGCGGCCCATCAACGCGAGTTTCAAGCCCGACAAGTGACGAGGCATTCGCGACCGAAAAGTTCGAGTGGCGGGAACGCATCACATACACCCGTGCGAGCAAAGCCTGAAGGGAGTGGGGTTCTCGGAAGTGTTGTCAGTGACCGCGGTGGAATCATGGGCGTTGATCCTGATCTTCCTGGGCATATGCAATCACATATAAGCCGACGCTCATCGGCTTCTTCACATGGCGAGGCCGGCGGTGTTTTACATGCGACCCCTGCTCAGCTTCAGACCACTACCGACTACAATGCCCTTGCTATGGAGTCATTACAAGAGGGGGGCGGAGATGCCAAACCTGTTGACGCTCTTGCCCTCCTTCCTTCGCCAGACTCGTGCCCAACGATCCCGATACACCCTCCTGCCACAACCGATGGTAGTGTTGCTGGTCATCGAGGTATTTCGCGAAAACATGTCAAAATTGCATATAACTTTGACAAGAATCTGTTTGAAATGGAAGTGTTAGGAAGAAACGGCGCTTTTATCGGTGCTGATTGGCTCTCTCCTAGCCAAATTAGACCACTCCATAGCGGTGATTATATTCAAATTGGAGGGGTCCGCATCCGGTTTTTGCTTCCAGATGTGCCGATTGGAGAGACAGGGGCCGATATAGAGGAAGAACAATTTGCTCCAGAATCTCAAGAAAATGCCGAGGCTTCGGGGCTGGCCGAGAATGACGACGATTTTGAAGACAAGGACGGCTCAAAGTCAACAAAAATTGTTTTGAAGTCCAAAGAAACAGACCCCACTCAAGCAGCGCAATCTATCGAAGGCGATGGTCAGCAGCCAGCCCGGCGTCGCGGTCCTGGACGACCTCCCAAAGATGGGATCATGTCAAAACGGGAACGAGCCGAGTTGGCGCGGGAACAGAAATTGGCTGCCAGACGCGAGGCAAACGGAGGTGTTACACCCCCGCCGCAAAGCAAACCGAAGGCAGGAAAGACAAC